ATCTGTGCCATCATATTGTAGTTCTATGTCCCTGGTTGCTTTCAGATATTGGAGGACACATTTTGCAGCTTCCCAGTGATGGCTCCTTGGAGCTGAGCTATGTCTGCTTAGTATTCCAACAACATAGGCAATGTCTGGGCGGGTTCCGAGCATGGCATACATGAGGGAGCCTACAATTGAGAGTTATGACACTTGGCACCCTTCAATATGCATCTTGTGTTGCACAATATCTTCCCCTGGAGCATTTGCAAGGAGTTTTGATCCATGGGCCATTGGTGTCCATACTGGTTTGCAGTTCTTTATTCCAGTACAGGATTGTGTCAATGCATTGGTGTTGCAATAGGGATATTGTTTTGTGTGAACAATTACGTTGGATTTCTATTCTGAGGATGTATTTCTCCAAGGTCCCACATTTTTAATACGGATTCGAGTTTGGCTTTTGTGATATCTATGAATTTTTGGGATGAAGCTCCTATGAGGAGGTCATCTACATAGACAACAACAAAGCATATTTGTTTGTTGTCCCAGAATACATAGAGACATGTTTCTGCATTTAGTCTTGTAAAACCGAGCTCCTGGAGCTTGTGATCAAAAGTTTTGTTCCATGTACGACCAGCTTGTTTTAACCCGTAGATGGATTTCTTCAATCTCCAGCAGTATCCAGGTTGGATAGAAACACCCCCTGGAGGAAGCATGTACAGTTCTTCTTCAAGTTCTCCATTGAGATAAGCTGTGGATACGTCCATTTGATCAAGTTCTAGGTCGTACTTTGCTGCCAGGGCTAGAATAATTTGGATTGACTCTAAGTTTGCAACCGGAACAAAAACCTCCTGGTAATCAATCCCCTCCCTTTGAGTAAAACCTCGTGCAACAATCTGGAGTTTGTATCTCTCAATGTTTCCGTTTTGATCAAACTTGATCCGGAACACAGGTTTTGATGTGATGGATTTTACTCCCTTCGGAAGTGGAACAGTGTCATATACTGCATTAGTATTGAGACTTAGGAGTTCCTCCTCCAAGGCAGACTTCCATAATTCTCCATCCAGACGTGATAAGGCTTCCTTTAGTGTCCTTGGAAGGTCTGTGTTAGATGGACCAGTACTTGCTATTCCAGCAAAGAATGTCTCCTCTGTATCAGATGTTTCTTCATGAACCTCAGGAGTGTTAGGTTTCTCCATGGAGTTGTCATGCTGCTCTTTTTGAGACTGTTCCTCATCTAGAGTCCTTTGATAATCTCGGTTTTTGTCTGCAGGATGGGTCTGGCGACTGCTTCTGCGTACTCCTAGGACTTCAGCAGGCATGACTGCTCTTTTAGGAACTTGTGCAGGTACTCCAGGGAGTAGATGTATTTGTGTATTTATTGCCCCACTCACTCCTAAAGGTGTTGAATCACTCCTCGGAGGCATTGGATGACTCCTTGGAGGTGTTGTATGCCTTCCAGAAGCTGATCCAATGGACAGGCTGTCTAGCTGTATCCGGACTTTTTCCACATCAGCTGGCTGTATGTTGAGGGGCTGTTCTCCCACTGACTGTAACTCTACTCTGGCTTTCCGTTCTAAAGATGGCCAGTGTTCAGGTCTTGGTTGTAGAGACTGTTGTGGAGGGTGTCTTAGCTGATCAGGTGCTCCCACTGCTCTCGGAACATCTTCATGCTAATATGGTTCCATTGCTTGTGGAACATCTCCTTGGAGATGTGGTTCCATTTGCAATTCATTTGGATCTCGGATCCGAGGGTCAGGATCATCCTCCTCCAATGTTTTTTGGTCTGGATAGTGAGCATTCTCTGGAATGAGTCCCTCCCACTGATCTGTGCTAGTGTCTGTGTTCCAGGGAGCAGTGTCATCCTTTTGTACCTTTCCGGATTCATTGAATATGACATGCCAACTGGAAAACACAGTCCGTTTTTCAGTGTCTAGGAGTTTGTAGGCTTGCTTTCCATGTGTGTAGCCAATCATTATGGCTTTGCGCTCCTTGGAGTAAAACTTCCCTTGCTTTTTGTTTTTTGGAATCAAGGCATATGCTTGGCATCCGAAAGGGTGAAACAAAGTTGGATCAACTCTCCTTTTAAACAGTATTTCATATGGGGTCTTTCCATGGAGTCCTGATGCTGGGCTGCGTGCTGTGATATATGCAGCTGTTTGCATGGTATCTACCCAAAATGACTTTGGGAGCTTGGAATCATGGAGCATAGTATTACGGTCACACAATTTTTGGACCTTTCCTTCATTTTCATTCTCCGCTTTAACCTTTTACTATAGTTCACACTCCGTGCCACGTGGCACTTCCCCTTTTGTTCAAACTCCTCTTTTTTGCGCCGTGTTGCCTTCTTCTTATTTTAGACACAACTCTCTCACACAGTGGAGTTGGTCATGCGGGCTAGGCCCTGACATCATCAAGCCACTAACTTTATCAACTGTATAGTATATAAGTACAAACACTCTGTATTAATATATATACCCCAATAGATACAGAAGACTCCTTAGCGAGTCCTCCTGTTGTATACCAACAAACTCTCTGCAGCTTAAGGGGTAACCACTCCCTCAACATCTTCTTTATAGTGTGTTTTTGTGTGTGCCAGAGTAACTAACTCTTGGTTGTTACACATAGTGGTTGCTAATGTAGCCAATATCTGATTCATGCATTCTGCAATGCCATTTTGTTCTGGAGTATCTGCAGCTGTAGTTTCTTGGATGACACCATCTCCTTGGAGTTGATTTTTGAATGCATTGCCAGTATATTTTCCTCCCCCATCGCTCCAGAAGAATTCTGTGTATAGTGGAGTGGAGTTTTCTTCTCCAAAATGAGTCTGGAAGAATGTTTGGACATCTTCTTTCCATTGCTTGTATCGTTCCAGTGCTTCACTTTTATGTTTTAGGAAATATATCCATGGAAATTTAGAGAAATCATCTACAATGATAATCCAGTACAAAACCCTCCCTGGAAGTTGGTTTGATTGGTCCTCCAACATCTGCGTGCACAATTTGTATGGGGCGCTTGGCTCAATTTCCTCCAGTGGACTTGAAAGGTAATTTCTTCATCTTTCCTAAAGCACAAGGTTCACAAAACTCCAGGGTTCCGGTAAGGATGTCTATGTCCTGGAGCTGTCTTTTTGTAACCATTTGTTGCAAGCAGTTTATTCCAATGTGTCCCATTCTCCTGTGCAATAAATTTACATCTACTGCTGCAAAAGCTGACTCCGGGTTGATTTCAGGTTTTGCTTGGATGTGATAAAGTCCTTGCTTGTATAAGGCAGTGAGGATAAGTTCCTCTTTTTTCCAAACTTCACAAGCATTTGACCCTGCTGGAAAAAGTGTTGATAACCCCGTTTTGGACAATTTGTGGACAGAGACGAGTGCTAAAGTGAAGTTTGGCACAAGTAAAACATTTGACAGTGCAATATTGTAGTCCTTTTTGCCAACAGTTGCTTGTAGGATTACTGTTCCAATGCCAATGGCATTTACAGAGGATTCATCCCCAAAACTGATTGTCCTTGGAGGATGCAGAACATGGTACGTTCCTGGCTCAAGCCAGGAGCAGTGAGGGACCATGTGGGATGTTGCTCCAGAGTCAATAATAATTGTTGTTTTGGTCTTATCGGGTTCTGACACAAGGTAAGCTTGAATGTGTTTAGCAAGGGGCTTGGAAATATGTACACGTTCCAATGCAATATGACTCTGTTCCTCCTCAGAGTCAGATCCAGATGATTGCTCCGCCGTATTTGCCTTTTCCTTCTCTTTTCCTTTATCCTTGTGTCTTTCCTTTCCCTTCTTCCTTTGACCTTTTTCAGCTGACTGAAGTGTTTGACACTCCAAGGTGTTGTGTGATTTGGCTTTGTGGAAGTTACACCATTTCTCCTCGGATTTGAGTGCTGATTCAGAACCTCCAGGGGCCTTCCCTGACTGTCGTGCAACTTCTGCAGTGATCCAGATCTCAACTGCATCAAAGGTAAGTTTATTTTCTTCAATTGTGTTGATTACTGATGACTGAAATATTTGCCATTTAGGAGTGCATGGGAGAGATTTGAGAAGAGTGAAGGCCATGAGTTTGGTATCAACTCCTAGTTTCATTCCGGAGAGGTGTGACTCAATTGTCCGGATTTTTGCAATGTGGTCCTGGATAGGTGATGTCCCATCCCAGGACAATTTGGTGAGTTGCTGGAATGAATAGAAGGCTGAGGCAATGTTGGATGTTTGATGGAGTGAAACAAGTTTATCAAACAACTCCTTGGAGCTGGTGAGGTCTCCAGTCCTCATTAGGAGGGCATCAGAGATGTGGTCCTGGATGATTCCATGTGCCTTCTCATCCTTAAGTATCCAGGTGATTTCAGGATCCTCCAAGGAGGTAGGTTTTCCTGGTGAGGGCTTAAGCTCCTCTCCAGTAACAACTTGGAGAACTTTTTCCCAACGTAGTTTTGAGATGATCCGGAGTTTCCATATCTGAAAATTGTTGGGTCCACTGAGGACTGGACATGCGGATGTATCATGTGCTGTGTTCATGGTTTTGAGGTTGCTGTTTCAAATAAGAATTATTTCCTGCGTAGCTTTTGCACACCAGGGCTCATAACCTAATAAAACTAAGTGAAACAGCCGCTGCCCGAGAGGCTATAGAAACGACTGAGGTATTCCTATACTAAATCCCCTACTACTTATAGTCAGAGGTGCTACTTGCTACAGTATAATGACTCCTAGGAGTACAATTGTGGTGGCTATGCTCCATGGAGAACAATGGCTGCTGGCAGAGACCGGGTTTATCCGGTTTTGTCATTATGGACTAAACAACAAGCTTCTTATCCACGGAGGCCCCAAGGATCAGAACATGTACTATCCAAATAATTTGTAAAACATTTCGTAGGACTCACTAGCATTGATTTTTAGATGAGCGCTGATTCAGAGATACAAACCGAGGCTGTGAAAAGAGTCTTCCCGCTAAGATGATGTGTTTTCAAATGCCAAACTGCCAATAAGGCTTAATATATACCGTGACGGCATGATTGAAATTCTGAGTGAATGTACTTTGGCATCATCACAACTACTTCAAATGGTTCAATTCTATTGAAGTTCACATCTTCACGCTCGAGGCCTAGGACTCCATCAGAAGAACTTAGATCAAGAGACAATAGTATGCGATTCTGATGTCCGAATCATTCTCATGCTTACATGTCAGAGAAACACAGGATTCCCCATACATATTGGAGGATTTAGTTTGGCTCCAGTCACGGTATAGCATTGGCGTTCTCAGCATCTGATGATGATGATGATAATGGAGCAGATTTCAATTGGACATGTGAATATGTTGTCTGATCCTCTGTGAGTGTTGGTGATCATTCACGAATAGCTTGTCCGTAGAGTTTGTAAGGCACTCCCACTGAGCATCAAAGGATTTAAACAAAATCCCCTTCTTCACCTTGCTTAGACTATACAAACCCGCAACTTTCGTGCCATTTGCTAGAGCCATGTATTTTCATCAGACTTTCTTATCAATTGTCGCTCTTGCTCTTGTATCTCGGGCTCTTTCTATCCCTAGCAGAGCTACTTCAGGTATACAAACATTTACCCCATTTTTATAGAGCAGAGGCACTCATCATGTTGTGTTTCAGGCACAAGTGACATTGTCATTGACACTGTCGAATATTTGAATCATCAGCGGACTATTGAGTCCACAAGTGCCAATGAACTCGACACACTTTCCTCGTACCGACAGACTATTGAGTCTACAGGTGCTGATGAACTCGACACACTCTCTTCATACCGTCGAACGCCGTCCAACAAAGTCGTGTTCGAAGAGACTGATATCCTGGATTTTTGATGGGACAGTTAATATTTGGTGAGCCAGAGATCAAACCTTTACAATAAGTCAGTGAGCTTGACTGACCCACCTCATAGTATCATTCTTGCAACGAAAATGGAGTTTACGTGTCAAATCTAAGTTCTTTGTATGCGTTCTGTATATTAGCTATAAGTTTATGTTATAAAATAGCTTTCCCTATGACATTGCATCCGGAAATGTAGGTGTAACTTGAACCTAGTAGAAAGCCAGCTCGGTCAAATTGGTGTCTACACAAATGTAGCGGTGGCTAGGTGCACAATAAACATGCCTTGATTTTTGAAGGGTATGCTTTCAAAAACCCTGGAAAGCAACAACTTGAAATTGTAAATGTGATCATAATGTATATACAAATTCGCCACTGCGAGTAAAGTACATGGATATACATCAACAAGAATTATCACCAGACCACAAGAAAACGATTCCAGCGATGTGGTGTGCCCAGGTAAGTATCCTACAATATGCGTATGTGGGCCACTGCGACTTGATAAACGAAACTTGATCAAAGCAATGCGAAACGAAGCGAGCTAATAAGCCTCCAATCAGCCCCAAAAATAAACGTTAACAATAATAAACAAAGCAATCCGCCTGCAAAACGAGGGAATAGGAATATGACTTGAAAGTTCAGTTCAATAATATATCAGACAATCCGCCATGGCCGAAACCACTCAGGACTCGTTTAACTGAGATCCAGAACTTTGAGAAGTAGAGCCTTGAGTGCGCATCTTTTCTGATATCCTTCGAGCCAAAGCGGGAGGAACCAGGTCGAGCTGCACTGGCATATCGGGAGGATGCCCCTAGAAATAAGGGAAGATTGGCGAAACTGGTTCTACAGCTTGAACAATGGACTTACATGAGCAAGATGATACCGTAGGCCACTCAACTGCTTATATCGGTTATGACAGGTGGGGTGGGGACACTTATAGAGCTTCTTCTGAGCCTCGCTCGACTCAGTTGAAGTCGATGCCTCCACTGCGGGAGGAATGCCCTCTTTCTCGTCGCTATACGATGTCTGAGCAAAAGTAGAAGAAATTGCCCTCTGAAAGTGAGCCTTGGATCTGTGGAGACCTCGTTAGATCAACCTAACAACATTAACACAACGTAGAACCTACATTTGAAGGTGATATTGCAGACCATTGATACTCTGCCGGAAAGCAAAAAGGTTACAAAAAGGAATGATACATATCAAGGCCTATTCACCTTCCAAAATTTGCCACAACCTTCCAAACCACACCTGAAGGGCCTGTCGCCACCCGCCTCATCCATATGAATCGATTTGTAGTGATCAGAAAGGTCGCGAGATGTCCGATAACAAGCTAAGCTTGCGACAGAATCTACAGACCAACACTTCAGATGACCACACGCATAAGGCTTGATTGAAGGACTGCGACCATAATGATGTTAGTATTCAGGCTGATTTATATGATAATAATTAAATTTACTCTGAAGTAGCTGGCAAGTCCGACGAAAGACGTAAAGGTGCTTGGGTGTCGGGGCGTTTCCTCGGGCACGCGTTACGTGGCCTCGCCCGAGAAGTAGATCGATAGTATGAACCCTTAACACATTCGGTTGTCGGTGGGGGGGAATCAAGAGCGGCAGCAGGTGCTGGAGCAGATGAGCTTGCAGGTGTGTACACGGCAGGATAATTCGCTGTTGTCTGGTTCAGTGGATACGACACGTCGTAACCATTGTTGGTGGAATAGACATCAGTAGATGTCGCATACGAATTGCTGTATTCGACATGGTCTTCCTGACCGTATGCACCCGAGGGGTCATGGCAACCACGCTGACTCTCGTCGGCATAGGCTGCATCTCGAGTAACAGATTGATGAGCATCATAGTCAACTGGCAACGAGACAGAGGAGCAATGACGATCAAAGGGTAGTCCTTGCTGTGCAGTATGCTGTTCCGACTTCGCATATACAAGATGATCTCCTTCAGAGCTGTAAATTGAACGGGCCATAGTTGGATCGTGATCGAAAGAGCTGTCATCGTCCTTCTGATAACCGGCAGAAGAAATCTGGGGATATTGTTCATACTGCACATGATGACCATCATGGCGATACGTCGATGTATCGGCTTCATTACAGCAATGCGAGGCATGATTTACCGACGACACCAAAAATTCCGACGGAGCAGTGAAACCCACTTGGTTGGAATGCCGCGCGGCATCGTGTGAGTAATCATTGTTCAGAGCTTGCTGGTCCGAGACGGTTGTAATGATACGATTGCTGGAGGGTGTTATAGAGTGGTAATCGGGGCGTTCACCGTACAAATGGGTGTCTTGGATTCGTTCCCCCGTCACAGCATGCATGTATCGAACATCTTCCTGGATGCCCAACTGTCGGCTATGATCGAAAATCATATGCGTGGTGTGAGACTGCGGCATCACACTACTGCCACAACATAGATTTGGTGATTCCCGGTATCTGTTCGAAAAATTGTCCGGATAATTGAATATGTGTTGTTGATTATCCTCCCGAATATAGGTGACCGCCTGACCGATAGTGGCTGAGGAACTCGAATGCCCCGTTGCTCGACTGTCTGGCTGCTCATATGAGTATTGAAGGTTATGGCCTTGTGTGTAAGCATCGTCGTCGCGGATGACATTGTGATGCGGCGTGACCGATAGAGCAGTCATCGAAGGTTGAGGCTGATAGTTGCCGTGTGCCTGATGGCGCGATACCGATGATAAAGAATCGATGGCGCCAGGGGTACATTGCACACGACGGGTATCGTCCAACCACGGTGCAGATAGCGCAGAACTCAAAGATGACGATGAGTACCGGAGCGAAGGGGGAACATGTGTTAACATATGTTGATCGTAGTCGTTGAACCGAACACGAGGGGCATCATATCCTGTATCCTCATTGGGTGCATTTGCGATGTATCCCGCATGATACTGAGATAAATGATCGTTATGATAAATGCTCTGATCGTCTGATGGCGTCGGCCACGTGTAAGACTGAGAATAATCCGTTGTCAAACGGTTTTCTGAGCCCATGTCAGCCTGAGGATGGCGCAAAGCGAACGACTGCTCATGCAACGTAGCATTGGACCTTTTACGCTCCAGAAGCCTCCATCTAAAAAGGTTAGACGCGGTGAGTTGGGAAGGAGCGAATAAATACACCTGGCGGAGTACCTATTACGGCAAGCCAAGCCGCTTCGTTGTAGCTCGTGCCCAACCTGGCCCCATTTTCCGCCTAGTCTCGAGTATACTTCGAGAAGCTTGCTGTCCTCTTCAACGGTCCACTCGTCTCTCTTCAAAGTTGGATCCAAGGCTTCACGATAGCGCTTTGAGCATGCATCATCGGTGCGCCCGGGTATGTGGCGAGCAATGATAGCCCACTTGGTTGAGTGTATTCTATACAGTTCGACGAGAGCGTGATCTTCCTCAGGCGTCCAGGCAGATTTCTTGACGTTGGGAGAAAGAGAGTGAAGCCAGCGCTAGAAAAATCTAATTAGAGACAAAATATAGGACAAAACTAATCAGAAATCACCTTTCTGCAGGCTTTATTTGAACGACCAGGAACATAGGCTGCGACCGCTTTCCAGTTGTCGATTTCGCCGTGTATGGCGATGGCCTGAGCAAGTAGCTCGTCTTCTTTCGTTGTCCAAGGACGTCCAATACTGCGCTCTGACATGAAGGGAAAGGCAGCTTTTGCGGAGAGAGCTGTCGAGGAGTTAAGTCGAGTCTGAGACAACAAACAAGAGCAATTGAAAGAGTGGCACGTCGCGAATCGTGTCGGGCGTTTGCGTTCGGGTTTAGCGCTTAGCGCCCGGTGCGTCTCGCGCAACCATCATTGTGTTCTACAGGACCATCTTGAATTGCTGGTTGTAACTTGAAATCAGATAAACTTGTTGGTGACATGTCAGACCTCTGCTGTCAATTCGTAAATATAGTGGATATATATCGTGGTCGCATTCGCACCGCCCATACTAGTCGGATATCACCGCTGGTGTTTCAACTCTGGTCCGTCAACTGCTTCCTGCTTTCAGGTAATGTAGCATCTACTTTTGAAAGCAATGATCACTCCCAATTTCACACTCTATACTATAGCAGCCGCAACTCGCCTATCGTGGAAATGCCAGAAGGAACCTTACCATTCAATTACCGTGGCGAGACATACCGTACCTGGTACAAGGTCGTCGGAGATCTCTCAAACACATCCAGAACACCCCTCGTCGCCCTCCACGGAGGACCTGGCTTATCGCACGACTCCATTCTCCCTCTAAGTGATCTCGCCTCACACCCAAGTCTTATTCCCGTCATATTCTATGATCAAATCGGTAATGCCCGCTCTACGCACTTGGATGATAAACCAGAGTCGTTCTGGACCATTGATTTCTTCATCGATGAGCTACTCAGTGTCTTGAATCACTTTGGCATTCAAGACTCTTTCGATCTCTACGGACACTCGTGGGGCGGTATGCTTGCCGCTGAATTCATCATTCGCCGACAACCTACAGGCCTTGAGCGTGTTATCATAGCAGATACTCCTGCATCTCAGAAGCTTCAGCATCAAGCACTTATGCGATGTATGCAGTCCACACCTGAAGAAGTCCAGTCGGTGCTTAAGAAACAGGGAGGTAAAATTGACACATCTAACGAAGAATACAACGAAGCTGCTGCATACTTCCGCAAGCAGTTTGGTACACGCTATGCCGATCCTATGCCGGAGGCACTTGCATACTCTCCGAAGCATGAAGACCATCCAACTGTGCTTAATGCAATGTCCGTCGTAGCACCTACTGCCTTTTTGGACGTGGAATAACTTTCTGTGATAGGCGTAAAGGCGAAATCAATGGCGACTGGGATATTACGGAAAAACTACACCTCATAAGAGTTCCGACGCTTCTACTCAATGGCAAATACGACTTCATAGGGGATGAATCTTGTTTCGCTTTTTCCCGTAACATCAACAAGGTCAAATGGGTCCAGTTTGCCAAATCCAGTCATGTTCCGCATTGGGAGGAGCGGGAGAGGTATATGGAAGTCGTCAAATCGTTTTTGCTGAATGAGTTGTACACGTAGCTGAACCGGGTGAATGTAGTGCAACCACCTCACACGGTTTTCACCCATGTACTTATTTGTTGTACTTTCAAATGGTATAAGCTATTATTCCTCGTGTATGTTGTGTATTATCAATAAGCCATATCACTGCATTATGACCTCAAACTCTTAACCCGGAATATGCCTCATTTCAGAATCTACGCCACCAGGAGAGTGTGCAAGTCTTCAGGTTCTCAGAACTCAAAACTCGGACTCGACTGTAACCCTGGTGAATTTGCAACAACCCCACGAATACACATGGTACATGAACATACATAGCGTGATCACTGACGGACAGGATGCCCGCCTAAGATCTTATTCACAGTAGTAGTTCGTAGTGGAGTGTCCGCAAACAAAGCTCGGACAAGTTTTACTAGTTCGTCGACCTCAAAGTCCACCAACGCCCCTTCCTCGAATAGATATGTAATGTCAGCCATAGACGCCTCCTAAAGTAAAAGAAGAAAAACCAGTATGTCAGTTCGGCCCAAGATCACAAAATAGTAGGAAACTTACCAGCAACTCAGAAAGATACGAAAACTTCAACCACGACGAGACATACGAGACAACGAACGATGACTGTAAAACCATGAGAATCGACGAGTGAATTAGATTTTACAGTAGACATAAACTGACCAGACTGGTATCCTCAACGAAAAGCCCTTCCAAAGAATTCAAGATCTTACACAATTCGCTAAGCCTGTGCGACTCTACTTCGGGGATATCAGGAAGAGCGAGTATATCATCCAAAATATTCGACAAAGCGGATTCCACAGCATAACCAAGGGCCATATAAAACTTGCTTTTAGCTAGAACGGGCTGATAATTCATTTAATTCAAATTTCGTCAACAGATGGCTAGAATGGACATACCTTCCAACGGTGTGCTGTCCCACGTATCTCACGAAGGACTTGCGTAATGGCACCCTCACATTCGTCAAACCTATCCTGATCCGCAGTCTCCGTGAAACCTTCTGCTTTCGACAAGATCACTTCGATAGAACGCTTGCATTGGTCCTGAAATACACAGGTAAGTCAGGATATATGTCAAGATACTAAGATACCTACAATGCTGTCATGAAACCAACTATCAGATAGGAGTTTCATAGTGTCTCTGCACTCCACCAATTCTTCCTTAACGGTAAGGAGACCTCGTTCATACGTTGCTATTCTAGCGATCTCCTCGCTCAGGTAGAAACAATCATTAGAAAACAACATTGACTGTTCCGATTGAGCCAGCCGAGGGGAAAATGTGACAGTATATAAGGCCCGGAACAGATTCAACACTTGAATGGCGGACTGGAGAATAAGGGTACCAGGCAACGAAGTAGACGTTGGAGAGTAAGAGAATATCCCTGAGGAAATGAGCTCTTTGCCCTCTTGCAGAGCATTTTCGACAATCCGGATGATGCTTCTAGTACGACTTGAGACAAGATACACCTCTTTGATGGCTGATCGCGATCCCGATCGAGTGTGTCGAGAATCTACCGCTTGTCGCACTTCTAAGCCCGATGCCGCCGAACTGCTATGGCTGTTCATTGCTGCAAAATTATCAGGGCGTGTAACAGTTTCTGTGGGTACCGACGTTATTGAAGGAGCGGCGGGTGGACGTGCGGGTACAGATATTTCACTGGGTGCATCAGACCAAGGATCATCCCAGACAGTCTCTTCTGCATTCTCGTCGTCAACCAAAGGTTCCTCGTCATCATTCCAACCCCAGGCATCTCCAGGATCTACGTCATCAGTGGATTGCACCTTGGTCGACTGTGGTGGGGGCACATTAGATCCATCAGTAGACTCGGGCTCAACTCCTATCACGTCGTCTTCAAAACTCCATCCACTTTCGTCTTGTATTGATGAAGCGTTGCCTGTAGATTTTTTATCATCGTCGAGGTTCCACGCGTCGCCACCCTCGGTATCACTAGTAGCGGGTATCTGGGAGATTTCATCGTTTACTTCTTGAGCAGATATCGTTTCAGCATGAAACGTCGACGATGTTTCATCGATTTCAACAATGATAGTACGGGCAGCCTCCAAAATACTGAGTCGTCGCTGCCTCTCATAATGTCCGCTAACGCCATCTACCCAAGACTTGATGTCTCTATTGTTGCTGGCACCACCTAGCACACCGACGATGTGATCTTCTTCGAACCTCACGGCTTTCTTGGTAAGATTCAAAAATGGAGGAAGAAGATGCAAAGAGGATGGCAAAGATGGTTCCAGTAAATGGGTTAATATGGCACTCCCCATGGGTTTGCATAGGGACTTCGGGAAGCTTTCCTTCTGAGAGATTGGTAAAGAAGGTAGCAAGTATTGCTTCAAAAAGTCAAGGACAGCTGCAAGGTTATCCAGACGCGTCAATAGGTTTTCAGTATTTGGTGGAGAAGGAACATGGGAAAGCTTGTGGAAGGATGTCCCCGTAAACTCAATTTCCGTCTTTACTGTCACTGATGTAGGCTGACTGAGTGTGTAATCAATGTAATGTGCAAGTACGTCGCGTCGCAATGTTGTGAGATGAGATATGGCGGAGTTCGCTGACAATGATGCAAAGACATCAGAGAGGCTATAAGATATGTTCGATTGAGGCGCTATATGTGAAAAATCTGATGAGAAAATTTCGAATTGCGTTACTTAAAAAGTGATCCCACCATGTATCGAAGGGCGGATGACAAACTCGGAAGGGGATATGGCCACACTTTTGGAAAACGTTCCACTCAAAAGTTCTTGTGTGCGATTGCTCAACACATCAAGGCTGGTCTTCCAAGGCAGGACTTGAGGAATACACGTTATACACTAAGAAGCGAGGACAAACCTTTATCACTTGGAATATTTTGGCCTTGTCTAAGGGTGATGGTGCGGTGTCCAAAAGGTGTTGTAAGGCTTCGCAGGATTTAGCAGCACGAGGTAGATTCCCTTCATCAACCAAAGACTGTAGTGACAGTAATTCCGTTCTGCAGTCAGAGAGGTGCAACAGCGAGCGGTAAAGGGTATCTGCATTCAGGGACTCTTGTGCCAAGGTTTGGTGTGCGGTCAAATTCCGAATAAGGACAGGAATTATCCCAGACTGAATGAATAAGAAATTGAGACGTTTTGCTTAATGGCATGCTAAAGGATATACCTCGGGGTCCGAAACTGACTTGTCCAAGCTGTCAATATTCTCAGACAGTGACTGCAACCCCACCTGTATTTCTTTCGCAGAGGTTAGCTGCTGCTCAAATTCAACAGCGTCTCCGTGAATGCGGTCGTGAAGTTGTTTCTAGATACACGCATTATCAGGCTTCCACGTCCACTGAGAGTACGGAGCGGAGTAGAGGTTACCTCGTTCAAGCGTATGGCTTCATCCAATTCGACACGCCAAGATACAACGATGGACGCATTTAAGGATTCGTAAGTAGCTCCATCCAGCTTAGCCAATATTTTAGAGATTACATCCTCTTGTCGAGGCAAGTTTGTTGGGATAGGAAGAGCCATGTCATTCACACCTGCTTTCAACGTGGACTCAGACGACCAAGGTAGTCAAACCCTAACCTGGATTTAGCACTAAAGTCAATAATGCGTGCACGTGACTAATAGGGCAGTTGCAACATCCATAGTCATAGATTAATCTAATTGACGACCCTCGAAACAAGAGTGGGATGATACTTGTCTCCTTCAACAGACCTTCCGTGGTATAATAACTACAACAATATGGGAAATTTCAAGCTTGTCGGTCCCAGACTTTCATTCAAACATACTGAACGAAAATCAGATCGGGAAACTCATAGTGAATCACCTTGCCGACAATTCCACTGCATTTTTGAATGCACCCAACATGGCAGAGAGCTGTATCTTCTCACTGGCACCGGCAGATAATCTGTGTCTATAGTGAAGCAGGTTAAGCGGACGGAATTTTGCCTAATGAGCGTAGAAGCGTACTCCGTAGTAGCAAGATAATCGAGTAGGTAAATCCGGGCTTGAGGCTTGAATTCAATGGTCTCAATGTATTCATACGCGCCAGAGATCAGATCTTGCAATGCAAGTCCACGTTCCGTTTTCATCGTGGAAATCACTGCATATACTACATCAGTGCGGTTCAACTCATTCACTAAATGTTCACGCACTTTGATATGACGTTGTAAACTCATCGGAGAGCATAGAGTTAACTATGTTCTCGATATCAGATGGATGTGGGTTCCCAGTACAGTTGTATATTTCTGTTTCCCCCACGGAATCGTAAGCGGCATGACAAGCTTGCAAAACGTTGAGAGCCCTGCGCATGTCCCCTTTAGAGAGCTTGAGCAACGCTTTCTTGCCATCTTCAGTCAATTTTACGCTGACGAAGGACTTAGAAACATCCTCGGGAACAGGAAGAAACGGGGCTTACTGTTCAGCCTCTATTACCGTTCCTATACGTTTTTCCACCTCTACTATTGGTAAAGGGGAAAAACGGAAGCGAGTACATCGACTTTGTATTGCGGGTGCAATCTTGTTCACATAATTGCAGATAATGCAAAACCGAACATTTTTAGTATATTGTTCTATCACGCGGCGCAAAGCAGCTTGTGCTTGTTGTGTCATCATGTCGGCTTCATCTAAGATAATAAGTTTGAAGCCTCTTGCAAACAAGGTACGTGTTTCTGCGAATTGCTTAATCTGTTCGCGAACCACGTCTATACCTCGATCATCAGAAGCATTGAGCTATGGAAAACATAATAATTACAACTTAAATCTAAAATGGTATAATATGTAAGTACGCACCTCGAGAATTTGTTTGCGATACTCTGGTCCATAAATTCGGCGTGCGACGGCGAGGATGGTAGATGTTTTTCCAGTACCTGGCGGTCCATAAAACAAGAGGTGTGGTAGTCGATTCTTATCTATGAACTTCTCAACTATGAGAGACATGATTTAGATAAACTCCAGCCAAAACAGAATTGCATGGTACTTGTGGTAGTTATATCCTTGTGGGAGACCACATCGTCTAAAGTCACTGGACGATACTTCTCAACCCTAGGAAACAAATCATTTAAGTGCTCTGAGCAGGTACAATGATGCATAAAAACTCACCATGGAAGCATTTCATCATCTAAGGGTTGACCGACAGCTCTTCCCTTCCCCTTCTCGATAGGTGAGAAAGCAGCAATATCCACGTCCATTGACCGGGTTTCGTCTTCGCTATCCATAGTTGTTGTATTTATATTTCGATCTTTCGGAACAAGAATATGGCCAAATTCTAACCAAGCAGTGCGTAAAAGATCTGAAGCCCTCACTGAACCATTAACTTTGTACAGACGCGTCGCGACGCGCACAAGATGTGTAATCGTCCTTTGTAATAATATCTCACGCACGGACCATCAACAGAAAGTACGCTTACACAATCCATGCTTGATCTCTCTCTTCAAAACGAACACCGGCTCTTGCTTTTGTCAACGACTCCACCGTTAAAATCGTTGGACAGACGAAAGCGTCCGTCTCAAGATGCAGATTTTCGTAAAGACGTAGGCAGGCTCTCACTTGCGGCTTAAATGAGTTACTAATGTTCTTGTCGCAATCAGCCTCACGGGTAAAACTATCACCTTAGAGGTAGAATCCTCCGACACCATCGACAATGTCAAGGCCAAGATTCAGGACAAGGAAGGGTAATCATATCTAGCATTTTACTCATGAGCCTTTTTGACATTGGTTGTTAGTATCCCCCCTGACCAGCAGCGCTTGATCTTCGCCGGCAAGCAGCTCGAAGATGGACGCACTCTAAGCGACTACAACATCCAAAAGGAGTCTACTCTTCACTTGGTCCTCCGCCTTCGTGGTGGTGCTAAGAAGCGTAAGAAGAAGACCTACAACGTTAGTTTTTTTTGTTCTATTATTGCAAGCGCAGTGTTCTGATTAGTTTGTTTGGAAATTCTCAGACTCCCAAAAAAATCAAGCATAAACGCAAGAAGGTCAAGATGGCTATCTTGAAATACTACAAGGTAGACTCGGACGGAAAGATTAAACGTCTTCGTCGTGAGTGCCCTTCCGCAGAGTGTGGTGCGGGTATCTTCGTAAGTAGCTTGCTGCGTGTCACCAGTCCCTGTTTTGAATGTAGTGTTTATAGATGGCTTTCCACAACGATCGTCAATACTGTGGCAAGTGTGGCTTGACTTACACTTTCCAGCCAGGAAGCAAGCCCCCTGTAGTTTAAAATGTTCTTGTGCTCGAGGTTCATTGCATGTGTCCTGTGTAGCCATCAATATATATTCATGAAACATGTCCGTTAACGTTTTACGAAAAGAAAGAAATCGAATGCAATTTATATATTTGTTATAATCGTAAATACGATAAGAGAATGCTTGATGATAGGTGGATAGGTGTAATATAAGTAAGTTATGTCTAGATCATGGTAGATGTAATTGGATGTCTAATTCTTTGGTCTAATTCTAAAAATCTACGCCTAACTTGAAATCTATTAGTCTAGTGGTCTATCCAGCATCCATAAATATTTGAAAATGTGAGTCGAAGATGTCCAGCTCTCGAAAGAAGCCTCGTCACTTGACCATGCGTGGATGTCATGGATCCATGTGCTCATGCTACTGCGCATGAAGATTTGCTTGCACTTGTTGCCACTGCTCCGCATCACCACTTTCTTGACCAGGATATACCATAGTCAAGGAAGGGAAAAGATTATTGAGATACCCTGAAAGTTGGATAACATCAGGAGGAGAATGGGAACCAATGGTTAAACGGCGCAGCGGATGCGGGTTGAGGAGCCGGGAAGGTGTAACGTCCAGAGATACCTCAGAAGAAGCATCTAGGCTCAAGGTAAGTCGCTCTAACTTTCTGCAACGTGCAGCGAACGTCGCTAAACACGATAAGGTCAATCGTGGGTGCCACGTTACTCCAGTAGAGTAAAGAACGGTCGAATCACCGAGTTGAAGTCGTCTAAGATTGGGCCACCACCTAGACATTTCTTCAACATCAGAATCTGTTAGATCGGGTGGAACCAAGGTATCTAGGGTGAAACAATGAAGATCCAATTGGGCTAAAGGACGTAGATCTTGAATCGTATAGTGGTTACTGGATTTGAAGGAGGATGTGTGGGTATCGTCATCATCATCTATATCTATATCATGTTCTATCGTGAGTTGCTCTAGGCTTTGCAGCGCATTGGCGGATAATCGGCTAAAAACGGCACTCCATGACGAGGGAAGTCCGGCTGCTTGTCCCACTTCGATATGGAAGGCGCGCAACGTGTTGGGCGGCAGATTTTGTATTAAGAGTTCAACGACAGGTGCATGTCCACGTATGGAGAGCTTCTCAAGGGAAGGGAAGAAATCATTCCCCCTACCGCGCCAGATAGAGATCGATTCAGCCAATTTCTCATTAGTGAAGTGACCAGCATGTAGGTTCAGTTCCGCGAGGATGGGGAGAGATGATATCGCCATGAGCGCTTCCACAGTCATCGAGCTGGATGTATGAAGCGAAAGGATGCGCAATGTAGTCAAGAACGAAATGGAGGGGATGAGGCACGGTGCAGCAAAGCCTCGCACAGAAAGCCTTTCAAGACTCGAATTTTTCGAAATCTCGTGGATTAGCTTGCATGCGAGCGTGCCTACATCACCTGAGTCTTGTCTGGATGCCTTGGACTTGAATCCTAGATCAAGTTGTAAGTTACGCAGGTGACGAGACACACTTAGGCGCGTCTGAATTTCGCCCCACCCGGACATCGAAATGCGAGCAGACGTCAGATTTGGGAGAAGATGAATGTCATCTTCAGTTTGAAGAATCAGCCTTGACGAAGGGCTGGTGGTGTTGATCCTCTGCCGGTGCGTGATCGATTTGACCCGCTTGGCATATGAATGGAAGATGACCATATCTGAAGATTCAGACGCAACCTCCGCGGAAGGCGCCTAATCATTCGCACTGAGAAGGGGGACATACACCAGACCATTAAAGACCTACGATTTCATGACTGACATGTATCACTGTCGCTAGAGACAACAGAGGCGCTACAGATGGCAAAACCTTCCACAGTCGATCCAGAGCAGGATCTTTCCATGTCTTACAACATCTTGCAAGGTAAGTCAATGTCACTTTCCCACCTTTACCATCCTCAGAGCATATGTCGAAGATTTCCTGTAGTATCTCGTCAATGAAGAGTGCCCGATGCATGGTACAGAATCTAGGACCAGACTATACTGCCTCTGTTTGATTAGAAAATATACAAGGCTAAAGATTCTGAAAACGATTACCTGCGCAGAGCAACTTGACCGAGTTCAATCTCTAATAAAAATTGGAGCTATCTGGTGGTAACGGGCAAGCACTTATTTATGTGCCACTGATTAAAGAGGTACTTAAAATTTCTGAAACTCGACTTTTGATTGGCTGTAGGTGTTATTACGTGATGTAACAACCTTACGGCAAGGTGAGTACCGCAGAAGTCGGAATTAAAAGTGATGCTACCCAGCATTTACAAGGTGCAGCATGATCAGAGAACAAAAAGCACTCAAAGTCACATAGTCCAGGTATAAGACCATTGATATTAGGCAGAAGTGAAACTACTATGCTCATGCCCCGCAGATGACCATAATCTACCTACCAAGCCAACGTGTCTTGATTATAAATATTAATCAGTAGACCACTCGCGATGCCAAGGCAGGGCATACAGAGATTTCGAATCAAGTAGAGTTCGCTGCATAATATCATGCACTAGATTAGTTTTTCCGGCACTATACCATGATGCCCCAGTGATGGTCGGTTAGTGCCATAGACAAAATCCAACGCGAAGGCGTTTAAGAAAGACCGCAGAAAATGCTCCATCCCACGATTTGATAAAACGTCATTAACACGCTGTCAACGATTAAATTGACCTACAAACAATGTAACGGTCAGTTACAGGCTAACCGATGACGTGGCCTGCATGTGCATAATCGTGTCAATGGCTATGACATACGAAGTGCAGGATTCTAGGAGCAGGAGCCAATGTTGTAGATAGCTATGTGTCTTCTGTAGCATCGCCTGTGACGACCGTTTGAACCCGTTCATAAACCTCTCTTTTGCGGAGGGAGGCTTGAAATTCTTCTTCCCTTTTCTTCATTTTCTCTTTTCTGCGTTCGTCATCGCGTAGCACACCTTTGTACATATTCTGTCGCATATGTCCAGGTCATGATAAACCATGACTGTGACAACAGCTCACCTCACGCTCCTGATTCTGCTGGAAGTGAACACCCCATATGATGAGAGAGGATATGAAAAAGGAAGCACATAAAGTTGCCTTCGCTGTGCGGGACATTCTTCGGAGACTAGGTTTAGGGAGCTACACCTACACTGTTTGTGTGTTACGGATGGATGGTGGAATACAACACTGGCAAGCCTAATAATCTACTAACAGCCGCACAGACCCAAAACATTAGCAAACAAGGCTCTTGCTACTGTTTGCCACCATCCCGCATCGTCGCCATTGTCATAAACATTGACTAGTTTTTTTCATCCAGCCTTTGGGAATTCATGTTAAATTCAAATGACTTCACTGAATGTATGGGGTCTTCTTGACAATTCTTGTTCTGCACTGACCAAAGCCCGTTTCTCAGGAATTCGAATCTACCTTAAAGGAGGTTGTTCAGGCAAAACGATTGTCAGCCTCCAAAATGACGAAATTGACAGAGATTGCGGTGAAATCTATTGAAGTGCGTCAATGCCAGTTTCTCATCGCGTCTATATTCACTGACAGTTGTATTGTTTTTGTTCACCGATTTTAGCAAGATACAAAGCTTGTGGCTATTCTTTATCGCACTCATAAGTCTTTGCCAACGACAGCCAAGGTTTCCAGTCTCTATGCTTTTGATGCATTGGCTCGCGCTGCCAGGAATCAAGTCACAAAGCATGGTATCGTCGGTGACATTAACTCAGAAAAGGGCAACGCTGCAACATTTTTACTGAAGATTGAAGGCGTTCTGGATGGCCTGTTCAATGATCTAATATCCACTCGGAACCAAGAAATTAAGGTTAGTTACTTGTTACTGACATCTGTCACATTATAGCTATTATTTTGTCGTTCATATGCATCTAATCTTCGCGGGTGTCTTTCCAAGCGGTTGTCGCAAATTTATGCATAGTATCTATCTCAGGGCTTCCCTTATTCTATCAGCCTGCAATGTCACCAAATTTGGGGCATCGCTATAATGCGTTGTGCTATAGGGTCGTCTTTCGTGTTTATGGGTATGAATGTCCCCTGACATTCACCAGATATCAGCCACCAGCGCGTCCAGTCACATGATTATAGCAGGGGCTTTATTTTCTGATACTATTTGGAGAACGAGCCCTAACAAACTTTTTTCTTTATCACATCTCTGATCTCTAACAGGAAAAGGCCAAAAAGGTTCTTGACATATGGATCAAATCGAATACATTTCCTTCCGCGGTTCTAACACGTCTAAGGGAATTGCTGAAGGACACAGAAAAAGGTGCTTATCATTCAAATATATGTTCGCTAAGTATTCCCTCTGCTTGTACAAATCTAGCTATTTTTGCTGGCGTCTCAGCCCTGAGAATGAAAAATATGAACTGAATCACAATCTGGTTTGCTTTTTATGTCAGAGGCCGATTTGAAACCAGTGAATACCGATCCACGACTTGGAGTCGCTAGTCAAGGGCCTCCAACTGCGACAATTACGACCCCTCCTACGCAACCATCTGCTACACAAGGGACAACTCCCCCCATCGCGGATCCTCTGCAATCGACGCTTTTAGCCTTGCTAAATCAAGCTGCTCAAGGTCCACAACAAGCAACCAATGGGTGAGTTTATGAATGCTATGTTCCTCGAATTTGGATGCTGATGCTACTGCATTTCCTCGAGCCAAACACTACCAAACACAGCGCCATTCCCTGCAACGCCGCCACAGCTTGACCCATCCCAATTGGCACTGCTACAACAATTAGCTCAGACAGCCAAGCTAGGAAACACAGCTCTTACGCAACCAACGTTTCCACAGCAGATACCACCGGTGCCTATACCTGGTAACCAGCATCAACCCTTTTCTGTCACAGGCATACCAGGGGGCTCTTCGCAACCTCACCTTCGGCCTCCTGGTACTTATCAGGAGGAGCGTTATGATTCTAACCATAGGGAGCCCAGGTACAGCAGATTTGGACCATCAGATCGTGGCCGTCATCTGAGAGACAGAGATGGGCCCTACGAGGAGCGCGGCAACTCTCGTGGTTTCCGTGGTGGTCATCGTGGTCGAGGTCGAGGCAGATGGGATGATCGTGATCGCGATCGCTACGGTGGGAGGGAAAAAGAATGGAATTCCGATTCCCCTACTCGACTTAGACGAAGTCGCTCGAGGAGTCCTCCTCCCAGGTATGGAGTTAGGCGAGACCCACGGCCATACAGCCCACCTCACAGACCGTCGATTGCATCAACAAAAGATTCATCGCGTATTGTAGAGTCTAGCTCCTCAGGAGATCTTGAAGGCGAAAAAGACGAGTTTGGGCGTGATATCAGACCATCATCGCCCATGACCACCGATTCTGTATCTGCCAGCGACAGTCGAACACAGCCACAGGCAGCTCCCTCTGTAGAACCTGAACCTGCTCCTGCGCTCTCCGATTATCATATACCTGTAACAAAGCAGTTGCCCATGGTAGCTGCCAATACATCTGCTCAGAACTCTGAATCTCTTACCTCGAGTTCAGTTACGTCGCAGCAAGGACTAGACAAGTTTGATATCGCAACATTTGATTTCACTGCGTCCTCATCGTGGGAAGCGCTAGGAAAAATGTGGCAGGTTACTTACGGCTACCCGCCTTCACAAGAACAACTGATGCAGTTCGTCCTGTCGGGTGGCACAGTGACTGGTGAGCCACCAACTAGTGAGTTAGGAGGGGAGCAGAGTGGGGAACGGTCAGAACCAGATTGGCTTGAATCCAAGGAAGAAAGGGGCTACAGCGACACATGGGGAAGTGGTACAGGGCAAGGTAACGGACATGCGCGAGGGCGCGGTGGTAGTTTCGAACACGGCAACTACCGAGATAGTCATGAGCAGTGGGGATACATGAATTCAGCGTACGGACAGCACACTGATGCTGTGATCCTTGGTGAAGGTGGTGGCCAAGAAAGTAGTGACGGCGCGATGGAAGGACAGGTATATGCTGATGCGGCCGGACAACAAACTGATGCACAAGAACAGCTTTCAAACGCTACACGACCACAAACCGGAGGAACAGGGGGGCGAATGCAGCGAGTGGGTGACAAATGGATGTTTGTCCGGGAGGCTGCGTCTGGAGTAGTATAATCGTCAGTTTAGTTTCGTCTGGTTACTGCATTTATTTCATTCGCATTGCATCCTAGTCATATGATCAAAAATATCAATCATTTCTTGCTGCTGGTCTTATATGCAGTTATAATTATGCGTTGCCAATATGGTCTTACGAAATGTATTAACTTTAGGAAAAATCCGTCAGAAACCGGCAGAGTGGTTGGCATTAGGACTTACTTCTCAGTGGTTTACCTTGTTTGCACGATGAAGCTTATGCTCTTGTAACATCAGCTACATAAGGGACAATCAGCTATAAGCTACATAGTGGAGGCAAAAGCGGAGTAAAAATCAAGAGAAGGGGCAGGTAATAATTGACTGCATCGCTTGTTGGAGGATATGGAAACAACAATAGGTAGTCGGCCACGACAATCTTCAAGTTAGTTCAGGGGCTTGCACTGACTTCAATACTCGAGCAAACATGATGAGTTAGCCGGACTGTAGCACTGAGTAAGAACTACTTTGTCAACGGTCTCATCCAAAGAAGTAAATTAAGTATATCGTTGACTATGCTACCTGTCCAAGAGTAGTTAGCTTGAAATATAAGGAGCTTGAAATATAAGGAGTCGGAGAGTGCACTGACACAATAGAGATTTAGGATATTCTAGAGAAACTTGAACGGTGCGCACTTGCAGCGTCGTGTTCGCCATTTCGAATTCTTGATAACTTACCAGTAACTTGATAGGGCAGTGAAGTAGACCGTGACCGATGCGACTAAAAACAGTGATTATTCATGAATCAGCGAGATGACGATCTGTTTGCGAGACCAAACGAGAACACTCATACTTGCTGACGATAATCAGTTTGTCTTTACACTTTTATAAAGCAGAAAGGCGTGATTATGTCGTTTTCCGCTGACGTTGGCGATGCTGAAAGGAAAGATCAAGGATGGTCAGGAAGAGACTCGGAAGGTCGGCTACCATTTATTCATTGATTAGTAAGGTCACATAATGCCGTTACTATCACACGTGACAGACGCGTCCGTGACTCATAGGATCGCGTTATCGTGACGAGTGACTAGAAGTACTCAACGAGTCCTTTGCTGTGTCCACACACACTTCTCACTCATTCCTCATCATGGCCAAAGGCAAAACGCAAGAAAAAGGCCAGAAGCCCATCACTAAATTCTTTTCTGGAGGAAAAGCCGTCGACAATGACGATTCCTCATCGGATATTGACATGCCTGCAGCTCAGTCATCGAGAACAGACGGAAAAATCGAAGCCTCTGACTTACCCCCAATTCACGACATACCAGCAATGTTCTCCGATCTCGTGAGCCATATTCCTCAAATAAAAGGAGTGGTGGAGCGCGTCAAGGGACGTAAATTACGCGTCGCGACCATGTGTTCTGGAACAGAGTCACCTTTGCTGGCTCTCGACCTCATCTGTCGCTCATTATCAGAACAGCACGACATCTCGCTCGATATCGAGCACGTATTCTCGTGCGAAATTGAGCCCTTTAAACAAGCATATATCGAGCGGAACTTTCAACCACCTTTATTGTTTCGCGACGTTTGTGAGCTGGGAGAAGATGAGGCGTATGCGTGTACTTGCTCTCCACTAATTATGAGCTAATACCTTTCATCACCTTCTTTAGAACGACGGCATATGGCGCGCTGGCCCCTGTGCCCGGTGACGTCGACCTTCTAGTAGCAGGTACTTCTTGCGTCGATTACTCCAATCTCAACAACGAAAAGCAAGATATTGACGGCAATGGAGAATCTGGACGTACTTTCCGTGGAATGATGTCTTGGGTAACAACGCATAGGCCACCATTGGTGATTCTAGAAAACGTTTGCTCAGCTCCTTGGGATCGCGTAGTCGAATACTTCAATAAAAACGGCTATAGTGCGACGCACACAAGGGTCGATACTAAACAGTACTATATTCCCCACACTCGTACCCGTGTGTATCTCTTAGCTGTCAATGAGAGGAGGTCCGATATGCCGAAAGCATGGAAAGAGTGGGTCACATCGAAATTAAAGCGGCAAGCATCATCTACGTTAGACGCATTTCTTCTCCCATCCGATGACCCGCGTATCCATCAAGCGAGGCAGAAGCTGGTTCAGGAAAGCTACAATGGTACGGATCGTCGCACTGGCCGTACTGACTGGGGTCGGTGCGAATCTCGCCATCAGAGAGCAAGACTCGAAGAAGCTTTGGGACCAAAGCGTCCTCTGACAAATTGGGATGAAGGTGAATGAGTTGATTTAGTATTCATATGGCGCACGATTTACTCTGTATTTAGGTGGGACGTGCAAAATGCCGGATTTCGCTTGGGGGGATTGGGGAGTCGGCCAGGTCGAGCGGGTTTGGGACTTGATGGACATTACGCTACTTCGTTCGGCGAAGAATGGCGTTGATCCATCCTATAAGACGTTCGTACCTCAAACTGTATCTCCCCCTTTATCTATCTTACTATTCGATTACAGCCTGATTTGGAATTTATCTCAAAACGTCGATCGCACTATTGGTTCGAGTAGACTGGGCATATGTCCGTGTCTCACGCCATCAATGATACCATATATTACCAACCGTGGTGGTCCATTGGTCGGACTAGAGGCTCTATCAATGCAGGGGCTCCCCATCGATAAACTCCTTCTGACCCGAGAAACTGAGGATCAGCTAGCGGACCTTGCTGGCAATGCCATGTCGACCACGGTGGTTGGAGCTTGCATTCTTGCAGCATTAGTTGTCGGCAAGAAGCTTCTTAAAGCTGGGAATGATGAACAAACTTATGAAATGAAGGAGGAGAACCATTCCCATTCTGGTAACCTAGATGCCAATGCTATGGATGTTGACTCGTCTCTACAGAAGGCCGTGTCGATCAATAACATTCAAGGCGATGGTCAGCTGGTGCGCAAATCTTTGGACTTGTCCGCCACTAAGGACAGCTCATTGCCACGTCTTCTGAGTGACGCTCAGAAAAGTGTGCGTTTGTGCGAGTGCGAGGGGCGAAAGGATATAACCACTCGTGAGTTGATGCGCTGTAAAGACTGCGGGTCTTCATCGTGTAGGAAATGTGGGGGTCGTCCAGAGCATAACTACGAGATAATCGATGTCGCGACAAACGTCCGGCTTGCGCCGTCGATCTTCTCGAAAGAACTGAAATCAACTCTGCCTATGGCATTATCACTCGCCAACATCACTGAAGACCTCTTGGATGAGCTAAAGACCAGCTCAAATATCTCCATCCCAGAGACACGTTGGGTTAGCTGGCGTTCGGCGGTGATCCGAGCGAAAGAGACAGAACTTCGATTTGTAGAGCCTAAACGCCAAGAGATATGGTCTGCAATTTATCAGTCCCCGACTGCTTTGATGGAACTATCGCTTCATCCTCAACAGACAGAATGGCGTCTGTATGCGAAGCCGGAGGATAGTGAACCTGCCAATGCAGAGATCCGCCAGCTTTTGCAGATGCCAGTTGCTCGTTTTAGCTGTGATGGCGATTTGCTCCATGGTCGCTGGCAGTTCGCTTTACCCTGTGCTACCACTGTTTCTATCACCCTGGAAGGAGTGGGTGAGCTAGTACCCTCTTGGGAAGCTCGCTTGGGCCTATTGGGAGAAGAGTATAAAGATCGAGCTGTCTATCCACGTATCCGTGTCACTGTTCCGGATGACAATATCTCTAAACTCGACAGAAATATTTCGGGGGAATTTGTTTTGCTCGATAAATGTGGCACAGCAAATAGTGCGCTTCACAAGAAAGATATGACGCCCGAGGAGCAGACGTTACCGCCAATTTTCATGTTCTTAGATCCCACTCGTTGTGGAGACCCGAATGAAGATGCCTTTATTTTCTCCACAAGCAAGCGCCGATACGAGTATGGCGAGTCGCGTCCCGTCATCTGCACTCTTGACCCGAAATGGAGGCAATCCGACGTCGAAGGCAAGCAGAACGTTAAATGTCACATTCCATTGATGTGGGTGGATGCACTTGCAGTAAAGTTGGAGGTAGGGGTTCCCTCTTTCTTTCTATTCAATAATATATCTGATTTGCATGTACTGAGCAGCCTTCTACCCCCGACAATGCCTCATTTTCAGTACCAGGTGACAAAATTGATGTTCCAGTACATAATGATGCATGTCAAAGTGCTAATGCGCTTCTTGCGTGCAACGTACCTCTCGGCTCTGACGCTGGACCAGAATGGCCTCGCGGAGAATGGAGAGAAGTCGACAAGGTTCACGAACGTGGCACGTTTAAGGCATTGGCCTGGCTTATGGAACGCATTCGCCACGTTGATGGCCATTTCAGTGATTGGCAGGCTGTTGAAATGCCACAGCAGCTTGGTCATTGTGAACGCTGCGCTCCCAATACTCCCACTATCAAATGGAAGAAGACAGGTAAAAAGGTTTCTGCCATCGAAGACTCCATAGAAGCTGGTCAGTATGAGCGTAACCTTAAATTACGTCCAAGCCCCTTCGTCACTCAACTGAAGTTGGAAGATAAAGTGGGGATCGTCAAAATTGGTATCAATATCCCTTCATTATTACATCGAGCGCTATCTCGGCTTCCCTCCACCCATCGACCCGAAAAGCCTGTTCTTTCATGGCGTCTAGACACGGACTTCATGCCAAGCGCTAAAATCGATCTACCTGTGTTGTCATTAATGAGCAACAAAGACGACCCCGAGCATGCCCAACCTCCCAACTTCAAGCTTCCTCTCCGACCCGAGCAATTACGTTCTTTGACGTGGATGCTCCAGCAGGAAGCCGCTGATACAGTCCCTTTTGTCGAGGAGGAAATATCCGAAGCTATATCGGAACCTCTTGGATGGCGAGCAGAAGGTCGTGCACAGAGACCTGTGAGAGTTCGAGGTGGTGTTCTTGCAGATCAAGTTGGTTATGGGAAAACTGCTATTACCCTTGGCCTGATTGACTGTGCTTCGAAAGACGTCAAAGAAGAGTTGGAAGAAATGGGTGATATGGCAGGCAAGGTTCCGACAAAGGCCACATTGGCAGTCGTGCCTCCTCACTTAACGCGGCAATGGGCATCTGAAGCAAAGAAGTTTGCTGGAAAACGGTTCAAGAACATCGTCGTGATCTCGACCGCCACACAAATGAACTCGCTTACCGTTGAACAGGTCCAAGAAGCTGATATTGTTATCGTTGCTTCAAACCTCTTCCAGAGCTCCGTCTACTTGGCTAATCTAGAATCTTTTGCTGCGGGTGGAAGTCTTCCGGGTCAAGATGGACGTTACTTCAATGCTCGCCTTGAAAGGACATTGGCGTCTTTGCGACGTCAGGTAGACTTACTCAAAGAAGAAGGATCTACCCAGGTTATAAAGGCAATCCGCGAAGCACGAAGGCGCGGTAAGTTCTCTGGTCTCGGATATTTTCTAGGTATTGATCTCTAATTGCAGAAGACGAATTGGAGGCTGAAATATTTGTCGCTCCTAAAAGGCTCAAAGGAAAGTCCTACCGTGAAGCGGTTCCCGAATCTAAGAAGGAGAATTCAAAACTGGATATCAAAGAACACTTCCCAGCGAAACCTAATCGGTCTGGTCTTACACCTGAAGTCCTTCTGCCTGCACCGAAGAAACGTAAAGTGACTGTGGCTGAAGCAGAAGCTTCTTCCGCAACGGAGGGTACGGTGGATGAAGACTCAGACGCACCAAGGACACGAAAACGGCGCGTCACCTCGAAGAAAGTGACTATCGTTTTATCAGACTCCGAAGAAGAAAAAGGTCAGAGCAGCGACTATGAGGACGAGGAAGATTCTTCGGACAAACCTATAAAACCCACATCTCGGAAAGGTCGCCCCAAGGCTGCCAAGGCCGTTCCGCCACCTTCATCTTCCTCTGACTACGAAGAGAGTTCCTCTGAGTCGTCTAGTGGCGAAGAAGTAGAATCCTCTCACGAGGAAGAGCATGTTCAAACCTCGAAGTCCAAGGCAAAACCGAAGCCCAAGGCCAAGTCCACTGGGACCAAGAAGCGAGTATCAAATAAATCTTCCGAGGAGACAGATGACACCATGGACGTTGATAACTCACCATCATCGCCGTCGACGTCCAGTAAAGCCTCTAAAAAAAGAAAGGCGGCTGATAATGACAAAGGATCCGCCAAGAAGCAAAAGCGACGCGAGGACACAGACCCGTGGGGCCTCGAGTCAGCTGCCGTCAAGAAGGATTGGACTCAGATGCGGGCTCCTCCTTTGGAAACGTTTTATTTTTCCCGAGTAGTTGTAGACGAATACACGTACCTAGAAGGAAAAGTTCACTCGCTCGTCACCAAACTCACAGCCGAACGCCGTTGGGTTTTATCCGGCACACCGCCTATCCATGACTTTGGAGCCGTCAAGACGATTGCTGCCCATCTTAACTTGCATCTCGGCATAGATGACGACGGCGAAGGCCAGTCTGTGATGATCAAGAAGCGCCGACGAGAGCAAACAGCTGTTGAAAAGTTCCACTCCTTCCGTGAAGTTCACAGTACGGAATGGCATGCTCATCGCCATCAATTAGGGCAAAACTTTTTGGACCACTTCGTCAGACAAGTGAGTAATGTAATCGCCGTAAACATTTGATCACCTTTTTATGACTATCCCAGAATATTGCTGAGATCGACGAGATCCCTTCGACTTTCAAGATCGTGAAGATTAGCCTCCCTGCTGCTGAACGTGCTATCTATTTGGAACTGGAACATCATCTACGTGCTCTTGACATGACTATCAAACGAGGCAAGAAGACAGAAAGTGATAGAGAAAAGCGCTTGGCTCAATCTCTTGGCGAAAGCAGGTACGTTGCATCCACAGTGTTCGAGGCCTGTCCGTACTGACCATAGTCATATAGCACTGCAGAAGAAGCCCTTTTGAAGCGTTGCTCTCACTTCGATCTCGACACTTCAGACAAGGAGAACGCCATGAAAGCCTGTGAAGTCATTGTCAAGGAACGGACAAAGCAACTCGAAGATTGTAAAACTGAGCTGCGGAAGAAGCTTCGGGAAGCACTTGTCATGCAGAAGAAGATTGGCAAGACCGGAGAAGAATCCATGTTCCAAGAGTACGTCCGCATATCACGCACAGAAGGTGTAGGGGACAAGGATGCTTCAAAAATTGTGACGGAACTTCTGGATGAAGTCGGAGTTCCTGCATCATCGGCTGCTCCTCCTATCAAGAACAAAGGTAAAGGCAAGGATGATGTCCAACTTCCAGCAAAAATCAAGGATCTAGTCTGGGAACATCGTGAACATACGCACGATATCAGGAAGCTCACCAAAGAGTTGGTCGGAAGGAAGCGATCGCTGCGTTACTTCACTGTTGTCCGTGACCTTCAAAAACAACGAGAAACCCCACCCCTCGTTTCTTGTCCAGTGTGCCAGCGGGAGCAGATTCCCATGGATGAGGTAGCCGTGCTGTCGTCGTGTGGTCATACTGGCTGCATGACCTGTGTGAAGTTATGTGCAGACAAGGAGGAGTGTGTGCACGCTGCTTCTGGGGTCTGCAAGGCTGCAGCGCGTGTTTTGAACATCGTCAAAGGTGACACGCTAGGAGTGGACGACCTTGCTCGTGACGGGCAAGGAAAACACTATGGTATGAAATTGGAAAAAGTCATTGACTTGGTTAAGTGAGTGTCAATCTCCGTTTTTTTTGGACTAGTCATCTAATATTATCGGCTATATTAAGGAAACAAATACCCTCGGAGGAGCGCGTCTTGATTTTTGTACAGTTCCCTGATCTCATGAAGAAAGTCGCCGAAGCCCTGACCGCAAACAAGATTAAGTTCTTGGAGATCAAGGGTACGGCGACGCAGAAGAGTAAAAACTTGGAGAAATTCCAGAACGACAGCGAGGAACGAGTCCTTTTGCTCAACGTCATGGACGAAAGCGCCAGCGGGGCCAATCTGACTTCTGCGAACCACGCAATCTTCCTTTCGCCTCTTCTGGCAGCAAGCCAAGAAATTTACGAGGCTTGTGAAACACAAGCAATTGGTCGTCTGAGGAGGTATGGTCAGACGAATCATGTCTATATCTGGAGGTTCTTGACGTTGGATACCATTGATGTCGAAATATATGAGCAGAGGGCAAAAGAAAAGATTTAAATACACTCGTTTGTCTTGAATTTGAAACGTACCTAATATCCATATTATGCATGCACTTTTTATACCTATGTAGCACATATATATCCCTGTAGATCTTGCAAACACTCCAAGCTTTGTTGTTTTCTAGCTACGCTGACTTTCATCATAGTTGATCGTAGTATGTTTGTATCCCTTTGCTTAACTCGAAAGGAATTCACGGGAAATTCACTATTTAAACTTGTGGTGGATCATTGTGAAAGTCCTTTTGCGATGTTACATAGTATAATAAATAGTGATACAATCATCGTCTATATCATACAAGTGTCCATCATTGCCAGTGTACAGGGTAAAAAGAGACGGGGTATCTACCCATACGTTCATCATTTACTTGACATCACGTATCCTGATGTGTCCAATATCTGCTTCCCGCATATTGAGCACAAACCTTTCTTGTATGCACAGCCTAAAATATTGTTAGCGAAAGACATGCAGTTGTGAGGACAGTACAACATACCATGGCAGTATTTGGCCTTATTTTGCGTTACTGGCTGCTTACAGTCCTTGCATTTTCCTTGATATGGCTAGACATGTCTGCGTAAGGGTCGGCATTTGATCGAGGATACGAATAATGCTTACTTGAAAGCGATTTCTTGAGCTACCTGGACGAGACAGGAGCTTGTTTTCGCCAATCCTGCGGGAGCCGTCCTTTACACTGGATGATGTGGCGGTAAATGGATCAGGGGCAGCTACCTTGGACAGTTTCTTTGCAACCTTCTGAGTGAGGACCAACACAATAAGACGGGAAGGTGAGACATACAGTTTCACACTTTTTGCAGACCATGGATGCAAGAGACAGAACAGATATGCGGACTTTGTGGAATGTGGACAGGTATGGGGCTTAGGTAAGCTGATGAATGTTGCATCTTCCGCTCCGAGCTCCTGCAAAGTTTGCACGGTTTCTCTCAAGTCCATCTTCTATTGTGTCCATAGCGATAAATAAACGATAGTTGGTGTGATACACCCGGCTTTTCTGTTTCTAGCGCCCAGTTTGCATTGCGTTTCAAGGTTGAATAACCCCGCCTGGTCGGTTTTTGCCTAAACAGGATATGACCTTATTGTTGTTTGCCGTCTTCTCGAGAGCACAATTCTCAGAACTCACAGATCTTTGACCATCATCTGTTGACATGACGAAGCCCACAAAAGCTCCCCGTCGATGCCTACATCCTGTACTTTACCGACAGTTATCCAACTAGGCAGTTCGCACCCGAGAGCTCGGTGGGCATCATCTTGACTCCAGGGCAACATGACTCTGCTTTGTGTCGATAAAAAAACACATTATATTGTGGAATTATGTACGTGAAAATATGTCGCCGCTGAAACTGAGTCGGCCCCGCTCTTTTGTTGTTCTGTTTCACTGGCGTCAAGCTTGGCGGGGGCAAATGTCTATAAAATGGCTTTCCTGGAGACAGACGCATTGGCGTATCATCGTTCAGCGTGCTGGTCATGACTCTGTTTGATTTATCGAAGGAATTGGTTATCTTAATCTTAGAAGAACTCGATCCATGGACTCTCCTGCAATTTTGCAATGTATGTCTCAAGAGCATCATTCTCTCGGGTTATTCACAAGCACTCACTTCTTTTGCAATTGACAGGCCTCTCAATGGATCCACCTTATAGCATTTAATTGCACTGCACTACGCTACAAATACGAGCTTGCACTTTGCGGTTTGAAGGATGGGCCACGGTCTCTGCAGCTCCCTCGTGCTAGGCTTGAACAGCTTTTGAACCACAAGAGAGGATGGCCAACATTATCATGGTCGTTGGAGGATATACTCCGTATAGCCCCTCCCACAATAATAGGAGTCTCTGGAGGATTTCTTTTCCATGCCAGCGAGAGCAGTCTCAATAACGGACATTTTCAATGGACCCTCCAGCTATACGAATTGCGTTCCTTTCGAAAGGTCGCTGCCCCTCTTCGCCATCTCAAATACAATGTGCCGTTTGACATTCGGCGTGTGGCCATTGATCCATCCCAGAATCTCATGGTGCTAGCCGACCTTTATCATCCCTCAAAGTATGTGGCTGCTCTCTCCCGTCAATATCACGTCCAGCTCATATCTTTTTGTTCCAGTAATTCTGTGATCACTGCCAGACTCCACTTTCTCGATCTATGGACTTTTCAGCAGCACAGGCAAGCCGCTCAATTACGATACACATTCCACACCGATTGGTGGGGAGTGTTACCTCCGGGACAGCGGATCTGGATACAGCAAGTTGAAATTTGCGGAAATAAAGTAGGACTGGGGGTTCGCTTAGAGATAGAAGAGGGTGAAGGGACAACAGAATTGATGATTGTGAACTGGCGCACTGGTAGACCCAGGAGGGTGAGCACTTACTAAAACGGTATATCGTTTGGACTTGTACTGAAGACACCAATCTCTAGTACTCAGGAGATCTACTTTCATTCCAATTCATGAGCGAAATCCGCCTCCTGGTTGCCTCTCACCCTGATGACGATGACGATGACGATGACGACGACGAAGAAAGCGAGAGTGAAGAACCCACCATGACTTGGGAGCACCGGGAAGATGGCATTTACATGACTGAACGAGGACAGCGTACCCCCCAAATTACTCTCCACGATATCAGCGACGACATCGAGCCTCCTTTTCCACGTATCCGGATATACGAACTTCCGGAATCATGGAGCGCTGTATCATGTATGCAGATCTGTCCTAACGCGTCTCCGAGGTCGGAAGCCGAAGTCACACCAGGAACGTTTTTTTATTCCGATCCATCCCAACGCATTGTCGTCGTGTCCGTTCAGCTTGACGCCAAGGCCATCCCTGCGGGATGTTCTCGCAATTTTATGCTTATCTTTGACGAGTCATTGCCATGTCCCCCTGGTCGTGGGGAGGAGATCATCGTACGATGGCCCGAGTGGCGTAACCGTTGCCTCGTTCGAAATCTCCCTGATGGTGCACATTCCTTACAAGTCGTTGGTCGGCGGCTTATGTTCTTCGACAACATAGCTGCACCTACAGCTACAGGGCCTTCAAACACTCGTGATGATCCTCGCAGTCGACTACGCATGCTAGATTTTAACTCGTACGCCCCCAACTATCTCCAGTCTCTTAAATCATCACCAGCACCTTGGACCTGGGGTGGATCGTGGACAACGATTACCGCTGTCGTTCCCCATCGCGTTCTTCCTTATATCAGGACAAGTACTGTTGACGGATATGATCTCACGTGCATTAATGTGACTGAGGATGGTCTCGTTCTTTATGATGTAAGTGTCGCCCCAGACTTCTTTTTCCGCGGTAATTGATACACTTTCATTTGGCAGGAATACGAAGAAGAAACGATTGTGAAAATTCTGACGTTTGGTAAAGATCCTCGACTTAGGGGCAGGAACCTTGCAGCTTGAATCGTCTTCATGAATACAATAAACAATAATATAAAGCAGCCCATAGGACGGGGAAGATACCAATCGTTAAACCTATTCTATAATCTCCAGCCTTGTTAAAGACGATGTATACAGTACCAAAATACCTAACGGAAAGCTGCAGGCAGTTCCTAATCATCGATAAAGACGCTTGATGTACCATAGCATACTACTACACGGTATATATTATGATAGAAGTGGTAGTGCATTTCTTGTTTAACAGTCAAAGTTTCCACTTCAATACTGCCCATATCACCCATCGTCTCCTCTCCTTTTCATCTTCACTTTCTGCTCGGGTCACACTCCAAGACCGTTGGAGATCCCCACTGACCTCCTTTTCTATAGCGCTCTCAATGACGAAGCCTCCTTGTTCTACAGTGTTGAAGAACGCTTGGAGAGTGTATCGACCAGTGTGTAGCCCAGCTACCAGGTGTATTCGGGAATCCGGAGTCTTCCTTAGACATGTTCTTAGAGTTTCTATAAAAGAGCCATGCGATTCGGGATTCCACAGTGTGTCGGCGGCGATGATAACGTCAAATAAATGTGTATCGTCTTCATAGCCAGGTGTTCGATTGTTTGAGATTAGCCTGGAGATGTCGGTCCCCCAAGCATAGGGAACAACACGACACCTATCAGAAACATCATTCCGCTCAACATTCTCAAGAAGTGTTTGTATCAGGCTGTCGTCGGGATAGTCGCTCACAGTGACAAGAGCGTCTTGATATACTCTGGATATAAGTATCGATGGAAGGCCAGCTCCTGCACCTAACTCAAGGACTCGCAAATCCTTTTGATAACGGCGTTGACCTAACTGCAGATCTTCGAGATGGTCGGCTATAAAGAGGGATGATACCCAGATGGACGACGCATGCAAGGACCAATTCTCTGCTCGTGTATCGGGTGTTTTGAGGGTGATGAAATTCGAACTTGGTTTTAGTAAATCGTGCCAGGATGGTTTAATCACGTAGGTGTACAGAGAACCAGGAGTAGAATGTGTGATGGGAGCATATTGATACAGGGTTTCCAAGGACGTAGATAAAATATCTTCTGGGTCTGTTTCATCTTTGATGCTGTAAGATTACTTGTGACCAGAACTCGATATGACAAACGTACTCATCGCTCGCTGAGAAACCTGGTCAATATCCATATATGGTAACTGATGAGATAAAGAACATCGCTTTTCTTTGTTTCCAAGGTTCTTGCCAAACAAACACACTGACACGTGACACTATCTATATCGGGCCTTAGTCCTGCACCTAAGAGATTCAGATATGCAATGCATCCCATATCAGCCTGATAAACCAAAAATTTTTGTATCTAGGCACGAAATACATTGAGCCTACTATCCCACCCACAACTCGCCAGTAGACCTTCATCGTACAAGGACCAGCTACACCCAACAACAAACTCTGTGTGTGGGTCATGGATATGAAGTAAATGGGATTGGCTAACTGTGGGTGATGTAGACCATCTTAAATGCAAATCAAATATTTCTCAGCCTGAAGTTCTCGCACAAGTAGAGAAATTAGCACATACATTCTACAGGTCATATCGTAGCTGGCAGAAGCGATGACATCCGGGCGATGAGGGCTCCATTGTACTTTTCGTATCGCATATTCATGGCCGGCCAGCTGTAGCTCGCAAACTCCGCCCACCGCTTGCTGGCTTGGCTGCATAGTCTGCACCATCCGACAATCCCATACTTTGAGAGCTTTGTCAACGCCTCCACTTGCGAGTAGGTATGGGCGATATTTATTCCAATCAATGGTAAGGACTTCTGTTCCTGAGGCAGGGATGGTCAAGACGGGTGCTGAGAGTGGATTTGTGAAGGCGTTTGAGGATGGATCCGATGTGGCGTAGGAGGGAGAGCGAAGGTCAAAAAGCTTTACCGTTCCATCAGTAGAACAAGTAGCCAGGATATCGGGCTGATGTGGAGAAAAAAGAGCCTGGTAAACACATGATAGGTGAGCATGTAATGTCATCACAGAACGAGGTCGATCAGGCTGCCACTAATGTAATCGTCAGAATAGCGGACAATGTTCACGATGAATATTTTACCAGTTTCACATTCCCGTCCCATGATGAGGAGGCAAATGTGTCCTTTTTGATATTAGACCAATCAACTGAGAAGACTTCACGACTGTGTTCTTGCCATGCACGAATTGGGTAATCCTAAAATGCCTTTATCACTCTGTGTGGGTATGCATAGTAAAGTCTAAGCTTCAAATTTCTTACATTCAACATGATATCCCATAATTTGATCGAGCCATCTCCTGAGCCCGTCACTAGCTGATTTTCATGAACTTCAGACCATGCTACATCGTAGAGCCCGTCTTGAGTGTCGTACCTACGACCTGTGCCTCAGTCGGGGCATAGGCGATCTCTCATCGCGACTCACTGTTTATCTAAGTTGAGAGCGGGGACTCCACCAGGTCCGGGTGCAAGAGAGACGAGATGTAACCTGCCATTGCCTACTAGACCGAAGTTGGCCGCAGATGCAAGTGCAATACGCGAAGTGTGAAATGGCGACCAAGCTACAGAGTAGTGAGCGAATCCAGGCGTTTGTAACATCGCAGGGGGACGAGGAACATTCATAGTTGTGTTCAAGCTAACAATCAGGAGCTTGGTCGTTCGACAAGCCCGGACTACGGTCTTCCGGATTCCGATGGATTCAAGTTGCCGCGCCGTAGGGCCGCTGGTCTTGAATCCAATGTAATTTCTGCATAAGCCATACCCGAGTCAAACCAGTCCTGTACCTCCACGATAGCTTTCTGGCTGTATTACAGAAACATAGGAAACAAACCAATGCGGATTTCAATTCCTACCATCCCTCATATGGTCAGTGCCTCAAATGCACAGATTATATCTCCTGCAGCGGCGGTAGAGCGTATAGCCAATTTTTTGGCACCGGGCAACGTTACGGTCTTAACTGGAGCAGGTGTGAGCGTTGACTCAGGCATCAGAGCATACCGAGGAAAAGATGGGAGGTACATGAACCCAAACTACAAGTACGTTCGATCTGCGGTTTTTTAGCTCTATACACTGATCGCCTGGTTTCGAATAGACCCATATTCGTATGTTCTTACTTGCCGATTCACACAAAAACATTGACAATAAACACAGTACCATGAACTCATAGACGAAACCAACATAGGTTTTAAATTCAGGCATGCATAGTAAATTTATCTGTCACGGCTTGTATCATTTTATTCAGATAATTCTCCTTACTAGGCAACGCTACTGGTCTGTGTTTATAACCAAAGGACCCTAGGACAAATAACTGAACTGCTCTAGGCTTCGCTCTTATATAGGCTATCCACCCGTTCGCGCAAGTAGGCCCAACACTACCCATTTTGCTTTAGCAGCTTTGCAATATACCTCCCACATAACCAAACTGATTACTCAAAATGTCGATGGCTTACACCAAAAGTCAATTGCACATCTCTGGGATGATGATACTATACCGAATAATATATTAGAGCTGCACGGGACCCTTCATGTAGGCAGTCTCTTCTGTGCGTGATACAATCTTAGATAATAATTCTAGCGAGTCCATTGCAAATTCGGTCATATCACTACACGGGATGTTTTCCAGGACCGACTCTCTGCTAATAATCCACGGTGGAGAGAATATATGGACGAACTAGAAAGAACCGGAGACCAACCAAGAACAAACCCGGACGGTGATGTTCGTTCGATGGCTTGTAACTAACATAAACGCAATGTCTAAATTCCAGGCATGCCCGCATGTAGGTCGCATTAGAAGGAGTGTCTTATGACGATTTCGTTGTCCCAAATTGCCCCCAATGTACGTTAGAGGGTCGCCATAATTCAATTGTAAGCTACCTTGCCTCGTCATCATGCTCGGACTCTTCACGCCACATACAGCAGAAGCCTGAAGTGATTTTCTTTGGGGAATCTATACCAAAGGCTGTGAAGGAACGCTCGTGAGCAACTCCTGTCTTCTGGCCTAAGAGATAAATAGTTATCGTTCACCCTACGTAGATACAGCGACGTCGAGCAATGCGACAGGCTATTCTTAGTAGGCACGACGTTGGCGACCTACTCGGCATTCAGGTGAAGCCATACATAATTGTGACTTCTGGGGAGACAATAACGCCGATTGCCCTGCAGATTACTGAAACACGCTCTTGACTTACGCAAACCCGTGATGATTCTTAATGTTGGCCCGACTAGGGCGGATGCATTGCCTGGGGTCGAGAAAATAGAACTGGCTAGTGGCCTCATTATCAGAGATGTTGTAAGAGCTGTTATGTGAGTGCCTCCCGTCACGGTAATTGCTTCTAGTTGACAATAATGTAGCGGTTCTCGAGCCTCTACCGACCCTCAAATCATAAACCTTCTCAATAGTGGGGTCCTTCAACCACCGGACGACGACAGAGTAGCAAAGAGTAGTTGATCCTTGTACTGACAGGAAACATGTGCTCCTAGATTATAATAAGTTTATGATAAGGAGTATATAGGTCACTGATGGAGGTATATACAAGAACTCCAGCGTAGTAGATGCAGTAAGATATAACGAATGCAGAGAGATGAAGCTACATGGGAATATTTTGAACACGAGATGTGAATGAAAACAAATGTAAAGATAGCATGAGTGTTAATACGTGAGTAGCGTAGCAATGTGAGACTAGTCGGGACAGTCGAAACAGCAAAAAGAAAGGAAGTAACACAGCAAGAGTAGCAAAGACACAAAAAGAGCGATAGATTATAAAGAAAAGTATAGTGATTTTCATTCATGATGGGTTGACTTGCGCATCCGGAAGAAGCGAGAAAGTCGCTGCCGGATCACCCGAATAGTCGTGATCTTCCATGATGTCATCTTCGTCTTCGTCACCTTCAGTAGACGGGGCCTGTGAGGTGACCATCCAAGCGGGCGGTTTGAGTTGTCTCCAGTCCCAATTCTGCCAACGGTCATGGTTCACGGAGAGGTCCCTCGTTTGAGTACGTCTTGATTGTTGGAGGTAGTCCTGGAAAGCATGGTCTGGTGGAGGAACCACAGGAGATTTTGGGGAGGGAGGCGCCTCTTCCAGTTCTGACAAAGGAGATTCCTCTTTCACGTCACCAAAGCTAACGCCCCTGTCGTTATCAGGTGTTAGTGGCGGGGGCGTGATAGATTCGGCGTCGGTTTTTGAAGAGGATACCGAGGACGTCATAGAAGACCCACCGTACTAAAGAAAGAGTTATACAAGTAAGAAATCGAATGCTCCTTATGTCAGAGTGAAAACACTATGCTCACAATCTCCCCCGCATTGCGCCGTGGTGCCCTGGCCAGCCCAATAGGTTTTTTCAAGCACCTTTCTCGGTGCTTCATCCAGTGAAATGGGTCATAAGTACTCTTGGGGGATAGTTTGATTCGTCTTCCACAGCGTAGACACGTAACAAAAAGTGGGCCATGGACTTGAGCCATTGGATCGTCGCGCAACTTTTTTTCCCTAGCAAGTTCCGCCACACTTTTGTGTGGAGCATCTCCCCCGCTGAAAGGATTATTGTAAATTTAATATGCCGTTGAATAATACACCAAGAACTTACCTAGAAGTTGCTGATGATCCTGAATCTTTGTTTGAGCTCCCCCTTCCGTCACGCCACGCTACGTGAGCCTCAAGGTAGGGGGTCATTTCATGGGGAATAGCTCACATTGCCATCATGACGTCAATAGGAGAAGTCTATCGAGTAAAGGACCTTAATTGGCGAAGAATTTGATTATTTGACGCAAACGTACATTATCCTCCTTCAAAGAACGCGATTGACTATGAATTCCTGCTCTTGAAGAGGTAATTACCGCTAAGCCGACTTAATTGACATAATTAAAAGCTGCCAACTTACTTTATACGTGGAGAAGATCTCCCCCTTCTGCCGCGAGCGCCAACCATGCGTCAAACAAAGACAAGAAAGCAAAACAAGGGAAGAGAGAAGAAGGGGGGCAGGAAAAGGACTGTAGTTTTCGGCAAACCCCGACATACTTGCAGGCGCATGCTTGGGACAAGCGCCGTGACAGATACAATAAAGGGTGAGCACGAGTTTCAAACAAAAAGCTTATCTTTTCAATGAGGAATCGTGTCGAAAAAACATCGCCTCACAGGTGCACAGGTTGGCAATATTGTGAATCACAACTTGATATTATGCCCGAACTGAATATATAAATACTTTGCTGCCAGTAAATGTACATAATTTACGTATCCTGAGACGTCGAATTCGGGGTACCTAAGCCCTCACGGAATCCACGCACAAAAGCCTTGAAAGGCTGTAAGAACCATCCCAATGGACCAGGCGGCTTATTCTGCGGAGGTACATAGTTCTCCGTTCGAGGTCGTATAACTGGCCTCTCATCTTCGTCCTTGTCTTTGTCCTCGTCTTCTCGTGCTCGCTTACGATTAGCTCGTGCCGGAGGACTTTCCGAAGCTATAATTGTGGCTTCAGTCGAGGCACTAGCAGAGGAGACCGGAGGACGGATGAAAACTCTTGTAGACGACTTGGAGCTATCAGCCGTCATTGGCTTCTCTGGAGTCGTCTGAGAAATAGTAGTATAATTAGAACTGCTTGATTCAACGGATATATTAGCCGCGTGAGAGGATCTGGGGATGATGTTTCAACATCACTAGACTACAACATCGCAATGTCACAATACTCACGAAAGACACTGGGCCTTGTGTTCGTTCCACTTGGTTAGATCAAAAGCGTTGGCCTTGTCCAGAGCCACAGACAATTCACAAAAGGCGCATTCGACATGATGGCGAGTGGATGACTTGGCCTGAGGATCATTCAGAAGTTGGCGTTTCCGTTCCGCAGTTGCCGTCCGACTATCAGGTCTATAGAATAAAGGCCATGAGTAACATTCCATAGAGATATAATAGTCATCCTACGAAGTTCCACAGCATCGTCCTTGATGGACGCTCCAATTTCCAAGAGCATATTTCTGGGTGGCAGCAAGTCGAACCCATTTCTGGCAAGATCGACATAGAACCTCATGTGGTCTAATTTCTTGAGCGCGAGGGTCTGCTTCTAAGAAGGATAGCCTCTCCGATTCAGTCTTCGAGGCTGATTTACTCGGGGGTTTAGAAGTAACATCGTCATCGACTTCTTCCTTCTCTCCTTCTTTCGCTTGCTTGTCGTTTCTGTCAGTGGTAATAGTCCTGAAAGGCAAATCAGAACTAGTGAACAAATCACGCAGGAGATGAAAACACACTGTTTAGGGCGTGGAGACCTCCGGTCGCACCCTGTCCTATGCCTCTCCCAAGGATTCAGTGAATACTTGGGACCCACACTGATCCACTTGCTGCAACGAAGACAAAAAACTCGCTGTGGCTCCATCTCGCCACAGTTTTCGTCGTCTTTGAATATCTGAATGCGCTCCGCTTCAGTTCTTCTTACTCGACTATTCGAAGATTCCGCGATCGAAACTGCATCTTCGCTGTCAGGGGTATCTGGGCGCCTGTGAGAGAAGTTAGCTTATTGTTAGCGAACAAGAAATAAAGGCTTGCTTCGACGATACTGATAAGGATTTCGCGTGTTTGGAAGATGACCCGGCGGCAGACAAAGGCTTCGAGAAAGTAGGGAGTGCAGCTGGACTCTCCTGGAGATCTTGACCACGCAAGGAAACGACAGATGAGTTGCGGCGATGGATACTCTTGCTCGAGGGTTTTTTAACAGAGTCCTGGTTTTCCTCGTGATCAAGCCGTTTACGCTTCGGAGGCGAAGGTCCTGGCAAACTGGGGTTACAGATGGTCGAAACATCATTGTAATGAACTGGGGGCTGCTGATGGGAATAGTGAACTCACTGCACCTCGACCTTTTTAGGGCCAGTTTTACGTTTGCCGTCCTATCATAACGTGTTAGATTATATTCCAGCACATGTAGACAACACGAAGGCAGTCTCATCGTGTGTCATCAAACACTCTGACCAGTGGTCCTTACCTTCTCTGACTTTCGAGGAGTCTGGACAACAGACTTATCACCCATACTTTCAGCCGGCGACAAGTTCTCCTCGTCCTGGGAGGAGATTCTTTACAGTACGTTAAAAGACATCAGAGAGAAATATTTAACAATTTACGCGTACTCTGTATTATCCACAACACTCCTTCTTCTCTGAGGCGTAAGAAAACAATCAGAAAGTGCGTCATATGCGCGCCCAAGGTACACTTACCTTGGCCCTGCCTGAATATTTGACTTTGACCACCTTAGGTCTTGGGAAGCAAGTCAGCAAGGTTGCCTTTACAAAGATGACCTTTTTGTACTCACAACTCTGGTGATGTTGAAAAAGAATCGCTCATGTTAAAATTAATGAATGAATAAAGGTCAGTTAGAACAGATATATATACGGTGAGGGACAATGGGTAAACACGAAACTGCAATCGACAAAGGCGTCGTTATACACTGTGACCAAATACGACCAAACAAACCCATTCAACCTAGTGGCTGAGTCATGGTGGGTAATTCTGAAGTCATTCTACAATACTCTGAATCGATAATGTAAATCTGTCTATAAGAGGATAACGAAAGAAACATGATTAAAGGATACATCAAGATAATACAGTCTAATAGTAGAGACACCTTACACTCGTGTTTTGTTATTCAAAGTCGCTGTATTATCTCAAACTATCATCTCGCACAAGTTAGCACGCGATTGTTTTCATGATACGTCGCACTCACCGATAAGAAATACAAGATAGAATTTATGGATGTCGCATAGCGCCCTGTGACGACGAAGGCGGAGGCTCGAAACGTTCAGACGAAACAATACGAAGAGGAGAATCGATCTGCGGATCGATAACAGGATAATAGGTAGGCCTTTCCGGAGGAGCGTACATCCCGGGTGGTCCAGGCGGTAGAGGGTGGTTGTGCATCATTGAAGGTTGATGCATTGGATAGTATTGCGGAAGGCCGTAGTTGAGTGAAGAATATGCCATAGGTGGTAAAGGCGGGTGAGGTAGGGCCATTGAGGAAGAAGACGATTGTTGAAAATCATTTCTGGGCGGCCCCCTGTCAGCATGTTCTTCTATTCTCCCCAATTAATACAAGTTCAAATTTTAGAGACGAATTTCTTACCCTCATCTTCGGAACTACCAAGATCTTGCGCTTTTCGATGTGTACATTGCGCCTCTAGACCTTGTTGGGTACATGATTTACAGGCCCGATCGACACATTGATACCCCTTCCTAACGCAGGTGACACAAGGTCTAAGATCTCTGTTAGAAATGTGATAGAAAAAAAAGAGATTTCGCGAAAAATACCTGACTCCTTCGCACCGGATCTTATCTCGCCTTAAAAAATGCGGTAGTCTATTTAACTGGTAAAAAGAGGTGAATTCATCTTACCTGCAATTCGTACAAGCCTACATGAGGAGTAAGCGATCAAAATTTGCAGTTAGAAATGGATAGTTACTGACTGCCTTTACACGCGTCCCATGGCCTCTGCCTTTTCTTGGCATATTGATACAATCCTTACCTTGCTCGACGCAGTTCTTGCAGGGTCTGATGTCTTCACAACGTTTGTTATCTTGTCTGCAACTCTCACAGCGCAACTTCACCAGCTTTGGACCTCGTCCAACATGGATGCACTCTTCGGATCGAGCAACGCAGCGCGAACAAGGTCTCTGATCGTCACACTGACACTTTTCACTTAGCACTAATGGTATCAAAGAAATCACGAACATGAGCATACCTTCTTATTGTCCCTCCTGCAATTCTGACAAGCTAACTTTGCCCGATCATTCGCCCTTGAACGAGCTGAACGAACGACGAGCTTCGACGGAGACTCCGAACGCAAGATGATAGGACCCTGCTCTTCTACGCATTCAAACTGGTTTTCTCTGCACCTCGAGCAGGGCTTTCCGCCTTCACACCGTACTCGAGCCCTTCGACAATGTTCGCATCCATCGATACACTGATCAGGAGCATACCCCTTCTTCAGACATCCTCCACAAGGTCTGCGAGTTGGTATAGGTGAAACATGAGAGATCAAGCGACTCCAAACCATCAAAATGACCCCACCTTGCTCCATCGCATCGTATCTTGTCGCGTCTTTGAAGAGATGGGAGTAGAGATCGTTGATCAGCGCTCGATAAGCAAAACTAGGCCCCTATTGCACCAAACTTACCTGCAACTCGCGCACGCCTATCCCAAGGGCGTCAATACGACAAAGATGAGATAAATGGTAAGGACACGCGCCTTTACAGCTCTTCTTGGCCATGATGGTGTGGTGATGTCGGAAATCGGGAGTGATGGTGGCGGCAGGGACGGCTGGGAATCCATAGCAGATCGTGGACGGAGGGGGGAAGGGATGTAGCGGTGGGAAACCACCCGCTTAAGCCTTTCGTACTCCGCGGTCGTTGACCTTGCCACAAACGATACTGTCGATAGCTAGACTCGGTGGCGTATAACGATATTGCATTCAGTCTGTGCAGACTACAAAAAATAATAACATTCTATTTCCATTGAAGCAAGCACAAAATATTACTACGTGACAGCGAATGGCCTATCGCGAATGGCCTAGAAAGTGGAAACAATGCTGCTCTTCCGTACACATGGACTAGCATGATAACAAGAATACCAGCGCGACAGCTGTATGCGACAGAACAAATATGTATAGCAAACCGTCCCAGGGTTGTCTATGATATAATGAATAATGAAACCGTCCATGATAATTGAGAAACGTGTGCGCGGTCGACGTTTAATTATACACAGCAACATAGTTGATTACCCACTGAGCATCTAAAGATTGAAATGAACTCCAGCTTCAAAAGATAATATTCAAAGATTACTTACCGGCAAAGTTGGTGGCGTTGGCAACCATGTCAGAGCATGTACCAGGGCAGCCAGAGCTTCCATAAGCACCACTGGCCCAGTTTCCACAGATAGTAGTATCGAATACCAGAGTGTGTTCGTAGAAACTTTCACCAATGTTGCATGTCTCACCCGACCAGTAGCCAACGGGAGTACTCCAGTTCGAGGGCTGAGGCGCACGAGCAGTGATATCGCTAGGTATCTCGGAGCGAGCAAAGTGCCACATGGACATGCCGGAGTTCTCCCACAAAAGTGCAAAAACGCCACCTTGAGCACCGTTAAAGCCATTTCCGAAAGAGCGAGTATCAGTATCGCCGATAGCGCATCCACCGTCAGATGATTGGTTGCTGTAGCAGTTGGTGCCCATCAGGTGACCCGTAAAGTTGACAAGGGTACTGTTGAGCGATGCCGCGGTGTTGTTTGCAGGGGGGGTGCTAAGTGTACACGGTGTCTCTATGCCGCTGTGAAGAGTATATTGATTGGTGGCTTGGTTGTTGACACCCTCGACGATGTCAATTTCTCCCGCCAAAGGCCAGTTTGGGCCAGTAGACTGATGGAAAACGGGTGAGCACAAGCAACCATAACGAAGACAGAGGGCTTACCCAAAAGCTCGGCCATGTGCCACATCCTGTGGGCATGTTAGATGCATCCAGAATGAACAGACCGCCAGTGTAGTTTTTCATGGAGCTGATCCGAACTCTAGAAATTGCCCGTCAGAGGACTATTGGCTAGGACCGAATGGGAAGACTCACGAGTCACGATTGCCACCTGACTGCACAGAACTCCACGAATCAACGCGCAATACCGTTGAGTTATCACTACTGTTAACATATGCGAGGCCCTTGCTCTGTGCGTCGCTTTGGCTTTGGTAGTTAACATTTCCACTGGTAGGGTCGGCTCCAGTGAAGAAGTACCATTCGCTAATTTAATAAAATATATGGTTCGTCAGTCACTGACGCTGAGATGACTTCAAGATGCCATAACGGCAGGAATATTGTTCGCCACCACGGTTCACGTCGACTATATGCGCACAATACATTCGATCAAGAGCACAACAGCGATGATGACTTACTTGAAGAAATCTTCTCCTTGATAAAAGTCTTGAATTGCGTATGTTTTGGTTGAGTTTGTGGCGGTGCGAGCCAGTTTGCGATGACGAGCCCAGCTTGAGCCTTGATGGGCGCCAGTCAATGAAGCGAGAGGGAGAGCGGTCGCGATGATGGCCAAGAGAGTGTACATGGTGTAAAGATTGAAAAAATGAAGGGTTCGACCGGGTCTCTAAAAAGGTGAAGGGAATGAAAATGGGCAGGAAAAGGTGAGGGGGCTCGACCTCCTCCGGGCCTTAAGAGACAGTAGTTGCTACGGCCCCGCTTAGTACCGCGGTTGTGGCCACGCCCCTTAAAAAAAGAACATCCCGCATTTTTAGTTATTAGTGAAACGATGTCGTAACCAATAAAGCATCGCCAGGTCTTATTCAGATCAACTTGAAACCAAGATTGTATGTCTCTTCAAAGGTCTTCGAAGCTCATTGACAGACGGGAACTAACACGGGTCCTGGTGGCGTTGATAAATTCGAACAAGGATCTTATTGTCTTCGTTTGTGTAAACCTTTGGGCAAAAGCGCTTTCAGGTAATACGATTTCATTGTCTCCTTGTATTCTTGTGCTTGTTGTCTATGGCCCACTGCAATCAGAACACGCCCCTTGAAGGCACTGCCGAGACAAAAGCGTACGTCGCATGAACTATTTGGCTGCTGCGTCAAGAAAAAGGGTATGCAAGGACACACTCACCTTTTTTTATCCTCCGCCTCACGCACTCCATCCAACAAAAATTGCATCCGAGTTGCACGGCTACCACGGCGAATTATTGTGCTGCGGTTTGAAACCTTTGGAAATTCACTAGACGGCGACTGATGGGCGATAGAGAGTTGTGGCAGTTCAGACGGCTGGAAGTGGCATATCCTGTATAGGTATCGTGATCTGTGCGTGCACTTGTGGTGAAAGCTCGAAACGGGATAACGGTGCATGCCAACATGCCATAGCTATGCCTGGACACGTTTTCATCTGGCGGAAGCAAACCCACCGGCCTCCACCGGTCGGTGCCATCTTTGGAACCGTTCTTGAGTAACATTGCCGTGGTTTCCCTTATATCTGCGTTCAGTTACACGGTAGATCATAAATAAGTAAGCAACAACAGTCTATCTTATACTCTTGATATTCATCTCAGAAACATGCGATAAGGTGACGGTCCCGCACTATGCAGACTATAGTACGCAATGGCAAATCCCACACAAGTAAGTATAATTAATCTCGTCCTGTTTTAGACCACCGTAAGTCATAATTATACATTGATCTTATAAAGTTTGCGATGTCAATGTTAACATGGTTTCCAACAGTTTTCTTCGATGGGCTACCATCGTTCAAGTTGGTACTGCATGCGATGCGAGGCCGTGCCTATTACGATCGCATGATTCAGTCTTCGACACCTAATCAAGGTCTATTCACAACAGATATCACATTTCCCCCATGTAATTCATCACATCTTTAAACATTTTTGTAGCATTCAAACTCCAGGCCCAGCAACACTCATCACTGTGACGAGAACACATCAACTTCATGTTCGGATCCAGAAGGTGGTATACTCACAGTGATAACAGTTGGTTCCTCCCGACCCAAGAACTCTTTCAACTTGCTGACTTCCAGTGCGACCTCAATGAGACCCTTCAGGCCTTCTGCAGTATCTCTGCCCAATTCCTTCTCCCCCACCTCAGGGCCCACATACCTCTCCACATACATTCGTACAGTTGCACCAGAGCTTCCCGTACCACTCAGCCTAAATACAACTCGCGAGCCATCGTCAAACAATACAACCTGCCCTTGGTTCTTGCTGACGCTTCCATCAATAGGATCTGTGTATGAGAAGTTTGACACGGAAGCAATGGTGTAATCCTGTTTCGTGCTTGGCGACTGATGCTTGGTGTTCGCAAACGAAGAGGTTTTGATCGCCTCGTCGAGCTGAGCGACGAGCTTGTTGGCACCTTCTGAGGGGACTTCCTCGTAGTCGTAGCGGCTAAAGAAGGACCTTCCGTACGTGGCGTAGTGTTGGTTCAGAAGTTCCTTGATACCAATGGGCTTGTTGGGAGATGATTTATTTGCGGCAGCAATGATGTTGAGCCATGCTGATGGAATGAACTACGGTCAGAAACTCGCTATTTAGATGCAAGATGGAAAAACCGACCAATGACAGCCCAGATACCATCCTTCTCACGGATATGGTCTGAGCCTGTTCCAAACGACTCTTCACCACAGATCGAGAGACGGCCAGCATCCATCAGGTTCCCAAAGAACTTCCAGCCTGTGTAAGAATTCATCAAGATTTCCACGACAACGCGATAGGAGGTGAAAGTCACCAGTAGGGACTTCAAAGTATTCCAACCCTTTCTTCTGCGCCACGAGATCGATGGCTTTGCTCGTTGGCATACTTCTGGCCAAACCCTTCACGCCTCCTGTCTTTTTGAAGTACGGAATAACATCAGCCCAGTGAGCGATGATAGCAACAGAGTCGCTAGGCGTTACAAACGCGCCCTTTCCATAAATCATGTTTCTGTCACCATCGCCATCGCTTGCAGCGCCGAATTGGATGTTGTTTTTCTCGACTACTTCGACCAGAGAGTGTGCATATGTCAAGTTGGGATCGGGGTGTCCACCACCGAAATCAGGGAGCGGCACGCAGTTCTGCACAGCTGACTCAGGAAGGCCAAGAGCTCCAACGAGAATAGCGCGTGCATATGGACCTGTGACGCCGTGCAGACCATCGAAGAGCACACGGAAGGTATCAGAGTTGTTGTGCAAGAAGTCTTTGATCAGCGCAAAATCGAAGATGGACTCTAGTAGTGTAAGGTAATCCGCGACTGAATCAATGATTGAGACTTTCGTGGGTCCGTAAGACGTCTCAGCGATTTTTGAAAGGTCGACCTACAGGTCATCGGTCATTTAAATGTTAAGGAGCGATTTGGCAAATTATCAAGACCAACCGGGTCAGCTTCAATGACTTTATATTTCTGTATGGTTTTTGTCTTCTCGTATATCTTGTCGGTGACGTTTTCAGGTGCAGGACCACCGTTGGAGACATTGTACTTGATACCAAAGTCATTGTTAGGTCCTCCAGGGTTGTGGCTCGCCGTCAACAAAATACCACCATCAGCCTTGTACTTCCTGATGACATTGGATGCTGCAGGGGTAGATAGGATAGAGTCCTTTCCAACAATGAACTTCGCCACCCCGTTAGCAGACCCGATCTTGAGGATAGTCTGTACGGTTTCTGGGGAAAAGTAACGACCATCGCCTCCGATGACGAGCGTTGCCCCCTCCGCTTTGATAGAATCAAAGATAGCTTGGATAAAGTTCTCTGTATAATGCTGTACAAGACAGATCAAGATTGTTGTAGCGACCTCGGTGCAGGATGCCCACCTCCTGCTGGAACACCTTTACACTGTGTCGCTTACTATCAGCACAGGCCAAGATTCGAAAATCTGACAATCGTCACCGTTTTCTGAGACCTGATGTCCCTGGCTTTTGGCCTTCAAACGGCTTTGTCGAGATTTCTTTGATCTGATATCCCATCGATGCAATGTTTGAATGAGACTGAGCAAAACGGACGGTCTGTATAAATGAAGAAATCAACTCATATCTATGACGTCTAGCATCACGTGCGCGAAACGACATGTCTCGGACAAACGCGATTCGGGTGATATTTATGATTCCTTAGAAATCGACGAATCGGATTTGCCAACGTTCGTTGTCTTGCCTATCGTCTAGACACAACTTTCTATTACTGATTTCCTCCGACATCCACTCAAAGCCTTCCTTTCTCACCTCCTTGAAACTCTGCGCCAAACACTTCCCCGAACGATGGCCCAATCTCGGGAATCATGTCCTCGGTCACGACTCCTCTGCCTTGTTTTTGAAAGGCTCTCCGACTGGCAGTACGGGTGACCATACTTCCCCCGACTGCGGCTAACACAGGGAGGCGAGAAGCTGGGATATTTTGGTCTCTACAAAGCAGGGTTCGTGAGCAATCACCATCATCATATAGCGAGAAACGATAATCTCACCCGAATGCGCCATCCTCGTAGCATTTCCCCCATGCCAGCATCGCGCCTACCGTGCCACTCAGATATCCCCTTGTCCTCCGCATCTCTTAAGCCCTCCCTCGACATCCACTTCCAAAACCTCCTTCACCTTCACCTTTCCTGCTTCATGTTCGCCACTGATTTTGCTTTCTTCAAGACTAGCCGCTTCTCCGGTAGTGTCAATTGCAATGAGGTCCGTCTTTCCCTTCTCAAGTACCACGACCCCACCAAGCCGCTTTGACACCTCTTGCGAGCGTTCCCGCTGTGGGACGTCCTTGTCTACGCCAACTTGTTCGCTCAAGCGCTTGAACTCGACGACATTTGGCGTAACGACTGCACGACGATAGCCTTTGACAAGGGAAATGTCCTGGCCAACCATCCAGAGAGCATCTGCGTCGAGCACAACGAACATAGCCCTCGATCGCGCAAGGGACAGTGCAAGTTTGGCATAAGATTGCATATAGTCTTCCCGGCCTAGACCTGGCCCCAGTATGAGAACATGTAGGCGGGAGAGGAGGGAATCGAGTTCCCCGCGCACTTTGTCATGGGATCTGTATATATACAAGTAGGAGGAAAGCAAAGGCGTAGAAGAGGAATATAGACTCACGAATCTTCTCTTAGAATGGGGTGAACGATGAGGTCGGGTGAATAGGACTTGATAGCTTGGGCTGCAGTGGGGGAGCAGATGACATGGGACAGATCAGCTCCCTATGAACGATTTATCACCTTGTAGTATAGCAGGTCCGAGAATTGCTTACTATGCGTAGAGCAGAGATAGCAGCGAAAAAAGGGGCTCCAGTGTAGCTAGTATGTGGAAAGAAATAGTCTGTGATTTAACCTTGACTCGGACGTGTAAAGGGGCTTCACTCACTCTAATGCTCCGCCAAGTACACCCACTCGACCTGCGGCAATTACAGATTAACGTCAAAGAGTCTAAAAATCATCAGGAAGTGTCTTGTATACCTGACTGTCCCTTGTGTAAAGATCCATTCAGAGGCGGAATAATCTGCTTTAGTTGATCAAGCACTGCTCGTGGAATGGGCATGCTCGACTAGTGAACCACTATAAATACTGATTTGCGCGACAAAGCTGCACAGCTCACAGATTTTTCTTAGAAGAAAGTAAGATTTTCGATAACGAGGGACAGTGACACTATTTATCATTGCTTTCTCTATCTCTGTCGCAGGATGGCATGGGACTTCTGGTGACGTCACTGCTGTGCCGGCTAACCATACCTACCAAAGATATTGATAAAGTATACTAGTCACTAGTAGTACGAAGAGAACATCATGATGCACAAGCAATCCTCAGATAATTTACATAAGTATTCAGATTACACAACGATAGAACACTTATGTAGCTCAAAGCATAGCTATTCCTTATCATGATAGTACATACGAAACGGTGAAACGGCAACTAACATCTTCAAAATCTTTGGCCCTGATAGATGGACTGTAACTGACGCTTCCGACCTCGCTCGACATAAACACAGTGCGTCCACCAAGAGAAGCCTGGTTGGTGATGGTGAAGTTGACGAAGCTATCAGCAAGGAAGAGGCTCCCAACACTTAGAGCATCGCGCTGATCCTTAGCATCGCACTTGATATCGAATTTGTTAGTTTCGTATATCCTAACATATTTCCCATTGTTTCCTATTAATACAAAAGTCATGAATGCTTTCTGCGATACCTTGTTGAAGATTAACGTCTACACACCTTTCAAAACATTTTGTTGATTACTCGTCCTCTCGGTCGTGAATTTAGCGCTGGAATCATAGATTTGATCACGAAATGCAAGACCTTCGCCGATTACTTTCAGATATCTCCCATCGTTACTCTTGATAGCAAACCCTCCTTTCAGCGGAGTGATCCTAAACAGTGTACATGTTCAGCCAAAAGCGAGTTATAATGAAAACACGAACTTGCACTGTGTCCATTATACGCTAGGGATAGTACAGCGATATACTTTGTTGGCAGTTTCGATGAAGGCACGCCTTTTTTAAGTCAGTAGGACACAAACGTCCGGTGTTTATACCGCTGATTAATAAGAAACATTCCATTCTGACAATACTCTTTGACAGGTGGAATGTAATGTTCGCCGTCTAATCGAAATTCCGAAGGCATATCAAAGTTTCGTTCTCAGGCGTGCAACGCTTCCCAGATTTGTCCCGAGTGCCCAACCTAAAATAACAGAATCACAGATCGGTAACCCTATCCTCAATGTATCAGATAGACGAAGGTGAATCAAGAGAATGCTTACTCGTAAATGGTACCTATTTTACAGGGGGTGGTGAAAAATCGACCAGCATTCACACTGTTACGCGCGACTCGAAGCCTCGAAGCTCATGAACAAGTATAGGTATAGTTCCCAAATCCAATCATCGTTTTGTAAGATCATATAGCGCCTACTATGTCAGGTCCAAGTCTCTCAGAATCTGATAAGCGCCCAAGTTTTGTTGAGCCTAAATTCGAACGTAGCGTTATTCGTTGTCACAGTCCCGTGACGCCTCGCGTTTGGCAATTTCACGGTGTTTGCCACTAGTGGGTCGCGACTGCAAACTTGAACTTACTAGTATACAGTAAGGTATTCAGAAAGAAAAACATTCGTCCAGTTCCACAACCTCCCATCGCGCTTAAGACCGTCTTATAAACAGTGTGTATTATCTTTTTCTGATCTCTATACAGCATTTCAGTCTCGTCTGGTAGTACTGGTAGTAAACCGTCACGACACGACCACGACTTTGGACGATTCACACAAAGATCTTGAGTGTTGCTGTTATCGAAGCTCTATCAATAACACACACGCAACCTGAACGCAGGTGGTGTGACACCCCGATCATCGTGACCCCATGCCATCGATCACTGTCGAATGCCCCATCCATCTTGGGAACGTACCACTAAGAGATGTCAGGACACTCAAATGCGGTGCGTTCATATCCTTCCTTCTCGCTTCACCTCTAATGTACAGCAAAATAAAACTTGTATTAACTATCATCACGCGATCGTCGTACCATTATCTCAATAGGCCACGGCTTCTGCGCAGAATGTCTCTCCGGCATGCACACGACCTCGAGGATAATGACAGTCTTTTGCCCCGTCTGCCGCAAACGTGGCAAATTCACAGATGCGCGGCCCATCTACATGGACGCTGGCCGTGGATCTTCCCCTCCGATCCCACTCTCACCTTCACCTTCACACTCGCCCCAGCCCCAATCCCACAGCGAAACTAACGCTGTAGGAGACAGGGAAAGAACACGTTTCCAAGCAGAAATCAACCGCCTCAACACACACCTACGCGAATCGCAAGATGACTCTTCTGCTCTTCGTGCAGCCCTTGAAGCCGCACATGTCGAGCGCGAGCAGCTCGGGGGTGACGTTGACACGCTGCGGGGGCGGTTGGACATGCTCGCGCGTCGTTCTGCAACACAATTACGGGAGTTAGAAGCAAACGTTGCCGTCCTTCGCCATGACGCTGCGCAAGTAGGTCCACTCGAAGAGGAGGCTGCAATGGCGAGGGCTGAGGTGATGAGGCTGAAAGAGGTGAAGGAGTGCCTGATGAGGGAGATGAAAGAGGTAAGGGAGAGGGAGGGATGCTGGAGAGGATGGGTGGAAGAGCATAAGAAAGAGACAATGAAATGGAAGGGAAAGGTCAAAGGAATGAAGGAGCAGCTTAAACGTATAGAGAGGGAGAGGGAGAACGAGAGGAATAGGGTCAAAGCCGGTGCAGAAGAGGAAATAGAGGAAGAGTCACTGGTAGTACTGGATGCGCATGAGGGAGGCTTGGATCCGATCAAAAAAGTTCACAAGGCTAAAGGCAAAGATAACGAAGACTGGTTAGACGAGCTATGGATCGACGGGGACGCAAACGATTTCGCTCCCATAGATGTGGACGAAAATTCGCTAACCGAAGAAGAGTCTGTTGTCGACATGGACACCGGTGTTGTAGCTCGCCCTCCATACTTCGTGTCCGCACGAGATCTTCTTAAAACTGGGTCATTGGATGAAGACCGTCCTCTCCCACAAGATCGTCCACGATCCTTCGTGAGATTCCCATCAGATTGGACACTATCTAACACGGATGGGAAGGGTGGAGTCTTTGATGGTGTAGCAAGTGGATCTGGCGCGGGAGGAGGTACATCGGTAGCGCTATCGAATAATGCAGCAAAAAAGCGTAAGAGAGAAGATTGGGGAATGGAGAGAGACCCTATCTCGATGTCCACCTCAGGCTCAAACTCAGGCTCCACTTTCGTAAAATTCAAGCTGAACGACGCAAAAGGGAAGGGAAGGGAAACGAGGATGACCTCTACGTCACGTCATAACGACACGAAAGCAGTGACGATATCTCGTTCGAGCACAGGTGCGAAAGCAACCACCGCAACGTCGACAAGTCTGAAGAGCACAGGTGAAACGAGTTTGAAGCCAGTCAAAAAGTCACGCGCGAACCGTCCTCCATTTCCCATTGCACTCGATGATCGGGGACGGGTGAAAGGCCTCGTGTCGTATGGGACGAGGCAGCCGATGTTTGGGGCTATGAAGTACTAGCTTTCTGCCGATGACTTCGAGTGAAGGCAAATTCTCTTTGGCTGAATCAAAGTACGGGAACAAGGGTCTCATATTCTGATGACCTGGCAGTTCGTCATAGCTCATGCACCCTGATTTTGGTCTTGTGGCTATGCGATGATATCTTTTCTTGTGCGACTCTTCGCCAGTGTACCAAATACTTGATTCGAACGCTCAGCATTCACCGAATTACTAGAGCACATCGCAGCCCGTTTCGCCGGTCTCGCGTTGATGGTTATTCGAGTCATTAGCATCTACCTAGTGCAAGTTATCTTGGAGTTTATCGCTCGTCACCTGCATATCCATGGATTGGTGCACCACAAGTAGATCTGAATTTGTAAATTTCCGGGATCGCGTAGGAAATCGAGGAGAACCCGGTCGAGGCATGTAATATGTGCTTGAATGCTCTTGATAGTTAATATTGCACGCATAAGAGTTTGAAAGCATATACTCAGATGTGTGGGGAATTGCAGGGGCATGTATAGATACGTTGTTTAAATGTTTGGTGTATATGTGTACTTTTGACATTGCAGATCACTTGGATGGATGGATTGTCTGGGATCGAGGCGTTCCCTGTATTCAGCAAGTTGCTAGGGATCAGCTTAGATTCACCTATCATGATTCATGAATAACGATTCTCAACATATTTATGTATAACATTAGAAAGGTATATCAAGCCGAAGTTGCTGAGAATCTTAGAATAGTATGATGAGAGCGCGAATGAGGAGAAAAGTTGGTATGAACCTGTTAGTTAACGATTCTTTGACCCAGGATGGCACTTATACCAAATCATCAAACCAAATGCCAGCAGCCCATAGAAGAGGGAGGCGATGATGGTAAAAATTCCAGCGGCCCAGGTTAGACTTTTTCTCCAAGGAGTACTCAAACCGTGCATAGCGGTGTCGCCTCCATCAACGGCGAGATGCATCACCGCCACACTCATCATGACAATCCCCCCAAACGCAAGAAGGCCTGAGCTAATAGCAAACATGTGTAGCATGTGCCTCGGAAGCCTGTCTTTGGCTCCTCTGGAGATGTCAAGTTCCTCGGATTTGAGAATCATGCACATACCAGACGCGGAGACTCCTGCAGACACAAAAGCCGCGGCAGCCCACGAGAACAAGACGAGGTCTCCACGCGATCCGCTGAACAGCGCTGACCAAGCTAAACTGGCACCTGGTTATCTCAGCCGTCAATAAGATACTGATAAAGAAGCTGATATCGACGGACGTACCAAAAAGCGAGATTCCCATCAAACCTGCAAAGGTAGCAGTGAACTCATCCACTGCTGCTTTGCGTTGGTGAAGACTACAACTAGCGCACAAAATACAGTTCGGGTTGTTGCAGTCACCAGTCTCCACTGTTGCATCTGTTATTTGCTTGCAGGTAGCTATTACCGGTGGACATGGAGGGGGAAGGTGGGAAGAAAGCGAGGAATGAGAGAGAGATAGGGAAGCACGTGTTGGGCCAACAGAACTAGCCTCAGACGCGGAAGACGATTGATGAGGTTGTTTGTTTTCCTGTGAATGTGTTACAGGTCGAGTTTTAGACTGAGCTTGAGGCGAAGGGTCAAAACTTACCATCGTTGGATTTTTGGGATCGTTGCAGTCGGGGATATCTCCCAAACCCATCGCTCTAGTATTAAATAGATTGGAGATACAAAAGCACTGCTGGGATGCGTATAATTATCTACACGCATCGAAAACAAAACGTTGATGCCATGAGGCCTGAGGACTGCTGTGAGCGTGAGCAGTGCTTTTGCCAATCTACGTTCAAAGAGGAAGCCAAGCGAACACCGTAGCGGAACATGCTGATTTACTCGAACAGCCTTGGCTTCAAGTTACTGGAGTGCAAGGAATGAGGACCGGGTTATGATTATCTAGGCAACTTATGAACATCCCTACAAGTCGAGCAATAAGCCGGAGATGGTAAAGATCCTCGAGGCTTGCAGCCTTTCTCCGAGTCGGGCCACTGCCTTGCCTCGCCGGGTATTTCCATACTGTTTGACCCAGTAGAGCAAGTCGTACCCAGCCTACACTCAACTACCGTGACCGTCGTCCAACCGATATTTTCAATGTCCTTCATGGCAGTCCAGGTTCATTAGGTTAAACCTCATGTAAATCGCATTTCTATGGTACTGCCAGTGATGCAGATGGCACCCCATTCGACAGCAAGTCGGTCGACGATGCCTGTATATATATTCCAGGTTTGTATTCGAGCTTCACCGTGTTACGGTACACCACTAGGACACTTCAAGTTCCATAGTATAACCGTAGTTTATAGGTTGATTGCCAGTTCAGTATGGAGGACCACAGCCGATCAGACTCGGTTCAACCCGCTCCAAGTTCACGAACTCATGCCGCTCACAAAACATCAATTGTATCTAACGGTAAGTTCCTTCTTATTTCACTAGTAGTCTCTTACTCAGAATTAAGTTTGATCTTAAAGCACGCGGGACCCCATCTCGTCCACGAATACTCTCGCCAGAAGCAAGGAGTGTTGTCGAGTATATTTCTCGCGCATGCACAGAGGCTCGGATTTGTTATCAGAATGAACCTATCCGCTCTCAGGGTGAGTAATTTACTCTGGACGATTTAATGCGTCACATTAATCTTCTATACAGTACCTTTAGCGCTCTCTGGCGAGTTCATCCGTTGTCGACCACGGGCCAAAGGTGGCGCTTGCCCTCTCGCAATGACTATCCCCCAATTCAAAGAATGGGCTTTTCAAACGGGTGCAGACGTTCTTCGAGTGGCTGATTTGTCCCTCTGGAAGTCGCCAGATATATGGCGCCACGAATTCATCGTGGTCACATTAGAGCCAGACGCATCATTCACCCCGAAGGCTTTGCCAACGCCAAGCAGCCCACTCCATTCGTTCCGCTTGGAAGAGAATGTAAAAAAGGGCTTAAAGTTTCGCATTGACCGCGGTATTAGAGCACGAGCCACGCTCTCGCGGAAAGGTTCTTGGAGTCTCAAGGCCGGAGTTGACAGCGTAGAGCTCATGAATTATGAGACCAAATTTGACGGATGCGTTTCTTGTTTTTCATTGCTGGCTCGCCCAAACCTCAACAATACCCACCTTTCGCGCGGCCAATACCTTGCTGAGCTTATCTCTCCACGGGTCTCTGACGTCCTTTTCTGCCTCGACCGCGTATCGGAAACTATAGGACCCGAATATACGCTTTATCGTCGCAACTGCTGGACATTCTCATCCTTTATATTCCGTCTCATGCACCTTCTCTTCGACGCAGCTCTCGATATGAAAGTATCGCACAGGAATAATCTAAAAGGTTTCATTCGACGACACTTCGTTGGAATCTCAGTCGGAAGACCGTTCCTAGGTCAACTTTTACATCCCCCTTTTATCACCCCTGTAGCATTATTTGGACACCAAAAAGATAGAGGTATCCCGTGAGTACTGTGTGCTCGCGCAATGTTTACTGTGCACTAACTTCCTCACTTACAGATTATCTAGAAATCCTTTTCGTTCTCTATTCATCGGCGTTTGCTTGAGATATTCGCACATCCGAAATCTTCTTGACATTTCTACCACCGACGCTACAGATCTCGGCATGCGGCTGCTGACTATCGTCAAGTATACTGCTGTGCGTTCAGAGCTCATTTCCAGCGGTATGGTAGCTCTGCTCGAGATGTTGATCAATCGACACATGTGCAGTCAAAAACGTATTGCAATGGGTATCCCAAATGACTCTGCCGTACTGGCATTATCTCTTCTTGCATTCTGCATTTTCACGTTGCCTGGCGATTAAAAAAGTTCGGTGAGCTACGACACCGACTACTGCTTCCGTTTCGCTCGGCTTTGTATACCTTACGACATAATTGTGCATGTTCGAGATGACGCTGTATGCAGATGCAAAGACCTAAGAAATTCAATGGTTCTTTCCACTAACCCCGTGGTTGTTCAACAGAAAAAATGATTAGAACAGTTTTGGATCCAAGTATGCAGATGCTGTCCTTTCAGTGTGCCTGTGGGATTGCTATGTCAGATGGTGACAAAGTGACTTAAACAGCCCTTTGCATAGAGTATGCACGTGCGATGCATGGCCCAGGCCCCCCTCCATCCATTGTTGGGGGAGAGGAGGATGACTACTAGAGCGTCGAGAACAAGGGGCATTATCAAACAGATCAGGACAAAAAGATCTATAGGACACCTGAAAGGGCTACTCACCTTGACTCGCATGCTGGAAGGATACGGGCACAAGAAGGGAGAAAAGAGCATTCAAAATGATAGAGGAAGAATGAGAATTATAGGGAGCGCAAGAAGACATGGAGGAAGGCATGGACCGGATCTAATTACATATGGTCGACGGCGAAGAACACGAGAGCTGGAGGCGCAAACATTCGTGCAATTCCTGTCGGATTGAATGTTTCAGGACAGGTGTAAGTGTACCATACAAGGCAACGCGAGCAAGCTCGACCGGGCATCTGAGCACAGTGGGGTCTTGATCCATCGACTGCGATAATCTGGGTAATTTATAAGGGTTAATGGCTCGTAATATCCGCCCAAATTCGACGGTAGCATCGTTATTTGCAGATGGACCTTCCTTCCTTTCTTCTTAGATGCTAATACAGTTTATTGACACAGGCGCAGTTTTCTAAATCGGAGCTCCTGAGCCTGGCTCTGTCTTGGAGGGCCATAGTCTCTTTTACGATGTCTCCACAGCCTTTCCTGGTGCAGACTGCTCCAGCTGAAGATCGTGGAGGGATATGTTGGACATGGCTACATCCTCGTCGAGTAGCTTACAGTCATGATATAGGAGCTGAAACTTGATTTGTGTGCTTTCAAGTGCCGCTGCGGCAAATGTCTGGGCGTCAATTGACCATAACAAATTTAGCTGAATTCAAGGCTACAATAATCTAAGCGCTAAGCCGCTCATCTGGCACGTTACGGTGTACGACGATGGATAATGAAAATGGTTTACGGACTTATCACCTTAAGTTTGTAGCTCATGACGAGATCCCGAAGCCTGGCTTTGAAAAATCACGGTGAGTTGTATCTTCTCAGAGTATAGCACATCTACTTATCGTGCATCTCCTCCAGAAGGGCCTTATAGTATTGTAGCAGGAACTTTACCAAAAGGAAAGTAGTTTGTAGGATCTTTTATATAGTTCATGCCAATAAGGGCTTTCCTTTGAATAACTCCTTTCGAGTTGGCGGTAGTGGATAGAGAAGTTCCAAGTTCTCACAGTAATAGACGCTCGAAACTTGAGTCGAACGTTTTGAAAACCTCATCTTCATGCTGGTACCGGACTTCCATCCGGTTGGTAAAGGGCGACAACCAAAGGAACATTGTTTTCACTATGGATGATGACCAAAGGTGTGTTCTATCTCAAGCATACAATATGTTAACCTCTCCAACCTTTATCATACAGAATGCAGAAAGTGCGTTTGACCGGTGCGTGGTACCTATAGCGAACTATATGCTACATCGTTTACGCAAGGTTACTTTTCCTAACACCTAGTCATCATGGCTTCGCAGTTACCCAAGGTTCGCTTCAACAAGACACCAGTTTGCTTCGCTACTATCTCTGTAGATGTTGCTCCCGAAATGAAAACAAGGTATTGCAAAGGTATCAACCCAGGATGGAACGAGTCCTTTGAGTTGTAAGGAATACAACGTATTTGTCGCATTTTTGCTCACAGTGTATTTTAGCGAAGTACAAGCATCATCGGCCATCAAAGTTACAGTCAATCGCACATCAACTTTGGGACCGAAACTGATAGGGGAGGCCTCATTGTGTCTAAAGGACACACTCAAAGACAAACATAGTTTTGGTAATGATAAGTTTTACACTGCAGCGGCGATTGCTTACCAATCATCAGAACACACATATCCATTGTGCAAAAATGGATCACGAACAGGGGAGCTTGGAAGCATAGCTATACTTCTTGAAGTTGTCGGGAATGCGTCTGGCCCCATTTTACGAAGTCAAGGTCTTGCTTTATCTCATGAATTAGAGGCCCCGGTCATTACGTCGAATGAACCTAGCGAAAGAGAGGCCGCGAGAAACTCTTCCATCCCCACCAAGGCCGAGGTGTTCCACGCAGCAGAAAGTGCAGGCGAATGCGCGAACAAACTAGTGCAGGATCGGGGCGCATCCCATGCTGGATTGAATACAAGTGGAGTGGATAGCCTAGAGAGTCTTGTGGGGAAAACGTGCTTCGATTTAGTGTTTGGATATGTTGAAAAGCTGACAAAAATGGGGGATGCTGTATTCGAGGTAAGTGGCCACACAGCACCGATACTTTGCACTCTACATCAACGTGCGGTTTTTTATAGATTCATCCGTACGCAAAAGCTGCTTGGAGTATTCTAAGCCTCATTCCGAAGGTAGGTTCCATCCACCTCGATGGTACATGCAACTGACGTAGCTGCTCATTTCAGTCTTTAGTAGCTCAGCTCAATCGCGATCAAAAGATCCAAGACCTGTGGTCAACTGCGTCGGATATGTTCGACTTCTTGGACGCTGCAGAACCTGTCATTGACGAGATACAACGTCCCACCGTTTCGAACATGTTAAAACAGATCCATGATTGTGCTTTGTTTGTTCAAGAGTATGCTGGGAATGGATTCTGCAGTCAGTGATCTAATCGTTGTCTAATACCGGGTCTTGACTTTGGTGGCTTTACATTCAGAGCGTGCATTGCGAGATACCTCAAGTTCAGACAGTGACAAAGCCATCTCACAATATTTGATTGCGTTTCAGCAACTGAAAGAGCAATTTAAATTGCGATCGTCCTTGTCGAAACTAAAAGTATTCCGTGAGGTACGAGAGGGACTAGTCGAAGTTAGCGATACATTACAAAGTATCAAAGAAATGGGTATACCATTATACTCTACTAACGTGATACTCCTACTCACTCTTGTCATTCGCAGAACAACATCGAATGATGCAAGGCTTGCTTGGTGATATTCCAGCGGGTGCGGCATGTGACGAGGACCAAGCGTGTTTGGCGAACACGAGGGTGTCACTTTTGGACGAGATTATGGAATGGGTGGATGATTCGGAAAAGCCTCAATACTTCTGGTTGCATGGTCCTGCAGGTTTTGGTAAGTCTACAGTTGCCAACACTGTCGTTGGCAGGTGCAAAGACCTTGGACGTTTGGGAGCGAGCTTCTCCTTCAAGCGCGATATTCCCGGCCGAAATGTACCTGATTTCGTCGTCGGGACCCTTGCGTACCATCTCGCTTTTTTCAGCAGTCATTTCAGGCAACGGCTCTGTAGCGCTATCGACACTTCTGGGAGTATTAAGCAACAGCCTCTGCGTGCACAGCTTAAGAAGTATATCATTGCGCCCATGGAAGAGCTCAGTTTCTCTGGTCCCATCGTCATTGTCATCGATGCTATAGACGAATGTGATGACAAAAGTACTCGTGAGGCATTCCTCAAGGCCTGGTCGCAGGAACTATTTCACCTACCTGTGTTTGTGAAAGTTCTCTTCGTCAGCCGATACGAGAACGACATCCGAGTTCATCTTGAACATCCAAGGTCCATTTCAAAAAGTATCGGTGGACTAGAAGGGACACACCAGGACATCATGGCATACATCGAGAATCAAATGCAAGAAGTTCGTCAACTGTATCCTTATCTTTCTTCAGACTGGCCCTCGCAGTGTAAGAAAGACGACCTGCAGCGTAGTGCTGATGGCTTGTTCATATGGGTTCAAGTGGCCTGTGATTACATCAAAGACAACGTAGACCCTATAGTAGGTCTTAACGATATACTTTCTAGTGGGGTCCCGTCCTCAGGACAGCCAGAAAACGCCATAAATAGACTCTATCTCGGCATCCTGCAACGCAAGTTGCGAAACTTACCCGCCACGGGAGGACTGAACTATTTTCAGTATATCATAGGTTCAGTGGTGGTTGCAAAGGAACCATTGACATGCACGCAGCTAGACTCTCTCCTGGGCTTATGCTCCGCCACGGCTGAAGACCCGCTGGAGCTCCCGGATGGATCTGTGATCAAAATTTCATCTTCAAAGGGCCTCATTGCATCCCTCAGTTCCATGCTGCGTGCTGAGGGCGATACTGTCCGACTGCTTCACGCATCCCTGGCCGATTTCTTTACAGATCGTGAACGCTGTACAGATACACGTTTCTTTGTTGATTTATCCGTTCATAATCGAGTTCTGGCATTCCGATGCCTGGAGACCTTACAACGGATCCTCAAGCGTGATCCATGTGGAATCGCCGACCCAGCAAAGGATAATTCCAAGGTCAATGACCTCAACGACCGCCTTAAGAATTTTTTGTCGCCTGATGGCTGGTATGCCTTTGACTATTGGCATGAGCACCTGTCGGGGGTCATTGACTTTAGTGATGGGCTTTGTGATCAAGCAAGGCACTTCTTATTCAGCCACCTGCTTCACTTGATTGAAGTGAAAAGTCTGCAAGGTGCTATTGATAGTATTTTTTATGTTTTCACGGCGGTCAAAAAATGGTTTTCTGTACGTGATTTTTTTTTGTGATCATCCTGTACTGACGGCGGATTCAGGAGGTTTCTAAATCTCCCCCCGATAACGTCATTCCCCTCCTCGACGACGCAGTTTGGTTTGTTCAGCATTTTCGTGGACCGATTACGCAATGTGCTGCTCACATATACAATTCTGGAATCCCTTTCACTGCCCAAAACACCGTATTTTACAAAACATTTGCTCCTGAACTCCGTGCAATACCAAAATTATGTTCTAGTCCTGCGCAGTCACCAAAATTGCTCACTTTGCCACTGTCCAGAATTGAGTGTGCAGCACTCTCTCCCGACTGTGTACGTTTAGCGTATGCGTCTCGGTATGGGACTATACAAATCTGGGATGTCGAGAGTCGTACCCCAATTCGGGACCTGACAGGTCATGATGTCAGCCATGCATATGTCTGTGTGGTTGAATATTCCCCGGACGGAACTTTGATCTGTGCTGGGGATATGAGCGGTTTTATCTATGTATGGGATGCCAAAACATCTGAGGCAAAGGGTGGCCCGTTTTCAAGGTTTGGTACCTGCGGTCCTGTGCGCCAGATGTCTTTTGTGAATCGTTGGACGGTTATTTCTTTGTACGGCGATGAAATAGTCTGTGTTTGGGACATTGAATCCGGTATGATGTTAATCGAGTGGCAGGGCAGCAAGTACACCCAATTGCGAGGTGCCTTTGTGGTCACTGGTAATTCTGATGATGAAGATCTACGTGTCTTTCTCGTGAATTCCAACCCAGTTACCATCCAGGAATGTGTATCCAAGCAGGTCATTCGGAGGGTGCAAGTGTCATTAGACGAGCAGAGAGCAGCCTTCCTGCTGGGACCAGAGAGCAATCCAGTTATAAGGATAATCAAGTCATCCGGCGATACGATTTTTAGCTGGCCTCTTATCGCAGACAATGGGTCTCGCATCTCATTCACGGACATCGGAGAACAACTTGTAGTTTGGGCCCCTTCCACCGAACCAAGTCATGTTCGGTTTTATGACGTCGATTCAGGCTCACTAGTGCGCGATGTCGTCATACCGTATTTGGGCGACTTTGTCAAAGTCACAGCTGACGGAAGTCGACTGTTGACTTGGTATATTTTGGCTGCTGACGTCGATATATTCAACCTCGCAAGCGGATATCAGATAGCCTCTTTTGGATTTGTTTTAGAATTCTTGAGCGATGTCACTGATATCAACTATGGAGTTCTCCCTTCAGGCAATCGACTGGTGGCAATTGGCGAATTTGATGTCACTATCTGGGATCCTGTTCTATTGGAATCACGACCGTCTCGCCACGTGACGTCCCTGATCCTTTCCCCAACGTCTAGACAATTCGCTGCTGCCTTCTCCGACGGCGTTGTAGAACTCTCTGATTTAAACGGGAATCCTCTGTCGTGTGCCGTGCTCCCTGGCGCCAGATCGCCATTCGCTTTTGCACCAAATGGTGCACAACTTGTCTGTGCATCACTAAACAACGACCTCCTTTGTTTTAACCTCGCCGAGCAAACCTTTGTGAAGCCAGCGTACTTGGGTCACAGTGGCCCTATCACAGCACTCGCCTTTTCTGCTGATCGCATACATCTGGTAACTGCTTCACAAGACAGCACAATCCGTATATGGGATGTCCAGTCTGAAAGTGAACAATGCTCGCTACCCTGCAACTCATCTGATGTAGTCAAGTCGCTGGCTTTCTCCTCAGACAAGTCCCGTGTTTCCTATCAAGTTGTCAGTGGCTACCATAGCCTCTATCAAACGCTTGATGCAACCTCTGGCCATATCATTGGCTACGTTGGTTATCGTCCTTATCGGGATATGCAGCACTGGGCATCATTCTCACCAGAAGGAAAACACATTGTGTGTGTGTCGACCAATGGCCACAGCTGTTTGCGTGATGGCCATACAGGTCAGTATCTACGCCATATAAATCTCCAGCCTCAGGTCACCGATGCAGCGTTTGCCCGTAACGCATCACCTTTTGTCACCATATCCGAACTTGATATAGTGGACATTAAGCACACCACTCCAGGCGTTACGAACACCGTTCAGCAAACATTGAAGAGCTCTCTTGGTACAATAACAATACTCTGCCTATCGTTCGATGGAAAGTACATTCTCATTGGAACAGAAGACGGATATGTCAGTATGTCAGATATAACACAAGGGGTACTAATCTGGGAAGCAGCCGGGTACCACAACATGAGGAACATGGCATTCTCTTCTCATGAAGACAAAGTTGCCATTATCGTTGGTAAGTCTGACTCACCCACTCGCCAGGTCAATTTCCTTGAAAGATCGACTGGAAAATTACTGTCATGCTGTCATGCGTCTGCCGATCAGAACAATATTCCTGTTGAGTTTTCGCCCGATGAAACCCAGCTGATAGGGTCCATACGGACCCAAAAAGTGACGTCAATGATTGAAGTAGATGACACCATCCAGGGCAGCACCACCGAAGGTGTGTAAAATTCAAGCTCTACACTCGTTTCAACCTCAGTACCACATAGGATGCGTGGGAGGGATCCAAGCGATATCTCATGATGGATTAATTCTGGCAAATGCTCACAAAGAATATACCCTCACCCTCTACGACTTGACAAACAGCTCAAGCTATGTTTTTGCCAAATTACGCGGTAAACCCCTTACCTTGCCAGTGTTATCGGCAGACGGTTCAATGCTGGCTTGTGTTGTTGCCAAGGGTATATGGGTCTGGGACACACTGGTACCAGGGTCCACTATCTGTCAGCATAAAAATCTAGAGAGTATTTCAATCACATCCATCGAAATATCACCAGATGCAAAGCGTCTCTTGTACTGTGCGCAAGAGAAGAATTCGGTCAATAACAGTACAGTGGTCTTCATGCTGGATATAATGAAGAATCAAATTATAGCTAGGCATTCTCTTAATCTGGATTCAAGCTGTCACACATGTTTGAATCCAAATAGCGGTCAGGTAATATTAACATCCAATCGAGGCTTCAAGGTCTGGGATGCACCGATGGAGAATCAGTTGTTTATCTACGATGGAATGAACGTCGATAATAAAGGTTACGGAATTTTTGCAGTTATCTCTCCTGACGGCACTCGAATGTTACTATCAACTAGTTCCAGTGCAGAACTCTGGGATATGGAGAATCACAAAAAACTTTCCACCCAGCTGGATGTCGATCGATTCTACAGTAGAAAGCCTCTTTTCGCTTTCTCACCGGATGGAAAATACATCGCATCTTCCCATCTATATTCACGGGGGGTTATTCTTTATGATGCCTTGACTGGTGCCATTCTTTGCGAACACAAATTTGACTTTGATCTGCAAATCACATCATTATCTATTTCAAAGGACTCTGCGCGCATTCTGATGTTATCTGCTACGGGAAACACAGTAATTGGGCATATAGCTGAACCATACACTTCGATGCACATCGTCGACACTATCCCCCCAATCCCCACTATGGCTCAGCTATTGCTCCCGATGTCTCCATGGTTCAAGGACAAAGGGAAAAACTTGATTTACCTTCCTGAGACCGTGCAGCGTCTCTGGGCAAGAATGGGCAGTGATCCTCGTGGGTTAATTCTTGAGTTGAAGACTGGCGAGATTGTTTCTTTGGAACTGGAGGATTATCTGAAAGCTTTCAATTTAGGCTCGGACTGGGGGAAGGGTAACGTACAGTATGTGACAAATGATGAAGACTGGGCAGCGAATATACTAGCCAATTTGTCTCAATGAGCTTCGGTTCACTACTAGCTATAGGATCTTTTTTATTGTATTAGTATGATATTTGATTCTTCTGGTTTGAAATTTGCAGGACCCACAACTGTACATATTGATGGTCTGATGCACAGCCTGACTCAGAACACTACTTATCCCTGAACATCCCCACTGATACATATATGAAATGTCTCGTATCCATTGTGTTTCATCACCTCACCACGGCGTTTCAATTACTTGTTGTCGTTGAACATGGAACATGGTGTTCAGACTAATCTTTCTGATAGCATCCCCCGAGAGCATCCTGCTCCGGGTCCGTCACTGCCAGTGGCAACGAACCACAAAGGTACTGAGTGTGAATCCACGATAGTTTTCGATATACTCGCTCGAGATTGAGACTTGACTTTGAATTACAAGCTACGAATCACGACTCGGTAACTAGATGGTGATACGTACAAGAGCTATAGGATACGGGGAAGAGAGAAAAGGATAAGGTATGCAAATGAGAGACTCATTGCATCGACGGTCAGTGCAGATGGAAAGAAGCTCACATTTGATTCACGGACAGCGGGGCACAACTGGCCAGTTTCGGCACTGAGCCAATTGCAAGTCATGTTCGGTTTTATGATGTCGATGCAGGTTCACTAGCATGATGTGTCGTCCTGCCGAGTATGGGCGATTTTGTCAGAGTCCCAGTCGACGAAAGCCGACTGTTGAGTTGGGGTACTTATACTAGTCACGTCAAGATATTACCTCTCAAGCAAGCGTACTGCATCAGACAGCCTCTTATAAATAACAAGGCCCTATGGGCTAACCTGGCCCCGGGGATTTCTGTATGGTCAAACAAGTTTCTTGGACGGCAGAACGGAGGACGAGGACGGACGGAGCTAGAAGTGGACAAGATGTTACAGTCAATGTCCGTTCGATGGATTATAGAGCCTGAGCCTGAACGCTCGAGATATCTGGTAGTAAGTGCGTTTGAATGAATTGTGCGAGTGGCGCTCATAAGGAAAGACAGGTGACAGTTGATGGTTAGATCTACGAGATTGGGGAAAGTGGGGTAAGGAACAGAGTAAGTGTTCAGACATTCGAGTTGTCTGAGGGGCTTGGAGATGTGGCCCGGGCTGAGCGTGCTTTACAGTAACAGATGAGAATGAGGCTAGGTATGGATATTATAACTCAGCGGCGTCAGAAGTGTGGATCCATGTACATAGCATCTCACTTTTTCCTGATGCGGCACACGCCCGATCCTGAGTCGAATCAAGTTAAAAGGGAATATCACTCGAGCATTATTTCGATATTAATATCATTCATGATTTCACCAGAAATAAACTAGTCAATAATTTACTCGAAGGCGCACGGAAGGAGAGTCTGTATACGAAAGATGGGATTACATAGGGGATATTATAATAGTCTGATTCTACCTGATGACGCAGAAGTTGAATGATGTAGGAGTCCGCTTTTGCCACAGAACATATCTAAACCACTACAGACCAATGCTGCGAAGTACCGTGTGCTCTCGTCTGCCTGAAGGACTTCAAAATTAGCTAAAAACTGACTCCCCACCATCCGGCTCTGTGGAAACGCCTCTTAGCAAGTGAGTACACTATCGCTATCCTTATACTCACGATTCCTTGCCATAGGCCCTCAATCTGCACTTAACTGCATTTCTCAAAGAAGGCCTTGCCCTGGTAGTTGCTGTCCACCTCGCTATGGGTCATGACACCGCAGTAGTAAACACCGCCATTCGCGTTGGCGTACACAACGCGAATCGGAGTCTTCTCCTGGCCACTAGTCTTGGTGTCCTTCTGCCATTCCTTCTGCTTGGCACCCACCCAAAAGACGGGGTATTCAAACAGAGGGTTCTTACCACTGTCGCAGTTGTCGGAGCCCCACTTGATGCCATCGCCGCTGTTGTAGCCGTGGGGGTCTCCACTTTTACCGGCTACGAAGCCGGCGCTTTTGGCCTGACTCTGCGCGTTGTTGACGTCAACTTTGAAAGACTTGGTGGGAGAGGTGTTCGTTTTGGGGTTGCAAGTGACGTATGCCTGTGAGATCGAAGGCGAGGTTAGCTGTATGTCTGGGCGGATTGTCGACAAACGACGCATAGACAAAGAAGAACACTGACATCACGGGCCTCAAGAGCTCTGGCTTCGATACTGTCTTTGACGATAGCAGTAGGAGTTGCAAAGGCGGGTGCTGCGACGAGCGCAAGGGCGAGGAAAGCTTTGGTGAAGTGCATGTCGAATGTCTCTGTAGTGGTGGTGTTGGAGAATGATAAGTGTTGGACTGCGAAAACATCTGCTTTATATACCACGACAGATGACGAGACGAGGTTGAGTTTGAACGATTTGTTTCAACATTGTTAGCTCATGGATTGATATTGATGTTACAGTTGCATATCTCATTAAGCGAGTAGATCGTTAGAGTTACTATACCGCGTTAGAGCGCTGGAATGGAAACCAACGTCACAATAGAGTACTCGTCCATCTTCGATGATCCGCCGACACAAAGCACGTCGAACATGGTATAGCTATACAAATGCATGCATTGCTTGATGAGGTGCAAGCGCTGCAGTGTCCGGGTGGCAACGCCGGAGAATCTCGTGATTGGCTTCGAGGTTGCTGGAAGTCATTATGATATGGTCAATGTACATCAGCAAGAATGTCTTCTCGTCGTTGGATCTGATATGGAATGAGAACAAGAGCTGATGAAAACCTGTGGTACCCACCGATGCAGTAGTAAAAGTTTTTCTTTTCCGAGTGCTGCTCATTACCGCTACATACGAAAAATTAGACCACTTTGGCCGTAATCAGTCCTTCGAAGTGGTAAGATGTTGTACATACCTCTTTATCAAAACAGCGATGATGTCGGTGGAGAACCTCTGGTGTCAATGGAGTATGTACATTCGCAGTGGAGTCTCACCATGGGCAGAGCCCAGAATGATGGCAATGCCGCAAGTGGCACTGGGGCTTACACCTTGCTGAAACGGTTTCATGTCTGATGTAGTCTCCGCTAGCACAGGAAAGTGATTGTCTTTTGTTAAGGCTTTCATCTGATGGCCGCCCAAGCTCACGTGCAACTTGCCATCAATGTTCTGAGAAAGAGTGGAGATCTTGAGACGCTCGCAAGTATACAAGTCACCCGCATCCTGCATCCCAACGCCTACCGGCACACACAAAATCCAAATGGCTTTGCAATACTCGGATGAGCCCCTAGATCTGCAGTTGTTCAGAGAAGACGATGATGAAGAAGACGTGTTCTACAAGAAAAAGCTTCACGCGTTGATCAATGGCGATGTCACACCGTCCAAGGCCGCTACTGACTTTGACGCCTGGGTCGTTGACGAAGCCAATGCGCGACTCAAAAAGCTCATGAAGCGGCCTGACCCAAGGAATTTGGCACCTGAGGATGAAGAGCGGGGGATCGTCAGTATGCGCGCCATCGCGCCCAATCCCAGCGGCAACATCGAGTTGGTCTTTCCGTCCATCGCCAAGTTGTGTTCAGCCTTTCCGCCGTATCATCCCGGACAAGACAGGATCCTCCACTTTCTGGAGGCGCTTAGAGCGATGCCGGAGCACAAAGTCCCCGAAGGCGTTCCTGCAGAAGACCACGATGACCATGATCAGATGATCACATTGTGGCCGTTCGGGGGAAACTGGATGGCCTTGGCTGAAGTGTTCCGCAGGGAAGCATATGGTACGTCTGTCTTTTGCTCGTGTGGGGAACCATGCTGACTAATTTTCTGACATCTTTTGGCAAAAAAAAAACAGAATATTCGTACCCCTATTCTGACATCGAGACTCCCGGGAGCGAAACTCAACTTCGCTGGCGCAACTGGCAATCTGCCATCGCGCGCATTACCACGTCGGGTTTGATAGACTGCAGCTTTCTCTGTGCCCTAGGCGACATTATTCCCTCCAGCAACAACTATCCCGACCTGGAGAAGCGCAAAATTGGCGGACCGAACAGAGTGGGCGGAGATGTGATTGCAGGTGCACAGTGGATTATATGGCCAGACGAGGGTCGGTTTGTGTACGAGCAGTGCAAGAAGGTGGACAAGGTGGATGGTCCTAGGACGATGTGGAGTATGGAGAGATGGGGGTTGTGGAAGGACCAGTTGGCGTTTGTCGTTGGGGATGAGAGATTCAATTCGGAAGCTCAGCTTGTAGCTAAGTTGGCGGGTCAGCGCATGGTTGCGTTAGAGGAGGAAGACAAAGTCCAAAGTGCGACCTAAGGCTAGGTTCACAGGATTTTCAATGTGAAGTTCGATGTTTGCAATGTATAGCAGCTCACCACTCTTTTCCCTAGCATCTACTCTTAGATAACTTAGACATGCTCATTCCTTGCCCGATAGCTTTGAGATTTTGTAACCACTGCAAGACATTGTACTACCTACATATGCTAATTAAACTTGATGATGATGACTTCTCATTGTTCTCAAAACAGTTCATTCCGTCGGTTGTATGACGCATGAGCACTTAACAAATTGCTTAAAGGCTCCGAGAAGATTGGGAATGATGCGCCAATTCTCCAAAGACCACATTCCATTTATCAGATACTTCAAGGAGGTTAGCCGTGATGGGAATGTTGTGGAACGTCGGGGCTGTTCCCATTGACATCAGAGTGATCCCAGCAAATACTTCAGCATCCATGGCCGGAAGTCCTACCAGCCTGCGATGCCTGTCATTCTCATAGAAAGCCGCAATTGGCTCTACGATGAGCTGGACTCTGGATCGTCGGCTGGCATAGTACAATGCTTGAGATCGTTGAGAATCGTGATGACTCTCCTGATTACAACCTACCTTGTCCTGCTATACAAGTCTCTTAAAATTCGTGTGATGGAGCATTGCTCTGTAGTATCTTCCATATAACGGAAGAAAGGTCGCGCGGACATATCTATTGGTCCAAGAGGTGTGCGCTTGGCCGAGTTGGCTATTTACAGCGTATTCGGAAAAGGATGTTCGCGCCATTTTATTTTCTTGCTTGAACACTTAGGCGCTGTACGGGAACAAAAATGAAAATGAGATTTTGCGCATTTTTGGCGCCACAAGGAGTGTCGATATGCCAGAAGGCGTGCCGTGCCGTTCTTTTTGACTCAGACCACCCACCGACCCCATACCCCTCTAAAAACAATGTACAAGAGGAAAGCCTCAGCCTCAGGCATTGAAACTTCTACATGCGACTCTAAACGGCCTCGCTACTGGTTGAGGATGAACAGAGACACCAATCTTGCTACTGAGTCCACCAGCTCGCACAACTACCATGGTGTAAACGCCACACCTATTCCACCTGATATTGATGATGGTCAAGTTTCCACTAGCACGAAGGACAGGCAAATTTGGTTAGAGGCTGAGGAAGTTGCGTTGATTGCGTATATAACTAGCAAGCGAAGTGAGGGTGGAGATGGGATGAATTTCCCAAAGAAATTCTGGCCGAAGGCTGCTGTGGAATTCAATCAGAATATACAAAAGGATCATGTAGTTGGCCCTGCAAAGGAAGGCAAGCACTGCTCTAGCAAATGGGGAAGGGTGCGTACAATGTCAATTTATTAATTGACGGTTTACTTTAGCCTGCGATTAGTTGCGATCTACCTACAAAGTCGTCACAGCGTTATCAGAGCAATCGGGCTTTCATTGGGATGATACTAATGGTGCAGATATCACAATTGAAAGCAACACTGTATGGGAGGAGTACCTCAAGGTATGTGCTCACTTTTTAAAACAATATCTGCATCTTATCGGTCTGTAGACACCAGGGTTTTCGCAACAAGGGTTGGGTCCATGTCAAAGCAATGGACAATCTCATATCTGAGCGTCATGCCAAGGGAGCGAATGCATTTCGCCCTTCTCTCATTCCTACCTCTGTATCTAGTCTTCCTGTATCTACCAATGCCCCAAATTCTTCGTCATCCATATGTTCCCTGCCCTTTCCCCCGCAAACGCCTAGGAGTGATCAACCATATCCCAACAACAATCCTCACCTCACTATGCCAACTATTCCTGCTGGCCCACGTGGTGCAGAAAGTCCCAACATGCAGTGCAGTGATGCCGGTGTGAGCGACTGGCTTATCGGGCTGCCAACTCCCAAATCACTGCCCCCTCCTACCAATATGTCACCAGTTACGTCCGGTGGGTCTTCCAGTAGCAAGCGAAAAGAACGTACCTCAGATGCGGATGTGGATGCAATGTCAACTGCCACTCGCAGCAAGAGCACAGGAGTTACTGTGCATAGTCGCGGTTCTAAAACCCCTCGTGTAGCTGCAAACACAATGACCGCCAATGCCCTAACTGGGTTGAATGATACGCTGGGTCAGATTGTACCTATAATGAAGGGGATAACTGACACTATTCGTAATGAGCTGGATACCCTGTCTAAGAGACAAGACAGTTCTTCCACCGTTATACCCTCATCTGCACCTGGGACATCTGTTACCACCCCCTCCTCTTTCATTTCCCGCTACCAATTCGACATTGCTAAACAGGCCTTGTAACAACCAAAAGTTAGTTACTCTGGCACACACAGAAACACACTATAAGGAAGATGATGAGGGAGTGGTTACCCCTTAGGCTGCAGAGAGTTTATTGGTTAACAACAGGAGGACTCGCTGCGGAGTCTCCTGGATCTATTGGGGTATATATACTACTACAAGGTTATTTGTACATGTGTACTATACAGTTGATAGAGACAGTGGCTGATGATGTCATGGGGCCTAGCCCGCATGGCCAGCTCCATTGTGTGAGAGAGTTATGTCTATAATAAGAAGAAAGGCAATGCGGCGCGAGAAAGAGGAGTTTGGACAAAAGGGGAAGTGCCGCGTGGCACCATGTGTGGAAGCTAAAGTACAAGGTCAAAGCGGAGAATAAAAATAAAGGGAAGGTCCAGAAATTGTGTTATCATAACAGGCCTCCCACATATGAAGAGGTATTGCTATCCAAGCGCTACAAGAACTCGACTATGAGCTTGGGATTCCCAAGCAGGTTGAAGTCCTTCGTATCTTTGAGCACGAAATGGGGGCGGTGGATACATACTTGAACATGTTGCATGCGACTGAGTTGCGTAGGGCATGGATCAGCTCCATCACAAGATCTGTGTAGTATTTACTTCTGCTGGTACAATATGAAACGTTATGAAAATGACATTGAGTTAGTATCATAGTACAAGGCAGTAAGATATTGTGAGACAAAGTTACACTAATCCTCTTCTACGCAGTTCACCCTGATAGTCCTCCCACATCAACTTAGCAATCTCATCTCTCCTCACATTTGCTTGTGTCCGGGTTGCTTCGGTGGGAGGCCCTGTGGCTAAAGTGCCAGTCTCAAGGCGAGGGATGGGGTCTTCAGTGGGAGTGTTGTAGTCTTGGATTTCATACAGTGTCGATGATGAGAACTGTTGTTAGAAAACCACACACAAAAACAAACTAACACACAATCCTCCCAGATTCCACGGAACTTGTTTATGGGCTTTGCCTCCTAGAACAGTGGGTGCTCTGGTTGTTCGTGGGGTGGTATGTATGAGGATCCTTCAAAGTAAAACCCAGAGGTGTATGAGTGTGGGTTTTGAGGAGGAGGGATAGTTGAATTTATAGGAAGATAGGTGCTTTGTGGCGAGTATAGACGAGCACTACCTTGCTAATCGTAGCACAAGGTAGGTTTGAGAACAACGAGGATCACGAGGTGACGAGGTTCCCAGTGATAGCAGGCTCCTGACGCACAAACTGTAGTGCTCAGAAGGACTCTAATTGAAAGGGATGACAATCACTTTCAAAAAGTGACGAGTGACAATGACAGCAGTTGACAATGGTAGCAGTGGGAAGTGTTGTGACCACACTGGATCACAAGCAGCAGAGTAGTGAACTTGAAATTAGAGAAGAAGTCTGGAATGGAGTTCTTGTTGTTTTTACAAGGTAAAATACAGGGGTTTATATAGTAAAAGAAAAGTATGCTATGCACAGTATAGCTGTGCAACAAGAATGAGAAAGAATATGAAGGAAGGAATGTACGCTGACGAATCCTGCGTAGGTAGTACAGGATAAGATTGTCAAAAAAAGAAAAGAAAGGGATAGAACAATGAATGCTGTGAGTAATGTCACAGGTTTGTACAGCCATAAAGTAAAGTCCAATAGCAAAAAGAGAGCAGGAAAATCATGATGTCATGGGAAGATGCAGTAAAAAAGGGCAAGGCAAAACACTATCAGTATCAACACAGTTCCTTTATTGTCAGTCAGGCATTCTAAAAAAATATGTGTCCATAAAAATGATTCAAAAATCAAAAATAATCGCACTGTAAATGAATGTTCTGCTGAAGAAAAAGAAACTGGAGCCACCGGTCCACCACCTAGTCCAAATCCGACAGTTCCATGGCCTTACCAATGGACTGGTTGTGTTGGACCACCTGATCAAACGAGGGAGGGAGAGGAGTAGTTCCAATTTGGAACAAGTGAGTCCCAGGCAGCGTGTGGTAGGTGTAGCTGTAGCGAAGACAATGGACAAAAGATAAGTGTACCCAAGTGAATGGGACAGCGATGAACATGGGCGACGCAAGGGGATGAACCTTCTCCAGCTCAAAAACTACCCACCCACGCTCCAACCAGGCAAGACGAGCGACCGATGTTTTGATAGTATATGATGGCAGATTGATGTCATGAAGATGGACCTGTTGCCCTATTTGGACCGGCCGCCAGGGCTTTGCTGATATCAGCAGTGGCACGTGGTAGTCAACGGATCGGCGACGGAAGCGGATAGGAAGTGGTGACATCAGAAATGGTGGGGGTGCAAATAAGATGAGGAGGAGGAGGGTGGAGGTGACGGAAAAGTGGATTAGAATGGGGATCCAGAAATGACCGTCAGGTGAGAATAAAAAGGAGAGGAAGGGGCCCATGGTGGGGCTAGGCAAAGGAAGGGGAGTAAGGGAAACGACAAAAGCGAGGGCGCAATGCAATGTGTAGCCAGTGGCGACGCGAAAATTTGCCAAAATGCAGAAAGTACCGAATGGAAAAGCAAAGGTGAGCGTGACTGGATTGCCTAATAGAGGTGGTGCTGATCAGCCACAAGTTCAAAAAGGGCAATATTAATTACTATTCCACGTGGCACTGTGCCTGTGTGGCGCAAAGGCGAGTCTTTTTGAATATTCGCTTCGTTATTGACACCTGTCCATGCTACCAATCAACTTTGGTGCATGACAACGGGTCATGGACCCGTATGAAATTATGTAACATGCAGAGGGCAGGGGGTATGCGTGCTTGAACAGCCATGTCATACTCAGGAGGGAGGAGGAGAATACGAAAACGCTGCTTGAGGATCCCAAAGATATGCTCAATGACATTGCGGGCAGATGCATGTTGAAGGTTGAAGTATTCACAAGGATTCTGTGGCCTAAAAATGCTAGATGTTAGAATAGGATGTGAAAAATGGAGGGTAAATCTTACCTGCAATCGCCACGAGCGTATTCCTGAAGGTGGTAGCGTTCACCTCTGTATGGCACTAAAAGCTGGGGGCAGGAAGGAAATCCTGCATCCGCTAGATAGTACTTACCCTGTGGAATGCGAAGGTTGCTCGTACGAGCATCATGGAATAGAGCGGCATCTGCAATAGAGCCTTCCCACCCACTGAGCATGTAAGAAAATTTGAGGTTGAAAGTGCAACAGGCGAGGCAGTTTTGAGATACCCCGCCTTTGCGGTTTCGCAATGCCTGGCGTTCGGCAGCAGATGGGGCACATGCAATGTGTGTCCCATCAATGGCACCAATGGCACCTTTGAAGCGGCAATATTTGGGATTTTCCATGATGTAAGGCAGCGGCGGGTCGTCCTCAGCAGGTAGATGGACATAGGTAACATAAATTTCTGGGGAGGTAAATGCAGCCAGGATCTTCTTGAAGTACCTAGAAATTGTATTGTTTGATCGTTGGAATCGTTCACCAAGATGGCAAACAGATAAGCCTGTGACAGATGCGTATAGGAAGATGGCAAGCTGTTCCTCAAGGCTGACATGCCTTGAGTCGATGTAATGATGGTGTCTGAGTAGGTCAATTAACTTGAGGAAGACATGGCGCCTGACACCAAGTTCAGCATGAATGCGGTCGGGATGGCCCTGCAGTAATTCAAGGACCCATCCATGGCCTGTCAAAATAGAGGTGTGGTATGGTTGGGGTAGAGAGTTGTCAAGTTGGTTGGTAGCTACCAGTGCTGCTGATTGTGCAACCGTTTGAAGACTGAGTGCAAGAGAGAGCTGTTGGGCACATAAGAAAATTACTGCATGGCGCCTACGGGCAATTGACACTTCTTCACTCTCTTCAACGCCCTCCTCTCCCTCTCCCATACTATCATCGTCACTACTGATCCCCAAGTCCCTCTGCCTGCCTGGGCCACGGTCATCGACTTGATCTTCATCCATAGTCTCCGTCAATTGTTGCTGTATAACCGTGAGTTTATCAATCTATCTTGCTGCATGCGGACACTCAATACATTGTCTCTCCGCCTCAAGTGCCCCCCCAAGTGCCACTTTTGCAAAGTCAAAATTCAAAAAATATCGTGATATTCCGTTCCCGTACAGCGCCTTAGAGATGCGGCTGAGTGGGCTTTACAGTAACAGATAGAGGTCTATCGTTATGAAATCAGCTGGAATGAAAAAAAAAAAAAAACGTTCGGGTACCGGGAATCGAACCCGGAGCCGCTGTGTGAAAGACAGCAATGTTAGCCGTTACACCATACCCGACTGAAATCTAACGCTTACTATCTCTATAGGACCTGTGGAAGCCCAAAGAGCTTAATTTGAGGCTTTACATGAACGCATAATGGTCCCTCCATCTCCATGAGAGCTTTTATTATGATTCTCGAATGAAAGATGAGTTCATCTTTATAGTCATCGAACCCAGATTTGGAAGTTGGAAGTTAGTCGTATTGGACGAGGCGTACACCTCAAGCGGATAACTGAACCAACTTCTAGGGCGCCTTTCCCTGTACAGGCTGATCAGAATAATGATACATCTCTTCATCCAACAACGCTTCCTGTCACAAAATTTCCCCGACATACATGTGCTTACCACAAGGTTGGAACCTATATGTGCCCCCAGCGATCCAAGATCTCACAGTTTCCGAATCAAATAAGCCTCTGGATATCATGGGTTGTTGTGTTTCATTTCGCATTCATAATTACAGAGAATTGCACAAACTAGATGCTTTACATTAGAATGGGATATTAAGATCTACCTAAGAAAGGAAGTCAGGCATAACCACGCCGGATTCAGAGAGTACGGAAACAACTTACTGCGTCGATTGCTTTCTCAACCTCCGCACTGAAATAATCGGTCGTAAATACACTAAAATCCACAAAAGCGGAAAATCGGCAGGTAGGGCACCCCGCCGCCCTCTCTAGAGATGGACAGAGAAGAAGAGGGTCGCTAACAGTCTTCGAGCATGGAATTTCCCGCAGAGCATCTCTCGCTCGTTCCATATACTCGATGAACCATGAGTTCACCTCGTATATCTTTCCATCCGCCAGTGGCCAGGATAAAGAATGGTGGACACAGTCGTCACATTGGAACCACACCCAGCGAGAGGCTGAGTTAGGAAACCACGTAAAGTCAGCGGTGAGGGCGCATGCTGCTATGCCACATTTTCGATGGTATTCGAGAAGTCGGTAATATGCAGAAGCAGGGATGTGATCCAGGTCACTGACGAATGGTCCAAAAATTGGATGACGAAGGGTATATTTGGCTGCCAGCCTAGTTTCTTCCTCCAGCCGATAGCGATAAGCGATGGCGAAAACTCGCAGTGGGTCTAGCTCCAAAAAGTGTGGTGTGACAAGCAACTTCCGCACTCTTTCTATCACCTCAATCATCTCATACTTTTTCATCATCTCCAGTACACCCTGTACATCATCCAAAGTGTGGAGGGCAGGATCAGCGGAAGGATAACAGAAGTGCAACAACCTCTCGGTTGTCTGACTGTCTTCCTTGATGTCGAGAATTATTGTGTTCTCTTCTTGTCTCGATTTGATTCCCGTTGCCGCTGGGTGAGAGGGCTGCGTAGATGATGAAGCCGATGAAAGTACGTCTTTCAATACGGATGAAGCGATAATCAAAATAATCTTGTAAACACGGAATTGGACACCGTCAGAAGTATGCAAAATGACATCCGCATCCGCATTGTCGAAAGGAGGAGAGAATACGCCCAGCTTCGGAGATGGAGGTCGCGAGACAATAGGTTGAGACATGATAGGAAGATGGAGGAACAATCATAAAAACGTACTGCGCATCCAGTTAAAAAGGTTCCTAGGCGTGTATACCTGTTCTTTACATGAGGATGACGAGATGAATGCATGTGGTGGTAAGATGAAGGGGGTAACATCGTGCCCTAAACGTGGAATGCGCGCACGGATATCGGATTTGAATGCAAAGACTTCATGTCGAGTCGGGCATCGTCTTTCCTGTAGCGATTAGTCGTAACTTGTGTAGCGACAGCTTTGGGATCTTTGAATTACAGGCAATTTCAAAAATCGGGCCCCAATCCGATAACTGCTGTGGGTGCAGCATCCAATAAAACGCGTCGTTGATTGGGTACAATGTAGTCAGATATCATCGTGCCTGATGCACGAGTCGTGTTCGATGTGTATTCACCGCATTAAAAGAACGTTTATGCGGCCTTCGATTAAACGTGTATCTTGCGATGACGTGGGCTCCTAGGCCCATTGATATGAAGAAATGACTCTAGGCCAGAATCGCCGCCAGATGGAAGATCACATATGAAAACGAAGTTGTACACTAGCCCACCGGTCGGTACCGCTGGCTAGTCTCCTTCCATATTCTAAGACTATCACATGAAGGTCCAAGAGAAGAAAGCAAGTGTGCCAGTCGATGTTGTTGCAAAAGGTTCATTGACATGATGAGAAAGTGTCAAGTTGTAATAATATTACGCGAGATGGCCGTGACCTCGTGTTTTGCGCAGCGAACTTGGAGTGACCACAAGCCGCGGAAACAAAAGACTGTGACGTCGACGATCTTCATGCCCATGCCCATGTTGCGTTCGCTCTTCTACTTGCTTTTCGTGCAAGGTGCTGTAGTCGCCTTCCCCGATATCCTGCACGACACGCTAGGTTTTAAGTCTGGACTATTTTCTCGTCTCCCTGAAGTCCGCAATCCGGGATCAGAGCTTTCGAACAAGAGAGATGTTAGTTACGACGCTACCACCAATATCTCCACTGTATTATGGGTGATCGAAGATACGTATGAAGGCCAGACCTTTTTTGAGTAGGTACACCTGTTGCAACTTGAATAAAACCGATCACTACATGGACTGTCTACAGCACATTTCACTTTTACACTGGACCAGATCCTACAAAGTATGTTCCTAACCCCTGATTCCGTGTTGATACTATATCCTTCACCCTATCCAGTGGCATGGTTCAGTACGTGTTGGGTTGGATTATCGCAGACATACTGATGTTAAATATCGAATGTTAGCTTCGTAGACGAGCAAACAGCTTATAATAGCAGTCTTGCATACGTTACACCAGACAATAAAATCATCATGCAAGGCGATAATACGACTTGGCTCCCGCAGGGAGTAAACCGAAGCAGGTAGGCGCTATACCCATCTTAGGTGTACAAGTGTCATTTTGATTCATAGTTATGATTCTTAGTGTCCGCATATCCAGCCAGGCAGTGTACAACACAGGTTTATTCATCCTTGACCTGGATATGGCGCCATGGGGTTGCGGTGAGTCTGACTTACTGTATTTCTTCCGGAGCTTATGGCATTACGTGCACAGCTGTATGGCCTGCTTTTTGGTAATGATTTTTTTCAAAATCTTCATCCAATCTGTTGGGATTAATTGACGCATTATATAACAAAGGACTCTTGGGAGTGGTGTGTGGCCCTATGTGAGCATCAAGCCCCACAATGCATCAAGTTTCATAACTAACCTATCTTCGAAAGAATGGCGAAATCGATATCTTGGAGGGTGTTCATGACAACTCACACAATCAGGTCACTTGGCACACTGCTCCAGGTCCGTCAATCAGGTCATCATGGCCAATGCGAAAGCTCACCATCTGGACAAAGGTTGCACATTGACACCGACCACTAATTTTACTGGAACTATTGACGTGAGCCACCCAACTGACTATCCCCTCTTACCAGCCCGGTTGAATCGACTTCATAGCAAATCAATGGCGTCGACAACCTTGAGTGTAATTCATTAATAAATGATAATGCTGGCTGCAGCGTGACAGAATGGAGTAACGCTTCTTACGGCCCTTACTTCGACGCTCAAGGTGGGGGTGCGTTCGCAATGAAATGGGATGAGGAAGGTATTGCTGTATGTAAGTACTGCTTAGCTCCACATTGGGCCTGTAAATTGCTAAGTGCGCAACGCGAAGGGTCGTTTTACCGTGCTGCTATCCCACAAGATATCGTGCAAGGGGAGCCCAACCCAACTAATTGGGGATCACCTGTCGCTTCACTTGCTCCTCAGACGTGCAATATGACAGAGTATTTTGCAAATCATTCTATCATATTCGGTATGTCCTCCTTAGCACTATGCATTGCATCAGTAGATTGATGTAGAGGACTTTCAAGATATTACTTTTTGTGGTGCGCTTTCTTAGTCTTCGAAATTTGATGCTGGAGCTAAAGTTATTTTTAAGGCGATTGGGCTGGCAATTCGTATGCCACATCAGGGTGCCCGGGAACATGTCCAGAGAGGCTAATGGATCCAGCAAACTTTGTGGTACGTGCCGCTTATTTTATTAGGTCAAAAACCTTGTGTATCATACGTTGGTACAGAATGCTTCCTGGATTATCAATTCACTCAAAGTATATAAAAAGGCCACCCTTTCAGGGGGCGCCTCAAATGGTGTCGCCGAGTACCCAATCTCGGCAGTGATGGGTTGGATCGTTATCGGGTTGATTCTAAATTTTGGGCTGCTGACTTTGTAGGATGCCAGCTGGCATCCTTAGATGGAAGATTTACTTTGTGCGATTTTATGGAACGATACATATACAACTGATGACAATGATCGCGATACCTACGTCGAGTGCCTGCAGGTTATCACAGCATGGATACGTTGGTTTAACATGGATATATATAGATATTAGGATGACATGGACTTGTTGAATTGTAGACTTAGAACTCTTAGCAATGTGATGGTTGGTTATGTTTGATTGGGGCAACCCTTTTTTCTAAGCATCTATTGTCTATAAAACGGAGATCGGTATACAATGACAGGATTCAGGGTGATTAAGACAGATCTCCTCCAAGACGAGCCTGATGGTGCTGCCCGCTTACACCAGCCTCTTCCTCTCGATCTTGCTCGTTTTTGACTTTGGAATTTTCAATTCCGATGATACTGAATGCAATCAGCACCAGTAGTGCCCCGAACAGGACTTGTCCTTTGGTAGGCTTTCCAAGGAAAAAGTCGCCAACGACAGCAAGTGGTATGGTGAGACTCAGTCCAACCGTAACAACCAAAGGCGATGTTTTGAGCATGGACAACACATAGAGAAAGTCACTCGAGAGTGTGATAAACATCTGTAAACGAAAATTTCAGGCAGGCTGGTTATAAACTTCCAACATGGTCTCACGTTGATCACAATAGCGGCTATTACTTTCTCTCCTGATGGCAACTCGAAATTTTCGAGGCCAGTCCAGTGCAAGATAAAACCCAATGGCCAACAACAGAAGACGTTGAACAACCCGACGAACCCAAAGAAAAGCTGCATGTCGATCCGCGATTCTTCTTGTATCTGGACTTTGAGGAAAATCACATAAAGGGCATAAAATATGGCTGATAGCAGTGCGAGAAAATCCCCGAAAATGGGTCGAGAGTTCATTGCAACGACGGAAGCGGGATTAACCGGATGATCTCGAGCTGAATCTGACAGAGATACTAGAATAACGCCGGTGAAGCTGTAGCGTAACATGTTGAGCGTAGAGAAAGCTGAATATACGTGATCCTTACCTTGTCAATACAGCACCGATCTTTCCGCCGCTCAACGTTTCTACACGAAACAAACGGCCCAAGGCGAGAGTGAAAAATCCTACGAACATTCGTCAGGAGGTATAATTGTGGATGAAAAAACCCAAATACCGACCGCTCGTACTGGACAGTATGGTTGCACTAGCTACGCTCGTATATCCAAGGGCGGCGTTTAAGGTCCAATTAGCTATGAACCAGAGGAACATGAAGTAGAATGCGAGTCTTGCAGTTTCGCGAGGTGTCAAAGGGGTATCACGTGTCTCTATGGGCACATCGTCGATCTAGGGATGGTAGGAGGAAGCGATGGTAAGGACCACGTTATGCGAAAAATCATTGAACTGACAGTAAATTCAGAAGTACTCGACAAATCTTGACGTAGCGGTTGATAGGTTCCTGTCGAGCTATATTGACTGAATACGTGATTTTGAGTACTTGAATACAGGTGTGACATACATGCTGTCTTGCTTTCGATAACTTGCCCAGTATTTCCGTATCACAAACGGAAATAGATAGAATGCAAATGCAGTCGTGTTCAAATACGTTACTCTGATTCGTATGCCCGTTAAAACCTGCGAAATGCTATCAAGTGACCAATGTGCAAACGTACAAGAAAGGTTTGTCGTATCCACCCTCGAACAAATCCTGATAACAGACCACTAGTCAACTGCATAGCAAGGATCATAGCCCCGTCATTTCTCACCTGCGTCAGGAAGTTCGAGAATGTCCATAGAAAGACGACCACAAGAAGGAGACCAATACCGATAGCATAATTTCTGGCTTTCGAAGTTCGTTTCAAGTTTAGGCTGGGCATGGATCTGTCGTCGTTGTCAAGAGCTGCATCCATCCTTGCAATCTTGTGGCTACGTGGACGTGCTCACTGACATACCAATCCAAAGAACGCTGACCCGAACACTGCGAGGAGCCTGTCAGCGACAATGAGCTCGGGCCCGATTATGAGTCCGACTAGTATGAATGATTGCGTGCGAAGAAAAGGCGACTCAAGAGAGGCTGCTTTGCGGTGGCGGTGCTTTGACATGATACAGTACTCTCATTACGCTGGTTATCGAGTCTACCAGCGCTAGACTGGCGTCTGCTGAAGCTCTCTCACAGATACTAACGGAACTTTCTTTGCTTGACTCTCCTTCTTCGAATGTGTGCTGGTGCTCTTGAACTTGTGTAACCTCTGGATCTCGCCACTCTCCTATGGCTTCCACGACTTCTTATGGGCAACTTTTCAGCACTAGTCTCAGTTATGTATATGATCTTCTGGAATATCTCATTCAGCCTCCAAATTCTGTGCATTCATCCATATTTGCAGAATCGACCGCAGCGTCGTTGACTATTGCAGGACCACCCAATGTGGCCGATCCATCCACCGAAAAATCTTCCCCTGATGCCTCATATCCCACTGTCGACTCTTCAGACTCATCTTCAAAAGTAGAGTCGTCAAATGAGGCAAACCTAGTTGTTGAGGACTCGTCTATCATAGCAGGCTCAAATTTGGCATCTGCCATTCATATATCCGACAAAGGCTCGCCGACCATAGCAGATTCATTGGTCGAGCGGAACTCATTGGTCGAGGACTCTGTTGTGGAAGATTCGCTGGACTCTCCAGCCAACCCGGATGCGTCTTTCATAACAATGAACGATATACACACGGAGCCCAAAGCTGCATTTGGTAAAAAGGTACACATCTGTGAATATTGCGACGAGCCCGCAAGGAGGAAGTGCAGTGGATGCTTCAAAGTTTGGTATTGCAGCACTTCGTGTCAAAGGGCCTGCTGGTATCGTCATATCTTCGAATGCAATCCTCGCAGATCTATCAACTCTGCTGACTACCTTCATCTGGCGGCGGTGCAAGACACCTTTCCCCGAGACAAGCAAACCTGCGAAGACTATGGATTTACCAGAGCCTACACAGGGGAAAATAAATCGGAATTAATAGGTTTATACCAAAATCTAATTCAACGCCTCGGTGTCGAATCCCAGACCCTGCATAAATGGAGAATCAACGGAGTACTCTCGCAGGAGATTATAGCAGCTTTCAACCGCCTCCCCAGCAACGGTCGAGGCCAATACTTTCCCTGGTTTCTACAAAATCAATATGTCCTTGACCACATTCTGCCACTTCCGGACCATGAAAGCGGTATGCTGCAACGTGCTTGGCAATTCATCGGAGGCTCAGCTTCGGATTCAGACGCAGACATTAACGTAGTCATGCGTATCATGCCAAAGCACAAAGTCAAGTGCCTCATGTTTTATAAGACACTACTCGGCTATTGGTATCCTCGCGTCGATCAAGACTTTTATATTGAATTTGGCTTCTGTGCGTATGATGAACCCGGTCAGAGTTGGTTAGGGTTCCGTTATATGGACTTGATCAATGCTTGTACTTTTGACGAATTCTGTGACGCATATAAGAGCTCAAGCATCCTCTCCCGCCTGGACCTCGCAATCGGATGTAATATGTTCTGTAGTAACAACTGTCCTGATCTGTCGGATGTTCTCCACGGTTCTCCAGATATGTTCAAGTCCGTATGGTACCTGATACAGATGCTCAATGCAGAAGTTCCGAAGGAGGTGCCAGCTGTGATGGTTGATTACGGTTTCGTCAACTGTAGAGATGAAGGAGAGAGAAAGGCCTTGATGGACGTGTATCGTAAGGTTTTGCGCATGAGCAAGCCACTGAAGCTGCATGAAGCTGCCGTTCAAGGGAAGCTCTTCGACTATGCGGGAGGGTTAGTGAAGTTGAAGAAGAAGTTCAAGCGTCTGATGAAAAATCCATATCCTTCGGCGTCTTTTTGAGCCCATAGGTTTTTGTCTGTAACTTTTCTATCAATGTTTCTGTGAGGTGGGTTGTCTTATTTCATAAACGTCTTCCCATCTATGCTAATGTGCCTTTCGAAAGACGTTGGACCATGTTGTAACTGTATAGAGCCACTATTTAAGGAAAGTTGTACGATTATGTGGGAGGGAGCTGAAGAAAATCAAACACCTGTGTTCGCGCCTGCTACTGAAAAGTGTTGTCAATATGCTGGTGAGTAAACGTATATTTTCCAGGTACACATGGTGCTTAACTTCGATACCTTTGTTACATGATGTTGGATTCAGAGCTCTCTATTTGCATTGTTTTTTTTCTGTCGTTGTTTTCTTTCCGGAATTCTGTATCTCGTACTCCTACACTTCTACTGTTTATCCCCATCCGTCTCAAGGTCTGTCTCTCATGCGTCGTGAATGCTCTTACTGTTACCATTGTATCACCCTTGTCATTTCAGCTGTAATGTACAATTTGAAGCCAACTTCGAGGGCTCCTCTGTGATGTGTAAGATGTATATAGCTTTACTGTGCTCGCAGCTCATGCGCTCATGCGGTGATGTACGCGTCAAACGCGCAGTGAGCACGTGCCTGCAAAGCATCTTGTATTTGGGTAGCTCTAGTTTCTTGCTTGCCCTTGCCATAAGCTACGTTCCACTCTCCAGTATACTTTATAAGACAGTATCGGATTTATTCTGACGCACGAAATCCATTAATTCTGCTTCACGTTTTAATACTGTATCATCGTTATCATCGTTCGGTCCAACTGACGAACTTTCACGTTGCGGTGATATCCATCCAGCATCAGCATCATGGACCACGACTCTCCATCTTTGAATGAACCCCTTCACGGCTCAGACAGTCTAACAAACACGCTCGGTGTCCTCCAAATTTCACAGAGCGGGTCAAGTTCGCAGCCTGATATGCTACCAGCACCGTCATTTGTACCTCCTACTGAAAGTCCAAACCCGTGGGATGACCGGCCACCACCACTGGAGCTGAAGCAGGTCCATACGCCCGAACCTTCTTCTCTAGACCCATCGATGAATGCTTTATATGATCCGGCCTCGCCTCAACGGAGCAATATCGCAGAACGTGCTAGTAAGGAAGTATTGAGCGAGTTCGATCCTCTTGCGAGCCATGAAGAGATGGCTGCACGAGAAGCGTGGGCTGACGCTGAGGGACATCCACCTCCTCGTCCACAGACCCCACAGTCACCTAGGCCTAGTAGTCCTCGCAATCCGACGCACTCGAGATCTGGATCGAAAGATGTCTCGCGAGAGGCTTCATCGTCCAGGCCAAGCTCGCCTGCGCCCTCAAGTTCTTCTTCTTTTCCGTCTCTTGCTGCTCTCGCTCGCACATTTTCCATCCAAAGTAAACCTCGTATACGTCCTATATCCCTCGACACAGCTCAACCCATCCAGTCCCCTTCTACGTTATCGTCGTTTGCCCAGCAACAGCAGGCACCATCACCTTCGCCTCTTCAGAAACAGGTACATCTCCAGGCAGATCCTAGGGGAAGTTCCCCGGGTAGCAGATCAAGCACGCCGCAGAGTGGATCAGAGTCTCCCAGACCGACTAGGGACAAAGACCCAACGTTCGACTTTCAAAAGTTCTTGGATCAAATGAAGATGAAAGGAGCTGAGCCAGTGGGCAAGTACCTCCGATCGTACGTTTATCGATGTTTTACGTCCTTGTAATATGATTCTTCAACGCGATTGAGGCAGGTTCTTGAGCAACTTCGCAAAGCGGACATTTACTGTAAACGATCAGGTCAAGATCATCAATGATTTTTTGAACGTACGTATTGACCTCTGTCCGAGGTCACTTTGATCGAATGCATCTGCATAGTTCATCTCTGTGAAAATGCGTGAGTGTGACATCTGGCGCCATGCCTCTGACGCCGAAATCGATAACGCAATGGAAGGCATGGAGAAACTGGTAATGAACCGCCTTTATGAATTGTATGTTTTATTTTTCTCGCACTATTTGGTCTCGAATAATTCTTTGACGCTTCGTAGCACATTTACACCGCAGGTCGCGCGCATGCTGCCACCCCGACCCATAACGGCTGACGACCTTGAACGGGATAGGGTGCTTTCTCAGAGAATCGCATTATTTGGCTGGGTGGAGGAGAAGCACCTCGATATCCCTGTTGGAGAGGGAAGTAAAGGTTTCCTGATGTTCGCACAGCAAGGTAAGTCGAGCTACCGTATATTGGCACACTCCTGATGAGACCATGGCTATCATACGGACAGAATTACTGAAAGTCAACCACTACAAAGCTCCACGAGACAAGCTTATCTGCATTCTAAACTCGTGCAAGGTCATATTCGGTTGGCTTCTCATGGTCTCATCACTGGCTTTCAGTGCTCACCCATAATCCTCTGTAGGTTTGATAAGGCATTTGCACAAAGAAGAAGGCGCGGATTCCTTTATCCCGATATTAATATTTGTAGTTCTCAAAGCAAATCCGGACCATCTGCTGTCGAATGTCGAGTGAGCTTATCCTGACAATTACTTGATTATATGGATAGTAACGTCGATTAAGATTCATTAACCGTTTTCGCAATCCTGCCAAGTTGCAGAGCGAAGCTGGTTATTATCTATCCAGTCTGGTCAGTCGCTCGGACCTTATTTCCGGGCTCTGGATTGTTATTAACGTAATATCTCAAGATGGGTGCTGTGTCTTTCATTGAAACGATGGATCATACTTCTCTGTCAAATACAACTCAGGAAGAATTCGAAAGGTAGTCCTATATTAATGCTGACGTATTACGGCGTGCATAATTATTTAATCCTATAGGAACGTAGAAGAAGCAATCCAATCTCTCCCGCCTTCTGAACCTCAATCACCTACGACAGAACCTACTACCTCCCGGCACTCATTATCGTCCAGTTTGTCATCGTTAAATGCAGTGGTCTCTCCCCATGCAGGAGAAGAGTCCGCCCAGCCCCTCGCGTTATCCACACCAGGGCAAACGTTGGGTGAAGATGCGAAGAGGTTACTGCAAAAGACGGGTGACACGATATCTAAGCCACTTAACGCAATTGGTCGCATCTTCACCGAAGCGCTGGACGAAAAGTTAACCTATCTTCCGGGGCCATTCGCACCATTTGAAATTGGTAGGGAGGCTCGGTCCGGACAACAAAGGCAAGGAGGGACGCCACAGCAATGGGCACAAGCAGATCATTATGCGGCGCAAAGCGGGAGTGCACTCTTGCAGACACCGGTTGGAGCTGGTGAGGGAGGGCAGCAGGTGGGCCCCTATGCAGCACCGATACAAACGCCATACAAACCTCGCGTGCGAAGAGTGCCGTCACCGGCTCAGACTGGGTCGATGCCGGTCCCCACAGGGGTAGAAGAAACACCCACTCGACGGCCTTATACGAATCAACCACTCGCTATAGGACCGTCGCATAACTTGGCAACACCTGGACTCTCACCATCACAACATGTATCTCGTACACCAACGCCTAGGATTGATTATGCGGGATTACAGGTTGAGATAGACCAGGCACACGAGAGGGCGGCTGTGGCGTCAAGAGAAACACTTGTACAGATCTTCCCAGGCATGGACAAGGAAATTATCGAGCTGGTACTTGAAGCGAACAGCGGGGACCTTGGGAAGAGTATCGAGGGCTTGTTGGAGATGAGCAGTGGGACGTAGTATCGTCCTACGGGGCTTGTCGGGGATGTAGTGGATTTTCTCGGTATTCTTTCAGAGATCGAGAGTGGGGTGTGGGGAAACTTGTGATCGGTGCCGTTCCCGCCCCTGGACTTTTTGTTGTGCGTGTTGGATTATTGCAAATACTGATATAATTGGACGTGCATTCTGCTTCCGGGATTACCAAGGCTTTATGTCATATCTGCAACTTTCTGGAATCAAATCTGAAGCTGTCGTCGAATATAGTTAGATGGCAGATAAAGTCACGCTGGAGATGCTAAGATGAGCGTGTGTAGAGGTAAACGTGTGTTTGCTATAAATTTTCTTCTTCCGTCCTGCTTTCTTTCCACCTTGATAGGTTCTGGGTGATCTTTTCTCTATCGATGGTGATCTGCCATGTCGTAATTCTGCAGCAGGCTGACTTTTTTCCAGGAACATATATGACTTGCCTCTTTGGCAAACTTCTCTCACTATCTCAATGATCATGCCGTAACATCCGGTAATACTTGATCCATTCATGATCCAAACGTCCATCACGTGTGCGTCCTGTTGTTTTCCCAATGTTTTGGGATATGCGGGGTATCACCTTTCTTTACGGAACCAGCCTATGACATGGACCGTGGAGCCGAGTTCCTGAACGTTAGCCAAAGCTGAGAAGTTCGTTATAAGACTCTCTGGTTTCCTGATCTAAGCCGCTCAGCTTTTCTTTCGTCCCCACATTTAATCCAACATGTCGGAGGTTAGGACTTCCCTGCCTTCTACAGAGCACCCAAGTCTCTCAGAAAAGGGAGCTGCTCATCAGGACGAAGAAAAATCAATCCCAAGTGAACCTAGTCAACTCTACAATGCACACATTGACGTCTCTGGGGTGGATGAGCGCAAGTTGATGAGGAAAGTCGACTGGCGCACCATTCCATGGCTCTCGTTCCTCTACTTGCTATGCTTTTTGGACCGAACAAGTATTGGAAATGCAAAAGTAAGTTGTTCTATTTCCCGTCCTCTCGAGATTAATGTCGACCTCGTGCGTAGCTATACAACATGGAACAAGACCTTCACATCACCGACACCCAATACCTTATTGCCCTCACAATCTTCTTCTTCTCGTACTCAATATTTGAGGTGCGAGAAACTTGATCTGTTACCATGCCAAATTGATATTGATGCCCTCATCGTTTGGTATAGGTGCCCTCCAATATCTTTCTAAAGCGCCTGAGGCCGTCAATATGGCTCTCATTGTTAATGTTATTGTGGGGGGTGATGATGGTATACTTTCTCTTGCTTACTCATATTATGGGCATTAATATAGCGGCATATAGACTGTACAAGGTCTGGTGCACGATTACGGCGGCCTCCTTGGTAATTTACACAGCCTCTCGTCATCCTTTCTGAATAGAAAACTGAGGTCTACTTTAGGTATGCGATGGATGCTCGGCACTTTCGAAGCCGGACTTTACCCCGGAGTCAATTATTATCTATCATGGTGTGCATTGAAACCATGTCTGGTACTCTTCTGCCCTTCTAACGAACTGGTAGCTGGTACAAACGGTCAGAGTTTGGGGTTCGTGCGGCGATATTCTTTTCTGCCGCAACTGTCTCCGGAGCTTTTGGTGGCCTCCTGGCCGTGAGTACAGCTGGAGTCCAAGATTAGTTTCCTTCTGACGTTCATTGCGCGCGAAACAGGCAGCGATCTCAAAAATGGATGGTGTGGGTGGAAAACCCGCATGGGCGTGGATCTTTATCCTCGAAGGCCTGGCCACCGTCATTGCGGGAGCCTTGTCCTTTTGGATTATTGTAGATTTCCCAGACACCGCAACATTCCTGACCGAAACTGAGAGGACTGTGGTCATCAGACGCCTTCAAAGTGATGATCAGTTCAGTGCGGCGGGTGAACAGCTCAAATGGGGGTATATCAAGAAAAGTCTGTTAGACTGGAAGACCTGGGTCGCAAGTACGTTAGATACTGTCCCACCTAACGATATATGCTGATGGAGAATGTTAGTGATGGTATATACCGGAAGTGATATGCCTCTTTATGCATTCGCACTTTTCCTTCCAAGCATCATTAATCAGGCAAGCCTTGGTCTCTAAATTTAATGTGGTCAATATTAACTGGCGTTCGCTTTTAGCTTGGTAAACCCCTCTTTTTCTTCTAGAAGAGAACTAAAGGATTAATCTCAATTCTGACCCTAGGTTATGACGCTACTCCTGCAAATCTTCTTACCGTCCCGGTATACGTTTTGGCTTGTATAGTCACATGTACAGTCGGCTATTTAGCTGATAAGTACGGTCATCGAGGTTGGTTTAATCTGTACGTATTTCTTTTGTCATATTATTATATGTCGTCAAACGCTCATTGCTGTGCAGTGGTTTTTTGTGTCTTGGTATAGCAATTTTGTGCTTCTGATGTTGAAAACCATTCTAACCAGTTATCAGCTGCTGCTGGATACATCATTTTGCTTGTCTCGCGGAATGCTACACTCTCTTATGTTGCCGTGTACATGGCTGCTTGGTAAAATGGTTTATCTCTCACTACCAAATCAGTGTCTGACGGCTCTTCCTTTTTCCAGTGGTATTTATCCTAATATCCGTGAGTAGTCTTAAATGCTACCCCATATAAGCTACCTTCTGATAAACCGTGTATCTGAACCAGCTAACACCGTGTAATTGGCCTAATTTTCGATGTGGTGTACTCTACTAACGCATCTCTTCTAGTGCTTGGGCATCCAATAATGTAGAAGGATCTTATAAGCGCAGTGTATCACTAGCCATGGTGATTAGCTTGTACGTAGACTGTGCAACTCAAGATCTTCCATTGTCCTCATGCCTAGCTTAACAGGGGAAACATTAATGGTGCCGTTAGCTCGAACGTATATCGAGCCAATCAAACTCCATGGTATCCCATGGGGCACGGCCTAGTGCTCATGTACATCTGTTTCGGCTTCATTGCTAATGTCACGTATCAATACATGCTGAAGGCGGAAAATGCACGACGGGACCGCGGTGAACGTGACGAAATCATCGAAGGAATGAGCGGTGGTCTGGAGATCAATGGGCGGTTTGCAAGTGTAGAGGAAGCAAAACGGGAGAAGGGAGATGAATGGAGTGGGTATAGATACACTTTGTAAAGATTGCTGTCTATAGACTAGCTGTAACATGACATTGGCTGCATGGTTTGAACCCGCGAGTTAGGGGAATGCGATTCATAGAGCTTGCTACCCCTCTATTCGTATATTTTGGGCCGCATTTAGAAAGTGCTGTGGATGGAGCGGATGACGTGATGAATAACGATGAATAGCTTCGGTCACCGAGCATATGGCCTCGATGCCATAGTAGACAACCGTATAACTGATATCTCGAGTTATACCAAGTTTCTGGATCATTTTTCTTGGAAAGGCTACTTCACAAACTCCGTACAGTATCGATGAGTCGTGTTCCATTGGTCTAATCACACTTACCTCTTTACAAGAACGTGTTTAAGGGTCTAGAGCCATCTAGCTATTCAGGCCAGAAATTCAGGACTATACTAGTTACCAAACATATTACGACAGTCGAAGGAGTTTTGCAACACCACTAGAAAGGTAAATGTTTATCTTTCAACCCAGAAGGTTACTGCGAAATTATACCTCGCGAACGAAGGCGCGATTCTTCTGGTTTATCAGATGGTGATACAACCGGACCGCATAGGTAAAATTTAGAATGATCAGTAAGAAAGACATGATCGAATTTCAAACCCTTGAGATACGCACAATTATCATAGCTGCCGACCTTTCATTTCCGAGGACAGAATCAGTCCATATCGGAAAACGATGTCAGGTGTGGCCATCATATTGCACATGTTACAACAGCCATACAATATCTTGAACGCAGATATATACAGGTGTAAGTATCTTCACACGCACTGTATAATTGTAAGTCGACTTTTTGCTATGAATAAGCCTTCTATTAAGGAGCAACTTCGCGAAGCCAGTAGAAGGAAGCTGTGACATCCGGGCCGCGTTGTTGTTTGTTGAATATTCTGGGGTTCCACGTATACACCTACAGGGATTTCGCAACGCTGATGACTTGCTATACGAAGCTTCGCGGCCTTGATAGAGGATGCGTGAAGTATGTTTTTGATATTTTTGATAGTTACGTCGATCAGGGCAAATTGATTACACAGTCGATGACCAAATGCATCCCCGAGACGTGAATTAATTCAGTTTTTAAGCATGAAGGGCCTAGACGTTGCGCACGGACGCTAGATGGACCTGATATCATATGAGTAGACAGCCTGGCAAAATTCCTATCCGAAACTGTGAGATACCATAGGGCGTAAAAATCGAACACATGCAGGATGCTTACCGTGTCACATCAGATGGGAGTGTCAGCGCGGTGATAAGATCAGATAGGTGCAATTACCTTGCCCCTGTGAGATTGTGGTGACTGGTCCATCACTGGAAAGGCGTCAGCAGATAACACTGGCACAGAAGAAAACGAGTCCAATAATAAAAATAAAAAGAGCTTGTGGCGTTTAAGCGGACACGTCATATTTTGTTGGACTCTGCACCACTGACCGCTTACAGGTACATAGTAAATACGGCCGCAACGGACAGAAGTCGGCATCGCATTTCATTTCGCTTTGGTTGACAGGGAAAATAACGGGTGTTGAGTTGTCCGTCCGTGAATTGCTGAAGCATCCGTAATGAAAGGCTTGGCACTGCATGCTGTGAAGTCCAACCAACGTGTCTTGGCGCATTTGATCCGCCTAACCATGGATAGTGGTATAAGCTATGTGCAGCACGGGGGTGGCTGTTGCTGGACGTACTGTTGGTAGCATTGGGCGCTGATGGCGGAAGCAAAAGACTGTAGGGAGAACAATTTCTGTTCAGCCACTCGACCGAAAAAGGAGCGGCAATGATGCACCGCTTAATGCCGCACACCGGCCCTAAAGGAGTGCCACAGCCATTCGCTATTTCGCGATTAGATAATTAAAGTTCAGCGCAACATTCAGCGCGTCTTTTTACGCGTCCTTCTTTCCTCTTCCTTAGCTCCCTCCCAGTTCCTTCCCTCGTAAATACCCTCTCCTTCATACCCCTTCATCCTTTGCTTGTTTTATTAGCAAAAAAAATGGGTCGACCCCTCTTCTCAAAATTATACCAGGTCACCCCCGCTGTGCGAGAGCCTGAGCCTCCTTGCCCTCACGAAAAATGGTCTTATTTAAACAATTTCGATCCTGACGCCGACGAGTTCTTTGAAAATGCCGAATACGAGGCCTTTGTAGAAGCAGCGGATGTTGCAGCCCAGGAGGAGCAGGAACGGGATGAAGTTGTGGTCATCAGGGTGGGCAACACCAGTCCAACTTTCAGCGAGGAGAGTCTTAGCGACAGAGCAAGTCCAATGGCTGTTGGCGATGATCCTGCTCGTCTTATCGCTGACGCATACGGTAGTATTAGGACAGGGGAGTCTGCCCTGAGGGAGGAGTTACGTCGTGCTCCTCCAAGAGGTTCAGTCGGTCCAGAACGACGGTCTTCCAGTGATCTCGTCAGTCCGTCCACGTCTGCCTTCTTGAACGACAGACCACCCAATCCTTCCCGCCCTTCCATCGCCCGGGTTGAGTTTCCACGCAATACTGTTTCCCCTCCTATCGCGCGCCCTCACCGCAGAGCATCTGTTGCCGTACCTTCAGTCGATGAAATCTTTACTCCTTCTACTCCTCTGCGTAACTCACCATCCACTCCGCCATCCCATCAGACCCCTCTTACTCAAGTCTCGCCTTCTCCGCCCCCGTTTGCGACACCCCGACTGTATTCTTGGTCTTCCCATCCACGCGTCATTCCTGCCTCTCCTTCCGTAGGCATGGGCCCACTCACCAACTCGAGTGCTCGTATGTCTTATGCTCACCTCGCGCCTCTTGTTCGCGTTCAGAACATCATGACTTGATGACTTGATATTCATTGGGTTCAAAAAATTGAGCAGGACTTCCCAGCTAAATCTACTTGCTGCTATTCACCGTTGCTTTCTTTTCTACTAAGGGAGCTGGGAGGGACATTTACGGGGCTACTACATTCAATGCTACATTTAAACATGACTTATATCTTTTATTTCGCATCTGACTAATCATTTATGTGCTATATGCAGTGATCAACATTTCTCCGTTTCTGTACTTGTACGCTGATTACTTATGGTGCAATGAGTGATTTAGATTAGACCAGCGACTAAAACAGTCTTATTTGCTTTCTTTATGGTTATCCGAACGTAGTATGATCAGCCCCATCGTGTATCCCACTGTCCAACGCTTTCAACCTTCATCCAGCAACATTCTGACTCGGAAGAATCCTCATCTGTTGTCATACCGTCATGAACTGGGGGTATAAAGAGTAGACATGTTGTATCTTCAGCATCGATTCTGCATGCTCTTAACGGAGCTTCCCCCGACACTGAGCTTTTCGCTCCCGCTTCTAGTGCTGAGGGTGCGATATACGACACAGGAGACCAAGGATACGCATGCGACATGACAGAGACAAACATTTGCTGTTCAGTGGAGTCTTGTGCAGCGTTTGGGGAGCTCAAAAAGCAACTAAGGTAAACTGATCAGTGGGGAAAATGACTCAGATGGCGCAAGAGATTACCTTGAGGCATTGATAGTGGCTACTGTTTGCACGAAGACTGGATGAAGGAGACCTGTCCAACTCATGTGTGTAGCGCTGCCAATACGGGACGGCGCGGGCGGCTCATACACAGCAACATAAGGATCGACACGATCATTTGCTTTGAGTCTGGCGCAACAATCCATGAGAAGACATGAATATAGCCCCTTGAAAAGGAATTATACCTTTGAGCTCCAAGTGCCGCCATTCCGACCCACTCGAAGAGTTCTCTGGCATTTTCATTCCAGTCATCCAAGGCTTCTCCATCCTTGTCATATTTACTCGGGCATGGCGAGATTGTCGGGATTGGTATATGAACATCTGTATATCGCTCTACCTGCGGACGCACGGGTTTAAGTTCATCTGGTGTGAGCCCTCCTGGAAATTCTTCGATATATCTTAGCAACCAGATTCAAAGAAAAGGGTAAGTGTGCTTACCTGCGCCCCCATTACAGTGTAATACCTGCCATTTGGGATATCCTGCTTCTGCGCGGATGTCATCCCATATCTTGAGCGCAGCTTTTTGTCTGGCACGAACGGCTACCGATTCAATCTGTTCTCTTAAGGGGATGCGTATGACTAGGCTCGGCATACATAGGACAGAATCTACAGGTTTGAGGGAATTTAGGACGTACCGTGATGTTCTGCGTACCCCTTGAATGGCAGCTTCTTTCCTACGAGGCCGATACGTTCGTATATCGGTTTGGATACCGACAGTGTGAGAAAACCTCGGTAGTCGACACACCACGTATCATCGGAATCGTTCTGGGTCGGGACGGCCATAAAGGTGCTAAGAGTGACGATTTTGTCAGGAACAATGATTAGAAGAGGCGTGCCTCGTAAAAACACCCACTGTTCCTCGTGTGCCCAGTCCACCGTCAAAGCATTCTCATACAATTCTGACAGAGTAAATTCACCTTTGTGATAGGTCGGTTCTAGAATAGACAGGAACATTTCTACGTCGTCGGATGATGGAAAGACGACATCGAGCTGCATCAATATATACATGAGTAGGAACATTGATGTGGGCATTGTTCCTACCTGCTGTATGAACGGATGGGTGACCCCAAATTGGTGAAGACTCGGGGAGGAGCTAGGTCCGGTGTTAACCATCAAACGCCTTTTTTCGAGCCCTTCCATGACTATAAAAAAATGCAAGGCATTTGCATTAATTGGTCGCAATTAGCTTTCGGACGCTGACACTCACTTTGTATCGCTCCAGGAGTACAGTTTCAGAGGTAAAGAAAGTTTTTCGATGACCTATTCCTTAGACCTTATGGGTCTTGGGTAGGTTTGATATAGGAGACCAGGTTTAGGGTGTTCTCCAAGGACACGAAAAGTAATAGGGAGCTGCTCCTGATATTGGTATCATATCATGTGTGGATTTCAAGGTCAGCGAAGGCCTTGGCCTAAATAAGCTGGTAAATCATGTTGGTGACTACAGCTAACGCTTACCCTCGTCACGGTTATGCTACTTGAATGAATTGAGAGATCGACATACCAAATGCTTCCAGAAGACTCGGAATGGGAGAAAGTGTTATGGAGAAAGCAAGAGTACCCTGATAATTACATTCCCCAACGCCTTTTTCTTACGTCGCTGAGAAAAAATGGTCAGTCTTCTAGGTTTACCTCGGTTACACGCTGATTTGACGTTACACTCAAGTGAACTTCAGCCCATACACATATTGGCCTCTGGTTTTATTATCTTGTGCAATCACTCAGCATCTCGCAACCATCTTTTTGTTTCTCGCGGTCTTCGTCAGGCTAAAAGAACGTTTACTCGACGCTCGGATATTGTTGTACATTTCAATGGCAATATTTCTTGCTGGTTATATGTTATGGGAGCTACTGGACTACCACTATCCAGAACATGGTGTCTCCAGGATTGGACGTTCGTTTTATTTCCCTTTAGCTGATAAACGTTGATATCTCACCTCAAACCAGGTTCGAAAACATTCAAATATTCTCTTTTGTTATTTCTTACTTTGATGGGGTTATCACCGGTCCTGAAAACATTGACGGCTGCGACATCATCTGATTCTATCTGGGCTTTATCTGCTTGTCTGTTCACCGTGAATGCACTGCTGGCCGACTACAGTTCTTCGAAGCCTGCACCGTCTCGAGGAAGGTGAGGTGGAGCCTGCGTAGAAAGTGAACTAAGCTCACATTCTGTATACCATAGACTCACATCAGTCATATCCATGAACGCGGCTATCTCGTCGTCTGTCGTGCTCGCATCTCGCCTATCCGATGACCTCGATGTCTTCGTTCTTATTCTGTTTTCCGTCCAGCTATTCGCTTTATTCCCTATCTTGCGTCACCGTTTACAGGTAATTAAACGCTCTAATAAAAACAATTTCATCATCGACTGAAACGAGTGACAGGTTACCCCCTCTATCTTGCAAGCTGTTCTGACTTTTGTCTTATCTGCATCATGCATCATCTTGACTGCGCCGTTATCAACAACGGCCACTTGGATATACACCGCTGCTCTCATCATCGTCACTTTCCTCGCTCCGGGAGTGCTCGTTTGGGCTCAAAAATATAAAAAGTAAGGTCCGGCCCTCTCCATTCTACATTCCAAAGCTAATGAAAATCTGATGAATGACAGCGAGATTAGGGGTCCTTGGGATGTAGCGGTTCCCAGGATGAGTTAGAGTGCATGAGATTTACAAGGTTGTGCATTCCGAATACATCGGCTGTTGACAGCAAGGCAAGAATGCAGCGCCTTTTTATGCAGACATGGAGGTTCAAAGTTTTTGCCGTGTGTTTCTTGGACCGCACGAAGCGCTTGATAGCGATCAGATGGAGTCAAGCACACACAAGCAACATATCAATTCGCAGGTGTATCATTTGTTCGCCGATATCATTTACAGCCCTTGATTATGCGCACAGCAGACTGGCTGGGAAGACAGGACGCCCCAAGGGTTAATGTTTATATGTCCTATTATTTAAATCAATGCACAACACTATTCACATCACCTAGCACGAAATTATCTATCAATCTCGTTCTACCCAACCACAGTGCCCCACTTAAAATCACAGGAGTGTTTCCCACTGTTTCTTTGACAGCGTTGCCTTCCAACACTTCGAAAGTCTCCGAGTCATTCATTTCGATGTAGTCCAGCTTCATTTCGACACCCTCACCGGCTGCAAGGGCGGCAGCGCCTTCGACGAAAGACCGTGCTTTTGTCGTGGACTCCTCTTTCGTGCTTCCGCTCTTCCAAGCTGACTTGACTTCCTCGAGGGCTTTTACTAGCGTAGCAGCTATCTTCCGTTCTTCCGGTGTGAGATATGCGTTCCGAGAAGATAAAGCGAGCCTGTCCACAGGATCACGTTCGGTCGGGACGATGTGAAGGTGGTCCGGATCGGGGTAAGCCATTAGTTGGTCTTTCACCATTCGACGCAACAGTAGCGCTTGCTGGATGTCTTTCTGACCAAAGTACGTGTTGGTTGGCTGCAAGCAAGAGAATGTCAGCTCGAGGTTCAGACATTGCTTAACAAATATACTTACCTGAATGGCGTTGAATAGTTTAGTCACTACAGTTGCCACCCCTCTAAAGAACGTAGGTCTACTTTTGCCCTCCATTTGATCTCCGTAGCCCTTCACTTCTATAAAAGTGCCTTTCTGATTTGCTACGTCTTGACTGATACCAGAAGGGTACATATCGCGGACAGATGGCAGAAACACAGCCGATGGCGTCTTGATAATATCGACGGCATCCGTGGCAGGTATTTGCAGGGCTGTCAAGAGTTCGAGATCTCGAGGGAGTGTACGCGGGTAGGAGCTCAGATCTTCGTGGGGAGCAAACTGAGCGGGGTTCACGAAGATGGAGAGGACAGTCAAGTCATTCTCGAGCAGAGATCGTTTGACTGATAACGATAGTGTTTAGAGCATTTATAGACAATCGAAGAGGGAGTCGTGACTAACCCAAAGAGAGATGTCCTTCGTGCAACGCTCCCATCGTGGCCACAAATCCGACAGACTTCTTTTCATCGAACGCCTTCTGGCGCCATTCTCTGTAAGAGGCGACGGTGGTGAAAATAGGGATTGTGGAAGGGGGGAGTGCTGGCGTCGACATGAGGCGGATCTTGGGGAAGCGCACAAGCCTCGGGGAAAGATACCGGACGAGCATAAATAATAAGAGATGCTAAAAAGGAAACAAAGGGTGATGACTCGAGATGGCGATGGTCTATGAGGACGATGGTGACATGGCAGGTGAGTCAGATACGTGTGTAGAGCTACAACAAAATTATTCACGGACAGGGAATTATCTAGATAAACGAGTGAGTACTATCCGGTCACATGATCACTTCTCAAAAAGTAGTGCTACTCGCTGTACACTTTTTGAATCCAGAGATGGTTCAAGCTTTCCCTCGAAGGACGTTAGCGTTAATGGTATGTGCTTCATGTATCCCGAACACCGAAAAGATTACAATGGTATCGTAGAATTCCCTAGATTACTGTCTCCTTCATCCCTTGATACAGACGAAGACCCTCAATCCGCGCGTTTTGCTGTAGAGTCCGATCTCTTGTTCCATTCTGCCCTCCACTGCTTCCATTCCAGCTCTCGACCACCATCAGGCCACAATGCCCACCCATCCCTAATTTGAAGCCACGTGGAGACAGGATTTGCGAGGAGAGCTCTCCTAGCCTGCCCATACACCGACTGCGGCCTTTGGGCAGGTAACAGCTCGGTCACAATGTAATGTACGATACCGGCGACGACGCCGATGCCAAACCCCCAAATGACCTGGTGAGGCGTGTGGTACCTTAGATGAAGTCTAGATTTTGTACAGTCAGGAACGCGTCAAACCATCATCGCAAGGTAAACGCGCACCTTGAGTAAGCCACTACGATAGACCATGCCATGATTCCAAAATACACCAGGAATCTCCATAACTGATCGAGAAATGTCCATCCAGTAGGAGAGAACCGATGTCGGTAGTAAAGGTGACAAGTAAGAAAAGCGGCAAAGAAGCCCATATACTGACTGTGCGAAGATGGGAAGCCGTAGCCGCTCATGCTATCTAAACGCCATGTTCATGGATTAGACGGGATGAGCAGGAGATAATTGGCAAGTGGGCTAACGGTTTGATAGCGATGAATGTGAGATACACACCAACGGGTCGTTCTTGCTTGATGGTACGCTTCAAGACTAGATTGAGCGCTTCTGAGAGAAGCTGGCCAGCCCACATGTTGATGATTGTGAGCTCACGGGTCTGTACAGCTAGGACAGCATAGGCTGGCTAGAACGCCTTGTCATGTGGTGAAATGGTAGCAACTTGGTAAATAATTACCATTAGAAGAATAGGGGACAATGTCAGAAGTGCCAAGACGAGTGACAGGTTTGAAGATGCATCATCTACGGATGCGCTCATGAGCAAGGACGGCCGAAATCAAAGCAGGGTAAAAAAAAGACAGGCAACGTACAGAGGACGTGGGACAAGTCGAGAGATGTAGTAGTGTAAGATGCATCTGCCATTGGAAAGTAAAAGCTACGGTTTGGCTGAAATGCGAGATGATGGTGTGCCAGCCACTGCACGACCGGTGTCGATCAAAGCTTTACAGTCAAAGACAGAAGTTCAACTCAGCACAGCCACACCGTTATAGCTTTGCATTATATAATATTTGAAGCTAGACCACGATGCAGTGTATATACGACTCATCTAGCGCCCATACACCACAGCAATCCTCGCATAAGTTTATTTTAGGGTGCGTATTCCGTAGCAAGAAGCACAACTTGACAGTAATTACCCCACCCAGACGCCCGAGTCACATCCGAATCGAACATGAGTCAATCAATCATCATTGTCTGCTACGCTTGTCGGGCCCGTATGTTGCCCGTAAGCCTGAGGCGATGAGTCTACTTGAGCAATAAAAGGGCCCAAGTGTCCAACTCCTCTCCATCATCCTTCACCATCATGGCGACCATTCACCAGGTTGTTGAGCAGCTTCTTCAGGCTGCCAATTCATCGAACATCTCTCTTGCTTCTCCAACTCCCACGTCGCAGACTGTTCCTGCAAACTTGGCTTCAATGATTGGTTTAGCCCTTTCTTTCTCTGCTCTGCGTGACTGGTTGAAACTCCTTGTTGTGGGCGGCATCCTGGAAACTCTTCGGCGCATTATCTTTGCACTATGGGGTTCAGTAACCGATTCTTTGTTCGTTACTGCACATTTCAAATATGATGACGACAGCTATGGTATGCTTCAATAAGCTCATCATACCGATCTTCATAACATTAACACGTGTATTAGATTGGATGATGCACTGGCTCTCAAAACAGCCATCATGGAGTGAGTTAACCTTTGTGCTGCGTTCCCAGTTTTTGACATTTCCTTTTTCCAGAGAAAGCCCGTAATGTGCAAATCAGCACTTCGACCTTTGGACTATCGCCTGTCGTATTACTTCCCAGCAACGATGAAGACCCTCTGAATGACGAATCCCGGAAGATTTCTTATTTACCCAATGTGGATGAAACGTATGCAATCTGGTACAAGTACCGTTGGGTGCAAGTCACTCGTATTCAAGAGCAAACCGGCTATTACGGTCGAATGGAAGAAACTCTGCGACTAAGGTACTTCGATACCCTATAAGCATCATCTTGGAGTTGATCATGACTGCCATACAGAATTCTAAGTCGGAGTAATGAGTTCTTAAATGATATTCTTCGGGATGCGAAACGACAGTACATGGCAGCTCAGGAAAACAACATCTCAATTTACGTTTCTGATACGTGAGTAGCCATATGGTGTCGTTATGTACACGTCCTGATTCCGATTTCATTTCTTAGTTCCAACAGCTGGAGACATGTTGCTTCTCGTCCAAAGCGATCTCTTCAATCCATCATCCTAGATCCTGGTTTGAAAGACTTACTTATCGGGGACGCTAGAGACTTTTTGGAAAGCAAGGAATGGTATGCTGATCGAGGTGCGTATTCATCATTACTTTGCTCTGCACTTGTGCTCAATACAAATGTTAGGCATTCCTTTCCGTCGTGGTTATCTTCTCGTGAGTTTATTACTTGCTTATTTGCAGTCCACATTGTATTTATCCTATGGTGCTTGCAAACAGTACGGTGCTCCAGGTTCAGGGAAAACATCTCTGATTCACAGTCTGGCAGGCGAGCTTGGGCTAGATGTTTATATCATCTCCCTTTCTCGCACTGGCTTGGACGATTCTGGTCTTTCGACATTGATCACGGAGCTGCCTGAAAAATGTATCGCTTTGATGGAAGATATAGATGCTGCCTTCCATCATGGCCTCAGTCGAGAAAATGATGTCTCTGATGAAGGCTCAACCGAGGGAGTTTCAAAAGACAAAGTCGTAGCTGCCAAAGCCAAACAGAACATTGACGGGCCTACTCCCAACCGGATCTCGCTCAGCGGTCTATTGAATGCGCTTGACGGTATTGGCGCGCAAGAGGGCCGTATCCTGTTTGCCACGACCAACAAATACACCTCCCTTGACCCAGCACTCTGCAGGCCCGGGCGCATGGACTTGCACATCGAGTTCAAGTTGGCGAGCAAGTACCAGGCAGAAGAGCTTTTCAAGCGTTTCTACCTTCCACCCTCTGAGCGCAACGGTTCTGGTAAAGCGGAGGTCAAGGTAGAAGATGATGAGAAGAGTAGCTTGGACTCGGGTTTTTCGGACTTATCCAGCGGTTCATCGAGTGATCTTATAGATCTCGGTGGTTCTGGAACCACATCCCCAGACTTCTCCGAAAAGGAATCGCAGGTACACGCGACGCCAGCCCTCCACCGGAAACGTGCCCCAAAACTCACTCATTGCCAAGCATCGAAACTCGCTGCTCAATTCTCTGATGCGATTCCCGATCGTGCGTTCTCTATGGCCGCGCTACAGGGTTACCTTATGACTTACAAGACCAGGCCATACGAAGCAGTCAATGAATTCGCTTCTTGGATGGCCAAGGAGCGTGTGGGGACAAATTAAGTGATTCCACACTGTCTGTGAAGGGCAGGTGTGTTGGAACTGTAAAGGGACTCGCATCGCCTTGAAATCCTGGTTTGGATAGGCTTTCGCGTCCTGCGGGCCGTGTTCTACTCGTTAGGAAATGGATACTCGCTTCCCAAAGTGTTGTTTCAGCATCTTACGTTTCGGGGCGCATCCCTTGGGAGATGCGCATACCGATGCTGATGCTTTACACTGGGTATTGATGTGCGCTGTCCATCTATGTCTAGTTTCTGTCGTGGTGCATATGTGTACTTACCTAAATAGCTATCTTTATAGCATTCTTGCTACTATCCAAAGAAACTTGTATCGATGAGACATCAATATATTACCTGTGCGGACATGAGTGCTATTGAATTCAAGAACTCTATATAACAGATGGTTCATGCCTAAGCATGCGTGCCCCGTCACAGTTCCCTGAAACATGCCAGCTTTACCTACTGAACTGGAGCAGATGATTTTTGTTACAGCAGCTTTGGACTATCCTCTCAGTGCCCCGAAACTAGCCCTAGTCGCGCGGCGGACCCAGCTTTGGTGAGCATGAGCTTGGTTTGCCTGTTTATTCTGCAAACTCATTTGTAACTTCATTGGTGGTAGGGTGGAGCCCCTCGTATATGAAGCTATCATTGTCCAACACCCCTCCAACACGTCGAGGAAAGCGACTGTGGATGGCTTTCTCTACGCCATCTCGCGCAAGCCAGCCGACTTCTTTGCTCGACACGTCAAAATCCTTATTCTGTCCTACCTCAAGCAATCACAAATCACTCGCATCTTGTCTGTGTGCACGGGCGTCGTCAGCCTAGGGTGCTGGACTGGGTGTAACGCGCAACTCGGACGTTTCATCGCTCGCAGTCCCCTTCGGCCGCGTCGTCTGTCGACCTGCCTCGAGAATACGATGGCTATGAACGAAGATCCCGACTTCGGCAGCCCCTTTTACAGGAACGTCACGCATCTCGAGCTCGACGACTCGTGGTCTCGGTGGATGACATGGGCCCCTGCCTTCGCCCTCCTCCCTCGCCTCACCCACCTCGCGCTCTCCTTCACATTCCCAGTCCAGATCGGCAACATGCTCCTCGACGCCTTGCGCCAGATACTGGGAGGGTGCAAGACGCTCGAGCTGTGCGTCCTGTTCCTCGCGGCAGGCTCGGGGCAAAAGTGGTATCAGTCTTCCAACTCGTTATTTGTGGAGAAAGTGATCAGAGACCCCCGGGTGGTGATGATGCCCTGGAGTCTTTCGCATGTGAGATGGGCTTCCGAGTGTTGGGGCTCCTGGTCTATGTGGTCTTGTGCTGGAGCTATTGCGTTGAGACAGCGAGAGTTGTACGCTCGCGGTGAATGTGAGTGCAGTGGGTTTTGAGTGGCATCTTTCTTCTTGCGCGATGATGCTATGTTTTATTGACGCGAGATGTACAGCTCAGTGCATTTTGACTGCTCATTGCATATCGCTCGTCTTTCCTGGACCCTGTGGTCCTTTGACGTTGTGGCCGCCATCACAAGTGAACGAGAGCTCGACTTCAAGCCAGTTGTTTTAATGAAGCCATATATAAAGTAGGCGATGGGGTAAGAATCACACGCGACGTATTCTTCTTCCATCCTGATCCAAGCAAAAACTTGCACCAAGCCTTGACATTCAGGTTACCCGTCATACACATACTCTAAATCACCATCAGATGAAAGGTGCAAAGCAATTTATAGATGATTATTCAGAGCAGCACACATATGAATCTAAATGTACAATATACAAAACCATATATTACTTGCCAGCAAATGCGGTATCATGCGTCTATTTGTAAATGCTTAGCTCCTACCACAAAGAGCCCCAAGGGTGTAATATCATGATGCAAGAATCCCGGCGAACGGCACAAACATGTAGGATGGGGGGATCGAGCGATTAGGCAGTAGGTGCCCGGGCGTATTTCCTCCTGAATTTGCTGTCAACGTTCTCGAGGTAGAAGGTGCCAGGCCAGATGTTTTCGATCGATCCTTCGGGAGTGTAGTCGACTGCATTGTGGTTCTTTTCACGGAGCTGTGTGTGATCACATGTCAGTTTATTCCACGGAGGGATAGCAGCATCGTCGAGACTTACCGTCAATGCGTCAACGTACTCCTGGCAAGGCACGACCTTCATGCTTGCCAAACGTGGGAGCAAGTTCATCTTCTCCTTAATCTCAGTGGTATCACCCTTGACGCGGAGTGTAAAGAAACTTGCAGCACAGCCACTGCCAAATCCGAACATGCTAACACGCTTGCCCTTGATGTCTGCGGGCTCAACGGAGGACAACAATGATGCAAGGCAACCATAGAGCGATGCGGTGTACATGTTACCGAGGCGCTTCGAAGTGGCCATCGTGGGCTCAACCTTCTTTGCGTAGGTAGATTTCGAAGCACCGATGAAGGTCTTCTCAAGGGTTTTGTCGGTCAATGAGGCCTTGTAGGAAGTGGAGATGATGGATTCTGGTGAAGGTACGTTGGCGAATTGGGGAGCAGAAGGGCGTGCGAGGAAGTCGTTGTAGAAGAGTCGTCCGAGACCTTTCTGGACTTGTTTGCCGTATGGGCTGTGGAAGACAGCGTAGTCGACATCGTCTAGTGAGAAGGAGGTCAAGGGGTCGGCCTTGCCGTTCGTTCCATTGGTACCGTTGGTACCATTGGCATGTCCATTAAGGTGGGCTTTCTTGGCTTTAGCGGTCTTTTCGCGGAACCGCGAGTAAGCAGCATCGAGAGCAGAAATGTAAGTGGTAACAGAGACGGGTCCGTCGACTTCGGGGTACTCGGAGTCAAGCCGGGGCTTGTAGAAGTCGTACGTGTTGGTCATGTGGTTTCCGTGAATGGCTGGGAAAAATAAACGCGTTAGATGTGTTAATCCAAATGATGGGTTGAAACAGGGGCTGGATATTGCGATGAGCAAGCAAAACAGACGTACGTTCGACGACGACAGGGGCGTTAGGCCCAATGAGCATGGCGCATGCGCCTGCTCCACCAGCGGGACGCGCGCTTCCTTCAGCGTAGATAGCAATGTCACCTCCGACCACAATGGCGTTTCGGCCATCCCATGAGGTAGATTCAACCCAGTTGACAGCATTGAAGAGAGCGGCAGTTGAACCGTAGCAAGCGTTTTTCGAGTCGATACCCTCGATATCGAAGTTGCCGGACTCGGCAAAGAGGTCCATCAGAGTGGTTTTGACGGATTTTGACTTATCAATGATGGTCTCAGTACCGACATCAATACGGCCAATAGACTTGGGGTCAATGTTGAACCGTTCGAGAAGGCCAGCAACGGCTGAAAAATGCGAGGAAATCATCAAAAACCATGTACAAGGACGAAAGGGAACTGAACGCACCATTCAACGCGAACGAGTTAATGTCTTCTCTGTCATCACAGCAAGCCATGAACTCCTGTCCGAGACCGATAGTGTACTTTCCAGTGGAAACACCGTCGAAAACTTCGAGATCAGCCTCGGAGATACACTGAATAGACTCTGATTAGCAACATATTCAGAATCGCAGCGAGATAAGAACATACCCTGCGAGGGAAGTAGACCTCCATGGCGAGGATACCGACATCCTTGGGACGGGGGATCTCGAGCTCGGAGACGTTGTTGGATGGGGGAGTGACCATGATTGGAAGATTGGGATGGAAGGAGACAAGAGATTATGGGGACATGGAGTGGACTGAGCGGGTTATATAGTAGCACTGGTACGGCAATCTTCTTAAAAATATGGTACGATTTAGGTTTGGTCATGCAGGTGGCGCGTTGACCATAAAATAAACCTTGCCTCATCCGTCTATCATTTTATTGATCATTCTATACACGCAGACATTATGGATGGATACCAATCATAGCTTGATATGATACAGGGCTTGTCGCGCTTTCCGCCTTGTTCGCCCTAGAATTGGACAGCATCTCCTCACAGCTTTTCACCGGAACAATATCATTTCCCGGTCATGTCTCCCGTTTTGAAACACTTCCTTGCAAATTTTGACATGACTCTTCAAAATGCACCAATATTACCGTGTCAAGATGCTCCCTTCTTACGCTCAGACCCAGAGACATCGGCGAATCCCCTGCTAGCACACCTGCCTTGCTGTATCCAGACGCCCGCTTATTCGCTAATGCTGTATGGTTCTCCTACCTCGTGGTCATGTACACAATAGGTGACAGTGAAAATGGGTGCGCATTTCGGTGCAAAAGAGTGTACAGGACACCGGGAGTAGCAGATTCGCTGTCCCGCTGACAGTCAACGGTTGTACGATTCACAGCAATCCTCTGTTCGTTCATGCAGTGGCTTGGACGACTCGGCGTGCCTAGTCCGCGGATAGATTAGACTCGCATCCGTTTCTATGGTAAATCACTCTTCTCATTCCAAATCCGCTACCCATCCGGCACTATTTTTTATGTTATCCGCTGATGCGTGCCACACAACTTGCTCACAGTTGAGTAACGATATCACGTATTCTTGTGTAAAATAACATGCATAGGTGATGTGGCCGCTTTGCATAAGAAGACATCTGTGGGACTCTGACCAAGGAATCATACAACACGCCATTGGAGTGCGGCCGCGAGGAAGCTAGGGGGGACAGGAGGGTATCATTGGCCAGAATTGGAAGGTGTACTCGAGTGCAATTCGCCTTGCTCTTGTTCATCAATGTCGTCTTCACTATTCAATCACATCCCCTGAAACAAACCTGGTCACTCTGTACAGTATGACACAGTCTGTCAAACATGTCTTTGATTGTGAGTGTAGATGTCACGTTGATTGATGATTGTATGAATACAGCAATCCATCTTATCTTTCACCTTGAAGTGAAGTCACTTTCTTTTGTATGGAAACTCTCGAGAGCTCCGTCAGTGTCGCTCTCCACGCCGATGATCTAGGACTGCGTACACACTTCAAGCGATGTTTTGGGCGTAACGCTCTCGTAGCCCGTGCCTTGTTAGACGCCAGAAAGTAAGCGCACACATATGACGCTGATAATTAGTTGGACCTCCAACGCATTCCAGTAACTGGCTATCGTGATGCATTACGAGTGATTTGACGGCACTCTTCATACTTGCTTGATATAAGTGCGATCTGGGCAAAGTCAATCGCTTTCGCCACGCCTTGCCCAAAGAGATTCAGCCGCGGGAGTAGCACATTGTGATTTGTTACGAGGGAGGCAGTGTCGTGATGTGACTCACAACGTCACATCCACCATGGCTCAATCGGCGATCGGAAACATGACTCGGATATGTTTTTGTGTAAAATATCGTTTTGCGACCTTCACCTTGTACTAAACCATGGCATCCATGTCGAATCTTTATATTGTTCAGATACAGTGCTAGACAACAATCTCAGCTACTTTGATTCGTCGTCTAGCAAGGTGAAGATGATGGTGAGAATTTTATCTTGCTTAGACTTCATGATTAGATGCCGAGTTTCTGAACAATGGACGTGCTACAGATCTCAGATTCGGAATACACTTCACTCAAGTACGTTGGTTCTCGTCGCTCGACTATCTCTACGTATTCCTTCCCCTAATTGAATGGAATTCAGCCTCAGGATTGCATTCTCCAACAATAACATGCAGTACGCCTCCATTCCCACTTGCTTTTCCCTTTCACAACAACTCCGATCCATGCTCCTGATGCATCATGTTCATGGCGGCTGACAATGTCGATATTCTTTCCAGACTAGAACAGGTTAATAATGCTTGGAGGCTGACGGGAGCGGCTGACGAGGTGTTCCCGGTCAACCGCGCTCGTCAGCCTCCTCTCATTGATAAATCTGGAATAACATTCACCCAAAACTATTCAACTCAAGCTTCGCCCCTACCATTTGGTATCGCCATCAACATTCTATCCTCGATCAGATCATATTCGCCACCATGCCGCTGATGAGAACCAACTTCAGGGACCACCGCAAGCACCATGATCTCACAAGGAGTCTCCTCTCTTCAACCAAAGTTCCCGCCAATCCCCATCGCGCACGCCCGAGTTTCCCGCCCGAAGCCACCTATCGCAGGCGACAAGCTCCCATCGCCCCATCCCCCAGTGGAACCATTCGCCAAAGTCGAGTTCTTGCCGCTGCAGAGGTAGAACTGCACGAACTAGAGAGGGAACACATGCGTCGAGAAGCCATGGATCATCCGCTCAAGGCGCAAACCGCGCTCTGTCTCGAGAAGCTGACGCATGCTATCAAACAGTATGAGCGGTACATGCAGTTGGCGAGCGGGGTGACGGTTTTCAGCAATGGGTCTGATCATCATCATGATACGGATGCATCTCAAGAAGAAGAAGAAGTCGGCGTAGACGATCTCGATGCCTCGTACGAATGGGTGCAAAGCTGTGCTTTTGCGGAGGAGCCCAATGGTGTTCCTGAGTGTGAAGACGTTTTGGAGAGGGGAGAGAGAGCGAGGAGGCATGCAAGGTATTGGAACAAGTGCGTCAAACTCTGGAAGACCGCTATCAACTCAGCCAAAGACGGGTGCATATCAAGCGCAAACGCATACCTTTCAAGCTCCTCTATCTGTGTATTAACCGAGATTAGGACCAGAGAAGACGATTTCAGACCAATCACTACCATCTACGAAATTGAAGCCACCCCAGAGCATCATACCGACCATTCTGCAAGAGGGTCAGTGCAATGGTATCCATCTCGATGGAATACGTTTCTCAAATACTTGTCTTTTCTCCGCAGTGTCTACGTCCCTAGTCTGCCTCCACTCGCCAGCCTCGTCTTGAAGGAGCAGCTGTACGAAAGGGGCTATTTAAGGAAACCATCCTCTCATCCTCGATCAGCAGCAGTGGCACAATGGGTACGACTTCAACTTTCAATGGGCAGTAACAAGATCAAGTCCCAGGTCAAGATCGGCACTCCTTCCGTTGCGAGGAGCCCAGACTGGGAGGTCTACTCCAAAGCGGTAGGGAAACGGAGAGGCATCTCCGTTGCGGAGGAGGTAAGAGCACACTTGGTACGTCCCATCGTCTTCCCCTCACATTAGCACGTCCTTCCTTATCTCATGGTCTGCTTCCGCAAGTCCTCAGACAGCGGTACCTCTCAAACATCCCCCTCTCACACAGTCGGGCGCAAGTTATCCGCCCAGACTTTCTACTACAGCTGCCACTCAGCCGCGAGCACCCCATCCCCATCCCAGGCTACTGCTGAATCTCCTGAACGGACCAGCGAGATGTCTATGACGTCTGAGATGGAAGAATTCTCTTATATTACTGCGCTCACGACGCCTACACAGTCCCCCGAGACGGCGCACTCTTTGGAATCGGGCAAGGGGGACTCGGAAGACACGGACACGCCATCTCCGGACACCTGCGTCTCGTCGTCGTTTGAATCCTACTCTTCGTTCGTTTCATCGCCGTCGACTATCCGCGGTGTTGTGTCGCTCGTTGGCTGTACGGCATCGAAGAATCCGAACAAGGGACTTGTTCGCAGACTGCGTAGGATCATGATCTGAATGCCTGGGGATGGTGGGATGTGCAGACAGCGGGTGGGTTGCAGTTGGGAGTACAGCCTTTAGTTATATTCATCCTCTTTAATTTCTGTTGGTATGGAGTAAATTTAATCAACGGTGCGCAAGTGATGCAAAGAAGCTAATGAAGTTATCTGCGCGATCAAGAGAACTTGTTCGTCTAAAGATATCAAGGTCATCGATATCGCACTGCATGATACATCGAATAACTCGAAATAGGACAGCGTCTAATGTACGGTAGTCAATTTTGATAGAACGAAGTGTAGATAATCCTAGTCCTCGATCACCCCTAGTCCAAAAGAGGTGGATGGTAGGATACGGTGGTAGAAACAAAAGAGGGCTGCCTGGACACTCCAACTACACATAGCCCAGCTTCCCATTCCGCGTTCGCCTCGCCTCGGTACGTTCTCCCCGCCAAACTGCCTCCCCAATGAACAACAAATCGGCAGCGAGGGACGCCAACACAGACACACCCACCAACCCCAGACTCCTCACCGCTCCTTCTTCGACTCGCCCAACTTGTGCTGCTCCGCACTCCGCATCGACTCCTTGTCATCCATCACCGAGCTCACGATGTAGGACACCAGAACGGCGTTGGCGACGAGGACGGCGGTGATGGCCGCGTAGTTGGCGTTACCTAGAGTGAATGACGTTTAGGGTTTTTTTCAGCGGTCGAGGAGAGGAGAGGCTTTTTCGGACGGTGTGCAACCCGTGGCCCAAGGAAGAAAAAAACGTACCACTCCAAAAGTATTTTTGAGAGATGAAATAAGACGATATGGGAAGAACGGCCAATGACGCGCTGAAGAAGATGAGTTTGAGGAGGATGGCCCTGCGGATGCACCGAGGCCATTATAGTCAGCTTCGAAGAGTGGAAAGCAAATGATCACCCTCAACACACCTCGACGCAGTGGTCGCCGTTACCTTTGGGATGGCAGTCTTTTCGCTCATCTCAGACTCGTGACTGAACAGAGAGAGACTCTCGGAATATATGTCAGTGGCTGTGCTCCAGTTCACGCGTCTTCGATATATGACGCACTCAAGCTCACAAGAAAGCATCCAGTTTTGTAGGGACATTCTATATACAACCTATCAAATACAGAATAGAACAAAAAAAAAAAGGTACCCAGGACCAAGGGGCACACATGCCATCCAAGTACCCACCGCAAACCAACGAAAATCGTACAACTCCAGAAACACCAAAAAAAAAAACCACCGTGACTTCAAAAGAAAAGACAAAAAAACTCGTACAAGTACTGGTAGAGCACAACGATAAAAAGAAAAAGAAAAGAAAGAAAATGTGACAGACACCGGTTCATCTTGACAGCGCAGGATCTCATCTCGGCGGGGACGGTATGTGTTTATGTGTACGCGTGAGTAGGTGAGTAGCGGGGGGAGGGAGGACGGCATTATGGGCACTATTGGGGTGAACCGAGCAAGTTCAAGAATCGCGTCGAGGAAAGCCGAGGTCGACCATAGTCATGCGAGGCGATAGTGCATCAGGACCAACGAAAACGAGAACGGGCAAATTTAAAAAGAGGAAGGACGGGAATTCGGAAGAGGCCCAGGACGCGATAAAGAACAAAAAAAGGGACATATTGATTAAATTCGGGTTCGAGGGGATCTTCGTCCAGCACGAGAGAGGTATGGAGGACCAAGTCCCCTATTAGGTACTGCGACGCCAAGTGACGGTAGGAGAGAAAAAATTGCAGTGGTGTATGACATGAACGGAAATATTGATATAACAGTCGTCGTATGTGAGATGGAACGAATCGCGATCAAGGTGGATTCTGTAACATGACCAAGACAAAAAAAATTATATGATAGACACGGAAAAGCGGAAAGAATGTCCAAAACACATATTTACGCACAGAATAATGAAAAAAAAAAAAGGAACAAAAGCAGATAAGAAATTTCCCATTAAAAACGATGAAATGGTCGTCGCATATATATAGCGCACAAGCTAGAGAACCGGGTGGATTGGAGGGGGGGACATGCGAGATGGAAAGATCGACAGTCGGAGGGGTACGCGCAGGAATGGCAAGCGAGCGAGCAAAGACAATAGGCCAATCAACATCACCAAATCACCAAATCACGAATCACACGCAGGCGCAGGCGCAGACGAAGCCCCACCACTTCCACCACTCCAAAACGCCCCCAAAAACGCCCCCGCCGTCGACATAATCTCCACTGCCCGGCTCACCAACGTCCCCGTCTGCCCCTCCTCGCCTTTTCCCCCTCGAATCGGACTGCGAGTGACACCTCGGATGGGACTGGCGACGCTTTTCCTCGATGGGCTCCGACTGCTGCTGCTGTCGTTGCCCCCACCCCCACTCGAGCTCGTGCTCGCTCGGCTCGCCCGCGTCGGACTACCAGGACTCGCCCACGTCGGCGCACTCGCATTCGCATTCACCAACGTCGGACTGCCCACACTCGCCGCCCTCGTCGGACTCCTCGACCCCTCATTCGAGCCCAAGCGGGGCAACACAGGCCTCATACCCACCACAGGCGAGTTGGCAGGCGTGGGGTGGCGCGAGATTCGCTCTTGCTCTGCTTTGAGCACTTCGGCCGTGGGCTCGACGGGCGACATCAGCACCGCTCCCTCTTGCCCCTCCTGCCTCTCCCGTCCTTCTTGCGCGCTTGCGTTTTCAGCGACGGCATGGGCAGCAGCAGGCACGGGTTCAGGCAGGGCGGGATCTGCGTTGGCAATCGTTTGTCCAGACTCAGATTCGGACGGTGGGACCGGAATAGAGATCGGCGCCGTCGAGGTGGGAACAGCAGGCGCCGGAATAGACAGTCGCGAAGGCGTAGGAGGCAACGGCGCACCCACCTCCCTCAGATCCACAGGGCTCACACTCGGACTCGACCCAGAGCCAGACCCAGATACGGACCCAGTGAGCGACTGCGACGACCCAGCCCTTCTCACCACCCTATCCCTCCCTCTCCTCTCCTCCCCGCCCTTCTCCTTCTCCTTCTCGCGCTCCCCACGCCCATCCTTCTCCCGCCTCACTCGATAGCCCGCACTTCCCCCGATTCCAAGACCGACGGCACCGTACCCATCAGGCGACAAACTCCCTCCTCCTCCTCCCCCTCCACCCGTACTCGCATTAGCTCCAACGCCAACACCCATACCAGCACCAGCACCACCATAACCCGCCCCAAGCGTCGCCCCACCCCGTTCCGAGAACGACGCCGTCCTCGAAATACTGCGGCCCCGCACAGGCCCTCCCCCCATCTCCATCCCGACCTCCCTCTCCGCCCCCGCAAGCGCAGCAAGGTTAGGCGACGACGACGATCGATCCCGCACCGCCACCTCTTCAGACCTCCCCCGCATCGTGCCCGCCACCTCGTCGGACCTCCCCCTCGAGTGGGAGACGTCGGGCGGACTGAGGAGCGCCCCCGACGACGGCGACGGCGCGCCCGAGGTCGAGCCCGAGCCCGAGGTGCGGCCCAGCGGGAGGGGAACGCTGACGGGGCTCGTTGAGGAGGACATGCCTGAACGTGGGATGTCATGATCAGCACGCGTGGATAAAAAGTACGAAAATGCGAAAAAGGGATGAAAACACACCTTCGCTAAACGCAATCGGAGACGGCGTACGCGACCTCGACCGCGATATCGATCTCGAGTGGGATCGCGACCGCGACCGCGAACGATCCACTTTTCCGTCTTCAACGCCATTCACGACGACGACGACTTCAGGAGAGCCAGCCCCGTTCGACTGTCGGCCATCCGTTCTTCTCGTCGCTGCCGTCGCTGCCGCTGTCAATCTCGTTGTCGTCGACGAAGGGGGAGATGCGGCCACCACCGTTGAAGAAGTCGAAGATAAAGAGGGCGAAGTGGCCATATCGGGAGATCCAGACGTCGTTGACGACCGTGGATAGGGAAGCTGATGCGGAGGCTGGGACTGGGACGACAAAGGCGACCTCGGACTCGCAGCCACCACACCCACCGTACCTCCCGACTGAACACACCTCACCACACCCTCATCGTCCATATCCGCATCCACATTCATCACATCCATCATCTCCTTCTCATCCCCCGCGCCCACCTCCACAACACGCTCGCGTTCGCGATCCTCGCTCTCAGCAGACACCCCAAGCAGACTCTCCACCTCATCTCCCGACGAGAGGAGCACAGAACCAGTCCCGCCTTCCGCAGCCCTCATCTCCTCTTCTGCAAACTCGCCGTATCCTGGGCCGTGCGGGTGGGGATGCGCGTAGGCATAGTCTCCATACCCACGTTCGTAATCGTACTCGTATCCATACTCGGCGCCTCTCGTACACCAAGGCGGGACGAACACGAGCTCGACGGGCTCGTCTTTTCCTTTCGTTCGTCTCTGCCCCAATGCCGCATTCGTCGTCGTCGTCACACCTCCCCACCTCTCACCTTCCCTCTCCCCATTATGTTCACGTTCACGTACTCCATTCCTGCCTTCATTCCACATTCCTCCATGACTCCCATTCCCATTATTACTCCTATTCTCGCCATTTCCATTTCCATCACTACTCCCATTTCCATTCGCATAACTACCATCAAGCCCATTCCGACTCCCCCACACCACCTCCCCCTCTCCCCCGCGATCCCACTCATACCCCCCCTGCGCACCCTCCCATCCTCCCTCCCACTCTCCATCCCTTTCTCCCATCCCTTCCCCATGCCCATCCTCGTCATCATCCTCGTCGTCATCCTCACCCCGCGTCTTGAGCACAGTAGGCGCGATCAACGCAATCGTCACCAACTCTTCCTCCCTCTGTCTCGGATGCGTAGCTGCCATGTAAGTGTAAGAGTGCGTGCGGTGGGGTCTGTAGCGGGTCGAGGCGGCTGGGTTGACGTGCGACGGGGGTGGAGAGCGAGAGTAGGGCGGGTGGGCGTGGACGTGGGGTGGGGCTGGGTGGGCGTGAGCAGATTGGGAGTGGGGAAGGAGGGGTGGGGCGCGTGGAGAGGCGGGTGCGGGCGTCGAGTGAGAGCGGGGATGCGGCGGTGGGTGCGGGTGTGCGTGCATATGCGACGTGCGCATCTCGATAACACCGTCATCCTCTCCTTCCCCCTCCCCCTCCTCCTCCTCTTCGTCGTCATCGTCATCCCCATCAATCTCAAACCTCCCCCTTCTCCGCCCATTCTGAGGCCCGGCTTCGGGTCCTTGACCCTGTCCTTGCGAGGTGAGAGGGGGCCGGACGGTGCGCACGGAGGAGGTGGAGGAGTGTGAGGAGGAGCGGGAGGAGGGGCGGGGGGTGGAGGAGTCGGTGTTGACGTCTACGTCTGTGTCTGTGTTGACGTTGATCTTGACTTTCGATTCGTCCTCGCCAAACGTGATCAAGCCATCCCCATCTTCTCCGTCCTCGTTATCTTCCATGTCTTCGTCATACCTAGTGATAGTGATAGCGAGAGGGACGGTGAGAGGAGTCGGCGTCGGTGTTGGTTGATGTTGAAAGTGATATAGAAAAAAAAAATAGGGGGTAAAAACAATTAGCGCACTATCCTTGACACGAGTAGAATAACGGCACGGAAGGTATTTTAAAAAAACTGACCCATCATCCTCCGCACCAACACCCTCCACACCCTCATCAAGATGCTCATACCCATACCTATGGTTCAAATACCTCCCCGTCCCAGCCGGCGCCGTGTACCCACTCGAGTACCTGCCACTCCCGCCTCTATTCCCTTTCGCTTGGGAATGGGCGTAGGGAGAAGCATAAGGCGCACGAGGCGGATGCGGAGAGGCCTTCTTTGGCTTCTCGATCGCTATGCACTGCTCTACAAAGGTATTGAAGGAGATATGTTTCTTCTTCGGAGCGTCCTCGTATGCACTGCCTGCCTGTTCGCCACCGGAACCGGAGAAGGAGGCACGAGAAGCACCAGAGGGGCGTAGGGAGGGCGCAGAGTCGCCTGAGGGGGGACGGAGGAGAGAGGGGTGGATGTGGGTGGGGAGGATGGGGGTGACTACGCGCGGGGGAGAGTCTTTCCTGAAAGCGCGAGTGGGCCAGCGGGTGATGTGTGTATCTGATTTTGTGTGCAACAGAGGGGGTCGTTTATGGCCTTTACCTCCGTCAGCTGTCGCTGTTGTTGTGGAGGGAAGTGGGGGTGGCTCGCGTTCGTCCTCGGTATCTGGTGGACTGAAGAGCGGGGAAGAAGGGAGGTCAGATGTGAGGAGGTCGCATATGGAGCGATGTTTGAGGATGGGCTTCATTGTTGCATTTGGATTTGGGGCATGGCCGTTTGAGAGGGACGAGGATGAGTTGGAGTGGGTGGGAGAGACGGAGGGAAGCTTTGGGGAGGGTTTTGGAGGAGGAGAGTAGTCAGCGGTGTGGAGGGGACCGTAGAGCCAAGTGACGTCGGAATCTTTGAGCCTGTAAGAAGAGCAAGTTAGATGGGAGATAAGAGAGATGAAGAGGCGATGTGGTGGAGCGGGGAAGACGAGTGGGATTGCGGGGCCCCACGGTTACGGAAGAAAGATTTAAATGAAAGCTGACCAGTTGAGCGTCTCTGGAGTGACGGTCTTGAGTTTATTGCGCTGTTTCCACCAGGTTCTCCAGGAGGCGTTCTCGAGTCTGACGCCGTTTGCGATTTCGTTCTTTTGGCGGGTCATGTTGCGCCAGGAACGCCATACGTCTTCTTCGCGCCATTCGTGTGAGAGATAGTCGACCTGACCACGGGGGAGGGAGGAGAGGGCGGTGTCGTCTGCGTTGTTTGAGACGGAGAGGAGGAGGACGGGGAGGTAGGTGGACATGGTGGGTGGGAGAGACGGTGTTCTGTTGGTGTATGCTACGCTCTGGGATGTGAATGTCGACGTCGAGGTTGGTGTCGTCGTCGTCGTCGTCGTCGTCGTCGTCGTCGTGGACGGAGGGTGGTTTGTTGTTGTCGTCGTCGTCGTCGATGAGAGAGCAGTCTGACCAGCAGAGAAGAAGGGACGCAAAAGAGCGGTGAGCGTCTAAGGACGGTTCCTGTTCGACCCGACTGCGCCATCGCCTTCTCGGGCCGGTGGCCGGTGCATGTCACATGTCACCGTCCCTTATCACATTCAAATGCTGGTGCTATTTCCCCGCATACGCTAGCCTTCTCTTCCAGTGTTCAATCGCTCCATCGGGCGATCTCGGGTGTGCCCCTCTGCGATCCACTGCCAATGCTGGCATAGTAGCCCAGACCACCGATCCCATCCACACTCTGACGTGCCACGATACTGTAAAGCACCCTTAGCCATTTGTAAGCCTCTCGCTCCTCAACTTCCGCCGTCTTGCCAATCCTTACCCCACCTCTCCCCAAGGTATTTCAATGTATGCATTTTGTTCTCGCTCACCATCGTACCGCTCAAATGTAACATAACAGGAGGACAATGATGATTTCATTGGACACGGGCTAGTGACAGATAATGATGAGGATGTCGTGATGGATAGTGACGCTGAGGATAACCTGGATGTATATCCGGACATAAGTCTTCCGAGGCCTGAGCTGTACCACAACTTGGACCAGGAAGATGACGAGGATGACATGAGTATGGGTGGGCTTGAGTCTTTCAACGACACCACACAAAATCTCCCGCCTACAACCGATTCATCACATAACTCTCAAAATCCTCCACCACCACCTGATCCATCACATAACTCTGATAGAGTTTATCACCACGGAATTGACATCGACATTGATGTGCTCGCAGAAACAGCTCGTCTAGAGGATATACAAATTGCCATTCAATTTATTCAGGCATTGAAAAATGCCACACTCAATGATGAGGCCAATAAGCTTGACAAGGACATGCTCCACCGCCTGCAGGATCCTCCCCAAGCCTCACTTGATATTGATGATCCCGACGTCCTCTTGTCTATAGAAACATTCATGGCACTCAGTAACTCATCTCAAGAGACTTACCATTTGATACGCAAGGCCATACTCCATCGATATCCTGACAGCAAGATGCTCTCGTATGACCAAGTTAAACGGCGCATTACCAAAATGAGTGGAGTTGGGTCAATTGTGCATGATATGTGTGTGACTTCTTGTCTGGCGTACACAGGTCCTTTTGCAAGTTTGGAGATATGTCCAAAGTGCGGCGAGCCTCGTTACGATCAATCCAAGCTTGCGTCAAGTGGCGGAAAAGAGAAAGTCCCTCGCCAGCAGTTCCACACAATACCAGTCGGGCCTCAATTACAGGCGCTATGGAGGCACTCAGATACTGCTACCAGCATGCATTATAGAGAACGCCAAACAGCTGATATCATGGAGGAGCTCAAACTCGACAACAACATCCTTTCTTCGTATGACGACTTCTTCCACAGGAAAGACTACCTTGATGCTGTTTCTGATGGTCGAATAAATGCTCACGACAGCGTACTTATGATCTCTGTTGATGGTGCCCAGCTCTACGAGAGCAAAGCATCAGATTGTTGGATATATATATGGGTGGTAATGGATCACACACCCAATGTTCATTATAAGAAGAAACATGTTCTCCCCGGTGGTTTCATTCCAGGTTCAAACAAACCAAAAAATCTTGATTCTTTTATGTTTCCTGGGTTGCATCATGTGGCCGCACTTCAAAAGGAGGGTCTTGTTATCTGGGATGCTTTAACCAATTCATTGCATGTCTCGCACCCGTTTCTTGCAATTGCTAATTCAGATGGACCAGGACTCATGTATTTCAACGGTTTCGCTGGATATCATGGTAAAATTGGGTGTCGACAACTATGTGGGCAAAAAGGCCGTCACAAAGCAGGTGGTCCTCATTATTATCCTGCGTTACTCAAGCCACACAATTACAGTGTTGAAGGATGCAACCACGACGACATTGACTATCGCCAGGTGCTCCCCCCGACACCTGGATTGTACTATCAAAATCTATGTTTCCTCATTGCTTCACCAAATGTCACACAGTATAAAAAACGCCTTTTGGAGACGGGAATCTCAAAACCTAGTATCTTCCTTGGAATGCCTCTTGCCCACAATCTCGGTATTCCAAAAATGTTCGGTTCTGATATCATGCATTTAATTGCACTGAATATTCCAGATCTACTCATTAACTTGTGGCGATGTAATTTTGGCTGTGAAAAAACTGACAGCAAGCATAGTTGGGACTGGGGTGTTTTACAAGGTGATACATGGAAACAACATGGCCAGGCTATCACAGACTCCACCCCACATCTTCCTGGCTCGTTTGATCGCCCTCCCTGGAACCCAGCAGAGAAAATTTCCAGTGGATACAATGTAACAACCAAGAGTTAGTTACTCTGGCGCACACAAGAACACACTATAAGGAAGATGTTGAGGGAGTGGTTACCCCTTAAGCTGCAGAGAGTTTGTTGGTATACAACAGGAGGACTCGCTGAGGAGTCTCCTGGATCTATTGGGGTATATATACTACTACAGGTTTGTTTGTACATGTGTACTATACAGTTGATGAAGGCAGTGGCTGATGATGTCATAGGGTCTAGCCCGTATGGCCAGCTCCACTGCGTGAGAGAGTTAAGTCTAAAAGTAAAAGAAAGGCAACGCGGCGCGAGAAAGGGAAATGCCGCGTGGCACTTAAAGTATAAAGTTAAAGCGGAGAATAAAAAGGAAAGGAGATGTCCGGAAATTGTGTTATCGTAACACTACCCCCCTTCTAAGGCTCGACTTCCAGGCGAGACCAAATTCCGGAGGTAGTGGTAAAATTTTCGGGCATAGGTTGAAAGAGGGAATTAAAAAGGTTTGAATCCATGCCTCTAAGCTTCCTGGGAGCTGAGGGATTCCTAGAATAAAATTCGCGAACAGCGTCGCGGGAGTTTTCCAGATGGGATTCTGGTTCCCACGTTCTGTCCTCGTCTCCATAGCCCTTCCATAGGACCAGGAACTCTAATTTTCCACCCTTCAAGCGTGCATCTACCACTCGTTCGACTTCGAACTCTTCTTCACCTTCCTGGGTGACTACTACCGGACCGGGCCGGTCTACGCGCTGTCCCGGCAGCGGTCCTTTGTAGGGTTTTACACGGCTAATGTTAACCGTGGGTACCACCCTCATTCGTTTTGGGAGTTCCAGCTCCACCGCATTAGGTTTGACTTCCTTAATCCGGTAAGGGCCAATCCACTTTTCGGTCAGTTTTCTAGACTGCCGGTCTTTTAATTTCAAGTGGTCGGTGTCTAACCAGACCAGGTCGCCGACCTTGTAATCAGGGGCCTTAGAGCGTCTACGCTCTGCCCTGTCTTTCATCTGCTCCGCAGTTTTAAATAGCGCTTTGCGCGTTTCGTCCAAGACAGACTTCATGTCTTTTGCCATGTTCCCAGCAGCCTCGTTTTTGCTTTTGCCAGGTTCTACACCCATTCTGGGGAGGTACGATCTAGTAACCTCGAATGGTGCCTTTCCTGTAGCCGACGACTGTTTAATATTATAAGAGAACTGGGCTATCTTTAGCCACTTGGCCCAATCTGTCTGTCTGTCGTTAATAAATATCCGGAGATACTGTTTCAACTCCTGGTTGAGTCTCTCCGTTTGTCCATCGGTTTGCGGATGGAACGCCGTGGATAATTTAGGTTTGATGCCCAGCATCCGGCATAATTCTTTCGTAAATTCGCTAGCGAATTGCGGTCCTCTATCGGAGATTACCGTTTCTGGTAACCCATGGATTGACCATACGAAATCCTTAAATAGGTCTGCCGTACCGGCGGCGGTGATGGTTTTGTTGGTGGGTATGAATACCACTTCTTTGGAGAAGCGGTCTACTACCACCATTACTGAATCGTACCCGTTTGACTCGGGCAGATCCGTCGTGAAGTCCACCGATATATCCTGCCAGGGGCCAGCTGGTATCGGGTTCGGCATGAGTTTACCCGCCGGCGGTTGATGGGAATTCTTGGCCATGGCGCATCTCAGACAGGATTTTACGTATTCCTGTATGTCTTTGACCATGCCCGGCCACATGTAGTATCTGGAGATCAACTCCATTGTTCGTTGCCATCCAGGGTGCCCAGCCACTGGAGTGTCATGATGTCTATCTATTGCCTTGATCCTTGCGGACTCAGGCACATAGATTTTGTTTTTGAAATGAAAGAGCCCGTCTTTCCATGAATAGTTTTCATTGCCGTCAAGGCGCGCCTTTTCCTCTGGGGAGATGTCTTTCCTAAAGACTTCTAGGAGGTCGGAATCTTGCCCGATTCTAACATTGGTGACCCTTGATTGATCTATCAGGGTGACACCTTTGTTGTCATCTTCAATGCCGTTGGCATGATCCTCTCTTCTAGATAAAGCATCCGCTTTCCCCATTGAGCTTCCTGGCTTATGAATTAATTTATAATTGAACCTTGACAAGTACACCGTGTAGCGGGCTTGTCTCCGGTTCAGGTCTCGGGCCGTCATGAAGTACTCTAGGTTCTTATGATCGGTCCAAATTTCGAATTGGTGCCTAGCACCTTCTAAGTAGTGCCGCCAGTGCTCTAAAGCTCTAATGATGGCCAGCATCTCTTTGTCGTATATTTGATAGTTGCGCTCTGTAGGCGACAAACTATGTGATAAATAGGCACAAGGCCTCCAAAGATCATCAGGGCTTTTGATTGATAGAACAGCCCCAGTGGCGAAGTCAGAAGAGTCGGTTTCTAGCCGGAACTCTTTGTCTAATTCAGGGAATGCCAATATGGGCACTGTTGTAAATGCCTGTTTAAGCTTATCAAAAGCTTCCTGTTCTTTGGCGCCCCACTGCCAAACAAGGTCCTTTTTGGTGAGATCGTTCAACGGTCTCGTGATTTTTGCAAAGTTTTCAATAAACCTTCGGTAGAAATTACCTAAGCCTAGGAAAGCCCTAACTCCTTTGACGCGAGTAGGTTCTGGCCATTCCAAAATAGCTTGAACTTTCTCAGGGTTCATCCTGATTCCGTTCTGGCCTATGATCATACCGAGGAAGTCTACTTCCTTCACTTTAAAATTACATTTTTCGGGTTTAACAAATAGGTCCCGTTCCTGTAAGCGTCGAAGGACTTCTTGCACGATCCTGTCATGCTCAGCCTCATCGTCCGACTTTGTAAATATTAATAAATCGTCAATGTAAATGACGACACAGTTTTCCATATCCGCAAAGATCGATCCTCGGTGGCACGTGAATGCGGCCTTCCAAGCATCTTCCTCTTTGATTCGTACATTGTTGTACCCCCATCTGAGATCCATCTTTGTCAGGATTTTGGCGCCAGCCAATTTGTCCACTAGCTGACTAATCAAAGGCAGCGGATACGCATTTTTAACCGTGTGCTCATTCACGTAACGATAGTCCATAATCATTCGCTTTTTACCATCCTTTTTAGGAATGAAGAACACCGGGGACGTCATAGGACTTTTAGAAGGTCTGATGTAACCCTTCCTAAGTTGTTCGTCTATGAAACTAGATACCTCGTCTCTTTCGGGAGCAGAGAGCGGTATCATTTGTCCCTTCCTTGGTTTGAAGGTGTCTTTCAAATCTATAACATGGTCCCAAGGCTTAGCCTCTGGGAAGCGCTCTGATTTGTGTTTCGAAAAGACTTTCCAGAAGTCGTGGTACTCGGGAGGTACCAGCCTCTTAATCTCTTCCTCAGGTTTTACCTCATCATCATCATCGTCGATCTTTTCTAAAGATCTGAGTTCGTAAACGTGACTAGCGTTTAACTTTTCGAGACGCTCATTGTGACGGACATGATTTGGTTTACCCAAGTTTACACATTCCTGGGGACAACGTGACAATGTGACAACCCCTGTCTGCCAGTTGATCTCAGGATTGTGTTTAAATAGCCAGGTCCAGCCTAAGATTAAATTAATCTTCCCTAGTTGGGTAGCCTCGGCAGTGACTCGTTCTCTGTGTCCTTGGTATTCGACCACAAAAGAACATTTGTGTGTAATACAGCCACCTGCGTTAAGCGTACCGTCAACGTTATAGACGGGAATAGACGTTTCTAATTTTACAAGGGGGAGTCCAATTTGCTCTGCCCAGACCTGATCTATGAAGATCCCGTTAGCGCCTGAATCAAGCAGTGCGCTCGTTGAGTGTACTTTGCCCCTGGCAAGGTTTTCCACGCCAACGTCTAAACGGATCTCTTTTTGGAATAAATACGTGCGCATCAACACACGCCTTGGGATTTCGGGAAAGGGTGGCTCCGAAGAAGAAGAAGAAGAAGAAGAAGAAGAAGAAGAAATTTTGAATGACACATGTTTTTCTATTTTTGTTTTACCAGAATCAAGTACCCTAGTGTTTGTCTCGCCGGGGCCACGCTCCAAGGGAGACGCTGGTGCAGCGGTAGTATCATAAATATTACAGTTACATTTCTTCATACAAGTACATACTTCTGATAACAAATTTAAAAACTTATTTACAAATTGGGGAGCCATCCCCGTCATTCCGTTATTGTTCGTGCAACACCCCGGAGCAGGGGCCACTTTGTTGTGGTTTACTTCATTTTTACCAGGAGCTAAGGCACCCAAGTGACCTAAGCCCCGAATTCTTTTCCCTGAGCCTTCATTTCGTTGACCTGTTGGTCATAGAAGAAGGCCCGGATTTCGTCGTAAGAACGACCGGCCAAAGAGTTGAGCCGATCGTCCGGCTTTTCGATTTCTAGTTGGCGCGCCTGGCGCCCTTGATTATTTTTTGTTGGGCAGCCTGCGCCCCGTTTCTACAGTCTCGGGACATGTGTCCCTCTTGGCCGCAGTTGTAACAGTTGCCCTTGAATCTGCGCATTTGTCCGCCTTGGACCGCGCCGATATCCATAGGAGCACCCTGTCCTGGCTGCAGCCTGAACGGCTTGAACCCGTGAGAGTGATTATGATGTTGGTTTGATGACCCAGGGCGCCTCTGGGGTATGTTGTTTTGTTTGGTGGACCCGCCACCTTGGTGCATGGTGTAGAGCTCTATGGCTCTACCGACTCGTCGTACTTCCTCAGCCGCCAGGGCCAAGTTGTCACTTCGTGTATCCTGCAGATAGATCTGTTCTGCAATGCGAGGGTTCACATTGCGTTCTAGCAGTTCCACTGCGTGTTCATTGCCAAGACCCCCTTGGATTGAGAGGGCCAGGAACCGGGTTACGAAATCATCCGTCCTCATGTTTCCTTGTTTGAAGGAACGGATTTGCTGACGCGCCCAGTCACGCTCAGCTTGCGGTTTGAAATATTTTTCGATCTCTGTTTTGAGATCGTCCCAGGTGGGCCACACACCCGCGGTGTAGCATTCCTGGAGTCTTACTTGGGCGTATCGACCCGCCACAGGTCCTTTTAGGCGAGATAGCACCGCAGTGGCTACCTCAAAATCGTCGGCGAAAGCGTCCCAGTTCGCCTTGACCCAAATCTGGAGCTTGATCCACCATTCGGCAAATCGCGCTCTGTCTCCTTCGAAGGCGCCAGGGTCAGCGACGACTTCGACTTTCTTATTAAACTTTTTCTCTACCGAGGGGGTTGCTACAGGGGGGTTGGCCTGTATCTCGGCGAGCTGCGAGGTTAATTCAGCTATCTGCACACGCATTGCGTGTAGTAGCGCATTCATATCTTGGGGTTGCGACGACATGTTGACTTGTTCTCTTTGGGTAACGTAAAAATAGGTAACTGGGGGTCCCCGCTTGCTATCTGCGGATCAACCTCTTCCCAGCTGAGTATCGGATCTCAATCTCCGACTACCCACACTATAGTATTTGAAAATGTATATAAAATGTAAACGTAATAAACCCTGGTCCGAACGGTTGTCAGGGGGTGGTCCGCTTGTTAAGCTGTCAACCCTTCTCCAGACTGGCGGAGGCAAGTGCCCGGCCTGGTCAGAGGTATTCGAAAGTGAAAGTTTGTATTCTAAATCTAATCAACAGTGGTTCCACACCGACTGCTGAGCTAAGGTACTCCCCTTAACGCTGGGGGCTGCGTATCGAAGGTTTGCGTTCTTCTCCCGAAGCACTACAAGGCCGTCGCTAGGAGCGCACCTATCTGCTATGTGGGATATTCCTAACCGCTAACCAATCTCCTTCACCCTGGAGTCCGGGTGCCCAGTGGGACTTTTTTGCACAAACGTGCGAGAGAGTAGAAAGAGCGAGTCCTAATGTAACAACCAAGAGTTAGTTACTCTGGCGCACACAAGAACACACTATAAGGAAGATGTTGAGGGAGTGGTTACCCCTTAAGCTGCAGAGAGTTTGTTGGTATACAACAGGAGGACTCGCTGAGGAGTCTCCTGGATCTATTGGGGTATATATACTACTACAGGTTTGTTTGTACATGTGTACTATACAGTTGATGAAGGCAGTGGCTGATGATGTCATAGGGTCTAGCCCGTATGGCCAGCTCCACTGCGTGAGAGAGTTAAGTCTAAAAGTAAAAGAAAGGCAACGCGGCGCGAGAAAGGGAAATGCCGCGTGGCACTTAAAGTATAAAGTTAAAGCGGAGAATAAAAAGGAAAGGAGATGTCCGGAAATTGTGTTATCGTAACATACAAGGCCTGGGAGTTTCTTCTTTATGTTTATGGGCTCGCACCAGCTTTACCGTACAATGTTCTCCCTGAAAAATATTGGAGAAACTTCTGCAAACTTGTTTTTAGTGTTTGGATTTTCAACCAGCACCATATTCTTACAGTAGATCTACAACAGGCCCACAAACGAATGCTTGAATTCACTGCAGAGTTTGAGGTTCTGTATTATCAACGACGTGCCAATTGGCTACATTTTGTACGACCGTCCTTACACACTGCTCAACATCTTGGCCCAGAAGTTGTTCGGAGTGGCCCAGGGATTTGCTCGTCCCAATGGACAATTGAGCGGACAATTGGTAACCTGGGACAAGAGATCCGTCAGCCATCTAACCCATATGCTAACCTCTCTCAATGCGGCCTCCTTCGCTCTCAAATTAATGCACTGAAGGCTATGATTCTGTTCCTCAGTCCACCCACAAATCCAATTCCGAAGGGGGGAGTAGATATTGGTGATGGGTACCTTTTATTGCGTGCAAAGGAGAAGTTCCCCCGCTCTGTCCGTAGCTGTGAAGCTGAAGTAATTCAATCTTACCTCTCAGGAAATCAAAGCTACGACACAGAATTCCAGTCAAAGATTACAAGATGGGCCCGTATTCGTCTTCCAAATGGACAAGTAGGACGGTCTTTGTGGAAGGAAGCACTAAAGGCAAAGGGAAAATGCAGAGTAGCGAGAAACGTCAAGGTATTGTCTCAGTAATATAATTACGTATTACTATTGCTCACTCTCTCAATTTTAACTTCTTCTCTCTGGAAAATTGGTGTTTGCAGAAGTCTACTATTATTTCATCTTATGCATGCAGAATAATAGCGAGAAAAGGCCGGTAGCTCTGGTATCATTTTATTCTGAACCTCACGACACTCTCCTCAAGGCATTTTTTGGCACTGTCTGGTCCTATACATCCCAGGGTGATTCGTCACTTCATGTGGTTAGCATCAAAGCAATTCTGTCAGTTGTTGCAATGGTTCCTCACACTCCATTTCCTACTAGTAATGATGTAACTGAAAGGTTCTTTGTTGTAGAGAAGCCAGGATTGGACATAGCTCATATGATTCATGACAATAATGTATTAGAGGAGTAGTGTTTTGCTGTAAGTCTACACAGGAAATCATTTGCCTGGTATTAATATTACTACAATAGCTACGTTAATGCATGTTAATGGACTTAGTGAAAAAAAGTACAATGTTTCCTTTTTCGGCAGAGCTGAATTTTCTGCGTCAGCTCACTGTTTTCCTTGAACAACCTACCACACATTTTCGATATTTCTAATGCATCTTATAGGATTCTGGAAGCGATCACACAGTAACCAACTTGAAGGGTCACCTTTTCTTTTTGACCACCCACTTGCACTCAGAGCTGAGGGAAGTCCAGCACCAGCATCTCCTTCCCTGTTGGTATCTATGTTGAGTGAGTCTGGTGGCAGTAATAGCCTCAGCTCATGCTTGGACTACAAACATGGCAGGATACCCTCTATGAAATATTCTGGCTGTCTAGGGCAAAATTCATTGAGATTGAATACAAGCTTTGGGGTACATTTTCATTCTCTAACTAATTTGACTGATAGTTTTATTTGTGACACAGAGCTCGTCTTCCATCAACACATCTTCAAGTTCTCTTCCCAGATTTGTGCAGTCACCCTATCCGGCCGACATTTTAGAGAAAATGGAACAGCTGGAGCAAGCTTACCAGGACTTGCAACGACAAAATGATGTCCTAAAGGCAGAACGGGACACCATCCAGTAAGCACTTAGATTTTGTATGTTTCTTGCCATTCATTTTTTTTATAGAGGCGCATATAACACACTCGTCCAATCAGTTCCCGAACTTTTGGCTCTTAGCCCAGTAACAACATCTACACTATCAATCACAGACGGCAACAAGAAGCCAAGGCTCCGAACCTTACCAAATATCACTTTAGGCCCGCCACTGAGTCAAGAAGAGTACACATCCATCAATTTCTGGCGAAAACAAGATTACCTGCAATATATCAAAGACGTGAAGGATTCAAACCAAGACCCTCCCGAGCACAAGATGTACTATGTTGAGCACAAGGATGGGACCATCATTGACCACCACTCAGCAACAGATATACGCAAGCACGCTCGTTCAATCTGGGCTGAGCTTGCTGAGCTTGGAATGGTGCCCAAGACTTGGATGAGTGCTGGGAGAGCAGTTATGGACTACTACAGATACAATATGTATGAGAAAGTGCCACAGTTACAATATTGTGACATGGACTGGAAAGCGGATCAAATAGCTATCAACAACTATCCTTCATGGTATGGGAATCATGTGCTGTGCCCTAAAAAGGATTTAATCAAGAAGGAGGCATCTGAAAACGAAGACAAAAGGGCAATCAAAGGAAACGGAAAACGCGCTCCTGAGCCTGCGGCACCTAGTCTCCCCCGACCTGTGAAGAAATTAAAGGGTGCAACTTCGGCAGTGGTTTCCCTTCCAATGCCAGTCACAACGGTACCCGAAACAGAGGCACACAATTTCAATGAGGTATGTGTCTCCCCAGTCATTCATGTTTACACTAACAAAATTTCTCAATAGATGCATGATCCATTGTATGTTTCATTTTGTTCGCAGGAGTGGCTGTCATCTATACTAATATTTTTTTTGCCTTAGAGCCGACATCATTCCCAGCAGTCCTCACATCCCTCCCATTGGGATGTCTAGGCCAGCTCCAAGTCCTAGCCACGTCGAGCGCCAACTCCCTCCCCATCCAGATCCCCCAGAAAGCCATCCTGAAACAACCACCCCAGGTGTCCCCGGCGATATGGGACCACCAACGAACTTTGACCAATCTACCACGCACAGTGGGACTCAAAAAATAGTCAAAGTGAACCAAGAAATGGCCAGAACGGCTACAATTGCAGAAGGAGACAGGCTGAGAGCTGCTGCCCCCATGTCATCCACCTTGTCTGACCAAGGCATAGAAGAGACCAGGGGCCCATCAAGTCACACCAGCGAGGCCTGCAGGAATGCAGGGAAGAAGGCACTGGCTGACAGGAAACCTGGCAAGATGTGCCCTGGAAACACATTAACTGCCAGGTATGTTTTTTTTTACTCTAATCTAAGGCTAGTTACATTCAGATACTAGGAATCTCTGTGCTATTGACTGGGTTAAGGCAAATCCTCGAGGAACAACAAATGACTTCGGCTTATACTACAAAAATCTCGACCAGGAAACGAAAAAAGTGATTGCCGTTTACCGGTTTGTGGACATATAAACTAACACTGCTTGCTATATAGACCTACGAAGACCTGGCTAATCGGGCTAGTATGGCACAAGTAAGTTTACTCATTCACAGGCTTATTATACTGAGCTGATACATGTTTTGTAGAAAGAAGCGGCCTTGGGAAGCATCGAAGGAGGGCAGGTGGGTCTATAAGCTGGGGCTCAAATTGTCGTTTCATGTTTGTTAGATTTCCCTCGATCGTACTATTTGTTGCAGACAATATTTGTAATATATGACACTCAATGAGACTCGTTTCTGCGATTTAACATGTTGGGAACATGATTCTGATGAAATCTCAGGAAATCTACTTAGTTTCACTCAATAGATATGCCTCATTTTCTCCACATTGAATCTAGAAAATAGTCTCACATTTTGAGTGCTCCCGACGCCAGTATGAGTCATTGACCACATTGGGTTTGCCTCAATAATGCTAGATCCGCTTTTGACTGGGCCTGACATTTTGTCCACTTCTTGCTCCATCCTCACCCTTCCATGGTCCGTTCTGCCCTATCTCCACCACTTACTAGACTACCCCATGTTATCTCAATGCCCGTCCAATCCAACTCCAATCTGATTAAATAGGCAAATCAGCGCCCACTATAGATAGCTATATATTCCATATTGTCACATCACAACAACATCAGTGTTAGTGTCAAAATCTCGAATTCACATTGTTCATCACTTCCCTCCTATTCAAGCCTTCGAGCCTTCAAATTTGAACCTGAACCTCAAACGCTTCCACAGGACCACTGGCCTCCATCTCCCCCACATGGAAGGCATCCAACATCACCGTCCTGCACCCCAATCTCGCATCCTTGCACTGGCTTCAAGTCAGCTACCGACCTCTCCTCTAAAACAACCCCGCCCTGACCCCCAGCAATTGCAAGTCAACTTGGCTGGGTCTTGGGATCCGAATTTCACATTGCTCTTGTGTCAAGCCTTTCAACCAACTCAGCCTAGCACGCACATCCTACTGTATATCCCCCCCAACTCGGATCTAATAGAACACGCCGAATGAGAGCTCTGCACAATGTCAACTCCACAGTCGTTTCGAGAGACCCCAGAGCAATCTGTCAACTGACCGTTCATACACCATAAATAATCGCGCCGGAGTCTGGGTCTCAGCCAGTTGCAGCTCAAACACACCCTTTGCAAAATAAGAAACAATGGTGAACGTCGTGCATTCCATGAAACCTGGGACTGACTGGATGCAGCACGAGCTATTCGCATATAACATCCAACGTTGTAAACAAAGACGTTGTTGATGATGAGAACTGTTGTTAGAAAACCACACACAAAAACAAACAAACACACAATCCTCCCAGATTCCACGGAACTTGTTTATGGGCTTTGCCTCCTAGAACAGTGGAGTGGTCTGGTTGTTCGTGGGGTGGTACGTATAAAGATCCTTCAAAGTAAAACCCAGAAGTGTATGAGTGTGGGTTTTGAGGAGGAGGGATAGTTGAATTTATAGAAGATAGGGGCTTAGTGACGAGTATAGATGAGCACTACCTTGCTAATTGTAGCACAAGGTAGGTTTGAGAACGGTGAGGATGACGAGGTGACGAGGTTCCCAGTGATAGCAGGCTCCTGACGCACAAACTGTAGTGCTCAGAAGGACTCTAATCGAAAGGGATAACAATGACTTCAAAAGTGGGAAGTGACGATGACAGCAATTAAGAGTGGTAGCAGTGGGAAGTGTTGTAACCACACTGGATCACAAGTAGCAGTAAGAAGTGGACTTAAGATTAGAGAAGAAGTCTGGAATCGAGTTCTTGTAGTTCTTTTTTTTACAAGGTAAAATACAGGGGTTTATATAGTAAAAGAAAAGTAGGCTATGCACAGTATAGCTGTGCAAAAAGAATGAGAAAGAACATGAAGGAAGGAATGTATGCTGACAAATCCTGCATAGGTAGTACAGGATAAGATTGTCAAAAAAGGAAAAGAAAGGGATAGAACAATGAATGCTGTGAGTAATGTCACAGGTTTGTACAGCCATAAAGTAAAGTCCAATAGCAAAAAGAGAGCAGGAAAATCATGATGTCATGGGAAGATGCAGTAAAAAAAAGGCAAGGCAAAACACTATCAGTATCAACACAGTTCCTTTATTGTCAGTTAGGCATTCTAAAAAATATGTGTCCATAAAAATGATTCAAAAATCAAAAATAATTGCACTGTAAATGAATGTTCTGCTGAAAAAAAAGAAACTGGAGCCACCAGTCCACCACCTAGTCCAAATCCGACAGTTCCATTGCCTTACCAATGGACTGGTTGTGTTGGACCACCTGATCAAACGAGGGAGGGAGAGGAGTAGTTCCAATTTGGAACAAGTGAGTCCCAGGCAGCGTGTGGTAGGTGTAGCTGTAGCGAAGACGATGGACAAAAGATAAGTGTACCCAAGTGAATGGGACAGCGATGAACATGGGTGACGCAAGGGGATGAACCTTCTCCAGCTCAAAAACTACCCACCCACGCTCCAACCAGGCAAGATGAGCGACCGATGTTTTGATAGTATATGATGGCAGATTGATGTCATGAAGATGGACCTGTTGCCCTATTTGGACCGGCCGCCGGGGCTTTGCTGATATCAGCAGTGGCACGTGGTAGTCAACGGATCGGCGACGGAAGCGGATAGGAAGTGGTGACATCAGAAATGGTGGGGGTGCAAATAAGATGAGGAGGAGGAGGGTGGAGGTGACAAACAAGTGGATTAGAATGGGGACCCAGAAACGACCGTCAGGTGAGAATAAAAAGGAGAGGAAGGGGCCCATGGTGGGGCTAGGCAAAGGAAGGGGAGTAAGGGAAACGACAAAAGCGAGGGCGCAATGCAATGTGTAGCCAGTGGCGACGCGAAAATTTGCCGAAATGCCGAAACGCGGAAAGTACCGGATGGAAAAGCAAAGGTGAGCGTGACTGGATTGCCTAATAGAGGTGGTGCTGATCAGCCACAAGTTCAAAAAGGGCAATATTAATTACTATTCCACGTGGCACTGTGCCTGTGTGGCGCAAAGGCGAGTCTTTTTGAATATTTGCTTCGTTATTGACACCTGTCCATGCTACCAATCAACTTTGGTGCATGACACCGGTCCAAATAGGGCAACAGGTCCATCTTCATGACATCAATCTGCCATCATATACTATCAAAACATCGGTCGCTCATCTTGCCTGGTTGGAGCGTGGGTGGGTAGTTTTTGAGCTGGAGAAGGTTCATCCCCTTGCGTCACCCATGTTCATCGCTGTCCCATTCACTTGGGTACACTTATCTTTTGTCCATCGTCTTCGCTACAGCTACACCTACCACACGCTGCCTGGGACTCACTTGTTCCAAATTGGAACTACTCCTCTCCCTCCCTCGTTTGATCAGGTGGTCCAACACAACCAGTCCATTGGTAAGGCAATGGAACTGTCGGATTTGGACTAGGTGGTGGACTGGTGGCTCCAGTTTCTTTTTTTTCAGCAGAACATTCATTTACAGTGCAATTATTTTTGATTTTTGAATCATTTTTATGGACACATATTTTTTAGAATGCCTAACTGACAATAAAGGAACTGTGTTGATACTGATAGTGTTTTGCCTTGCCTTTTTTTTACTGCATCTTCCCATGACATCATGATTTTCCTGCTCTCTTTTTGCTATTGGACTTTACTTTATGGCTGTACAAACCTGTGACATTACTCACAGCATTCATTGTTCTATCCCTTTCTTTTCCTTTTTTGACAATCTTATCCTGTACTACCTATGCAGGATTTGTCAGCATACATTCCTTCCTTCATGTTCTTTCTCATTCTTTTTGCACAGCTATACTGTGCATAGCCTACTTTTCTTTTACTATATAAACCCCTGTATTTTACCTTGTAAAAAAAAGAACTACAAGAACTCGATTCCAGACTTCTTCTCTAATCTTAAGTCCACTTCTTACTGCTACTTGTGATCCAGTGTGGTTACAACACTTCCCACTGCTACCACTCTTAATTGCTGTCATCGTCACTTCCCACTTTTGAAGTCATTGTTATCCCTTTCGATTAGAGTCCTTCTGAGCACTACAGTTTGTGCGTCAGGAGCCTGCTATCACTGGGAACCTCGTCACCTCGTCATCCTCACCGTTCTCAAACCTACCTTGTGCTACAATTAGCAAGGTAGTGCTCATCTATACTCGTCACTAAGCCCCTATCTTCTATAAATTCAACTATCCCTCCTCCTCAAAACCCACACTCATACACTTCTGGGTTTTACTTTGAAGGATCTTTATATGTACCACCCCACGAACAACCAGACCACTCCACTGTTCTAGGAGGCAAAGCCCATAAACAAGTTCCGTGGAATCTGGGAGGATTGTGTGTTAGTTTGTTTTGTGTGTGGTTTTCTAACTGCAGTTCTCATCATCGACACCGGCCGCCGGGGCTTTGATGATATCAGCAGTGGCACGTGGTAGTCGACGGATCGGCGACGGAAGTGGATAGGAAGTGGTGACATCAGAAATGGTGGGGGTGCAAATAAGATGAGGAGGAGGAGGGTGGAGGTGACGAAAAAGTGGATTAGAATGGGGATCCAGAAACGGCCATCAGGTGAGAATAAAAAGGAGAGGAAGGGGAGTAAGGGAAACAACAAAAGCGAGGGCGCAATGCAATGTGTAGCCAGTGGCGACGCAAAAATTTGCCAAAATGCCAAGTACCGAATGGAAAAGCAAAGGTGAGCGTGACTGGATTGCCTAATAGAGGTGGTGCTGATCAGCCACAAGTTCAAAAAAGGCAATATTAATTACTATTCCATGTGGCACTGTGCCTGTGTGGCGCAAAGGCGAGTCTTTTTGAATATTTGCTTTGTTATTGACACCTGTCCATGCTACCAATCAACTTTGGTGCATGACAACGTGCCCCCCTTCAAGTCTTTTCGGTCGTCCCAACTTTACCTGCAGTTGCAACCCACCGTAGGTTCTATCACACACATCTCCGTGGTTTATCACGCTATGACAAACCTGTTGATGATCATACCATACTGTGAGGCAACGATAAACTATAACAAAAACGAAACCTGTCTCCTTCTGCACTTGCAGGGAGTAAGGGGTCCGATGAGCTTGAGGTCGACAGACGCTAGTAAATATAGCGAGTAGAGGACTTTGAGAGGTAAGCTTCAAAGGTTCTTGTTGAGGAGTAAAGCGGGTAAATTCAGTAATAGAAAACTAAGGAGCCATACATGAATAGGTAGGGCTTTATATAGTGAACTGTTTGTTCCTCAGACCGAAAGGAGAATATACGAAAAGTGGTCTGAGGAATCAATCGACCAATAAGAAAAAGAGAGAACAACTATTGTACGACTTTTAACTTAATTAATCAGCAGGTGAGAGACTTGTACTAATAATAGAGGATTGTCACGCGTGTTCAGGAACCGTATCCTCATAATGAGGTACGATCCTGAATAAGGTGTTATTAGTATAACCAGGCTTTACTGAGGCTTGGAGCTGGTTGGCGAGATGCCTACTACCAGTCCCTACCCAGTGTGCTGGCTGGCTGGGAGCGATACCCAGTCTCTGATCTGTGATATAAAATGGTAGCGATGGTTAAGAAAGCCTGTGAGGGCTATGAGAAGTAAAACAGCAAATGATACCTCTAGCCCTAGAGCCAGAGGTGTAATGGGAAAAGTGTTCGAGAACCAAGACATAGCGAAGATAAGAAAATAATAAAATGGTCCTTACACATACACCGACGGTTGGAGATAGGCTTTGTCATGTGCGACACGCACCTTGATGCCCGGACATCCCACTTCAGGATGAGGACGGCCATCTCCATGTACAGCAGCATGACCCAGAAAGTAATCACCATTCAATTATCCACCATACCCAAGCAATGTTCCATGCCAGCCCCCGATCCAGAGCCCCAACTCATCTCAGAGGCAATCGGCTCTTTTTATGGGGATGACAGGTAGGACTTCCGGCGATGGAGGTCAACGTATTTGCTGGGCCACACTGATGGGAGCTGCCCCTACAATGTTCTACACCATTCCCATCATGGCTGACCTTCTTGAATCTATCGTGACCACCCAGTTTCCCCTGGGCCACCAGCACACCGTTGGTTCACTAATACCTCCCGCTCCGAACATCGCCCAGTATCTGATAGATGGAATGCAAATGCAGTTTTTGGAGAATCAGTGCATTGTTCTGCAATGTGTCGAAGCCTTCAAGCAATTTGTCCGAAACGAGCTCTGTCATCATGGTCATGCATCATGCAACAACTGACGTGGTGTTGGCTCACACGACATTGACACGATGCAGAAGTTGAATACATGCTGTATTGCCCATTTTGAAAACGAGAAGTCATCATCATCATCATCATCATCATCATCTAATTTTAATTGCATTAGCATCTACAGGTAGTACATTTGCATCTGTCTTTTGCAGTGTTTTACAAAAATTCAAAGTTATTCAAGACATGCGAGAGGGAATGAGTGAGTTATCAGTTAACTAAGAGGCATTGTCATTGTCATTGTTCTGGCTTCTGCCCATGGTGAGACCGGTGAGACTCCACTACGCATGCACATACTCCACCACCATAGGTTCTTCACCGACCTCACTGCTGTATTGATAAAAAGGCATTTTACAATGTCATACAACTTTGAAGTGTTGGAATTGTCAAGGTCAAAGCCTGGGCCTTGTTAGACAACATTGTGCAATTGAGTGTTGATATCCAAGGGCTGGTAGCTCAGTTGCTTAGAGCACCACCATATATAGGCAGGAGATCCTGGGTTCAATCCCCGGCTGGTCCAATTTGCTTTTCTGTACTCTCTGAGTCCACTGTGGATTATTACATAAAGGACTGGTTATAGCCGGGGTGGTCTAATGTTTCATAGGGAATGAGGTTTGGACGTTTGATAACAGTAGCACTAGGAAAAGAAAAAGAAAAAACCTTTTACTACTACATCGGTGGGTACCACAGGTTTTCGTCAGCTCTTGTTTGACAAAATCGGATAAACCCGGTCCCTGCTGAAGCAGCCATTGTTCTCCATGGAGCATAGCGACCACTCCATGGAGTCACCATTGTTCTCCTAGGAGTCATTATACTATAGCGAGTAGCACCTCCGACTATAAGTAGTAGGGGGTTTAGTATAGAAATACCTCAGTCATTTCTATAGCCTCTTGGGCAGTGGCTGAGGTATGTTACATTACATTTATTAGAGATCACCTTGAACTAACATCCATGGTAGTTTCACATAGGTAAATAATAAAGTCGTTTCTATAGCCTCTTGGGCAGCGGCTGAGTTTCACATAGTTTTGGTATTGTTCTCATTGCATTATCAGATCCAACAACGAGAAGACACCCTCGCTGATGTACATTGCCAGTGCTTGAAATCACCTCCAGCAACCTCGAAGGCAATCACGAGATTCTCATGCCCGGTTTACACCGTGGCGCTCTTACTACTTCATCAAGCACTGCATGCGTTTGTATTGGCTATGCCATTTGATGTATTATGTGTCGGCGGATCAGCAAAGGTGGACGAGTACTCTATTTTCATGTTGGTTTCCATTCCAGCGCTCTAATGTGGTTAAGTCATTCTAACGCTCTTGAGATAACTGGTATCAATTTGTGAGCTAACCATATTGAAACTTAATGTCCCCATCATCTATCGAGGTATATAAACCAGATGTTTTCGCAGTCCAACACTTATCATTCTCAAACACTACTACTACAGAGACATTTGCAATGCACTTCACCAAAGCTTTCCTCGCCCTTGTGCTTGTTGCAGCACCTGCTTTTGCCACCCTGCTGCTATTGTTGAAGACAGCATTGAAGCCAGAGCTCTTGAGGCCCGTGATGTCAGTGTTCTTCTTTGTCTCTGCATCCTTTGTAGACAGATAGCTAACCTTGCCTTCGATCTCACAGACCTATGTCACTTGCAACCCCAAAATGAACAACTTTCCCACCAAGTCTTTCAAAGTTGACGTGAACAACGCCCAGAGTCAGGCCAGAGTCACCGGCTTCGTATCCGGCAAAAGTGGCGACCCTCACAGGTACAACATGTGAGGCTATGAGAAGACTAATAAAGAATATTTCTCAGTCTTATAATCAAGAGACTGATATTAAATGATAATCTACCTAATAGAGAATATTTCTAAGAGTGTAAAGTGAGTATAGTGATAGAATGTGGACTGTAGAATAACCAGACATACCTCAGTCTTATAATCAAGAGACTGAGGTTTGTGTAATGTGGAATGCTACGAGTTTTGGAATAAGTGTGGGAATAATTTGAGCTTATGTAATGTGATGAAAAGTGGTCAATCAGAGAATAAAGGATAATGTATGGATGATGATGAAATAGAACATAGAATGTTAATATGCTATGAATAAAACAGCATCGCCCTCCGGGCACCCCTGGCACCGACAACGATATTGAAGTGGGCATGTGAGCTCGAATCAAAGTGACATGAATTGCATTGACAAGATTCAGTCGTCTGCTAAGCACTAACGTCACATGATCACCTGTGACTTTCTTGTATATATCTAATGGCACGCACAAAACCTTATTATTGTCTTAAGAAATTGCACAGAAAGTTTTGCAGCTTGATTCCGCCCATCTCTGTCCCAGCCTATTGTCAGAAATATGCGATGTGCAGTTGCCATTAAGAAAATGGAGTCGGACACAGTGTCACAACAAGCATGGATTTGAGTGGGTCACAGGTTGTCACAGATCACGTGGTGTGTGAGCCCTACCTTAAAGTGCAAGTATTGGCGTGCGAAACATACAGTCATAAAGAAATACTCGGTGCGAACAACTGGTGCCATTTCCAGTGTCGAATTGTGAATGTGAGACCTGGTAACCTACGGTACCAGGAATATGCCAACACAACAATGGCGATGGCATCGTCTGGGGCCTCAGCAACTGCGATAACCGCAAGAACCCGCTGTTTGAATACCCTGTCTTCTGGGTGGGTGCCAAGCAGAAGGAATGGCAGTATAATACCAAGACAAGTAGCCAGGAGAAGACTCCGATTCGGGTCGTGTACGCCAACCTGAGTGGCGGCGTCTACTACTGCGGTGTCATGACCCATAGCGAGGTGGACAGCAACTACCAGGGCAAGGCCTTCTTTGAGAAATGCAGTTAAGTGCAAGTTCAGGGCCTGTGACAAGGAATGGTGAGTATGAAGATAGTGATAGTGTGCTCATTTACTAAGACGCGTTTCCACAGAGTTGGGTGTTAGGGAGAGTCGGTTTTTGACAGTTTTTTTGACAAAGTCCTTCAAGCAGGCGAGGACACGCAGTACTTTGCAGCATTGGCCTGTAGTAGTGTAGATGTGTTCTGTGACAGAAATGGGCTCCCACTATCATTCAACTTCTGTGTCATTGGTGGTAGAATTAGTACTTAGAACTCATTATTTTCTTTCAACATCCCTTATGCAACCCCACCTTTCGTTTTGTATACAGGCTCTCCTTTTGTGCACTTTCGAGTGAATTATTAACTAGTATGTTTTCTGGTGAAATCGTGAATGGTACCGAAATAATGCTTGATTACATTCCCTTTCAATGTTCCAGCATGATGTCGGGAACTGATCGACTCACGATCGACGCCGCTGGGTTTTTTTAATAAAATCCACACCTAGCCTCGTTCTCATCCGTTCCTGTGAGGCACGCTCAGCCACATCTCTCAGACAACTCGAATGTCTGAACACGTACTCTATTCCTCACTCCACTTTCCCCAATCTCGTAGCACCCTCATTCAAACGGACTTACTATCAGATATCTCGGTGCAAATTTGCTCGACGAGGGTACAACCCAGTGCTGTTATCCCCATGTCGAATCTATCCCATGGCAACCTTCAGTTGGAAAGAGCGGTTTGCGCCAGGGAAAGCTGGGAAGACGTCGAAGGAGAGAATATGACCCTTTGCAAGCCTTGAAGACATTGGAGCTTGTGAGTAATGGAGGTATGTTGGTTGTATTGTAGATCATCTCCCAGCCATTCCTCACCTCGCATGGATGCTTGTAATTTTCCCAGATAATCACAACCAAGACCACACCGTGCTCAACTGTCCAATCAAACTTGTTTTCGCGAAGGCAGCTAAGAAGGTAATTGTAGAACAACAGAGAATTGTGGCCAGAGAAAAGCGGCCTGTTAGGCTGGACTGTACAGTGAGGTCATTCCGCATCTCGAGCGTTCAATTATTGATTGATTCGACGTAGCATCCTTGACATCTTGTCCACTTGCAGCTCCATCCTTGTCCTTTCATTACGCCTTCTTCCTCTCGCTTGCTGACACTTGTACAAGTCGAGAGCACGCTATCCCCATCAAAGAGGCAATTCATAGCGACCTCACCCACTGATCATCACATTCCAACGTCCTCAGCGTTGGTGTCTGCGCCAGATGCCAAACTCACCTCCGAGTCGCGCGAACAGGGTCCTCCGTCGCCCGTGGCTTCACACAAAGCTCTGACATCTTCAATCTTCAATCTCTAGACGTTTCAACGGGACGAGGTCCCTTTCCTTCACCAATGAGTACCATAGCATGAACACATTGCTGCCAACCACAACTCAGTCATCAGGAGGCGTCAAAACACCGCAAAGCGTCCCATCTCAGCCGACGAACGTCTGGATTTTTCTTGGATTTACACTTAGCACTTGGGACTGAAGCCTGTATATTCGAAATCTACACTTAATCAGTAGCAAGCATCTTTACAAACAACTAGGAAGTGCATCTACTCATTGATCTCACTATCAACCGTACCTCCTTGGAATTCGTGATGTTCGTCGATTTCGTCAAAGCCTCACGAGAAGACTGTAGGCCGAAGCCTCAACGTGTATCTAGCATCGAGCCCTTATAATCGATGCTTCAAGACACTCGAACAACTCTTGCGCACGGCAAGACACGTGGACGGGGTGGGCCTCATTCATGCACCAAGCGGGGCATTACTACCACCCTGCGTACACGTACGCACAACGCAGTCTAGCTGAATGGTTTCTAGTCGTGAAGATGAATACAAGACTACTTAAGAAACCGCTCGGACCCGAACCAAATGGCACCGCAGAAAAGGACTCCGAAACTTGGTCGAGCTCGCTGTGCCCCGCGGGCTCTCAGCCCATCGCAGCGCCCCCACAGCTCTTCTTACCCTCCACCGATCCCATACCCTCCTGTCCAAACCACTCAGTTCCTAAGAAATCAAACCACCACACCCCCCATGTCACTCAGCCGAGCCCAATCGTCGGACTCCTCAAAATCGAGGACCACTCGCAGCAATGCTGACGCCAGCACCCAAGCAAGTTCAACCTTTCAACAGACCAAAGATCGACCGTACAATGACGCCTTCACAGCTGCATCATACCTAGCAAAAAGAGACTCAATAGTGTCCGGTGAGGAGATCACGATCTCAACTCTATCTACTACACTCGGTCACATCGTACAGGGCCCAGGCATCCAATTACAGACTTCACAAGCCATCAGAGCTGTAGCGCTGATCCTAAAAGATCTCAATCAATCCAACACAATAAGACAACTAATCGACACCTTCACCACCAACATACAACCAATCGCCATACAAGCTGCGGTCAGCGAACTATCCCCCAGCATAGCCAAAGTCTTTGTGTCGGTCGAAAAACTCGAGACTACAGCTAAGTGCCCAGCTGACACTCCCTGTTCGCTCACCCCGCCTCCCACAGAACACGGGCTACAAATTACCATAGACTTCCCACACGCCAACACACAAACGGTCGAAAAGCTAACAGAAAATTTGACAAAGTTGGAATCACAAATCAAGGCCTCACTTCCTTCCTTTTCAAGTTCCAATGTTCAAACGCTCAGAACCGTAGTACTTCCGAACTCGCATGCTCGCACTGGCATCAAGGCAGGTACGACCTCTCCTCCAACTACATACGCACTGGTATCCGACCATCTCTTACAGTTATTATCCACGTTCGTCTCCCAATTCGGAGGTCATCGTTCGTATTCGGCGACAAACAACCGCGCCTCGACTCGCAGCAATTTCCAGTGAGGTCTGCTAGGGCTTAGGATCCGAATTTCACACATTTCTCTCGTAGCAAGCCTTTCAACTAACTCAGCCCAGCGCGCTCATCTACTTATTCACCCCTCCCGGGGGTCGGATGGAACTCTTGCTCGGAACATGCACCCTGAGAGCTCTGGCGATTCTAAGCCGCTGACCACAAATGGCGTGGCGCGTGCTAAATTCGACTGAAAGTCATAACGCGATAGTTTGCCATGGTGTCCCGAGTGCATCCCAGAGGCAGACCGTTGTCACCGTTCTCAAGCTAGTACCTCCCATTTCGGATATTGCCCAGAATCATCACCAATGGAACGCGGTCTTTCGAGAATCGGCGTATCTGATAATCTTGCAATGTTCGAATCCTTTAATCAATTTGTTCTGTAGCGAGTTCTTCAATCGTGCTCGTGCATCATGCAACTCACATTGTGTCGGCTCAAATGCAACCTCGCAGCTAATGTACTAAATTGGAGAAATAATGATCATCAAATCTAATTCGCATATACAAGGTAGCACAATATGTCTTTTGTGTTTACAAAATTTCAAAGCTATGGGGCAAAAAATGCGAGAGGGAATGAGCAAGTTATCTAAGAGTAAGAAGAGGAACGGTGTTATAGTTAGGAAAAGGAGTGGTGAGCTGCTGTACATTGCAAAAGTGGAACATCAGAATGAGAATCCTGTGTACCTAGTCTTAGGTCTCCCCCTCAATCGCTACCATGCGCTGACCCGCCAACTTAGCCACAAGCCGAGCTTCCGAATTGAATCTCTCATCCCCAGCGACAAACGCCAACTGGTCCTTCCACATCCCCCATCTCTCCATACTCCACATCGTCCTAGGACCATCCACCTTGTCCACCTTTTTGCATTGCTCGTACACGAACCGACCCTCGTCTGGCCATATAATCCACTGCGCCCCCGCAATCACATCTCCGCTCACTCGGTTCGGTCCGCCGATTTTGCGCTTCTCCAAGTCAGGATAGTTGTTGCTGGAGGGTAGAATGTCACCCAGGGCACAGAGAAAGCCACAGTCTATGAGGCCTGAGGTGGTAATGCGCGCGATGGCAGATTGCCAGTTGCGCCAGCGAAGCTGAGTTTCGCTCCCTGGAGTCTCGATGTCAGAATAGGGGTACGAATACTCTGTTTTGCCAAAAATAATGAAATTGGTCAGCATGGTTACCCACCGTCGACGAACAAAGAAAATACGCACCATATGCTTCCCTGCGGAACACTTCAGCCAAGGCCATCCAGTTTCCCCCAAATGGCCACAATGTAGTCATCTCATAATGATCATTGCGGTCTTCTGCAGGAACGCCTTCGGGGACTTGGTGCTCCGGCATCGCTCTCAGCGCCTCAAGAAACTGGATGATCCTGTCTTGTCCGGGATGATGCGGCGGAAAGGCCGAACACAGCTTGGCGATCGACGGAAAGACCAGCTCGATGTTGCCGCTGGGATTGGGCGCGATGGCGCGCATGCTAACGATACCCCGCTCTTCATCTTCAGACGTCAGGTTCCTTGGATCAGGCCGCTTCATGAGCTCTTTGAGTCGCGTGTTGGCTTCGTCGACGACCCAGGCGTCAAAGGCAGCAGCGGCCTCGGACGGTGTGACATTGCCATTCATCAATGCGAAGAGTCTTTTCTTGTAGAGCACGTCTTCTTCGTCATCGTCGTCTCTGAACAACTGCAGATCTAGGGGCTCATCCGAGTATTGCAAAGCCATTTGGATTTTTGTGCGTGCTGGTCGGTGTTTGGGATGCAGGATGCGGGAGACTTGTATACTTTGTGGACGCTCCCAAAGCCCCACTCTTTCTCAGAATATTGATGCCAAGCTGCACGTGAGCTTGGGCGGCAATCGTGTTCAACGAAAGCTTTCAAAAGACAATCACTTTCCTGTGCTAGCGGAGATTTCCCCATCAGAGTCTGTCAATGAAACCGTTTCAGCAAAGAGTGGAAGCCCCATGACACTTTGCCAGCATCGCCGTTCGTCGTTCTCGCTTCTTCTGCCTGGACCCATGGTGAGACTTCACCGCGAATCCACATGACTCCACCCCAGAGGTTCTCCACCGACATCATCGCTCTTTTGATGAAGAGGTCTTTACAACATCATACAACTAACTTCGGAGGACTGATTACGGCCAGTGGTCTAATGTTTCGTATGTAGCGGTAATGAGGTTTCATAACAGCAGTACCGTGACTACTCTAAGAAAAAGAAAGAACTTTCACCACTACATCGGTGGGTACCCCACAGGTTTTCATCAGCTCTCGTTCTCATTCCATATCAGATGCAACGACGAGAAGACACTCTCGCTGATGTACATTGATCAGCTCGAAACCACTCCCAGCGGCCTCGAAGCTTGACAATCACGAGATTCTCCAGCGTTGCCACCCGGTTTACACTGCAGCGCTCCTACTCCATCAAGCACTGCATGCATTTGTATTAGACCACGTTTGACATGTTATGCGTCGGCGGATCAGAGAAGGTGCACCACTACTCTATTGTGACGTTGGTTTCCATTCCAGCGCTCTAACGCGGTTGAGAAATTCTAACGCTCAACTCGGTTGATGAGATAAGTGGTATCACGAGCTAACAATGTTGCAACAATTCGTTCAATCTCTGCGTCCCTATCATTCGTCGAGGTATATAAACCAGATGTTTTCGCAGTCCAAAATTTATCATTCTCCAACACCACTCCTACAGAGACATTCAACATGCACTTCACCAAAGCTTTGCTCGCCCTTGCGCTCGTTGCAGCACCCGTCTTTGCAACTCCTACTGCTATCGTCAAAGACAGCGTCGAAGCCAGAGCCCCTCTAGAGGCTCGTGATGTCAGTGTTCTTCTTTGTCCCTGTGTCGTTTGTAGACAGGACTTTCAGGCAGACAGCTAACCTTACCTTCGATCTCACAGACCTATGTCACTTGCAACCCCAAAACGAACACCTCTCCCACCAAGTCTTTCAAAGTTGACGTCAACAACGCGCAGAGTCAGGCCAAAAGCGCCGGCTTCGTAGCCGGTAAAAGTGGAGACCCTCACGGGTACAACAGCGGCGATGGCATCAAGTGGGGTTCCAACAACTGCGACAACGGCAAGAACCCGCTGTTCGAGTACCCTGTCTTCTGGGTGGGTGCCAAGCAGAAGGAATGGCAGAAGGACACCAAGACTAGTGGTCAGGAAAAGACTCCGATTCGCGTCGTGTACGCCAACGTGAATGGCGGTATCTACTACTGCGGTGTCATGACCCATAGCGAGGTAGACAAAAATTACCAGGGCAAGGCGTTCTTCGAGAAATGCAGTTAAGTGCAGATCCACGGCCTGTGACATGGAATGGTGAGTATAAAGATAGTGATAGTGTGCTCACTTACCAAGACGCGTTTCCACAGAGCTGGGTGTTAGGAAGAGTCGGTTTTTGGCTGTTTTTTGGCGACAAAGTCCTTCAAGCAGGCGAGAACACACTGTACTTCGCAGCATCGGCCTGTATTAGTTTGGATGTGTTCTGTGACAAAAGTGGACTCCTACTATCATTCAACTTCTGCGTCATCGGGTAGAATCAGTACTCATTATTTCTTTTCATCATTCCATTTTATATATATACAAACTCTCGTTTACTGTGCTTTCGAGTAACGTATTAACTTATATTGCTGGTGAATCTTTAATTATACTTTGTCTCGAATACAGACAATGACCTATAGCCCAGGGGCCTATCCCGAAGTCGACTGTAGAAACGATTATTTGTTGCAAAACTAAGGATGGCCAACGTGGGGATCGAACCCAAGACCTTCGCGTATGACACAAGGCCAGCGATCAGACCACCATGCAAATGCATGGTGGTCTGATCCATTGTGCCTAGGTTATTAGCACGACGCTCTAACCAACTGAGCTAGTCGGCCATAGGCCGCTTTGTGATACCTAACTTTGCTTGACGCACAACACCGCTGAGTTGGCCACTTTGGTCACTTGTGTCGACCATGAGCGAACTTGAAATCTTTGAGCATCTACCTGTATGGTTTTTTTTATCGAGATGGGTTCATGCGATGAAGTAGAGAAAAGTGAGCTTGTATTCATATTTTCATTGGCATTTTAACATTAACACAGGTGCAGTTCACCACTGAGTAGAAGCACGAGTCTACCAGAGGGCCCATTTAAATTTATCCAGCGAATTGGTCCTACTGTCATCGCCCCGGGCCATTCTCTGGGAGCCATAGCCAGAAAGGATGAGGATGTTTTCAACACTGTACTACTTACCTTTCAGTGGCTCTAGCAGTGCTTGTCCTGCCACGGGGTCATACTTTACCTACCAGCCAGTAAAGCCATACAACACAGTCTAATTGAACAATGTACCGTGAACGTGAAGACAAGACCACGTATAACCCGCAAAGACGGTACCGTCTGTGTAATTCCCATGGTCAACTTGAAAGCCCTTGACACACTGACGTGCTTCTGGGTCATAAAGCTGTGTGGGCTGATATGACGGAGGACTCCAATTTTTAGCGGTGAGTATTTAGGTTTTTATTCACGTAAGTCAATGTACAAACGATTCGACCAGTAATTGGGACATAGTAATGATATATCAAATGTTCCATCCGGAGCGAGGTATGCAGGGACCTGCATGAGCGTGCGATAAGGACATATCAGAGTAGACTTAATTCCAAGGTATAGCAATGTGGAATTAGTGAGATGCTATGTTCAGCCTTCAAGCCTCAGTCTTGAGCGGATCCAGCAAAGCCTATTGTGGATTCACACTCAGCATCTTTGTGGTTCATTGCCACTGGTATCAGACTAATAGTAACAGACCCAAACCAAGATGCTCTCAAAAGATGTTCTCCGAAAGGTTAGTCTGAGTATGTTCTATGTTCAGCCATGAGTAGTAACCGAAACGTCATGATTACGCTGAAGATGACGAACACAATGGATATTCAATATTCAATATACGTATCGGCGCTGATGGTGTCCTAGGCTGTGTGCGTCAGCCCATCAATATGTACAGTTGTAGGGCCTTCAAATTTCAAACCGGAAAAGTAAAATATACTATTAATACCTATCAATACAATAAAAGTGATCCTAGTTGTGAACCTAAGCTTTATTGAGACAAATGTGCTACCATGCACGCTGCCACATGTTCATCATATGTCACATACTGTACGTTACCCTTCCCCCAGTCAGAGCCTAAGTTGAAAGCTTTCAAATAATCCTCCATTTCTAGAAAAACAACCTCGCCAGTCTTCAATTCAAGAATCAACCCACGAAGATTACTGCCCATTCTTGCCCAGAGACGCTCCACGGTCTCAGGAAAATAAAGCAAGTTTTTTCTTTTGTCTTCGAACCATGGAGACACCTGGCGCCATGGCTGAACCATAGTGTGGACTGGGGGAATAGTGTCGACGACGTGCATCGAAGTGTATGGTTCAGCTATATGCCCAATAACTGTATTTCCCGTATCGAACGATATCAGGATGCGTGCAGAATCCTTTGAAATGGACAATGATGTGATTTCCAGATTACCGTCAATTTCGTGTTTGCAAAGAATAGCACCAGTCAAGGCATCATAAAAAGTAACTTTCTGGTCATATGGAATGGAAGATGCGATGTATTTTCCATCCGGTGAGAAAGCGACAAGAGGCTCTCCGCGATAGGATCGGCCGAGCTGGGTTAGAAGTTTTTGGTGATTCTCGATATCCCAGAGTTCTGCACTGGTTCCTTTCGATAGTAACATTCGAGTGCCGTCGGGAGAGATGACTGCGAAAGTTTCGCCACGATCATTATCATCAACATTCATGCCATCGTAGACGCACAACTGATTCTCCATCAGTGCATCCCAGACCTTGAAGCCTCGTTTAGACGTTGATATCACCTGACCGCTGTTTGGATTCAAACATATATGACAACTTGAATCAAGATCAAGAGAATGCCTAGCTATAATTTGATTCTTCATTATATCCAGCATGAAGACCACTGTACTGTTATTGACCGAATTCTTCTCTTGCGCACAGTACAAGAGACGCTTTGCATCTGGTGATATTTCGATGGATGTGATTGAAATACTCTCTAGATTTTTATGCTGACAGATAGTGGACCCTGGTACCAGTGTGTCCCAGACCCATATACCCTTGGCAACAACACAAGCCAGCATTGAACCGTCTGCCGATAACACTGGCAAGGTAAGAGGTTTACCGCGTAATCTGGCAAAAACATAGCTTGAGCTGTTTGTTAAGTCGTAGAGGGTGAGAGTATATTCTTTGTGAGCATTTGCCAGAAGTGATCCATCATGAGACATCGCTTGGATCCCTCCCGCGCATCCTATGTGGTACTGAGGTACAAACGAGTATAGAGCTTGAGTTTTACACACCTTCGATGGTGCTGCCCTAGATAGTGTCATCTACTTCGATTATTGACGTCACTTTGTGGGTTTGTGTAGTACCTATCAGCTGGGTTTCATCAGGCGAAAATTCAACAGATATACTGTTTTGATCGACAGACGCACGACAGGATGACATCAATTTTCCAATCGATCCTTCAAGGAGATTGACCTGGCGAGAGGGTGAGTCAGACCCGCCAACGATAGCGGCAACTTTTTCTCCATGAGAAGAGAATGCCATGTTCCATATATCGCGGTACCCGGATGCTTCCCAGATTAGTACCCCTTGGGTTGTATCTGACATACTGACATATCCGCCTTCTGTTCCAATTAGAATGTACTTTCCAGCGAACGATAGGCAGAGTATTGTTATTGTACCAAGAGAGTTCTTCAGTATCTGCCGGACGGGGTTGGTATTGGTTGGAGCGGTATGCCTGATGTCCACAATATCGAGTTCAGATATGGTGACAAAAGGTGATGCGTTACGGGCAAACGCTGCATCGGTGACCTGAGGCTGGAGATCTATATGGCGTAGATATTGTCCTGTATGGCCATCACGCAAACAGCTGTGGCCATTGGTCGACACACACACAACGTGTTTTCCTTCTGGTGAGAATGATGCCCAGTGCTGCAAATCCCGGTAAGGACGATAACCAACGTAGCCAATGATGTGGCCAGAGGCTGCATCAAGCGTCTGAAAGGGGCCATGGTAATCACTGGCGACTTGATAGGTAACACGGGACTTGTCTGAGGAGAGAGCCAGCAATCTTACTACACCAGATGAGTTGCAAGGTAGCGAGCATAGTTCACTTTCAGACCGGACATCCCATATACGGATTGTGCTGTCTTGTGAAGCAGTTATGCCATCGGCAGAAAAGGCGAGTGATGTGATGAGGCCACTGTGGCCCAAGTACGCTGGCTTCACAGAGGTTTCTTCAGCGAGGTTAAAACAAAGGAGGTCGTTGTTTAATGATGCACAGACAAGTTGTTTACCACTTGGTGCAAAAGCGAACGGTGATCTGGCGCCAGGGAGCACGGTACACGACAGAGGGTTCCCGTCTAGATTGGAAAGTTCTACAATGTTGTCGGAGAAGGCAGCAGCGAACTGTCTCGACGTCGGGGAAAGGATAAGGGACGTCGCGTGGCGAGACGGTCGTGACTCTGATTCTAAGAGAACAGGATCCCAGATAGTGACATCATCGCTGCCAATTGCCACCAGTCGATTTCCTGAAGGGAGAATACAATACCTGACATCACCTAAAATACGATAATGTCCCAAAGAGGCTATCTGATGTCCGTTGGCGAGGTCAAATATCTTGATGACAATAGTAAAAATACTAGTATTCCAAGTCAACAGTCGACTCTCGTCAGCTGTGACTCTGACCAACTCGGCCATATCTGACATGACAACATCGCGCACTAGCGAACCTGAATCGGCGTCATAAAACCGAACATGACTTGGTTCGGTGGAAGGGGCCCAAACCAAAAGTTGTGCTCCGCTGTCTGTGAATGAGATTCGAGACTCTTTGTCTGCGATAAGAGGCCAGCTTGAAACCGTATCGCCGGACGACTTGATTATCCTTATAACTGGATTGCTGTCTGGTCCCAGCAGGAAGGCTACTCTCTGCTCGTCTAATGACACTTGCACCCTCCGAATGACCTGATTGGATACATATTCTTCAATGGTGACTGGGTTTGACTTTACCTGAAAGACACGTAGACCTTCTTCATCATAATTGCGATTAGCAATCACAAAGGGACCTCGCAATTGGGTGTTCCCGCAGTTGCCCTGCCATTCGACTAACACCCTACCTGATTCAATGTCCCAGACACAGACTATTTCATCGCCGTACGAAGCAATAACCGTCCAACGATTCACAAAAGACACCCGGCGCACAGGACCGCCGGTACCAGACCTTGAAAACGGGCCACCCTTCGCCTCAGAAGTATTGGCATCCCATACATAGATATAGCCTCTCATGTCCCCAGCACAGATCAAAGCTCCGTCTGGAGAATATTCAGCCAGACAGATGCATGGCTGACATCGTGACCTGTCAGGTCTCGGATTGGGGTACAACTTTCGACATCCCAGATTTGTATCGTCCCATACCGAGACACAGAGGCTAAGCGTGTACAATCGGGCGAGATTGCTGCACACCGGTCATAACTCATTGGTAAAGTGATCAATTTTAGTGACTGCGCAGGACTAGAACATAATTTTGGTACGGCACGGAGTTCAGGAGCGAATGTTTTGTAAAGAGTGGTGTTTTGGGCAATGAAAGGGATACCGGAGAGATATATATGGGCGGCATGCTGCGTAACCGGTTCACGAAACTGCTGAAGAAACCGAACAGCGTCGTTGAGGAGGGGAATGACGTTATCGGGGGGAGATTTAGAAACCTCCTGAATCCGCTGTCAGTACAGGATGACCACAAAGAAAAGGAAATCACGTACAGAAAATCATTTTTTGACCGCCGAGAGTACATGAAAAGTACTGTCAATGGCACCCTGCAGACTTTTCACTTCAATCAAGTGAAGCAGGTGGCTGAATAAGAAGCTCCTTGCTTGATCATAAAGCCCATCACTATTTTCAATGATCCCCGACAGGTGCTCATGCCAATATTCAAAAGCATACCAGCCATCAGGCGACAAAAATTTCTTAAGGCGGCCGTCGAGATCATCGACCTCGGAATTATCCTTTGTCGCGTCTGCGATTCCACAAGGGTCACGCTTGAGGGTCCGTTGTAAGGTCTCCAGGCATCGGAACGCCAGAATCCGATTATGAACGGATGCATCAACAAAGAAACGTGTATCTGTACAGCGTCCACGGTCTGTAAAGAAATCGGCCAAAGATGCGTGAAGCAGTCGGACAGTATCCCCCTCAGCACGCAGCATGGAACTGAGGGATGAGACAAGCCCACTAGATGTCGATATTTTGATCACAGATCCATCTGGGAGCTTTAGCGGGTCTTTAGCTGTGGCGGGACACAAACCCAGGAGAGAGTCTAGCTGTGCGCATGTCAATGGCGTTTTTGCAACCACCACTGAACCCATGATATACTGAAAGTAGTTCAGTCCCTCTGCGGCGGGCAAGTCATTCAACTTGCGTCGCAAGATATCAAGATAGAGTCTGTCTGTCGTGTTTTCTGGCTTTCCTGGGAACCATCTCTCGCCAGAAAGCATGTCATCAAGACCAACAATGGGATCTGGACTGGTCCTAATGTATTCACAAGCCACTTAAACCCATATGAACAAACCATCAGCACGATGCTGCAGCTTATCTTTCTCGTCCTGCGAGGGCCAGTCTGGACGAGAACGAAGATATGGATGACGTCGATGAACTTCTCGCATTTGATTCTCAATGTATGCCATAATATCCTGTTGTGTCCCCTCTGTTCCACCGATACTTTTTGAAAGGTTTGTTGGTGTTGACTCGAGTTGAACGCGTATATCGTCCTCGTATCGACTGACAAAAAGAACTTTGACAAATGAAGGTAGGTGCGGCAATCCCTGTGACCAGGCATTGAGGAATGCTTCGCGAGTGCTTTCGTCACCGCATTCGTCTAATGCGTCGATGACAATGACGACGGGACCAGAGAAACTGAGCCCTTTCATGGGCGCTATGATATACTTCTGTAGCTGAGCATGTAGAGGCTGCAGATTGATATTTCCAGAAGTGCAGATAGCGCTCCAGAGAAGTTGCCTGAAATGAGTGCTGAAAAAAGCGAGTTGGTACGCAAGGTTCCCGATCATGAAATCAGGTATGTTTCGGCCGGAGATATCGCGCTTGAAGGAGAAGCTCGCCCCCAGGCGCCCAAGGTTTTTGCATCTGCCAACAATGGTGTTGGCAACTGTGGACTTACCAGAACCTGCAGGACCGTGCAACCAGAAATATTGAGGTCTTCTCGGATCATCCACCCATTCCATAATCTCGTCCAAAAGTGACACCCGTGTGTTCGCCAAACAAGCTTGGTTCTCGTCGCATTCCATAACTGTTCGGATATCACCAAGCAAGCCTTGTATCATTTGATGTTGATCTGCAAATAACAAGAATGAGTGGGAGTATCGTGTCGGGAGGGTAATAAGTATACCCATTTCTTTGATATTTTGCAATGCCTCGCCAACTTCGACTAGTCCCTCACGTACCTCACGGAAGACTTTGAGTTTCGACAACGACGATCTAATTTTGAATTGCTCTTTCAGTTGCTGAAACGCAGCCACATATTGTGAGATGGCTTCGCCACTTTCTGAACTTGATGTATCTCGCAATGCACGCTCTGAATGTAAAGCCACCAAAGTCAAGATCTGGTATTAGACAATAATTAAGTCACTGACTGCAAAATCCACTCCCAGCGTACTCCTGAATAAACAAAGCACAATCATGGATCTGTTTCAACATGTTCGAAACGATGGGACGTTGTATTTCGTCAATGACAGGTTCGGCAGCGTCCAAGAAGTCGAGCATATCTGACGCAGTTGACCACAGGCCTTGGATCTTTTGATCGCGATTGAGCTGAGCTACTAAAGACTGAAATGAGCGGCTACGTCAGTTGCATGTACCATCGAGGTGGATGGAACCTGCCTTCGGGATCAGGCCTAGAATACTCCATGCAGCTTTTGCGTACGGATGAATCTATACAAAACTGCACGGTGATTTAGAGGGAAAAAATATCGGTGCTGTGTGGCCACTTACCTCGGACACAACGTCTACTATATTCGTCAATTTTTCGACATATCCACACACTGAGTCGAAGCACTTAGTCCCCGAAAGACTCTCCAGGTTATCTACTCCACTCGTAATCATACCAGCATTGGATGCACCCTGATCATGCGCTGGTTTGTTTGCACTTTTGACTGCGCTTTCTGTAGCGTGTAACACCTCAGGCTTGGTGGAATTGGAAGAGTTTCTCGCGGCCTCTCTACCGCTAGGTTCATTCGACGTAGTGACCGGGGCCTTCAATTCATGAGATAAAGCAAGATCTTGACTTTGAAATACGGGGCCAGACACATCTTCGACGAGTTCAAGACGAACAACTATGCTTCCGGACTTCGCTGTTCGTGATCCATCTTTGCACAATTGATACGTGTCCTCTGTGTCAGATACATACTTAACCGGCAATCGTCGCTGCAGTCAATAACTTATCGTTACCAAAACTATGTTTGTCTTTGAGTGTGTCTTTTAGACACAATGAGGCTTCTCCTATCAGTACATTTGGTCGAAAAAGTGGTGTGCGAATGACTGCTAATTTGATGGGCGACGATGTTTGAACTTCGCTGAAATATATTGTGAGTGAAGAATACATTCAAAAGAAGGCAGTATCTCTCACAACTCAAAGGACTCGTTCCATCCTGGACTGATGCCTTTGGAAGTTTTCGTTTTCATTTCGAGCCCTCCATCTACAGAGATGGTGGCAAAGCAAACTGGTGTTTAAAAACAAGGAGCTTTGCGTAACCTTGAAGCCATAATAACTGGACGTTCTGATTGAGTCAGCGATACAGCAGATAGTTCGCTATAGATACCACGCACCAGTCAAACGGACTTTCTGCATTCTGTGTGGAGAGAAGTGGTTGAAAATATTAAGATATTATATGCTTGAGGTAGAACACACCTTTGGCCATCGTCCATAGTGAAAAAAGTGTTTCTCAGCCAGATGGAAGTTCGATACCAACATGAGCACGAGGTTTCAAACCGTTCAAGTTAAAGTTGTGTTTCGAGCGCCTGCAGTGGGGTCTGACACTCATCACGGCATCAGCGTATTATATGCATAATATACAAAACAGCCGTCGTTTCGGTGCCTGAGACCTGAAGACTGAAGTACATGAGACGTACGACAAGTCGGTGTGTATACTCAGAGAATATATAACATACCCTGAAATCCAAAACCACGCTTTTGCCAGTGGGAACTCAGATTCGTCATAAGAGACAAGCTTGCGACTTGTCATCTGACCGTCGACGCAGCCGCTTAGCGATATGTAAAATTCCATGACGCGTTTGTACTACGCTAGTGCTTAGTCAGCCACTTTGGTCGCCTGTGTCAATCTTGGGCAGAATCTTTGAGCATCACCTACCAAGATGTTTTTTATCGTAAGTGTTGACTTAAACAGTACTTATCAAAGTACACGCTGAAATGAATGGTTCCAGAAAGAACTCACGCACACAATCCTCCTACACCCGTCATATTTTGGACCACGAATGCTCCAGTTCCTGGAATCAAAACTATATTCAGACGTCGAGGGCACTTGCTCAGGCGCATTCGGTTACATCATCGCCGTCGTCTCTATTCTCGACATTGGAAAAGGGATGGTTCTTAGCGGGAGCGGTCAGGCTGAATTCATCACAAGGTATCGTGCCATTGTGTTCAAGCCTTTCAAAGGAGAGGTAGTAGACGGCGTAGTAAACAATGTCAACAAGGTGCGTGCATACCTTTTATTTGAGTTTTTGATCAGTGTTATTCAAACTTGGTGCCTTCAAGATGGGCTTTTTTGCAGAAGTCGGACCCTTGACAGTTTTCGTATCACACCAGGTGAACCACGCGTTTTGCACGTTGGAGCGTTTCCACTGACCAAATTGAAAAGCTCATCCACCCAGACATGAAATTCGACCCAAACTCAAACCCTCCATCCTTCGCTTCAGAAGATCAGGTACGCTTTTCTCAGTTTGATTACATTATGTCTCTCCTATCACGCCTGTCTATAGATCATCGAGAAAAATACTCGGGTACGCTTGAAAATCGTCGGTACGCGGGTTGATGCAACTGAGATTGTGAATTTGTTTCGTCCTCAGTAAATTTATCCATCTAACACCGCACACAATAGTTCGCCATCGGAACAATTAAAGAAGATCATCTAGGCGTCATCGACTAGCGGCAAAGTCGTGTTTTTTTCGGGTTACTGAACATCAAATCTCGCTTTTCGATCGCTGTGCTATCAAATTTATTCACCGTTAAATTATTATCGGCCTACACCATCTAACTGTAGGTAGTCGTCCATTATGAAGTCTTCACGCTCTCGTTCAAGTGGTATTAACGAGCTCGAGGAGAGTCCCAGTTATTACACAGGGTTTTGACTGTTGTTTGAGTACTACATTAAACAATAGACTCAGATGAGACAGAGATATAGCCACCGTTCGCAGCTAGGATGCTTTCAATGATGGCCGAGTTGGTGATACAGCCATAACCTAGCCAGAGCTTTTGACTTTTTTTTGTTACGGATTGCACCAATTTCAAAACTTGAGGGCGTATAACCATTTTGATTGAGTAGAACGAACCAAAGCTATAGAAACAAGCTTCCTTGCAAAAGTACATTAGCATTGGCTTGTACCACACTGAATACCATCGAACCTATGGTCTAAATGGTATAATACATGATACTAATTTGCGTCACAGGGAAATTAGATATATACCTCTAGGGCTTTGGGAACCTCTCCACATTTCTCTCCGTTTGACTTTTGTCTTTCCCAAGTTTTTTTTGCATTCTGCTACTTATCGTCGAGCCCCCACGTCGATTTGTAGCGATCCTAGTGCACAAAACCCCAATAGCACAACCAGGCTACCTGCAAACGCAGCACAGGGCTTTCATGCATTGAGGGGCTTCAGTGCTACATAACTCATTCTCACCTTGGTCCTCATCAAGATTTAATGACTATATATATCGAACAAGAAAGAGGAGCTAGCGCAACCATAACATAATACACATATGGATGATGAACGATAAACAATGACTCGTGCATATCTACAAATTAATCTCACTCTAAACATCGCGCTTACTACTAGACTAATGTGCATACAAATAAAGAGTCCACAGCTCAAGCTTACTCCTCATCCTCGAACCGCAGAATCTGTGCGTCTTCGTCTACTGGGATGTCCCTATATCCACGTCGCGAACGGAAGCCAAGCGACATAGACTCAGCCGTGGATGCCACATACTCCCATGCGATGCCTGCAAGACCGAGTAGGAACCACGGGACAGAAGCAAGCGTAGACAAAGCGCCCGATCCTGAGGCCGAGCGATACATCGCCTGGTAATCGCCAGGGAGGCGGATCGTCCTTTAAAATAACCAACAAGTCAGTAACGTTCATTGAAATAAAGTAATATTCAACGCACCCCCGTGCACGTCCGCTGTTGCGATACCACCAAAAGGCGATGAGAGCCGTGATGCCAAACGGAAATATGAGCACGAAGAACCAGAACCATGCGCTGTGGCCCTTCACGCCTGGACAGAGATGTCGAGTGCCACGATCAAGCCGCTGGCCGCCTTCACACGACGAGTAGAAGATTTTACGGTAGGCAGTACGCTCATACCAATAATCATCATCGCCACGACACGTATCATCATCTGCAAGTGGTTGCATCCCCGACGCAAGTACACACTCCCCGGCTGTGTTTCTGACGTAGTTGAATTCGCTTCAAAAGGAAATAGTTAATGAGAAGTAACGTCTTTGCGTTGGAAGAAAATAAATACCATTCAAAGTCTTCCTGCGTGCAAGCGCAATACCTAACTATCTTCTCTTCTGCTTTTGGTTGGTGCCCGACTGCGCAATTCGTATTACGCACTCGTCGATGGTACAAAGTCTGCGATCTACTCAGCCGTCATTTCATCTGCAGAATTCGCTTGGCTCACCTGGCGACCAAACAAACAGGCTTCATTACGTTCTTCGCTAGGACTCCACAACTCGAAATCATCATGACCAGGGTCTTCGATGTTCAACGTACCTAGAGAAATACGTGAAGTTAGCAAATAAATGAAGGGGAGAAAGAAAGCAACACTGACATTGCTTGTGTGTCAACGAAGTAAAGTCAATATGGATGACAATCGAGCTGGACGGCGAACGAGGCGACTGGCCCAATAACGTGAATTTGCGGCTTGTATCCTCAGGGACGGTGACAATCGACCTGATTCTTATTTTCTCTTGACTAAACTGATACTGTCGCCAGGTTATGCCCTCATCTATGGTGAACAAGACGTGGTCTGTCGGTTCCTCGTCGTTCACTATCACGATGATAGAACCAGAGTCGCCAAACTCCCAAAGGTGTGCATCCTTGTGTACTTCCTCCCATGTAAACCCACCGTCGCGACTAAGGAACGTGTCGCTATCTGTGTATGGTGCTAGCACCTCCCCTACGTTACCGACAGCCATCACCACTCCTACAACGGAGGGGCTGCTGTAGGTCGCGCGGGCATCTGGTCGTTCAGTGTATCCATGGATGTGAAGAGCACAGCTCTGCTAGGCAGGTTTAGACGCGAGACAAAAACATTGTACAGAAACTTACTGTAGAAGTGCAGTCGTATTTTTGGCCTACAGAGTCACTGGGAGGTGGGGACAACGGGCGCCATGAGCCACCTACATGGAGAGATGAGCTTACTTATTAAGAAATGAATACTCAGACTCACCGTCATTGTGGGTGATACGAGTTTGAAGAAGCTTCCTCCCTGAAATTGTGGCTTCCTGAGGGTTAGCCACGATATTGACAATAGCAATGCCATCCAACCCTATTAGCTTCTCGAAGTCGACATAACCATCATTGTTGCGGTTCACGTTGTCAAGCGAGAGACCAAAGTACGTTCCGTTAGAGTTAGACTTCAAGATGTTACCCCAAGGCGGACTTGGACCCGTAGTCATCGTCATATGAAGGAAAATCGACATGGTGCTCGATTCCAAGATAGTGTAAGTCTAAAAGAGTTCACATTAATATATGCAGGGTGATTAGGTGGTCTTACTTACATGAGTCTCAGGATGCATGCCTTGTGGGAACTGCCCTGCAGCAAATGTCCTACCATCCAAAGATACCTGAAGATCAAGCGAGTTGGTTGCTGGAAGGTCCTGCGATAATAAATCATCCATATGGAAGTTTGTCCTATTAAAATGCCACTCACTTCTGCAACAATCAAGAATTCTGAAAACTTAGTAAAACCAACAACGCGATCAAAGAGCTTCGTCTTCTGGGAGAAGTAATCGGTACCCGAGATAAGTTGTAAGGGGTTATTCCGTCCAAAGAACCTCTGCGATCCCTGCTTGTTCAAGTACGACTCGCACATGATTTGTGTAGGATCGATCAACAGCTCCGAGTCCCTGGCCCATTGACAATTCACAACATAGTTTTCCACGAACTTCCAATCACGTCCATTATTCCATGAATACTGTGCCTCGGCGTGGCAGTGATCTCCCATTCCTTCACATCCCACGTTTCCCGTCCAGATAATATAGTCTGATCTCGGCTGGAATCGTATAACCTCGGCGTGGAAGAAGTTTGGTGGAGATGGGGCATTCAGCTGATTCCAGGATCTTCCCGTGTCCGTAGTGTAGAAAAACTTGCGACTGTCGGTGAGGAGATACGCACGATCACTACTGTGGGTGTGCATGTAAATCGCCAAGAAACGCTCCCCCTCGAACAGCTGGTCCCAGCTGTAACCCTCGTTACTGGACTGCCATACAGAATAATCTGAAAGTCGGACTAAGATAGTCTGCTATACATTTTAGAATGCAGATATGTTTCGTGATATTGTGCAACGTACCGAAGATTGTTTGAAATAGTGGTGTTGAATGATCTGCGCTGGAAACTCGAACTACACAAATATTAGTGAGGCATAGCTAACTGAAGTCCTTTAGCACATACGATTTGATTAATGATTTCGCCTTCTGCAGGTTGCGCTGAAAACCAAAGGTTAGTTAGCCCCGTCCAACTTAACAATAACCATACCCAAAACGAAGGACATCGTATCCTAGATACTGGGTACGGGTAAAGCTGAACCAAAACTAACCTTCTGAACATTTTTTAGATACAGGTTCGTCTTTCTTAATGCCTCTACTTCTGTCGCACGTATTACCGGGAATAAGTCGATAACCGGAAGACCCCAAATACGACTCTGTAGGATTGCCTGTTGTACACTGGGTACTTGGTATACTTTCCGGTCCCGACGGGACACACTTATCACCGCTCCGTACGAAATTGTAATCACTAAGTAGGTTAATGCTGTCAGAAAAGAATCTGATCAAATACGAGTAATACTGACCATTCGAAATCAGCGTCCTCACAGGCGCAGTTCTCCTCGTGTTCAACGGGGTCATTGAACTTCTCACCCACATAACAATTTGCGTCAGGCTTTCGTCGGCGATACCATTGCTTTGAACATATGGTAAGGTATTTGCCACTTTATGATATGAGGTCTGGCCTACCTTGTGACCCATGAGACATTCCTTGTCCCTGGCAGACCTTGCATACCACTTCTCAAAATCATCGTCGGAGCACTTCCGGTTTCTAGTAGCGGCAAAGTCGAGGAAAACTATAGCATAACGTCCCTGATCCGATTTCTGGTCTTGACGCGAAACCTGTCCCACTAAAATGAATTTTTGAGATGTCGAGTCAGAAACCGTTGTCAAACCCCTAGCCCGGAGGTTAATGCCGAAATCGTACGTCTTCCTAAAGTACAGGTCAACACTCTGGACAAATGAAACATGAGCCACGAGGAAGAGATGCCTACCAATTCTTCCCCATGTCAGTCGAGTACTTGACTGAATTTGTTGATTCTTCGTCGTTGACCGCGACGATGATGCTGCCTTGGTCTCCAAATTCATACTTGTGCGCATCTCTCCGTATCATGTTCCAAGAAAGACCAGCATCAATGCTCAGGAATGTGTCGCATTCTTCATAAGGAAGGAGATATGGGCCAATGGAGCCCACGCCCATGACAAGCCCAGGCGCTGGAGATGAGAATATACGACCATAGTTATGCGAATTTGTGACTGAGTGGAGATGTAAAGAACATTGATCACTATCTGAGGGGTCACATTTTATCCGTGCGCCATCAAAATCCGTCGAAGGTGCTCGAATCGGAGACCATGAACTCCCTGAGAATATATTAATATCAACTCAAACTCATAATATCAACCTTAATTTATAGGACTTACCATCGTCAAGCGTTATCATTGACCTCAACCGCTTGGGTGCACGTTGTCGTTCGACGTCTTGTGCGTTGACAATGATATTAGAAATACCTACACCCTCAACACCATAGATGGTTTCGAAGTCCACGAATCCGAACTCGTTTCTGTTTGTATCCTTCAAACTCTCCACGAAAAACGTCCCATTCGAGTTACTAACGAATAAGGTACCGATGGTGCTCTGGTCTTGCAACATGACGTCCACTGCGAGAGAGTGTATGGTTGACTCAACAATAGTATATGCATTTTCGCGAAGGCGGGCGCTTGAAGCGTGAGGGAAATGAGCTTGAGCCCACTCTCTGGTATTGACGGTGACATATAACAACATGTCGCCATTATTTCCAGGGGATAGATCTTTCAATGCGACGACAGCGAATTTCGATACTATTGCAAAAGCCATCACTCCTCTGGCATTTCTACCAATCCCAAGGTCTTCAATTTTGTTTTCGCTCTGGAAGTAATCCGTACTAGAGAAAAGACGGCTAGATGACAAGGAGTGACTTCCGGTGGCCGATGCAGCATCAAATCCGACACAATAAATGAGATTTTCATTTGCATCGTGCTTGAAATCTTTGCTGCTGTGGGCATATTGGCAGCGCGTGATATCAGGGCGGAGGGTTTTGGGTGTTGTATCGAATGCATCAGTAGTGTAAAATGCCTAAACACAATGTCAAGAATGGGATATATATCAGCTTACAAGAAATGTGACTCACATTGTCCTGGCAAGTTTCACCCCATCCCACCCGCTCACAGACAGTGCCATGGTAGATTATATGACCCCATTTCGCTGGGTCGGAATGGAAAGAAAGTGGGTTTCCGATGAAGCTAACTGCCGCCGGGACCTCGAACTGTCTCCATGTTCTTCCGCGGTCATCAGTCCGATAATGCGTAGTCCCTCCGGTCAATACAAAAGCCTATGGATGGGGAAACAGTCAGATCAGGCTGGAGACTGGCCTTGCCTAAAAAAGAGTGCGAAAACGGGACAATCATACTGCAACTAGAACCACGCGCCAGGAAGATTCGCAGTCATAGGGGGACAGTATTATGTCAAAAATACTGAAGGAAATTACTCACATAGTGGTTTTCGAAGGGATGTTCAATTAACATGCCTGCAGCGCCCGTCGGTATATCAGAAGCTCGTTCCCAACTTTTGCCCTCATCCTGGGACACATAGATGTTCCCTTCTGCAACATCATGCAGTACGGCGCTCTAAAAAGAAAATATAGAATACAAGCTCGTCAGAAGTCGACATTCAACTTACAGAAGTATCATCGAAAAAGAAAAGTTGCGCCGGGGAGTTGTCGAAATAAGAAACGTCGTGTTTTGGATCCTGAGCCTTTGTAAAGCCGATATATAACAGAAATGAAATGGTTGATAGTAAAAACGCAGCTGTCCTGTGCCAGGGAGCCATTGTGGTAAGAGACACGTACTCTGTGCCCCGCGCAGCACCGTTGAGACGAATACCCTCTGACGTGTGGGACCAGCCACAACCGGATTGTTCCTTTTTCGGTGCCGACATGCCTGGTTTCTGCAGTGCATACTGGTCTGTTGAGATGGCAAGAACATACCAGGAGGCATGAAATCACTAGAATTTATCAAGCGCTATTCTGCGCCTTTAATCTACAGCCCTTGCAGCTCTATCACGAACAGGCCACAATGTTAAATCATTATAATTCATCCAAGCGTTATTTAATTTACTGCGATGAGTGATACGTTCGCTACCCTTGGGCTTTTGTGTCTCAAGAAAGCCATAAATCCATACGCATCTATCAATTCCTGATACAGACAACAATAGCAATAATACTTTGAGACTGAGCTGCTGTGCGTGTAATTATATTCAGCGTCTCTTCATTGCTTCAAGTATGGAGCGAAATGGTGAAAGAGATAGCTAGGAATCTCACATTAGATTATCCCGCCCGCCGTGTCATCCTTCTTCCATCAATTCTTCATCCACCTGTGCTGCTTTCCACCACGGAATCGGTCCCAAGCCCTGCTCTGCGATCGAGCACTAATAATGGTACAAATTTACACTTCTGCGAGTACGTACGATGCATAACGACTTACAATAACACTGTATGGTGCTCTGCGTACTTCTCTTTTCACGGCTACACCTTCAGAAGCTTTTGGTGGACCAGGCTCGTCGTCGTAAAATTCGTCCGCCTCGACCCGTACACGCACGATTTCACCCTGATCAATGTACATTCGGTCGGTAGTGATAGATTCGAGAAGTTCGTGAGGAGTTGTGGCCTCAGAATCAGGGAGCCAGAAGTGTGCGCGTTCGTTCGAATCACTGGATGTAAAGGCGTTGAACCAATGTTTGGGTATAATAGAGCTGAGCGAGAGAAACACACAGAGCAGATGGTTGCGGTAGATAGGACAAGGGAATATACATGTCATCGAAAAATCCTACACTCACTGCAACGATGTTAATGTATAGCTTCTTTGAAAGTATGAAAAGGAATGGACCTACATCTTATCCCGTCTTCATCAGAAGATTTTACTTTCGCTAGTATAACTTCTGAAGCGAAAGGGCGGAACACCACCATGCGAAATATCACTTTTGAAATGTGAACATTGACTATTGTGTCATTCTCGACAATATGCTCACCCTTGTACCATAGACAGCCATCTCCATATCTCACTTTTCCTTCCGAGGCCTCTGTAAGATCGAACACGCAGATACACATCCCTACGTCGTGCAACACGCGATTTGCATACTTTTTGTTTATTTCAGATATAAGGGCTTGCTCGGGCAGCACACCAAAGTTTGCTGGTAGGATGGCGATGGTATCCTAACGACAGTGCCAGTGAATCAAAGATGATCATAATTTTGTTTATTTTCTCACTTTGATGATAGAGAGAACAAACATGCTATAGCTGGAATGTCAATTGTACATGAATGGTTAGCCTTCTCACTTGTAGCTCACATATAGATGAAACACAAACTGACCTGGCTGTCCATGGACAGAATTATTGTAGACTGAGGACTGTGACGGTTCGGATTCGAAAAGTAACAGGGGTTATCTTATCTGTTTGGCACGTGACCGCAATTTTTGAAAAAAAAACCACGACGCCCCTTGTTGCTCCCAAGAACCATTACTAGCAGTACACGGAAGCTTACAGTCCTTTGGTCTTGCATTGTCTGATCCATTTTTACCAGTCGCTCTGTGGACTTGTTTTTCCATTATATCACATAGGAACATACTATGTCAGGTGCGCCGCCAACGTCCACGAACCCAACAGCTACCACTAGCCTACTTCCTGCAAAATCATGGCAGCATTTCGTAGCCGGAGGGTATGTCCAACCGTGTCGCTTTTTTATTCAATACTAATGTTTATTCTTGGATAAATCAATAGACTAGGTGGAATGTGCGGCGCCATCGTTACGAGCCCATTCGATGTCGTCAAAACGCGACTGCAATCAAGTCTGTTTAGAGAAAAACATGCGTCTGTCGGTGTCGTCGGTGGTGGAGTAGCAGCACTTCCACAAAGACCAACAGGCCTCCTATGGAATTTTGTAGAGACAGGACACATCCTCCGGTAAGTTAATATCAGCCTTATCATAGTGAGCTTTCGTCACTCTCAAGTGTTCTATTCCTTTTTATTCCTTTTCAAACTTATCAAGAGATATATACCGCGATGAATCTCCTCAGGCATTGTTCAAAGGTCTCGGTCCCACTCTTGTTGGCGTGATCCCTGCTCGGTCAATCAATTTTTTCACCTACGGCAATGGCAAACACATCATAGCCAATAACTTCAACAATGGCCAAGAAAACTCCTATGTCCATCTCTCTGCAGCTGCTATCGCCGGGATCATAACTGGGACTGCAACGAATCCAATATGGGTCGTGAAGACACGTTTGCAACTCTCAGCGTCGCAACGGCGGCACCCCCTTTCAGCAGGGAGCACTCTGACTACGACAAATACTTCACCAACGCGCTTCTTTGGTGGTAGCTGGGCCATGATCAAAATGATCTCACGAGAGGAGGGCATAAGAGGATTCTATAAGGGCCTTAGTGCCAGCTATTTGGGTGTGACTGAGGGGACAATTCAATGGGTGCTTTATGAGCGTTTGAAGAAACTTTCAGCGAGCACGGAGGGACAAGGCGGAGTTCAAGAATGGGCGGGAATGCTTGGCAGTGCAGGTACAGCGAAATGTGTCGCAAGTCTTATCACCTATCCACATGAGGTACTTCGATTTTGCTCAATTTATATTATTTCTTTCGAGGCAGTTTGCTTATACTCCTTATAGGTTTTGAGGACACGATTACGCCAACCACGAGTAAACGGTGTTGTGAAGTACACAGGTCTTTTGCAAACTCTGCGGCTTGTCATCGCTGAGGAAGGTGCTCGATCGCTATACGGTGGTCTTAGCGCACATTTAATGCGCGTCGTTCCAAATGCGGCAGTGATGTACTCAATATATGAAGGTATCCTTCGATGGGGAAAGGAATAAAGTCTCCGTCAGAACACATCAAGCTACCTGGGTTTGTCAGGCTTTCAGGTATGGCTGGAATTTATTGCCCCCCGTTAGATATATGGTACTTTTATTCTCATAACTCATCACTCACCGTTCATCATACATATTTTGAAATTACCAGTACATTACATTTTCACACCACAATCTATGTCCACCGCAGCACATGTATACTAGCCTCGCATTACTGTCTACCTCACTGCTCAAACCCCCCACTTACTTGCTTTCGTTGTGTCACGATTTCATTTAATATAGAGCTAATAAACACCTCACTAATTACATTATTTTACGTTGCATTGTCCAAAATTATACCTGCGCATGTATGTGTTCGATGGCTCGACCCATTCGTAGCACGATATCATCGGCACCCCACTGTCCGACGATACTCGCACCAATTGGCCACCCATCCGACGCGGATCCTGCAGGGACGCTGAGAGCCGGTAGTCCTGCCAGGGAAGCAGGTACAGTCAGAATGTCTTGCAAATACGCGTCTAACCCAAAAGCCGAGTCTCTTGCGTGGCCTCCGGTAGAAAGTGGAAGCAGAGGGGCTGTGCGTATGGCCGAGGGGTGCAAGAGTACGTCGACACCCTCGGCGTTTGATCTAGAAACAGAAGATAATGCAGACGGCATGCGGAACACCCGGTCGAAATCCGCTTGAATCAACCTGCGAACACGTTGCGCTTGAAGAAAATAATTATCGAAAGCACTGAGGAAACGATTAAGGCCTATCCGTCATCGAGTAAAGAAATCGTACTAACTCGGCTGTAAGCGCGTACGTTCCCAGTAAGATACGTTTTTGCACCTCGCCACCAAAGCCTGCAGAGCGAGTGTGAGCATATACGGAGCTCGCTTTTGATCTATCTGTACCAGGGGGTAGGCTCCCCTGTTTCCCTAACAGACACCGTCTCAGCAGAAGTATACAACATAGGGAGAAATCAATTTTACCATACTCCACGCCATCGTACCGCGCAAGGTTACTTGAGGCCTCGGCACTGGCGATGACGTAGTATGCACTGAGGGCATATGGCGTCGAAGGTAGCGTCACAGGGACAATTGAGGCTCCAAGTAATCGTAGGGAAGATATGATCTTTCGTATGGGGTATAGAATTGTAGGATCTAATTCAGTGGGGAAATATTCCTAGAATACGATATCCAAACAATGAGACAGCATCGAAGAAATAGGAATGGACAGCTCACTTGGGGTATACCGATTCGAAGACCTGACATAGAGAACTTTCCATTTACGGTGTCCAAGGACGGAAGATAAGCTTCAGATAGCTCAAAAGATTTCTGCCGACTATCTGGTGTTGCAGAAGTGGGATCCTTGGGGTCGTACGACGATATAGTACCTATATCAGAAGAATACATCGACTCACGAGTTGACACATATAAAAGCAGATCTAACCGAATATGTTCTTGACCGCGTCCACGCTCTTCGCCAATACCCCGACGCAGTCCAAGCTATCGGCGAACGACACAACACCCCACCTACTTATAAGACCGTAGGAAGGCTTTAATCCTACTACCCCACAGTAAGAGGCTGGGAGTCGTACTGAGCCTCCGGTATCTGTAGCCAAAGCACTGTGCTTGGAATATCATAGTGAAAGTTGGTCAAATATGTCTGGGTATTGGGTATAGCTCACGCGTAACACATGCCAGCGGCTACTGCAGCAGCACTTCCGCCTGAGCTGCCTCCAGCTGATCGTCTCTCTCGGTCGATCCATGAACATTCTTCTGCACCCGGTACTTGAAATGGGTTAACGACAGGTCCGTGGGCTGAGTATATGTTCAAGGACCTGGCAACAATAGAACCAGCCATCTTAATTAATAATCACGAGGAGTAAGTTAGAAAAGGCATACCCCATCCCAAATTCGTCGCAGTTAGCCTTCCCTACTATGTCGGCTCCTGCTTTTCGTAGTATCTCTACTACAGTCGCGTCGTATGGAGATGTAAACTCTGTTTCAAATACGATTTAGCGGTCTACAGTTTCTGATGGACTAAGGAGCTACCGTATAACACCTCCGAAGAGCACGTCGTTGGAGATGATGAAGTACAGATGTTATCCTTCACTGCAACTGCGACGCCCTGTAAAGATGACGTCTCTCCACTGTCTCGCTGGGGTTCTGGTTGAGAAATGTGGACCAGTGCATTGACGCTGTCGTTTTTCGCTTGAATGGTGTCCCTCCAAGACGGATTTGATGTTCTGCCGAAAGCAGAAGCGTGAAAAGAGAGCCCTCTCAAATTAAGACATGTTTTTAAGAGATAAGGACGGCCTAGAAGCATTGCCAGTTGCAAATGCGCACTCGGGGGTGTCCGAGTGGAAAGCAATTACAGTGTTTATTTGCGATTATTTACCAAAGGCCTGTGAATCAAACATGGTCAAGTACGCCCTTCTCAGTTTCCGGACTGAATGAACCATCGAACTCTGAGTTGTTGATCTGAGTCGCGATGATATATCTACTTAGTATCGTTATTTATCAGGATCCGGATATACAGGTTAGTTCTGCTAGTGTATGACTATTCCTGTTTCCGAAATTTGCCCTGCATCCACACACGGTACATTTTTAGCTGGCGCTTGCGGTTCACGAGAAGCCGTCGATCGATGCCAAGTTGCTCGATTGCGAAAAGGGGGTGTGGGGGGCAATGCGCAAGTGGATGAAGCAAATTTGGGTGGACGTCTGTTGAATTATATGAGCTACTAGAAGGCAAAGCCGATGCGGCGGAAATTGCTGGTGGCGATGATGGGATTGGTGAACAGCCTGATATAGTTTGAGGTAACGAGCTTGAAAGAATTAGGGTCGATCCTTCTGAGTACCCGTCTGCATCGCTGGTTATTTCTGCCGCTACCTGAGCTTCGTCCGTGATCTTCTGAGCAGGTGATACCCGTGAGCCGGTGAATATTAGTGCGAGTTCGTCTGAAGGCTCGCCATGAGCCGTAGTAAATTATCATGGGTTTAAGATACTACAGAGACATACCTATCTCAAAGAAGTATACGCGAGTCTTATCCCCTCGAATGTAAAAATTGTCATCTAGGAGGCGCCCGGACTTGAATCGTAGCTGGGTCAGGTCATATCGACCGTAATCCCGAAACAGAACTAATCCCCCCGGTTTCAACATCTGCAAATATGATGTATAAACTACACTACTCTTGTTCCGCGAACGATAATCGCTTACTTTGTGTATATTGGCCACTGCTTTACCCCATTCATCCGGGTGAAGTGCGCTAAGCACGAATACCAAGATCACTATGTCTACACTCCCTGCTTCTACGCCTGGGGGAAGCGATTCTAGGGACGACAAGTCCCATACAGCTGCTTGGATCGACCCTACTGGTGGGGAAGTATACATGGGGTTGTTCTTTGGGTGATCCCCGTTAATATGATCATGCAGTGAAACAATGTTGTTAACCGACCTGCACTACCTTCACCGCATGGGATGAAAAATCATAAGCTCGAATGGTGAGATTTGGATTTTTGTTTGCGGAGAGCAGAGGGAAAGCAGCGTTCCCCGCACCTTCCAATCGCTTCAATCAATGCAAATAGTTACCTGGGGCAACCAACTTACCGCATCCGATCTCACACAAAGTGATCGCGCCTGCCTAGCTTTCATGTAGAGTAGAGTTTGTCTGTGTAACCCTTTTGCGATTACTATATGCTGGCGTACCTCGGGCTCTGCAACAGCTAGCAATTCAGGAAACTCGAGATGTAGCCTGTGCTGACATCTCCATCACTGAGTCTCCAAGGTTGAAATATATTGGAGGGACCGACCATTTTCTGTTCCTGAAAAAGTTATCTGCGTTGGTCTTGTAGAAATTGTCCCTGTAGAAACGAAGGATCAAGAAATGCGAGGTGATCAAAAGTTGATGATCATATATACCAGTGCTTTGCCGGCTTTTGGTTGTACTTTATCTTTTCTGCTTCTGGTACGGGGGCCTGCCGTTGTCTTGCCAGTGATGCAGCAATCGACTCTGCCTGATCCTCAGGTGGTGGTACATGATCCCAGGCATTTTGCGACCATACTTCAGTTTCGTCCTTGAGAAATCTATCGATGGGAATATATATATACCACACGTATCGTGTAATTTAGCATGACTCTCACCTAGAACCGAAGGGGGGTTTCTCTGCGGTAACATCGTGTACTGAAGACGTCAGCTTGGGTATACGCTCCGGTTGACCTAGTGAATTGCTATCCGAGTTCTTCATCACGTCGTACCAGCGCTGATTCGAAACCTCAAGTTGCACTGGCTGGTATTAGATAGTTACAGGTTTGATCCAGTTATCACAAAAATAGATAACGATATTTTTACCTTGGTCGAAGGGTCTGCTGGTTGCAATCCGGAAAACGTGAAGGACCTGGTGATGGCCTCGTGTTTATTGAATTACGAGACCACTGGCGGATGCGAGTGTAAGTATAGAGGAGGTATGCGAAAATACGGACCATGGCGATGCCGAGATACGCTGTGGGAAATGGTTACCCAAAGTAGATTTTATCCTAGTACGAGTTGCGACGGCCAAACTGTGCACAGCTCAGTAACCTTAGCTGCAGCTCTATACGCTGGCTCATTATCCTTTACCCTTCGTACATTTCATTTCTTGCATTCATCGTTCGGTTTTCGTATACAGCCTGGTGAAACATTCTGAAGGAAATCTGGTTCAAATCTAGCCCTTGGTTGGGTCATCATGTCCACTGCCAGACCTGTAAACCGACCTCCCCCGCCTGGAGACGAAGATCTACAACACTTGTATGAAGAAGTATGGCGTATTTTCGGTGAAGAATCGCCAACGGCCGAGCGCTCGCCAATAAGTGTCGGCGGTCAGCGTGAACAGCCTGCTACCAACGCCTATGCTGATACCGGTGCTGTCCCCTCACCACCCGCGAGCTCACACCCACGACCCCATCCTTCAGGTTCTTGAATCTCCATATAATATGAACGTTATTTTGACTAATGCGGGTACAAAGCGCCTACTCAGGCAGGGCACGCCTATTCAGACAACTCACGGCCGCCACCAGTCACTGCAACATCTCCAACATCGCAACGTAGATTTAGGCCCTTGCCCCAAGTACCTGGAGCCTCATCTAACTCTTCGTCCTCTTTTTCGAACATGCCAGAGCCTCATCCTTACGTCCCCGAACAGACGCCAGCTCCAAAACCTTCATCACGCCCTTCAACTGCAGGCTGGGAGAGGTGATATGAATCTTCTCCGTAGATTATCATTGATTCTGACCTGTGCAACAGTGGTCGTCAGTTGCCTCCTGCACCCAACGGATACGGAGGAAGCCATCCATCCATCAGTTCCATGTCTCCTACTGCTCCTCCAGCGCTCCCAAGCAAGCCGATGATTACCAGCTCTACTTCTGATGTCCCAGCGCATTACCGCAAGCCAGTGCCACCCGTTCCAGGATCGCCATACGGGGCTACTTCTGCTTCTATGATGGACAGCACCGTTTCCCCGACGTCTGTTTCTGGCGCTTATCACATGTCACCTCTCTCCGACAGGAATGTAGACTATACTCCGGCGGCAGCGTTGAATGGCCAACATGGTTATTTTCCATCTCCTAGTCAATTGGCAGCAAGGACATCGACAAGACCCCCTGGAGCATTGGCGCCTAAGATTCCTGGCTACAACGGTAACTTCGATGACGCTGATTTGTATGCTGATGGTAGTTCGTCGAACTTTATGGGACATCGCACTGCCCTCTCAGAGCAGCAGTATCTTCGCTCAACGGAGAATATATCTCGTTCGCAGTCACGTCCCCAGCCCCCTGTTGTTGTGTCCAATGCGTCAAGCCTCCCTCGTGTTAATGGTATCGATCACCGTGCCGTGTCTCTTGACGCCCGTCGGTTTCCAAATTCTTCCCCTGATATCGTGTCACGTTGTTAGTTTTGTGTTGATTACTCGCATTACTCAGCTAACGCTTTACCCTTCTAGATTTACAAGAGGCAGAGGTGGGTCGCACTACATCGACAGGCTCCACTACATCTTCTGCTCAGACAGGGTCACTTGGTCGCAACATATCGGCAACGACTTCTGCTACTACCAATAGTGATGATATTCGCGATCCCTACAGTAAAGTTAGTTCGCCATTAGCGCCAGTAATCGATAGGACGAACTCCACCACTTCATATGGATCTGCTGCACTCGGTGCGTCGACTGTCTACCCATCCACTCAGATGTCCTTCCAGGATTCGTACACGGATTCGGGTAGCGGCCATCTTCGAGGTAGCTTGGACTCCCTTGGGCGTCGCAATGGTGATTACGAGCGTACCGTGTCAACGAAAGGTCCTCTGGCGGCGGACGAACAAGTCTATGACGACGACGACGATTTCATGTATTCTGAAAGCGAGGACCCTGATCCGGATCGTTTCGTCAATTTCGCTTTATTGTCACACTTGGCTGTTCGATTGCGTGACAAGGTCCCAAGAGGTACGCACGTCAAAAGCAGCATCCCATACCCTCGTGCATTTACGGGCAAGGATATTGTGGTAAGTTTTCATTCGTCCTGGCGAATTTGAAGAATAGAAAACCAATGAAATGTTTCGACAGTCCACCATCCAGTCACAAATACAACGCGAATTGCTCATCAACCATGGTGTGTCGACCACTAATCGTCGTGCAGCGCTTCAAGTAGCACGTAGTTTACAACAACAATTATTCTTCTACGAGGTTGAATGGGGCGATCGACCTTTACAGGACGGAGTAGAAGATGTTTATATGTTCTTGGATGATCAAGAGGGAGGTGCATCGGATGCACACCCGGAGAGAGAAGAGCTCCCTACGGCGGTTGTCACCATGTTGACGAAGTGCTACGCGTCTGGTTGTACTGAAGGAGAACCTTGTTATTCTTATGCTTGTCCTCGCAAAGTGCGCTTCTTTTCTAACCTTCATTAGATAGTTGTAACATATTTGTAGGTGACACACGCTACCAACCTAAGTCCTCTGCCTGAGCCAGAGGCCCCTCATGTAAGCTTTTCCCGACTATATAATGGGTTATCTAACTGTTCTTCTAGTCAGGAGAATGGATAAAGACCATAGACCCTGCTATATTGAAGACTCTTCCAGACAGTGAAATTCATCGCCAGACGTATGTAGCAACATATTCGTCTTCTGCCTTGCTTGCTAATATGTGAGCTCCAGTATTATCCACAAGACTATAAGTCAAGAAGAGCAGTATGTTCAAGATCTTGAGATGGTGGAGACGGTTAGTCGGACGACTCATTATGTTCTTACAGAAACTGATATTTCTGGTTTAGCTCTTCATTAAGCCATTGCGGAAGGCAGTGGTCATGGACTCGTCTAAACTCGATGCATTTATCGAAGATGTCTTCGGGAAGATCCTAGATCTTCGTGAATGTAACAAGCGCTTGCTGGAGGCCATGTACGTGAGACAACGAGAGCAGGCCCCCATCATACAGAGAATCGGTGATGTTTTCCTGGAGGCAGCGACAGAGTTCCGCTATGCGTACCCGACATACGTTGGGCATCTACCTCTGGCCGAGAAACGGTTGAAGGACGAGATTGAAGTTAACTCTGAATTCCGGCTTTTCCTTGAGGTAATCAGTGGCTCTTGGTTTGACATGAACGATAACTGAGTACATTGTAATTATAGGAATGTTCACGGCAATCTGCAAAACAACAAGAATCTCGTCGCTTAGATCTGAAACATTTCTTGACAAGGCCTTCGGAACACCTGCAGAAATACCCTATTGCACTTGAAGCAATCATGAATGAAACAACAGAGGGCAACCCGGACGCCGATTATTTGGCAGAAGCTATCCATGCTATAAAAAATCTCCAGGGTACAGCCCAATTACAAACATTCCAAACAGCTATGGGACGTGGTCCTACCGGGAAATGGGAATGGCATGATCTTGTATCAAAAGATCTTAGGGAGGGACTATCAAAGCAAGAGGCGAAACGTCAATCGTGAGTAGTTTATACAATATCATAGGGACCATATTTTAAAATTCTTCGTAGTATTATCTTTGAACTTATCAAGGGAGAAATGGCTTATGTCAAGGATTTAGAGAATATCAAAATTGTACGTGGTCAAGATACTCCTTTGATCATGTTCTCACGCCATTATACAGATGTATATCGACTCACTTCACGAGCAAGACCCTCCTATCATCTCCCGTGATAGATTGGACACGTTCATTAACGATGTTTTCCATAACTTCGCTGAATTACATGCCCATCACTTGAAGCTGGTCAACAAATTCCACGACATTCAACGTGAAGAACATCCCGTCATCAGGAGTATTACAGCGCCTATGTTTGACGCGGTCTTGAACTTTAGGGATGCATATATGGAATACGTCCCTAATTATCCCATAGCAGCATATCGGATAGACGACGAGATGGCTAACAATGTCCAGTTCAAGCTTTTCGTTGATGTGTGTTATCATATCTCTCTTTCGTTGTGTAACTGACGTCTCGTGTAGCAATGTGTTCGGCATCCTGATGCTCACCGCCTGGATATGAAAAGTTTCATCAACCGTCCAATTCCTCGTTTACTTCGCTACGAACTACTTCTGAAAGGAATTTTGGAAGAGACACCCACTGGGCACGATGATCGCGATGAAATACCACACGTGCTTGACCTGATCAAGTCTCTCGGCAAAGAGACAGAGCCAGGTGTGCAGTCGGCCAAACAGAAAGTGCAGCTGTGGTGTTACAATTCGAACATTGTTTTCAAACCTGGGGAGTCCGTGGTAAGCATTAAATCACAATTTACGCCCTTGATTTTTCTTCTCAAATGGGGGGTTTCATTCTTGTAGGACATGGACCTACTCAATGAAAATCGCTCACTTATCCACGTTGGCAAGCTGTTACGCCAACCGGACACAGGTTTCGAATGGAATGGCTGGAGTGAACTATTTGTCCTTCTATTTGACAACTATTGTAAGTCGCTGTGCATATTGATTGAGTGCGTTATTAATATGTTACACAGTGGTGATGACCAAAACCAAAGAAAGGGATGGAATCGTGAAATACCACGTAAACAGAAGGGTGAGCATCTCAGCACTACTTAGTTTTCAGTTGCTGAGCAAATCAAAATCAGCCCATACCTTTGGACCTCTTAACACTGGCCAGCTTTACTGACCCTCCGACACAACGTAGTGCAGGCATATTACGCATTGGATTAGGAGGGGGTCGCCATAACGATCAAGCAGTTCCGAATACACCAGGTAGCGCCCTACCTGAAAGTGCAGGGGATTCCCGAGCTGTTTATCCTTGTACCATTCACCATAATGGAAGGCTAGGCGGCTTGTACACACTGTACACAGAGTCAACGCAGGCACGTACTGAATGGAAGCAGAAGCTAGACGAAGCCCTCGGTCTCCGAAAGGTGGTGCAAGAATCGAATAAGGTATTTGAAATCGAGACTTTAAGCACCGACACTTTCCTTGTGCCGTCAATTGCTGCGGGAGCATCAACTCCTTCCTGGAATTACGAGAACTCGCTCACAGGAAAAGTCACTTGCTCGGTACCGTTTAGTAAGCTACCAAATCATTTAACTTCTTTCGTTTGGCTGACATCTCAAAAGCCACGGCGGATGGTCGGGCTCTCGTTGCCATTGGCTGCGCCGAAGGTGTATGGATAGGTTTCCGACATGATTCCAAATGTGCGTATATTGACGTCTTATATCCGTCCTCAGCGGCACTCATAGGTTTATCCACCAGCCATGCGACGCGTTCTACATCTCAAACAGGTGACACAATGCGCAATGCTCGAAGATTTTGGCATGTTCCTAGTTCTCGCGGATAAGGTATGTCGCACTTCATCTGTTACGGACCACTTTCTTACGGCATTTCCCAGTCCCTCTTTGCGTATCACATTGAAGCTCTTGTTCCGTCGTCTCCTCAAAGTGCCCATACTTCACAAACGCCTCAGAAAATCAATGGCACCCGAGATGTACATTTCTTCAGCGTAGGCAATTTAGGGGGACGAACTCTCGTTATATACATGAAGAAGAAAGGAGTGAGTTGTTATTTTTATGAGCGAACGAATTTACTCATTGTACTTCTTTAGCTTGACAGCGTCTTCCGTGTGCTGGAACCTGTGGTTGGCAAAATCAATGAAAGGAACAAACCACCGCTTTCCTTCACGTCTCGCTTTGGAATAAGGACTCCGCGGTCAGAATGGTTCCGTCTCTACAGGGTATGTCTGCCACCAATCCTGTCAAGTAAACTAACAACTAACACTTTGTTGTCAGGAATTCTTCTTGCCTTCGGAATCGTTCGACTTAATCTTCCTCAAAGCCAAAATCGCTATCCTCTGTACCAAAGGGTTCGAGATCATGGACTTGACTGAGTAAGTTTTTTGTTCAATTTTTTTTTGGCCGTTTATTGATCCTTCTTTCAGTTTCAAGAGTGTGACTATCCCGCTACGCGACGATGCTCGCTATGAGAGATTAGCAAAGCGTTGTGAATCATGCAAACCAATAGGAATGTTCCGTGTAGATAACGAGTTCCTGCTTTGTTATGATGGTATGTGTTTCTATTTGGTGCTGGAAGCTATTAACTAGATTCTAATGTGACTTTCAGAATTTGGTGTTTATGTTGACAAACACGGAGAGCCAAGCCGTATTGGTGGCACGATTGAATGGGAGGGTACTGCCGAACGCGTAGCTTTACACGCACCATACGTTCTACTGTTCGACTCCCGCTTTATCGAAGTGAGACATCTCTCTACCGGCCGCCTCGCACAGATCGTTCCAGGTAACGAGATACGTTGTATATGGGATGGTCGTGGGGCAAGCTCAGGAGATGGACCTGCCACTTTGGAAGGATTCCACGATGGCATGAATCTCGATGCACGAGTGCACGGTGTCATGAACGTGACAGAGTCAACTCCAGCTGGTTCTGGGATCAGACCTCGCGCTGTAGCACAGCAAGTGTTTGAGCTGATGCCGACGATACCCTTGTACCTGCCCGGTTCGCTGGCTTCTCCCTCAAACTCGGCATACTTCGCTCAGCCAGCTTCGCCGCCGCGGTCGCCGCGCCTCACACCTATCCAAACATGGAGATGATGATTAATAGGTAATGGACGATTGGACAATTTGTTTTTCAGGATTAACTCGTATTCGCTCGTTCGTTTTATCTTTTTCCGTGTCACAATGTACCGTCTGAAAGTTATGTTTTCATCTTGTTTCAATGCCTCGCATTTCTTGTGTATAAACACTTCGTTCTCATCTCCGGTACAGTAAACGATATTTAAAATCCATGGACACGGCTCGAGTTGAGAAGTGTGAGGTGCGAGGCGATGGTGTGCACTGAGCATGGATCTAGTACAGTTGTGTCGTCACAGTAACTCTCACTTCGTGTTTAGCTTTTCATTAACAGAAATTTCGGAGGGCATCGACAATATCAATACCAGCTGCGCTATACAAGCACTACTGAACGAGCTGATTCGTGCAGAATTAAAAACCAAGAAATCCGTGAGACTGAAAGCGAAGGCGGAGTTCAAGTAAGATGCGTTGGCTATCAAATACACAAGAACTTTCCGTCGAGATCAAGATCGCTACTATATATGATAGCCTCACTGGGTACCACGGTTAACCCTCCGAGGGTAGTGTGGATCAAACTCCCGGGTGATAGGCTGTCAAGCATGAGAAGTGAGGGACTTGCAAGGTTGAGAACGAAAAATGGGCGCCCTGCGACTCTTGTCAGGTTGGATGACTCATGGTCGGACGTCGTGATGATGTTATGGGAAAGAGAGAGAGGGATTGAATTGCAAAGTGTGAAATTCACACCTGATATGCATTATTGAGCTTGAACATGCGCAGTCTCGGATATCATAATGACAGACACAGTATTGGGACTGATGCTCAGGTTGCGAACAGAAGAAGAATCTGGAACACAGAAAGAAGCAAATTAGTCTGACACAGCGGCATTGATGAGAAAGACGACCACGACAAAAAAAAAACAGCAAAGATGGCGGTTCAGTAGGCGGTGCTGGGCGAAGCATGGCATCCGTTCAAGCTTTATATCTGCGCAACTGACTTGGGTGAGAAACTGAAATGGAAGTCATCGATGTCATCCGTAGCTAGCCGTATACGACACATGGTCGTAGAACACTATCGTGCCACGACGGTCGACGATTTCCGGTCCATTCGTGAATGGGGAATCGCATACGATATCCACCCACCCCGAGCGTGCATGCTATAGCAATGTGATTCAGTCGCAAGTTGAAGAAGTCTCCGGATACCGGTTTGCATGTGGACGAAGTAAAACTCGGAAGTGATCGAGGTACGAGTGTGGGTGAGTCGCTTTTACTGAGGCCTCGTTCAGGGTTTGTTGGCTAGGACCTTGTGCGGTCCTTTTTTGGTCTGCACGGTCGACTGTCCAAGGGATACGGCACTCGTCCTCCAATCCTTGTCTTCTCGCCGAACCTACAACCGTCGACGTGCATGGGTCACTTCCAGGAATCCTCAACTGTTCACCAGATATTTTATTTTCGCGAAGGACGATGAAAATGAGCTTTGCAGGCATTTTCAAGACATCAACGTTGTGGAATGTACTGCCGGTACTTCACTACTCCGACTCACCTCGGGCCGAGGTCTAATGTTGCCGGAAAGTCCGGTCCGGTCCGGCGATAATATTCAAGCGGGCCGCGGCTGTCGGTTTGTGGGCCTCTGTGGTGGTACACTTGACTAGCTTGACCTACTTATGTTTTGTTTTGTTTTGGCTCTGGCGGTGGTTGGTCTGGCGGATCATTGATCAAAGTGAAATATCTCAATTCACTGATCAGCCGACAGTTGATGGATAGTTGTGTATCCATCATCACTGTACTGCAAGCTCATCCAGGGAGGGCTTTTTGATAGCTCATTTTGACTTGGAGCGTTCTAACCCAGCGATATCAAATTCCCCCTGAACCTAAAGACCTATCACTTTGTCGTTACGGAAGCAATGTCAGGATCCCCATTTGCCGCTGTCCTCCCCGTCGCGAATTATCTATCGAAGCATTGAAGTGTCTGCAGTTGAATAAAATACGACCTTAGCGGAGGGTAAATAATTTGACGGAGAGGAAGACCTTTGGGCACACTCGGTGCCTTATAGGGTCTTATCTTTCGATATGTTCAGCATCGATCGCTCCAGCCTCCAGGGGCAGCCGAAGCCTGCTGGTGATATCATATACCGACATACTCCAATTGCTGTGTTTTCCCATTGACACGTGAAATTGGTGTGCGAGTCCGTTGAAACTTGAAAGTGAAAAGGTACATTGTCTGTTATCAATTCCTCCTCTATCAAAGTTCTGACTTGTGGCAATTTATCTGGCAGTTTTATGGTGGGCTGCCACCGCAGCTCTATTTCCCATAGACTTTGAGGCATTTGTATATAATTATTTTCTGTAGCGACATTTTTTTTGATGCTCACACGACTACTTGCACCGTCGGATGGCGAGATCTCTCCAAGGCTCAGCGCTCAATGGTTCATTAACAATATCCACATCAAAGTATCACCACATGCAACTCGCGCCTGCCAGTATCTGATGGGGCTCCTTTGTGCTTGAGTTTCCAATCAGGTTGCATGGTGGACATAGCTATCAAGGCTGTCGTTCTCATTATTGTACTTGCTGCTCGCTCCAGTCAAGACATGGACCTCGATGCCAAGACGTTGCCTTCCATCAAGCATTTTTAAGTGTGCAGGTTTTTGGTCCGATCAAAGGTGCGTGTCAAAGACAGCGTACCCGATAAGGAATGTGGCGCACATGGGTGTGAGAGCCGATCTCCCAAGATGGCAACCAGAAAGATATATCCTCTCGGACTCATCTGCCTCCGTGTCTGTCTGCCTCGAGCGGTTATGGTCCGTACACCACACAAGGAATGCCCGGCTCAGACCGGACTCCATAAGTGCTCCATGTCTGCGTAGGGAAACTTCAACGGACTATGGCCGAGAAAATAATCGTGTTTTGGAAAGAGCCGTCGTGGCCATTTCCGCTTGTAGCTGCTAAGCGCATATACTTGCCTTATCTCGTTATCTGCCTTTGATGGACGACGGTGACAGCCAATACACCACACCCGGCCAAATGGACGCTCCCAGGCACCACCGTCATGTGCTGGATATATACTTATGGCGTATCCATACAGTCTGATACAGAACTCAGCGCTTCTCTCCGCCTTTCCAGTTCTTTTTCCCTTCTGTCTCTCTTCTCCGTCCGAGTCTTTAGGTGGCCTTTTCTTTCACCTTATTTTGTCGCCTCCTACGTCTCTCCACCATGAGCAACCACGGCTCGCATGACCTTGAAAAGTCACAGGATGGAGCCAGCATCGAAAAGTACGCGACAGAGCAGTTCGTCGTCCCCGCACAATCCAGCAATCCCAATTACCGTATTGATGGTGCCGACTTGGACCGCGTACAACGACGACTCAAACAACGACATGTACAGATGTAAGTTTATTATATTCCAATGCCAGTCCTCGTTTCTGACACTGTTTGCTACAGGATTGCTGTAAGTCTCCACTTGTCCGAGTCTCTCGAATAGTTTTCAAACTGGTGTCCCAGATTGCTGGGACCCTCGGAACAGGTCTGTTCCTTGGTTCAGGAAAGTCACTCAGTGGTGCGGGTCCTCTCGGCGCTCTAATCGCCTACATACTTGTCGGAACTGTGGCATACTCGTAAGGCTATTTTTTTTTTATCGATGTGTCTCGGAAAAATCCCAATTTGCTACAGGTCATTGTGTTCTATCGGAGAAATGACAGCTCTTGCTCCCATATCTGGAACCTTCCCCCATTTTGGTGCGTCTCACAGTTTCTCCTGCTATCAGTTATCTGAATTCGCGATTATCTAGCTGCTCGATGGGTCGATCCTGCTTTTGGTTTTGCTGTAAGTCTCTTACGTGTAATCTATATAGAATTTCTGATCATAGCTAATCTGTAGGTCGGATGGGTATGTCTTTTACCCACTGTGTTCAAATCAGATCTCACTCGTTCACTTTGACCACTATGTTTAGAACTACTTTTACGTGAGCGCTCTGCTTAGTTTTGTTATTGCGTGTAATACATTGGCTGACTTTGATTCAATAGACCAACGTGTGAGCTACTCTATCAACTTGTAATCCCCTGGATATGACCTAATCCCGCACTATAGTATGTCCGTTCCTGTGGAGATCTCAGCGGCGCAACTACTCATCACTTATTGGGATGTATGTATTTCGTTCACCTCATGATACCTTTCTTTCAGGCTTACAGCTCGTTCCTTTCAGACCAAACATGCTGCCGCTTACATTGCAGTTATATGCGTTTGCGTTTGCGCTATAAACATATTTGGTGTTCGGTACGTTCTTTACGCCATATATTTTAACCTTTATCATTCTAATATCGTTTGACAGTTACTTTGGGGAGTGTATGTTCTTCCTTGCGAGCTGTTATTCACTTTTCAATTGTTTTCTGACTGTAAATCAACAGCTGAATTTATTTTCTCGATCATCAAACGTAAGTCTGCTTCCTGCAAATGTGTACAAATTTATAACGCTATATGTTCTTTAGTTGTCATGATCACGGGTTTAATTCTACTTGGGCTTATCATCGATCTTGGCGGAGCACCTGACCATCAACGCCGTGGCTTCCAGGTTTGTATTTGCCCTTTTCCTTCCCGAATTCGCATATCTCAAGTCTCTCTCTTGCTTCAGTACTGGAAAAACCCGGGTGCACTCGCTGGGTCAGGCCTCGAGCCCACTCACATCGGGCTTGATCGTTTCTTAGGTATCCTTTCCGTCATCGTCCAAGCTGCATTCTCCTTCCAGGGTATGGAACTTGTCGCCATGTAAGCCAGTGGAGTCCTTTTCATGACCTTTCATTTCATTTCTGAACGTCAATCACCATCACTATCACAGTGCTGCATCCGAAACTGAGAGCCCACGTCGAAACATCTCTAAGGCTGTGCAGAGGGTGTTCTATCGTATCGTGCTCTTTTATGTTCGTCTAAATCTCTTTTGACTTGGTCATTACTTTTTGGGATTTGGATTTACGGTTTTGAAAATTTCTAGGTGCTTGGTGTCTTGATAACTGGTATGATTGTTCCATACAACGACCCTAGTTTGCTGCAGAGTAAGACATGTTGCTATATGTGTGGATAGGCCAAGTATTTACCCATTTTACATCCAGCGGGTGGCACGTCCGCCGAGTCACCTTACGTCATTGCAATGGTTAACGCCGGTATCAAAGGTATATGCGTCCGCTAATCCTGTTTAAAATTATTGTTCTGATCAGTACTCATCGCATAGTGCTTCCTGGTATCGTCAACGCCGGTATCCTTACGAGTGCTTTCTCCGCTGGAAACTCTTTCCTTTTCTGCTCTTCACGTATTCTCTATGGTCTCGCTCTTCGAGGCCAGGCCCCACGTTTCCTCACTTACTGCACAAGTAAAGGCTTGCCGTTGGTAGCCGTGATTGTTTCTGTGCGTGTCCTTTCTTTTCGATATTGCAACGACTTCATGTATCTAACGACTTTCTTGCCGATATGTGATTCAATGGATTTAGAGCGCTTTCTCTCTCTTGTCTTTCATGACTGTATCTAGTGGTGGCGAAACAGTATTCAAGTAAGTCTGACACATTGTGTCTTGTGCTTCTGTGATATTTTACTAATTACGAAATGATCGTTGTTCAGCTGGTTCGTCAGCTTGTCCACTGTTGGAGGCTTCTTCTCCTGGGCCTCCATCAACTTGACCTTCCTTTTTTATTGTGCGTATCAAAACTCTGTGAGGTCCAGCACAAGTATCACTCACACCAATTTGCAACTTCAGACCGCGGAATGAAATCACAAGGCAGAGATCGTAAGCAGCTTGCTTACTGGAATCCTCTCCAGGTCAGCACACGATTACTGCTCTACCCACCCATTCTTGTGCTGACACGCTAATATTCATGTAGCCGTATCTTGCTACATGGGGCTTTGTTTGGTGTGTGATATTCGTCCTCATCAATGGATTCGAAGTTTTCTGGGCATTCAATGCGTCGGGTTTCCTCACCGCTTGTCAGTCTTTCGTTCATTTTCTTTCTTAGTTGTTGAGGTGACCTTTTTCTCCTTATGACGAAATAGATATCAACATCCCGTTCTTCTTCATCCTCTACTTCTTCTGGAAAATATTCAAACGCACTTCAGTGTGGAAATTACACGAGATGGACTTTGTCACCGTGCGTCATTTTCTCCTTTATTTGATTGTAGAAAACAAGCAATTTATGGTCCGCACGATAGGGTATTCCAAGCATGGAGGAGACCGAGATTCCAGAAGTACCACCGAAGAACATTGGCGAGAAGATCGCTTCGTTCATCTTCTAGATGAGCACTGCGAGCAGCTTTCCACTGCAAATACCATGACGTACATAATAGTTTTTTTTGACGATCTATTCTGTGATTTAGGTTAATATATTTCTTGTTTTTCTTTTTCATCATGTAATGTCCCCCCACCTTCCATCTCAACTAGTATTAGTACGCCGTACGTAAACGCGTAAGATAGCTCAAAAAGATATACACACATATATATATATAGTGTAGGAATGTATCCGCAGGCTATCTCCCATTTATGACTTACGATGTTGTGAGTTTAGACTGGTGTGTATTTAGCATAGTTGATTGATTGACCTAGTGAAACGGAGTTCATTTGGCATTGGTGAGAGTACAGACATTGCTATTTACTGGTAGGTAGTGTAAAACCACGTATAATTCTTAAGCCTGCGCTCTCTTCTGCACGCCAAAGGAACAGCGTCATGGCGAGGATAGAATAACGGATGGCTGAGACGATTTAGACATTCAATCAGTCGCAACCAGAGGGGTAAAGATGATGTTAGGAACGGTATCTACCGAGTCTGAGCCACCTAAAACGGCAAGGAAAGGTATGATAAGTGAAACGGCACGAAAAGCGGAGACTGAAGGCTGGAGATATACCTGCGTATGGGGCCTGAGCTGACCATTTGATGAGGTCTTCATTTCCTGGAGAGGTATCGCTTTTCACCTAGGAGTTCGGAGGTGAAAGAATGCGGGGCTGTTTCCTGCACCTGCCACGCGTCAAACCTGTTTATATCTATATACACGCATCAACTTCGAAGCTTACCATCTGTTTTGTTTGCTGCTTCATGCGGCAGGCCGACCATGTCCGTGAGGCTTTTCGAGCCTTTTTATGCAAGTTTTTGAAGGGATGCTCCAGGGAGGCAGTCAGGTAGATACTTTACTGCCGTCGCACTCAAACATCAAATTTCAACCGACTTGCACTCAGCAAAAAAATTGCTCACATATGGGAAAGGCGTCCACCAACCAGACGCAGGCACTAGAAGAGGTAGCTACAGAAAAATACTGCATTGCTGTGTTGACAATTCCTAAATAGGGGTCTTTTGAATCCTTAACTTCGATTGCCGTGTGAGATCCGTAGAAGAATAGGAGCCGCTAGCCTGGAAAGCGTGCAAAAATGCACTCAAGTAGTAAAAGAGGGCGCGTCATAGTGCGTGTTTCGGGTAGACTGAAAATATAGACGTGTATGGGCCTCAAAATCCAAGGGTGTATCCGACAAGCGTTGAAGAGACCGATGCGTCTCGCGTTCAAAAAGGCCAGTATACTTCTTCGTACTCGCGTGAGTGCCTATACAGCGATACAAGTTCTTGCGAAACTGCTTGAACCGAGGACCATGCTGCACAAGAGACAAGGAACGATCCCAGCCCATGAGTTCCCTTGCTGGCGTCAGCTTCGGCCGGTTAGAGTACTTTCTGGCTATGGGAGCTGAAGCCCTGGAAGCATGCATATTGTCATTCCTGCGACTCAGACTACCATTGGCAGGTGCAAAGATGGAGAAACAGGTTACCATTACCAGCCACGCCGAGCCTGCTCTGCGATGCTGTAAAGGGAGATATCTGACTCGGAGCTCTTGACTCGGAAACAAAGCCTCTTGCATACACACGTTCATAGACGGACAGTGACGGTCAGATAAGGAACAAGCCTCGCTCGAGCTCAGTAAATTCTTGCTAGAACAAATAACACTTGTAAGCGAAACAGCATTTAACAAGAAATATAAACGCCTACATGTAGAGCAACATTCATAACACACGATGAGCCTATACCGGTATTAATCGTGGCTAGCTCGTATTCATTGTCACGGTAACTTAATGATCATGATTCCTTTCTGTCACTGGACAGAAAGGAATCTGGGTATAGGCTCCTACTATCCACGCATGGTACCAAATACATATAAACACACGCTATGTTATTGGCCGCTCAACCGACGTTGCTTACTCCGAGTCAAGCACCAAGAACGATGAGCACTACTCGGTTGAAACGCAAACTCGGAGATCTGGGTATTGACCCAGCAAGTTCAAAGGCGAATGAGTCTTTTTGCTTGGTGCGTAGTGCAACTCTTATACCGGTGAAATCTTCATTTACCTATAATACCTATGGACAGATCGGCACACCGTTGCCTCCGCTCGAAAAGTCTCGGGATACGGGAGAATTCGTACCATTGTGGAAACAGGATGTTTGTTTTCTTGCGTTTCTTCGTATAACAGCTTAAGTTCATGTCCCTATCTTCAGGTCAGAGACGAGAAAGGGCGTCGAAGATTGCATGGTGCATTCACAGGAGGTTTCTCTGCTGGATATTTCAACACTGTGGGCTCCAAAGAAGGTATGTACGATTCCAGTTTTTAGGATCCTCTATATCATCACGTGCTACCGTCAATCTTGCATGAACTACATGCCAAATTATGCGATAATACTGAGTTGCCTTCTGCGTATACTATATGCGTCGGACGTGGAGGGTGCAAGCCAGAATCACGACTCAAGTATCTATCACTATTCATATACTAACACAACTTGCATGTGATAGGATGGGCACCCTCTACCTTCGTTTCTTCGCGTTCTGACCGCGCTCAGAAGCGTGCCGCACGGCCGGAAGACTTCATGGATGAAGAAGACATCGCTGAACGCCGAGCTGATTTGAATCTCGTTGACGAAAATGAGCAGATGGACCTCCTTGGTGGAACGCAAGCTGAGATGAGTCGCCGCGCTGGTACCGAAGAGGATGAGAAAGAGTAAATGGGATTCATCAATGCTGTTTTTCTTAATTCTAATGCTTTACATGCAGCCCCATCACGCTAGCGCTGGAACAGTCCCTTCTTCCCGCACCTAAAGATTCCGTCGGGGCTCGCATACTGAAGAAGATGGGTTGGCGCATTGGGCAAGGAATTGGCCCACGCGTGACATGGCGCCAGCGTGCTATTCAAGACGGACGCGATCTAGATGCTGAAGTGGACGAAGAGGCGAAGAAGCACTTGTATGCTCCAAAAAATACGCCATTACTGGTTCCAGCGAGAAAAGACAACTCACATGGACTAGGGTACTCCCCTGGAATGGGGCTACACGATAGCTTAGGTATGGGTAAAACGGGAAAGGTCGAAGGTGATTCGAGGTTGGCTGGTGAGTATCATAGCTTTGTCTTTGAACCACGGTCGAATGAACCAAGGGCGTGTCAATTACAGCTGGGTTCGGTCTGGGAGCACTCAACGACGCGGATGAAGATGATCTCGACATTTACGATGGCAAAGTAGTTCGCGGTGGCAGTCGTACTGCATATGATGCAAGCGATGTACATGACGACGACCATATAACTTCTGGTACTAGGCATGCAGGTCGTAAGGGAGCTCCACCACCACCTGTAAGCATTCATTTCTTTTTTCTACTTGTGACATCAGTATATTTCAGCTCACGTACTCTAGAGATCGTCCTCATCAGGCGGTAAATTTAGTGATGGTAAATCACCTGTAGCAGGTTTTGTAGTCTCTGACAAACCTGTTGCTCAAGATGAATGGTATGTCTACAGTCAGAGTCGTCTCCCCTGCTATCATTGCTCTAACTCAAATTATCAGGTTTCCTTTGCCTGATATACCTAAGGACTGGAAGCCAGACCCTACACGCGTCTGGGGTGGCAAAGAGAATGTAGACGCTGAAAGAGAGGAACCAACCGGTGGCGCTCCACGACCACAACCTCACGCTCAATGGAAAACTGGTAAAACAGCAGGCGAGGTATGTTTTGCCATGAATCTAATTGCTTTGTCTAACATATCCCTAGCGAGGAGCTATATTGGGTGAAATATCCCAACCTTCAGCACCTCGCTCAGTGTTTGAATACATGTCACAAAAGGACCAAGAACGCATCAGGTCATTCACTTCTATTCCCAACCGATTTGTACCGCCTTCCAACGATCGTCCAACCTCGCCGGCGCTACCGTCGGCCCCTCTTACCATCCCACATACCGAGCCCCAAGTTGCTCAATCCGCGTTACTCGGCTTCCGACCCTTCACCTCAGATCCCACCAAGCAAGCACGGTACAACCGTTATCTGCAGGCTGCTGCAGACCCTGGCGGCACCACATCACCTCCACAACCCACTCCAGGACAAGATGCCGACTCTTTTGGAAGAGAGATGGCTGAGTATGCAAAGGCGGCTGCTCTATTCCGCCCCGTATCGGGTGCCATGGCAGGAAGATTCACTAGTGCGGCGGTGCTAGACCTGGGCCCAAAAATTATTGAAGGGTTGCATCAACCAGTTGCAGGTGAAAGTGCCGATGATGACGCTGATGAACAAGACGAACGGGAGGAACGGATAGAGGAGAAGATGGAGGAGGATCCGAAGGTTCACGCTGCGAAGCTGGGGATGTATGGTCCTATGACACGCGAGACGGTGGTATGGCAGCCTGCGAGGCTGCTGTGCAAGAGGTTCGGGGTGAAGGAGCCAAATCCGGAGCCTGTCGATGAAAAGGTGGCACCTTCTGATCCGGGGTCGGGATGGCAGCCTGAGTCAGAGTTGTCAAAAGCGGATGCAAGCGTGCCAGCTTCTGGTAGTGGTGATGTTCCTGCAAGTGTGGACGGTGGCAAGAAGAAGAGACGAGATATCGCAAATATCGGATTAGGTGAGGATGATGGGCAGGGAGAGGACACGTTGACGTATGTACGGCCCGCGATGGACGTGTTCAAGGCTATATTTGCAAGTGACGACGAGGAAAGTGAGGATGAAGGTGGACAGAATGGAGACGATGGGAAGAAAGCTGAAGAGGGTGAAGATGGAGCTATCACCGGTGTTGCTGCGATAGAATCATCTTCTACGCCAGTACCCATGCCTCCACCCGCAGAGGCGGGTCCATCCACCACTCCTGCCTCTCAGCTAAACCCGAATGGAGTCCCCTCCACGGAGAAGATAGATCTAGCTACTTTCAAGCCAACATTCATTCCCCGATCCGAGCGGGAAGGCAAATCCAAGAAGTCAAAGGAGAAAGACAAGGAAAAGAAGAGTAAGAAGAAAAAGGGAGGTGCACTCGTCTCATTCGAGGTAGATGAAGGAGGTGAGGAGTCGTTATCGTTCTCTACTCCTCGGGAAAGGCGGAAGGATCGCGATCGACCAAAGAAAAAGAAACGGAGGGACAACGAACATGAAGCTGATCGTGGCGACGAGGGCGACGACGAGGGTATGTGGGTAGAGAAGCCGCCACCTGCATTCGTAAAGACTTTGGCCATGGATGAACCACCACCAATCGGTATTGGGAGCCTGGGCGCTAATGATACGGCTGATAACATGGACGTACTTATGGGAGATACAGAGCGCCCTATGAGAGGGCGAAAGCGCGCAGTAGATTTCATGTAGTCTACAGTCTACTGTAAATGTAGTATAATGCTATTTTTGTTTTATTCCTCGTCTTCACTACCCTCCTCCTCCTGCTTATCTTCACCATCATCTTCGCCCTGTGAGTGCCAACCTTCAAGTCCTTCATGTTGTTCCTCCTCGCTGTCCTCGTGTCCATGCCCATTGTCAGCACGCTTTCTCTTTCCATTTACTGCATTCGCAATTTCGGACGGCTCGCCTTCTGCTATCGTCATGCAAGTCAGCCTAGTGCCCTTGGTGTCGTATTCAGCAACAGGATGTATTTCCAATTTTTCTTCACAATGTGCTGGCAGAGAAGCCAAATCATACACATGGATCTTCCCATCTGAGGAGACGGTACAGACTATCGTTGTGGACAATCTGGCGCTTTTTTGGTTTTCTGAGGGAGGCAAGGCTATTGCGAGCGCTTCCACTGCTTTGACCCTATCAGAGGATTATTGAGTTTATCAAGGTCCAAAAAATGGTACGAAAGATATAAAGAGGGAGCATACCGATTTGAATGCCCTACCATCTCTGCAATTACGGTAGGAATTTTTTCAGGATCTTCATGTATCTCGTATATCGAGACTTTTTTATCTTCGGCCCCGACAAAGAGAACTTCGCCAGTGCCATTGACGCGTGTGCAAAATTTTACGCTGTGGATGCGGGATGGATGGGTAATGATATGTTGCAAAACCATATCCTATAACACAGTCGGAACAAAATCAAACAATCAAGTTTCCATCTTGGTGAATAAAAGGCGAGGGTGAAAACGTACTGTAGTATATATCTCGATGGTTGCCCTGCATTGGACTACGAAGCACGAGCCAGTGACTGACCAACGCACCAGCTCACCCTCTTGACGTGAATCAATACCCCAAAATGGACATCGATGAAATTTGAAGAAAATAGCCCACCTTTTCCCAATTTCGTGCTGGCTGAGCCCTTTCCCCGCATGAGATCCCACATCCGGAGTGTTTTATCTTTGCCGACACTCAAAGCAACTTTACCTGAGGGGTGGATTGCAACCGAATTTACGGCGCCTTTGTGGCCTTTTAGAGAGCGCAGGACAGCCCAATCTCGGGCACGAAAGAGGCATAGCGTCCCGTCTTCTGAAGATGAGAGAAGGTGGGACCGCGAGGGGAATTGTAGCTCCGTAATCGACCCTGAAATATATAACTTAGTTATACTGTTATTCAGAAAAAGGGGGAAACGTACCTTCGTGGTGCATCAGTCCACCGATCTCCTTCCTTCTCCGTAGATCCCATACTTTGACGATCTCATCTGCACTCCCTGTAGCGAGCCATTTACCACCATTCGGGGACGCTGCGACAGCCTTTATACATGACACATGCGCTGGGAAGATGAAGATGGGATTTAGGTGGAAGGTATAACCAGGAGCTGAAGACGATGGGGTCACTGTGCCTTCGAGGCCGTATAAGAGTTTTTCGTAAGACCCAGCGACGACTTTGAAGCTAGATGGTAGTACGAATGTGGTGGGTTCACTGCGTACATTTTTATTTGAGGCTGGGACTGTAGCAGCTTTTTGTTTGCCTTTTGGAGAGGGAGGTGAGACTGGTAGATCGAGTTCTGGGTTTGACTCGGTGGGTGGGGGTGTATTCGTGCGTTTTGTCGCGAGGCTTTTATCGACTTTGGCCTTTTTTGACTTGCGCTCTGGCGCACTCGTCTTATGCATAATATAGTGAACAATATCGAGTTTAGTAAATGCAAGGCTTTGCACTCAGCAGGCTGCGGTCACAGTCTCTGGTAGCCTCGCAATTCAAGTGATTTTCGAAATTTCCAAGTCACGTGCCTACTTTCTTACTGTCATTTCTTCCACTACGAAACTCTGGCATAAACTACGTCTTTCAGGTCACTCAAAAATAGGAAGAAAACACATTATCTCAACATGCGTCAAAAAAGAGCGAAGGCCTACCGTAAACTCATGTCCCTCTACTGCACTTCCTTTGGCTTTAGGCAGCCATATCAGGTACTTGGTGAGCTACCAAAGTATTGGGTCTTTTACGGACTTGCTAAGAATATTCCGCGCATATAGTCGACTCAGAATTCTGTAAATTCGCTATGGAGTCAAAGGTGGATCTTGTAAAACAGCTCAACGTCGTCTTGCAGGGCGAAGTAAAACCAAGTGAGTACGCCTTGCCATCCTTCCACTCGCAGTTAGATCACTCTATCTAACGAAGTTTGATTGTGTGTAGTGATTACGCAGTGTTGCATCCACGAACTTTATCTCCAGGGAAAATCACACCAACCAGCCATCGACCTGGCCAAGACTTTCGAGCGAAGACGATGCAACCACAGAGAAGCAATCCCGGGGGATGACTGCCTTTCAAGTGTCGTCGGTATTGCCTCACTATCACTCTTCCTATCCATCCACTCTTCCTAAACTCCCCGATCTCTCATAGGGACCTCCAATAAACATCGCTATGTGATAGCTACACAATCGCAGCCGCTGAGAACGAAATTATGGAATATCCCCGCCGTTCCTGTCATACATATCAACCGCTCTGTGTTCGTCCTTGCGCCTTCAAGTAGCGTGACGCTAGAAGCGAAAGAAAGTGTATGTTCTCCGTTATATGCGTGGTCTTTTAAAGCTTGTTGTTCTGAATATCAACCTGATACATTTTGCAGATCGAGGAACAAGCCCTCCATCCTGCCAAGTCTGACCTACCACTTCTACCCTCCGCGCCTGAACCGCCGCGAAAGAAGAAAAAGGGACCTAAAGGCCCCAATCCACTCAGTGTGAAAAAGAAGAAACCAGCACCAACCCCTAGTTCTTCAGGGCAATCCCATAACCAAAAGAATATGGAAACCTCAAATATTCAAAGTGAGGCTGCTGGGAGGAAACGGAAGGAGAACCCTATCGACGGCGAAGTAGAGTCTATTCATACGAAAGAGGGCCCTGATACAGAATCAAGTTCGCGTGGAGAAAGGAAAAGGAAGAGACGTAGAAAGAATGATCACGTCCAAACGGTGCCTGTAACATAGGTTACGGGAAATGCGTATGCAAAAGTACTCCTCGGTTTCATAACTATATGTAATGCTTTGTCAGTCCTTATTTTTTTTTTGCGGATAGGGCTTTCTTAATGCTAAACTCGGGATCATTATTGAACAATGGAAGGCGATGTATTCAGGGGATCCCTTCGCTCGACCTGAATTCTATATTCACCACATACCACTCAAAAAGCGCTATGAATTCACGAACCCCTGTAAAGCATGAGCGTATGATATCAAAAGGGGAAAAACTACGCTGACGTTTGCCACACCAGTCTGCTTTCGGCTGGTGAGAGGCTGCCCAAATTGGGAAACTGTTGATTGCTCAAGAATACCCTCCTCTCAAAGGAAATACTTGGCACGTCGTTGCGAATAGTGACGCCCAATCCGACACACATTGCTTGACGATGATAGATCAGAGCCAACGCGAGCATGAGGAGGATCATTCAGGGATAGAACACCTAGACCTCAGGCTACACGTGTGGAACGTGTATTTCCAGAGCCCTCTCATTCAAGTATGTTCTGGGTGGACATATCCTGGTTACTGCCAAGCTCAATCAGGCGCCTCTCCTTCTCAATTTTTCTTATGTTGGACTCGACATCGTGTCTCTTTGACACGTAAACCTTTCACCGTTCACGCGCCTTATGTGCGACAATCGTGAGTTACTTACCCCAGTGATGACCTGTCCTACTATGCACGTTTACCTGGAAATAATTCGTGAGAGGTTCACGTTAACTAATGTCGACGGATACCTCGGCATCGTACGTCACGCCAACTTGATACTTGGCATGTCATGCACAGCGATCACAACGTGTTTAATGCAACGGACAATAATGTCCAGGAGTACAATACGAAAGGTACCTGGTCATAATCGTCGAAGTACGCATGTTTGAAAGATCGTCGGATAGCCCTCCTTCGGACGGATCATGTAGTGGGTGGTCTTATGTTGAACGACGACGATCCATTTATTGATTGATTGTATGGTGGAGGGGATGACGGGCATAGCCTCTTTAGCTCTTGCCTCATCGCGAAGGAAAAATCACTGTATGGCAAGAAAGTGACCATATTTGTAATTTTCTTTCCAGCGCTATATCTAGTTGAAAAACCCACATTCAACAGTGCTGTGCCCGTCAGCCTTGCGTTGTTCTGCTAAGCCGTTATTTCTCAAAGATGACAATTAGTACTCAATACAAAATCGGGCACATATATGAGCCAGCGGCTGCCTTCGATTACCGATGAAACTTGCCCTTGGTCCTCGGTACGTCGATATCGGATAATGGCGATGACTAGGGACACAGATTAGCTTTGGAGCACTAATGATAGTATTGTATTGATGATTTACAATGCACTATAATAGCATGTCGCAAGAAAATCGGAAGGGAAATCGGACTCAATCATTGACAATTGAATGTGGTGGCTTCTACTTAGCTTTGTAAACCAACGTTATAGAAGAGTGTGGGTCCCCCTCAGGGATATATGCCTCTATCCTCGGGCCAGCACACGAATGTTTTTGTAGACACTGGGGTCGTGTCCCACTGGGACTGGCAGTTTATTCCGCGCTCGTGCTGTTAAAGTCGGAGCTACTTGACAGCGGACCATGCCATAAATTGCATGAAAACTCTGAAGGCACCCCAGTTTTTCATGAAGCCGTCAGCAGCCTCATCTTGAGACTCATCGCCGTCGCTAAACTTGAAGAAGGCATTCTAGTAGAGTACGTGTCAGTCGTAAGCCTGGCGATCACGTAGAAATTATAATCTAAACTGAGAATTCAGTTATACGTCGGGGATAAAACGAAACACAGAGAATATGAAATATGTAAAGTCCATACACGGCATGTTTGCAAAGCGGGGCATATGCACTGTCGAGGGTTGCGTCGCGAATGTCCTCGCCGTGATTCGGACATTGCCAATATTGAGTAAGAGTCTATAGCTAGTGTGCATCGCGGCGCATGTCCACTTCGTCGATAATGAAAATGTGATCGCAAGCCTCTCTGTAAAGGATGAGTATACTATGGTTGCAACCAGTGGGGACCTAGGTGGGAGACCATGACATCGGGGCACAAGAAAACCCTCGCGCTCCGGTCAATGTCGACTACCGCACCCCATTCTTCCGCTAGCTGCTTATATCCTAAACCTTCAATATATCAAGGCTGTCGAACGGAAATGATGCTGTCAGAGCAGGATTCAAGCAGCATATGGGACAGGCTCATCTGATTGCAATGGAACTTGATGTCGAGAGACAGCCAGAGTCATTCGTATGCACTAATGCCCATTGCTCTGTGCGGGCCCGGTCAAGCCCGACACTCTGCCATTTGCAGATATACAGCATTAGCTGCGTATGGGGACCAGGAAGCGATGTTTAGCGATCAAAGGGATATTTTACTGAATGGGGACATATAACAGTGGCACAAACTGTATCCTAGTATGGTGGGCGTCATAGGCGTTACCTGACGGTTGGTTATCGGAGTCTATTCTTTTAGTTCTTGATACTTAGTTCTCATGCTTTCTCATGCCCATGAGTACGGCTCAGCTGCTTATCGCATGCCCTATATCGTGCTTGTGTCGGGTCGATCGGTCCTCGTTACTAGACTCGTACGTACAGCGGCGGCTGTTAACTTGAACCATTTTCCTGTTTTCCCAAACCTTACTTATTGCTGTGGTATGTAGGTCCCATTTCTGCCGAATTCCTCAGGGGATGATTTGAGCATATATAACCACTCCTCCAAATATAGTGTTCGGTGAACTGCAATCATATCCTAATACACGTACTATTGTCCATCCCTGGTATTCTTCTGTAGGCAACTTTCTTACAGTAAAGTGGTGGTCGCCTTGGTTCGGGCAAAAGCTTCAATAGCAAAACGTTACCCTACTTTCCTTTCAGGAACTTCAAGTTCATGCTGTTTCGACAGAGAAGTGCTTTCCATCTGCCACCGGTACAATCACGCTCGATTCAGCTTTGGAGAACTGGGTACATTTCACAGTCCATTGTGAATAGGTAAGTTGTGGCATTCCGACTCTGTGTCTTCTGGCTGATATTTTTGGTATTGGAGCTTTTGAATGTCATTTTCGCCACAATTCGCTCGGGATCTGTCTTTGAGGAGGTAAGGGACTATCGTCATCTGGTGATAACCTTATGTAAGAGTTTGGACAGGACCATTGGTGTAGCAGGTGGTACTTTGCTTCTGTGGGACTTTCTGTTGACCTTCGGTGACGAAGTGAGTCCTTTCGAAAGTTTGCGGTGTGTCGCAAGTATGGTTTGACGAATTGACCGCAGGTTGAGTACATCTGGAGCACTCGCTGGTCCTTTGCAAAAGTCACTTTTCTCACCAATCGTTACGGGAATCTCTTATTTCAAGTCCTCGTCAATGGACAAGAACTGGGAATTATCTCAGGATCTCCAGCCACGGTCAGTACGCTGTTTTTCGTTATTTTACTAATAGTTAAATCAATGCTCTTTTAGCAGTTCTGCTTCCATTTCACATACTTCATCAGCATTTTCATGAATTTTTCCGCAGAATCAATACACAGTACGTTCGAGCGCCCGTTTTTAGGAACCGGCTACTGCAATGACTTTTATAGTACTCGTGCTAGTCCGGGCTTGGGCGATCTGGGGGTGCAAACCAAGGATGGCTACTATTCTAATTACAATCTACATCATATATCTCCTACTCGCGATAGGATTCACGACTTTTGGAGCCAGCCAGCAGGACTGTGAGCGTTGTTTCCTTGCCTACCACTCTCACGATGTCTTCAGCTCACCCTGTCTATTGCTATTAGACGCCGGCTTTTTTGCTACGGACATCATCCGGACGTGTATAGGACAATTGCCGCGTGAGTAGTTTTTTTTTTTTGCCGAATTTCGTGCTTATAAAACTACGAGCTCTTAATTGCCTGTCATGTCCTTAGCTTACTTAGTAAGTCTATTCTAGTCGTACTCGTAAACCAATTTCTAATGAAGTGTACCCGGTAGTGGCTCCTATGGGTTGCAAGGTAATTAATTATGGTCCTGTCAAATTGCGTCATTGGTTGACATGATGATCCAGCATGCTAATAGATGCAATGGCATTTACTTTGACAATGCGATGCCTGAGGGCCTATTCGCGTGAGCGAGAAAACTTATACCCAACGCCGCTCCTTCATCTAATGTACAGAGATGGTAAGAGTTGTATCATCTAGGTTGGTGTTTTAATCGAATTCCTTCTTTCCTTTCCAACTTTTAGCTATCATATTTTTCGTCGTGAGTGTATCATATTTGTATACTTATACGCCTATGACCAACGCAGTGCTTTGTTACGCAGGTCAGCACTTTGAATAATGTGCTTACTATAATGATATGGTGAGAAAGCGCCATTTTTGTTTTCCTTGCCTTTATTTTATCACCGACGTAGGAATATCTATTCTGGTGTAAGTTTGATAAAATTCTTCACTAGACCAATATTTGAAAGGTGAAAAGGACCCCAAATACTTCATTTCAGTGACGTGAGTGCTCTATACTGTATATCATGCATCCTTTTTACTAATTTATCTCCTAGTTTTTTCCTGCCAATACTTAGCATGTCTGGACAACGCTTGGTCCTTAATTTGCGCCGAATCAATATGAGAAGTCGGGCGTTGAGCACTGATGAACTAGGCAGGGAAGTCGACCGACAGCTACTTGAGTTTCACTTCGACGAAGACGAGTCACGTCGTGTCGCTTATGATATGGCACCGGAGAGATCGATGCACTCAGAGATGAAGCAAGATGAGGAGAGCTGCGTCAGTAGTGGTATCAACAATGTCATAGAACTCGCTGAGCTGAACTCCCACGGTCGATCATAGTGTCAGTAGGAATACATCTTCATTAGAGCTATTGGCTCGATGTGTTTGCGACTCGTTGTCCATACCTTGCATTGTGAGTGGGGTTCCGTTACCTCCATTAGCATTCAGCTGATTCGGTGTGTGTATTTTACAGTCTGCAATCTTGGATGATGCTTGACGTACTACCGTGGCGCGACTCGACCCAACTTCCTAACAAGCCGCTGGAACTAAGCGGTAGAAATTGGTTACAGGGACGGTAAACGAAAAAAACAGTTGGACGTTTACAAGGGAATGAGGGGCGTTGATTCATATATGTTTGGGTCTGGGCGAATATTCACTGCACATGGGCTGGTAACTAGTAGAGCACTATTCCCGACCCAGCCTGCCCAGAGATTGTCGGACTATTTCATACGAGTACAAGTGGGTGAATAACTTGCAATCAAAACTCGTCCTGATACTATAAAATCTTTAATCCGCTGAGGTTATCGTGAAAAAAGAGTCGAGAGGGTACTACTCGGAACAGCTTTGCGATCTGATGCCGAATACAAAATGAATATATAGAATGGAGATACGTTTAGTGCTATCCCAATTCACGTTTTGAATTGAATGGAGCCTGTGGCATTGTACTTATCGCAAACTTACGCTCGTACGGACGTTGATGTTGTGTGAGCTATTTCCTCAAAGGAAAAACTTCCATACACGAATGTATGATACCAGCGCCATCAAAACAGGGGGTTCCGATTTTCACGAAGCAGTTCGACAGCTCGGTACCACTCTCATTGACGAGCGAAAATTACTTGACAGGTGCTCTTTGAAATGCGAAAAGCTTTTAGGTCGGTGAGGCTCATACTGTGAAGGATATCTCTTGACTTACAATTCGATTAGCCGAAACCGCGAAGGTTTGGATGCAGGTACAATTACAATACTGATAGCGCCTCACCTTCCATGGACTAGGTTCGGTATCACTAGTAGTATGCCCCGTCGATATGGCACTCTGAGCTGGACGTCAAAAAAACACCCCGTGGCTCATGTTGCTGGTCTGAGCGCTGGGCAACGTTACGCCGATCAAGCAACTTCGGACCCAGCGATTTGACGACGCAGCTAGAACATGATGCGGCAGACTGACAATTTACAGTACAAAGCCCGTTGTAAATTGACCCTTGCATACATGGATGGGGAGAATTGCCCGAGAGCCGACTCGGTCTACGATATCATGGACGCTGAGGTCCGATATTGATGACTGAGTAAGGTTTTGGCGTAGGGAAATGGTTATACTTGAACCATGGTGAAGGTTTATGCAGAGGCTCCGAGTGCGTGGTTGATGCCAGTGATGGCTTTTCCCGAAACGACCTAGAAGTCCGAAGCAAGGCGGGGATCGCCGCGACATGTACAAACTTGTACCCTCAAATACAAAGACTGGTTGTGCAGTCAAACTACCAAGTCCATTACGCATCTTTCAGTAAAGCTGATTAAAATTTGTAAAAAATTCTTTGGGGGACACGGTCCAGAGAAAGATGTACTATAACCGGAAAACCCGACACAGCCTGGCACGAGAAAGTCAGTACTTCTACATTGTACAGCTTTAAGCTAATTTGTGAGTCTTCCAGGCGATACACATACAGTATTGTGTTATACCATACTTTTTTCTTGCATTTCCAGATTCTGGTACGATTCAGTCATATTGTATATAATACGTACGTATACATTGAGACGAGACGATGTCAAACCGCAAAATCGGATAGACCTCGATCATTCATTCATAGTTGTGCCAACCGCAACCGCAATACCACCGAACCAGGGGAGCGACTAGTGCTAGTGAGTCCCCGACACTGTACTGTGTATATAGTATACACATGAAACCGCCTTCAAATAGTCCGAGCCTTCAATTCGCCGTCGTACTCCAGATACACTCAGCTGAGGCATCATACCGAAGTGCTGTCTCCGCGACGTTCACGCTCGTTAATGTCCTTTTACTGCGATATATTCTTCGACAGTGAAGGCCCGGCACGTCTGGTTCATTACCTACTAGCCCTACTAGCATCATCGAAAGACCTTGCTTGAATAGGGTCTATAATAGGTTCTGGGTATCAGAACATTGTAACTTTCTGAGGCCTCACGATGTCTTCATTGCCATCGCTGGAGTTCATGTGGGACTTGAATTGCAGACGGTACGACATTTTCACTAGTAACCTTATTTGTTCCTAACGAAATTCTAGGCTATTTGGATTCAGTGGCCTTACACTACTGGTATGGGACTACCTTTTAACACTGGGTGACGAGGTTAGTTGTCCAGAGCAACCTTCAAGAGACTTTTGAAAGTTATTTTACGACCGTAGATTGAATACATTTGGAAGTCACCATGGACAATTGCCAAAGTAATGTTCCTCCTCGTTCGCTATGGAAATATTATGAGCCAAACCGTCATGAATGTGCAAGAAGCTGGAGTCAATATCGGGCCTTCGCCTTTGGTCTGGTTCACTCTGCCGCATACGCACGAGCTAATTTGTTCTAATGTACTAAATCCCTATAGGAATTTTGTATTCACTTTAACTTCTTTGCGAGTTTTTATGTACTTTGTTCTACGGAGTCGATACACAGTGAGTCACGATGAGATCTTGTGCTCTTCTGCGCTGACCATTTACAGTTCTCGTTCTCGTCAGAGCATGTGCAATCTGGGGATGCAAGCAGAAAATAGCGACTACGCTAATATCCGCTTATGGAGTATACCTGATGTTTTGTCTAGTTTTCGTTGTCCTTGCATCAATGCTACAGAATCGTAAATCTAGTTTTATCTCTTACGTGTGTGGGTATTTTTCTGACTGTGGTATATTATGTGTATCATTCAGAGATCGGATTCGTCTATGTGGATATTATTGGGACATGCGTAGCCCCTCTACCCTGTGAGTCACATTTTCCTGCCACTTCTGTTCTGACCTAAATTCCACACGACCTTCACTCGTAAAGCATACATCGTGAGGCAGTTTCTCGTCTTGTCGACAACTAGACTTTTATTGATTTATGATCGATAGTGGGTTTTCTGGCTCGTAAGGTTTGTGTTCATGAGTGCGATGCGTATAATGCATGATAATGATCAAATTTCTAGCGCAATGATCGACGTAACAGTATTTTCTGTCACAATGCGCCGTTTGCGAAAATATTCCCGAGCACGAATGCATCAATACTTATCTCCACTCCTCAACTTACTATACAGAGACGGTAAGGAGGATCACCTACACCTGAAATACATTCCAACTCATTTTAGTTGTTAGCATTTATGTTTTTCATAGTGAGACATCCCTCGCACTTCTTGGGACTTGCCGAGTTGACACACTCGCTATATGCCAGGTTAGCATAATGCACAATGGTTTAACTATTGCTCTATGGTGGGACTAGATTTTTTTCAACTTTCTCGTCCTGTGCTCACTCTTAGTATAGGACAATTTATACGGACGTAAGTCTCCTGTCTACATTTTGACACCAAATATATTTTAAGCCTATAACAGAGTCCAAAATACTTCTTATCCGTAACGTGAGTCTTTCGGGTACTTGTCCTCTTGCCCATAAAGCCAAACTACTTCTTTAGTTTTGCGCTCCCAATCCTCAACATTGCAGGCTTACGTCTGGTCCTCAACTTGCGTCGCCTCAATACGCAGGCTAGCTCATACAGCGCGGGCGAGATGAGCCACGAAGTTGACAGACAGATTCAAGCTTTCGCATTCGAAAGCTCCGATTTACCAGTGTTGTCGCGATATTCGCAGCTGGCGAGGCATTATCCGCTGGATGAGCGGAGTAGGGAATGTGACCGCGACATCGAGCTGACGGAGTTGCGATAAAGGTATATTTTGAATACTAGTAACATACAGTAATATAATCGTCATTTAGTACAATTACCACCTTGCATAATGGGTATATCACGGATCCCTTGGACTTTTCATGCTGCATAATTCTGCGGAGGGAGTGATGAATTATACTGGCGGTGCGTTGAGAGGACACAGCATGAAAAAATGGGGTTTAGTCATTTCACGTCGTGCGCGTGAATACATTAATCATTCGAATGACCAACTATAAGAGAGGGCGTTAATGACGAGGGAAAATAAGAGGACATCTCTTGTAAGTGAATAATACCTCGGCAGGACTGGACCGAGAATGGACGAGAGTTGATACCCTTCACGAGATAGCACTGTATGCAGGAAAGTCCATACTTGGTAATGCCATCGGTCCAAGGCCGTGGGCTGAAGTGTCGATGGGCTGGATTCGGAAGAAACAGTGGTCCAGACGTGCTGAATGTTTCTCCACGAATCGATCTGTCCAATTTTTCCCAACCCCATGGGGTGGAAACGCATCTCCAAGTCGCATGCGGAGGACATCATCCACAAATTCCTTCAGCCTCCTATGACTAAGTGGATAGCCGCCTTTAGCAAGGTCCACAGCCCGTTGAATGACCATTTCCGCTTCATCGTCAGTCAACCAACCTTTCTCGGCATTCACTTGAGCCATACTCTTCCCGCCTTTAGCGCGCCGGCCAAGAGTTGTGGGGTTAATGTGGATGTGGGTTTTGGTGGATTTGAGGTACTCGTCCTGGACTTGCTTGCAAATAGTTCTAAGACCCTTTCGGGAAGAGGTTGGTTTTTCTAGCTCTTCTCTATACAGAGCGACAGCACAGTCCATCACTCTTTCCCTCTCCTCCCGCGCCATTTGGGCTTTCTTTGTTAATGATACCCCTCTTTCTCGTCCCATTTCCACGATGACTGCCCGAACCGCTAGAATTTTGAAACTGAGTCGGGTATACTTTCAGCGCGTATTTTCGAATACGTATTAGTTACTGACCTACACCAGACACAATATGGATGGATAACTGAATAAAGACCGTAAATATGAGCTTGTTCAAGTTACAGCGGTGGAGAAAATAGGGCTGAACATGGATCTCGCCGACTGTGGTCCGTTCGTCGAAGTAAACGGTAGTAAACGTATTCAATATAGAAGCGAAGGTTAGGGTTTACTTGAGTCACATGACTGGCGCGTCACGTCTGATAGATTAGATAAAATATTACCTCCTGCTTCAACTCAAGCCCATTCGAACCGAGCTACCTCATGTTTTACTCGTGCCGGGTACCAGTGTAACATGCTTTCCTGAGCAGGACAACTACCCGCTTTCATTCATTTTCATCTCAGTTGTGCGAAGTCCTTCATGTTTATCAAACAACACTAGTGGTGCAGTGAGTGGAATCGGTTAGTGGGCTGGGGAGACGTAGACCAGGACGATGGTGAGTAGTTTGATTCTGCATTGTGTAGGTATGGCCTGCATATATGCTCGTTGTCAACCATCACAGGCATTCTCTACAGAGACAGGAGTGTGACTGGTCTAATCTCAATGGATTCTCGAGTATCCCCCAGCTCACCCCTATGGCGTGTCTTCGCCGAGGCTGTATGTATATGCTCTACAGGAAACTGCCACAATTTTGGTGCACAAAAAAGAGCATCGACAGCGAGGCATAGATGCTATGGTAACTTATGAATATAGATTTCACTTGCAGAAACTGAATACGGCTGTTTTATAGACATCTCTAGCGCGAGACCCTCACCTTACTACTATCTCATTAGTCTTGATGAATTCTCCTGTTGCTGATAAGGCTGGATTCTACACTTGTCGTCGTCGCAGACATTCATATTTGTTCCCTCCGTTCAGAGTAGGGGTGTTCGGGGGTTCTAGGAATAACAATGACCAGTGCCTGAGCTTACCTAAGCTGATAGGTTACCGCCTCTGCTCTTCTGCTGCAGTCAACGCTCTCTCCACTCCGCAAGCAGTGGGATGCTCATCGCATAGCTTTTTTCGGCCTGCTCAATTCACATCTTATCATACAGCGCTTTTGTCTGCATTCCAGACGCATTCCTCTCCTTTCTCTCGCCTCCACAGTTAATATCTACTTTTCATTCCTCAACTTCTCACGACACAATTCACGAACTACACACACTCGCCAGAACATCATGGCACAGGCTGTGTTCGAGGGGCATCCGCTGGAAGAGTATTTCATAGGTGTGCCTGCAAAGCTGAGCTTTTCAACGCCTACAATTGACAGGCATCACCTTGGTTGCAGATTGTGAAGTCCCGGTCATGCCTGGAGGCTGCTCGGGTTTCGCGCTCGCTGAACATTCTGACACGAGTTCAAATTTATACGGACACAGTGAGAACTTGGAGAAACTGTGTTACCTTATTTTTGAAGCCCTAGAGGTGAGCTTCCTGTTCCTCGTATCCATAGCGGCTGCTCTGCGTTAAAGATAGCACATCACTTTTCGTCCTCTCACTCATTTAACATGCATTCATTGTTCAATACTTATGCCTCTGGTCATTCTCTAGATGATTGGCACACTTTTCTCTTGTCGTGTGGCCAAAGGAACAAGCCAATTCGCGGAACGCTTCAAGTACGATGTCATCTCGTCCACCCTCTTATCCCCATCGTTGTCTACGTCGCCTCACCCCCATCGTCGTTCGCTTTCTCCATCTATACCTGGAAAACTTGGAAGCAGTCATAGTAGAAATACCAGCAGCACCGACAGCAGTATGGCATTCCGCCTACCAGACCAAGAGCTTGATCAGTCGTCTGCTTCATTAACTGCTGATAATGAGACACCATTATGGCCACTCACTCTCACAGTCACCTTTGCCGTCGCTGCATTGAGTGCAAAATTCTATTTTCTTGCTATATTATCGCTTGCTACCACATCATATTATGTATACGTCCACAATCTTGACGTTGTTGCCAAACCCGACATTATGAAACCTGTGAGTGCTGTTTCTGTGCTTGCCACTGCTGTTTTATAACAAATATTCGGTCAACAGTCGATTGAAGCATTACAAGATTTGGTATCTGCGGGTCAGATCTGGGGCTCAGTGTTCCAAGATGCCTTTGATATCCTCGAGAGCGAAGAGCCAAGGTAAAGCTATAGTAACATATCACTTTTGTTATCCTGTGCTGACGTTTTATGAATGTGGTAAGCTCATATGGAGTCATGACTCCCTCGAGTCCGTCCTCGCCCCTCAGGATCGCTCTTCATTCTTCCCTTCTTACTACGCAGACCCAGTGCGATAACGTTCGGCAACTGCTTTCCGCACTCACGTCTCCCAGTGAACTTGCGCAGTTATCGGAGATGTATGCACCGCCATCACCGGTAAAACCAACATTCTCCCTCAATGATACTCCACGACCGCAGTCTCTCCCTGAATCACGTCAACGGACTTCTTCGGTACCAGATAGAAAGAGGTCTACATGGAACGGGTCATACTCTGCCCTTGCTCTCGCAGGCAGTCCTACGTTTCATATGGTCAGGCGGAGAGAAAAGCGCAGGTCGGACTTGTCGGCGCTCCTTGAAGCAACATCTCCATCGAGAAGATCAAGCATCAGCGCCCCCTCGAGTCCATGTCACACAAAAACGTTACCTGATGTTCAAGAAGAAGGCGACCAGCAAGAACAGGAGAACACTCGTCCCCCCTTGGAGGAAGACGAATACTTTGGCGCGGCGGCGCTCACATTGCAAAGAAAGCGGAAGAGTGGTGGACTGGAGACCTTGAGCCTATCATCCAGGAATTCGTTTGCTTCTTTATCGAGGAGTAACTCCGATCCAAAACGATCCTCGGGTTCTTCAGGCTCTCGCTTCACCTTGATGCAAACTACACGGCATCCTCTCTCGCTCTCATCACTACATCAAGCCTTACAGGGTGCAACTGCCTCAAAGAGATATGCTTGCTCTCACCTACTAGCTCTGCGCTTCGAAGATGATGAAGACGAGGGATATTGGGAAGACGTGCGATCTGTTATGGGTCTTTTGACGTCAACGTTTGTCGATGCATCATCGAGGCTATCTGAAGCGTTCGACGAGCTCGATGAACAAAAGCTAAAGGATCAAGACACAGCTTCTGAGTCGAGTGTTTCCATATCACGGTCAGGAAGCATGTCGCCCATCCCCGAAAGCTCCATACGGCATCTCTCCCAAACTCATCCAGGATCATTTGCTCCTATGCCTAGTCAGGTGTCGCGATTCGCGGCCCACGTGGATACCATATCTTCCGCTATAAACGATGCACGGGATAACCTTGAGCAATGCGTTGCAGCTTTGAAAGTTGACTCGTCAGCGGAGTCAACGGACGATAATTGCCAACCTCATGACGTCTCACAGGATCATCCTGCCCTGCAAGCCTACGAAAGACTGCGACGTGAACTGGGCCTTGCCTTACGAGAGTGCGAGCGAGGTAGAGAAAGACTCATCGATATCGTCTTTCCACCGAAATCTTCTTCTTCCGAGGAGGAAGCCGACGACTTACCTGCTCTAGGTCCGGACGCAGGTACCGATGAGTCAGATAAAGCAGACTTCACACCACCTATGCTTGATATGTTCCGGAGAAGGGATGAAGGTGATTCTATCGGGGTAACAATTGTATCGCCCGATGGGGAGGAAATTGACACTGACGACGTCTCGTCCCATCTTTTGCTCACCACATCATCCCAGCATCTGCCACCGCGCGGTATCGAACAGATCTTTGAAGGGGAGACTGAGTTGAATGTGCCTTTTATGCGGGAAAAATCAAAATTGACAAGGGAAGAACGGATAAAATTGGCCAGGGCCAAACGGGACAGTAAAAATTCTAATGATGGTTTAGGTTCAGAGTCGCAAGTGGAAAGATGGGGTCCAGGTGGAGAGGTCGTACAGGAATTGAAGGATGTCATCTGGAAGGTTGGTGAGCGGCGGCGGAAGATGACCGAGGGTCAACTTCGCAGCGTAGTATCCACCGCTTCATCGTCCCTTCCAACCCACGTTCCTCCTGTAGATCTATTACCTCAGACCCACTCATGATACTGATCTGATCTCGGATGTTACTATATTGTATATAACTTATAGTATTTCGCGTTTTTGCGTTGCTTTCATATGGAATTAATATTGCACATTACGGTCTTGATAGATCGGAAGCTGAAGAATTGGAATTCATTCGCGAGGTTATACATGCGGTAACACAAGAAAAAGAAAAACAGGTGAGAGGAAAACAAGATGAAGATCGTAACCAAACTATCGCAACACTGGGCAAGGAATATCAAGAGACAAAGGGAAAGCGGATCTAACTGAGAGACAAGAGCTGGGTGCAGCATTTTGAAATAAATAAAGGAAATCCACATAGAAAAACAAACATTATGTACGCAGATGAAGCGGAATATACGATGATAAATGCACCACACAAAGATGAAACAAGCAGAAAACATAGTCCAGGAAGAAAGACTCTTATTCTCGGGTCACTTGGTAAGATCCAAACCTCCCACATCATCCGGGTTGAACCATTGGCCAAAATCTCGTTCAAAGTTCAAATCTCCGTCCTGTCTGAATAGCGACTGGTCGACAAACTCGTCTAGCGACTGCATAAAGTCGCTTGGATTCGTAAGAGTACTCGAAAACAGGTTGGTGGGAATACTATCAGATAGTGTAGCTGTCGCTGACGGATTAATAGAGGAACCTAGTGCCGATGGAGTGCCATTGATCGCTGATGGGGATGGAGCTGTCATGCTAGAGGTAGTGCCCGCACTTGGCGTTGGAGGAGCAGTACTGCCCTGTGGAGGATTGCTGGTATTGGGGGGGCCTTGGCCCTGCTGTTGACCGGGATTAGGTGGAGGATTTCGGGGTGAGCCTTCTGGATGGTTATTTGCGTTATTCCCTGGCCCCTTGTTATCCTTGTTTGGACCAGATTGATCTTTTGATGGCCCACCCATCGCAGGCGATCGCGGTGGCATCATGCCTAGCTGCTTATTTTGAACCATCCTGTTGTTAGGTCCACCGGGGAACTGAGATCCCTGTCCCTGAGGCTGATTGTTGAATGTCGGATCGGTGGACGAGGGAGAACCACCACCAATATTTCCACCAAGGACACTCGGTGGGAGTCCGTTCTTGTGCAAAGTATGCATAGATTGTCGATATTGCATCTAAATGAATTATTAAACATAAATGATGTGCGATTCGCGGTATACACTGTAGTAACGCACCTGCTGCATTGCCATCATTCCGCCTTGGCCCTGATGGTTCATGCCTGGACTCATCGTACCACCACCCATTGCCATCATTCCTCCTTGGCCCGGATGGTTCATGTTTGGGTTAGTACCCATGTTTTGCATATTGCCTTGATGTTGGAAGACATTCATCGGCGGACCACCCATTGGGCCTCTCATCAACCCATTAGGCATCTGCTGGGGACCTTGAGGCTGCGGAGGATATGGTGGATTCTGCTCCATCCCGACTGAAGTCCGGCGAACACGTTTCCTGTCGGGTGGTGAGTTGTCATTATTCGGTAATGATCCATGCTAGAATAAAGCGTATCTCAACACGTGACGCCCCGTAATTTTAGACTAAAACATACCTCTTCTCCTGGAGAAGTACTGCTGCGTTTGATAGCACGCTGCTGCTGCTGAGATTGCTGCTGCTGCTGCTGTTGCAGTTGCTGTTGATGCTGTTGCTGTTGGTGCTGCTGTTGTTGCTGTTGTTGCTGTTGCTGCTGTTGTTGCTGCTGCTGCTGCTGCTGTTGCTGCGGTGGCGGTTGCTGCTGCGGTGGTACCGGCCCTTGTTGGTGAGGACGTTGAGAAGGCATCGGTATAGTTTGGTTAGAAGGACCTGGCCCCGAAGGGCCACCCTGCCCAGATGGCCCGGGCCCGGGCTTGGGACCAGCTGCCCGTCGCCGTGCAGCAAGGCTCAACATGCGTTGCTATAATGTTCTCAATGGCACCGTAACTACGATTGTATATTTTACCCATACCTTGTCATTTGTAGTTAGTGCTTGTGTATCCTTGTCCAAGCCAATGCCGAGCTCTTGCTTTAGACTGGCAAGAAACTCGGGGGGGTAGCGGCTAAGCTCGTGATTCATGTTTGCTTCGATATTACCAGGTGTTGAGCGGGCGGTCATCGACGGGCTAGGCTGCATCAAACCGTGTTGTCCAGGACTCCCGGGTCGACTAGACGGACGTCCTAACTGTGAGAATGGGGTTTGTTGTGTGTGCTGTGAACCCATGGAAGAGTTTGGCATTCCTTGTGGTCCACTTGGAGGTAGCATAGTACGGCTCATATTAGTAAGATGTGGTGAAGGTCCGAGCTGACCCATGGGCGCTTGTGGATGTTGCGGACCAGCGTTGCCGCCAGTGTTTTGCGGAGAATGTGCCATCGTTGGTGATTGAAAAGGTGCAATACCGTTGGGACCGCGCTGTTGGGGCCCCGGCGGTCGTTGCCCTTGGCCCGGCATTATCTGAGCGAAATTCTGTTGTGGCATAGAGGCTCCCGCTGCAGGTGGAGCACCAGTAGGCATCACACTGCCATTAGGCTGAGAACCGGACATTGTGAAAGACATGGGAACATGGGCGCCGTTGGGCATTGGCGCTTGATTGGGTAAACCTGCAAGACCAGGGCATATCGGAATCCGCCTATTATCAGACAAACCTGAATTTAATGCGCACCGTTCATATAACGACCCATTTGTGGGCCTTGGGGAGGCATCCTGTTGTTATTAGCTCTCACAGAGGACTGGTGAGCTTGATGCTAGACAAAACCATAAGTAGCGATATGATGTTATAGTGTGAGATGGCATACTTGTGTATAGAGAATGGCCTCTTCTGAACCAGTGCCATTACTTTTAGCACTGAAAAGGACCCAAAAGACACTCCACCACCTTAAGCGCGCATATACCTGTGTAAGCGATGGCACCGAATGAAAAGTCAGGATGACCTACTCGAACAAGAGTCCCTGCCTAGCATTAATTGGAGGAGTAGACTCTGGAGGTATCTCAGCCTCGGCTAGCAACTCTCGAGCTGTTTTCCGGAAGCCACGTTTATTGCAATAGTCGTAGATATAGATATTGAACCTAGATAATTCCTCGACGCGGTCAAATTTTTAGAGGCGGATAAGAAACATGGGGACAAACATCCTGTCTCCCTCCCAAGAGATATCAGATGGAGGTGACGACTCGCTCGATGGAGGAGCAGAAGGGCCTGATCCGGGAGGTGCGCCAGAGGCCATTGAGAACTCCGTTGTGAGAACGGTAAGAAAACAAGAAGAATAAAAACAAGAGAAGTGGGGAGAGGATGTCGAGCTCGCTTGCAGAGGGACGATTAGAGTTCGATGTGGCAGAAGCTTGAGCTGTGTGGGCGTGTAAGAGATAAAATAGGACGAAACGAAGGAGGTGGCCGGGAGACACGGATGCAGAAGGAACAGCTGCTATATGGTGGATTATACAGCGAGCTCGACGGGGAAAGGAGCGTCGACAACGGCGGCGACGACGAGCTCGAGGACGGGCGATGCTGGGAGGATGAAGGGCGTCGAGGACAAGATAGTAGCTTAGTGCCGAACCACAGGCGCAAGGCCATACCAGATGGGAAATTTCCAATTGTCGCCGATTCTCCCATAAAACTCAGCACGCGTTTTGCCGCGTGCTGCTGTGCCACCCTGCCTCAGGCTTGGACACCCAATATCATTACAGCTTGTGTTACTATACAGTGTTCGCCATTACCACAAATCGTACTATGTAGTTCACTCTAGTCCCACCTAATGTCTTCGCACAACAGCTATCTGGAAATCCCATCCCCCCACTATGTACTTCACCTCCAGCAGCCGTCTGATCTCCCTCCACCCTGCACCTGCCTCCTCCGCCTCCTTGATGTCAGTCGCCACATATATGAAGTCTGCTGGTGAGAGCAGCGACCGAAGCAGCGAACCAATTAAGAATGCAATTAAAGCTATTATTATAACCGTGGACAGCGGATATGATGTTGACACTGCTGAACGGACTCCCGATAATGAAACAGACGGTGCTGGTTGATCAGCATCGCCCAGTGGCTCAGGTAATTTTGCACTATTTCCAGATAACGAACTGCCACTAGGAGTAGACACCACGCTCGAAGGTGCCACTGCAACCACAGTAGCCACAGTCGCGCTTGCCCACGGAGCCGAAGAGGCGAGACGAGATAGCGGATAAGAGTTCAGGAAGCTGAGAAATCTACCGGTCGATGTAGCAGCAACTTGGCTTTGCGTAACACTTTTATCTGGCACCTGCTATGTAGCGGGTTAGCACCAACACCAATTTAGAAACCAGATCATCACTCACTTGTATAGCTGATTCGTCTGGCTCGTCCGTTCGGTGAACTTTGCCTTCATCTTCATTCACATCTTCACCATCAGTGGACGGCAACGAGATAACCACAGGATTAAGGAGGTGGTCAGCGATAGCAATAGGGGCCTTGAGATCATCTGGCAACGTCTCTCCTTCTTCCGACGTCCTGCTCACCTGTCAGTACAAGCCGGTAACAAAAAGGTAACTCATCTGACCTAAAAAGAAGAGACATCTTAGAAACCCGGTCATCTTGAAGCTCATCTCGGCCCAGACTAGTTAATGACTCCTTTTCTGTCGCCACTGCAACGTCACCTCCATCAATTTTTACGATTTTATTCCGCTTAGCAACGGACGCCGCTGGCTTAACTTCAACTTCTACAATAACTCCTTTATCCTGTAGGTCAAGCAGCCATTGGGGCTTCGGGGGTGCGCTGTGCGTCTTCTCGGTGAGAGGATCCTGAACAGTCGATATCTGATATTGTGCTGTGGGTAGCGTCAACCTCAGGAGGTGTCGAGGCGGCCGGTCGGCATTCAGGCCCGAGGAATGCAGGGGAGAAGACGGGACGGTGTATACAGCGTATGCAATGGGGAGTACCTGACTAGTCTGCGCGGGATCTTCGGGTACCTGGAGCGGAATGTACTTGGCGTTGTCTCGATTGCGAGAGCGTATCTGGACATCGTAGCCTTCCGGGTATAACTTGGAATCGACGACATATTCAGCTACTAGCAGATCGCCAGAGTATTTAACCTCCCCTTTGATTGTGAATGCGGACGAGGTCGACGACCTGAGCCTGTCATTAGAGTGTGACTGCACGGAAGCAGACGAAGAGCTACGATCTCTCGTAGGAGACGACACCGAGTTAAATGGGGGCAAGATTCCAGCGTTATTACTAGAGCGAACATCTGGTGAAAGTGGATTGAGAGCTATCTTGGCTGGCTTAGGAGTAATTTCTTCTGGTTTGTATGTCGAACGTGGATGGGAAGGTAAAGTGAGCAGAAGAGAACCGGAATACACTCGTGCTGCGGGATCAAAGTTTGAAGAAATCAACGTTCGATTTTCATCGCGGGAGAGTAGTTTCCACGAAAAACTTGAAGGCGCTTCTTCGTTCTTCTTGTCAGCGAGAACAAGTGCGCTAGTAGGAAGTCGAATCGTAGGCAAAGGCGCCATGTTTTTGACGTACGTCTCAACGGCAAGGACAGCCCTCGGCAAGGAGCTATTTATCAACGAGTTGACAGCGGTAGGAATGGAACCTGCGTAATCAACCGCGACAATTCTAGTGCATCTCGTCGACGGAATAGCAAAGTTCTCCGTAGTGTACGGGTCCAAAGTCTCCAGCATCCAGCCATCAACAAACATACGCCCAATCGGAAGAGCATATGGATTATACTTCTCTGGCGAGAAGGAAGCAACAGATTCGGGATTGAACGATGCTGAAACACAGAATATGACGTTGCGGGTGTCTTGAGGCAAGTCACCCTCACTAGCATCTGTGTCGGACTGGGCTGAAGGCAATCGTGCGCGAGCCATGACCGAAGACAGATAAAACCCTCGATCGCGAAATGGAAAATTGCTCTTGGAGACTACGAATGCCGTATGAGACTTTGCACCAAAATTCTCCAAGACAGTTGCCGAGTCAAACCGGTCGTCCCACTGCTTTCTGCAATCGTAACTCGTCACAACTGACGCTACTTCCTCCGCTGCTACACCTTCAATTACTTTCTCTCCCTTGTGGATAGGAATGGTGGGAGACATCTCGCTCGATAGCTTGCGATGTACAGATAACCCCTTGTCGCTAACTAGAGTCCAGCCTTCAGACGTGGATTGAGTGTGCATATCACGAATCCAAGACAAAGCTTCCAGTACGTGTTGCATAGGAGGCTTGGACGATGAAGGAGTGGCATCATCGCCTGTAGCCATAGAAGGCGATATAGCAGCAACCGCCTGCTGCGTAGTCATGGTTGCTTGCTCCATAGCAGTAGTAAAAAAATTCGACAAGGGACTTGAAAATCTAGGCGCTGCGGGCCAAAGGGACGATACCGCAACCTCAGTGCTTGCAGTGTCAGGATTTGGCGAACTAGCCACGTTTGTGCCATCTGCATCCCATTCTTCCCTTCGCCTTCTGATCACGCTCATCACAGGAGGTTGATCAAGGGGTATTCGGGGCGGCTTGATTCGCTTCCTTTTACTCAATGCCTTAATCTCCTGTTCTGGGAGTTCCTCGACGTCAACTGTCACTCTGGCCCCATTTACCATAACTGTTCCTTTGTCCTTGCTTGAAGTTATGGGTCCCCTTCGCACGATTGCCAATAGACGTTCGTCATGCGTGAATAAAGCGTCATGGCCCAGCGTAAGCCAAAGGCCCCCACCACCTGCAGAAAGTCGGTGCCGACGAAGGCAAGAAATATTTTGAGGAGGGGGGTCAATGACAATATCCAACGAAGACGCCCACGTATCAATATCGCATCTCAATTCGCATTCAATGGTAGGGGTGGATCCGGATATGGAACTATCTCCAATAGTATCTTCAGCCGCGGTTGGGGAGGTCATTCTTCGCCCCTCAGAGCCCTCGTACTCGATACGGAATGTTCCACGCTCATGATCATATCGGACATCGTTGGTTCTAGCCCCGCTGAGTCTCGTTACGACAGGTGGACCTCCACATTTGATGGTAAACTCTCCGACTCCAGCTACTGCGTTTATCATTTGTTGAGGTATCGAGGCCTTATTGGACCATCCTTTAGGGTCAGACTGCTCCAATAGAGTGAGTTGCGTCGTATTCGGAGACAAAGCTTCTATCGCCCATCCTTGCAAATCAACTTGGGTTCGGATCACGTTTGGCTCAGCTGGAGGAATGTTGGGGAACAGATGTAGCTCGTCAGCTGAGAACGAGAATACGTGGATAGTTGTGGGGGACTTGTAGACCGTTTTGAGGAGTACTGCATCTCTGCCACTAGATAGCTGGCTGTCAGACCTAAAGAAAGGGAAGAATGATATTGAAACTTACTTAACAGGCCACGCAGGTTTGGTTTTGAAATGCCATAGCTCGGTTAGTTCGTTCACATCCTCTAACAACACAGCATCTTCATGTTGCTTGTCAAAGTATACCCGAGCACCTGGAGAAGCCAAAGCACCGTATAAATCCCACAGTCCAAGTCCCACAAACGTTGCTTCAGCTCGATATACAACCAAAGTAGGGTCGATCGAATCCAGTTGAGTGATAGAAACCCCTCGAGCTTCGGTAGCTATGACCAAAAGAACAGATAAGCTCTGTCATATAACCATACTACAAGAGTTTAAGAGCAGAGACTTACTTCTTTTCCATTTCGCTTCCGGTTCCTGCATTAGGGAAGAAAAGTATATATAACTCCTCTTCACGCGCGAGAATATAGACTTGTCCGCAGCAGCAGAACGTTCAGTAAGTGTACGAAGGAGAGGAGGCCTTGCTGGCGCAGATTTAGATGCCGTGGACGTAGTACTATTTGCAGAACTGATTGAGGAAGAAGACTGCAAGCTGAGATCGGCAATGCTCGTGACATCTTGCAAAATCTGTTGAGGGACGATGAACGAAGAAGGATCACGTTCCTCAATGCGTTGAATACTCTGAGGTAGACCGTTTAGGCGGATTCCGCTAGACGGCCCAGAAAGCTCGAGGACCACCTTCACTTTGAGTATCGAGTTTTCGTCTGGAAGTGAAGCATGCGATATTCGAAAGACAGCAAAATCAAGAGATTTGATAGCTGATGGTGAAGAGGGCGGAGAAGAGAACTTTCGAGTAGCACTGGTAGTCCAAGGAAGCTGCTCAAGTTTTTCTGAAGATGCTCTCGTCGACACCTGAACATCCCAGCCTTCCACAGACGGTAGAGCATATTCAATCGATCGAGTTAGTTGCCTGCGCTCCCGAACTGAACCTACATCTAAACCTTGAGCGTTCTCAGTGGATTGGGATAAGTGATCCTCGTCTTCGGGATGAATGGCATATTCGACAGTGAGAGCCTCACGATCAAGCTGAAAGCGGATGCGCTCGATACTAACACCATAACCATAACTCATCAACGTTGGCACACGCGTTCCTCTCTTCTTCACAGCCTTGTACAAGCCTACCATCATTGTGCATAGTTGCTGACAGATGGTGGACGAAGAGCCGAAATTCCATATTGCGCGAAGGTCATGCTGCCAGAAACAAGTTATGCGCATCCTAGCGCTACCTGAGAGCTTTCGTTTTAGTTGCTCCGCAGGTTGCATGTTTTGCTGTGGTGGTTGTATATGCTGAACACACCAAGCGAATACTATAGGGGCATTAGTGTCGAAAACAAGGGTAGAACAAAGCACTGCAGAAGCTGACATTTTACACTCGATCTAACATAAGGTGGCGAGGGCCTTAGATATGCAGGTTCGTCGGGAGACCGGGGCAAAGACGTCGATATATCAATAATATTAGAGGTGTCGTGGAATAGACGAGATATAGTAACAGCGTCTCGTGGGCTACATTCCAATCAGCATATCGCGCATAACATGACATAGAGATGCATACTTGGCAGGCCACCCAATCGTATAATTCGTTTTGACAATCCGGGTCGTCTGGTCAATCATCTCTACAAGCTGAGCTCCTTCAACAGCCGGATCCCAATCCTGCCTTATCTCAGGCGTCATAAAAATTGCCTTCCATGAGTCCAACGAAGCAGAATCATCTACAATCGGAACTTCAAGAATAGCCCTATAAACATAATCCCCTAGTTTGCTGGGCTTCCGGTGGACCACTACATCTGCTAGCTCAGGAGCTGCGGAAGCCCTTGACTTGCCTTTACCAGAGGGCGCACTAGTGTCACCAGATAAAGAGACGTGCTTCCATTCAGACGAAGAGCAAGAGGTTAGAAGCTGTCGAAATTGTGCTTCTGCGTCGTTCAAAGCATCATACCATGATTGACGGAGGCTGTTAGCACAAATCAGTACTAGAATGTCACATACAGCGCCTAAATGAAGCATACCGTGTACCATCGGACATCACGAGTCAATGAATGTTATAGTTCGAGAAATAAGAGGAAAACGCTGCACCGAATGTTCACGGCGGAACGACACGGTCGACACGTTCGCTGCAGAGCGTGGAAAGGCTGTGGATTTCATTTTAGGAGGCCACGTGGCCGCACGCGTTGTAGACGGAAGAGGAATTATCTGGATGACCTTTCACTCGATACCTTCAGACTAAGCCCACGATAAAATTATAACTTATCTCATACACTATACCCAAATCTCCAATCTTACAGCCCAGCATATCAAGGCTGATATCACAGGGAATGAACGGCTCAGCCAACAACCATGTGTGAGTGCACCTTCTTCACCACTCATTCCAAGTCCGAATTTATACCTCAACCAACCTTCTGGCAGCGACTTCACAACGGTGAAAAATTCTCGAATCCTCAGTATTCAATCGCACGTCGCTTTTGGCTATGTCGGAGGTAAGGCAGCCGTCTTTCCTCTACAGTGCTTGGGCTATGATGTCGATGTACGGTGCGCTCTTACCCATCGCTCGCCCTCAGCGTGCTCAACCGGGCTGCTCTAGGCGGTAAACACCGTAAACTTCTCAAACCATGCTGGTCCGTATCCCATCTCCCTCTCGCGTCTACCTCATACCAACATGGCTCTTAGGCTATGGTCGTTTCGGAGGCTCTAAAACAACCGCCGATGAGCTTTCTGCCATGTTTGAGAGCATGGAACAGAACGGCTTACTTCTTCCCAGTCGACTGCTCACAGGTACGCAAACAAAGAAATAAACCGCTCGTGATCCTCACAATTGACTTGTTCTCAAGGTTACATCCCAGAGGCCAAGGCCTTGACCGCCGTCTCAGAGCTCGCAACCAAACTAAAGCGCGACAGTCCTGATATCATATACTTACTCGATCGTTCGTTCTTTCTCCCTCTCAAACACCTGGCTTCCCTTTTACCGACTTATCCCCTTGGTATACAGCCGTTATTGGCGACTCGGGACGGATGTACGTCTCCTCAGATGTCGTCCCCGTATACCGATCCATGCTCCCCCTAGCATCCGTCATCACTCCCAACTGGTTCGAAGTCGAGTAAATCTCTCATATCCTCCTAGTCCTCACCCCAGTCCACTGACGCACATACCACCCATCACACAGAGTGCTAACAGGCGTTGAACTTCATGACCTACCCTCGCTTCAACGCGCCCTACGCATTCTCCACCAAGACTACCACGTCCCACACGTCGTCATCAGCTCTATACCACTCAAACAGTGGCTACTCGATGTTCTCCCACCTAACATTAAACCCTCGCCCAGCGCAACCGAGGACTCAGAGTTCCTGCTTTGCATCTCTTCTTCGGCGGATGGCAACGGTTCTCAAAACCTGTCCACCGTTCACGCCCGATCGGTACCCCTCATACCAGGTTATTTCTCAGGAGTGGGCGACCTTTTCTCCGCCCTACTCCTCGGTCACTTCCACCCCAAACAAGATCCTCCAAGCCCACACGACACGACCCTATCCTACGCAGCATCATCGGCACTCACCAAAACACATAGCATCCTCCAGATCACTCACGAGTATGCACTTCTGCTCCCTGAAGACGAACGTACGCCGACAGATGAAGAAAAGGACAAGGCTGAGCCGGTCCGCAAGTTCAGGCGCATGCGAGGACGCGAATTAAGACTCATACAGGGACAGGACATCCTTCGCAGTACTGCAATAGACGAACTGAAGCAAATGAAGCCATGGGTGGATTTCTGGTCAACGACGGCGTGAAGAGCACATCAGTCCAAGTATATTTACAAGTTAGAAGGGTAATGGAAGAATGTAAACTCAATACTTATCCAATACTAAATACAACGACTTCAAGATATCACTGTCAGTTGATGAAGCTCGGACAGGCTTCCAAAACATGACAGGACTGCCAACTCGGACATAATATCCGAACAGTCACTTTCATTTCAGCCCAAGCACTGACAAATAAAAAGAATAGATATCGCTATATCAATGCGAAATAAATATAAGAATGAAAAATGTCTTCTAGTCTGCAATAAACTCTTATGCAAAGAAGAAAGGAAAAACCAAACCCGCCAATTGCAGAGCGCAGAAATTCGAGATTAAATGTTATAAAGATGTCGACGCATGTGGGTAAGAGTGAAGAAAAGAGAACAAGACAAGTATGTCGAGGTCAAAGTACCGTAATAAGGATACAGGCGTCGCGAAAAAAAAGGCGGGGGTAAAACCTAGGATAACAGCGTGAAAAGGATATAGACGAGGTGAGGCTCGTTAACCGGTGAGTAACAGCACATTCAAATGGATGAATGACTCTACATATAGAGGAGGGAAAAAATCCAACCAAAAACAACACAGAAAAATGACAACGTGAGATATAGCACGGTACGAAAAGACCAGCCCAAATACCGAAATCAAATCGAACCACGGGCAGGCCAGCATGCACATACGAAAAAAGAAGTCAAAAGTCACAGAAATAATACAGCAAGTACTGAATCAGAAAAGATACAAGTTATTCAAGACTTGCTTGTTTGACTGAATGCGATATGACGAGGACTTCTACTCAAAGCCTGCATATGCATCTCCTGGTTCATATACAGTGTACATGGTATCAGGTCGCTTCTTCTCGTCGAAAGTGTCATCGGAAGTAGAGTGCTCCGCGGCTGTAGGCTCATGAACAGCCGATGCGTGCTGGTCAGAAGTGGTCATGTGCACGGGAGATGGAGCACGGGGACTGGCAGGCGATGCAGCAGAATCGTGGAAAGGAGAACTATCATACGGACTGGGAAGAGGTTTGTCGGACTGATCATGTGCATATCCACGAGCGGCTTCCTCCGAGATACCATTGAGACTGTTGCTGGCCAGACGGCGTGTGATATCAGCATACTGTGCAGCCTGGAAAGGCGTGACGCTGGAACGGTTCAAGTCCACATAATGCGCATTCGGATCGGCGACCACTCCGTAAGGTGCATTCATCATCGAGTCTTGGCGGTTAAGATAGGTAGGGTTAGATGGCTGCCTGTTTAATTGACCGTGCTGGTTGTAAGCGGAGTCGTATTGTGCAACAGATGTTGGAGAGCCAAGGGGCGATTGACCGTAAGCGCCGAAAGGTTGGTGCGAAGCTGGAGGAGGGGACCGTATCTGGGGTACGAGCTCACCGGGACCAAACGAGTGTTGACCGTAAACATCATAGCCGCCGCCGCCGTAGGGCGGTTGTCCATAACCCTGTTGTGCGGCAAGGGCGGGAGATGCATTTGTAAGTTTGCGTTCGATCATGGTCGGAGGACGAGGGTTGTAAGAGACGGGAGGAGGGGGAGGAGGGTCGTCCACGAGAATGGCAGATTGACGCCTGAAAGCATCAGGATTGAAGATGTCTTCATCCTGATCGCGTTTACGGCGTCGACGCTATTGGTTAAAACAAGTATAAGAAAAAGATATAGGAGGAAGGCAACGATTGACGAACCAAACAGAACATGATCAAGAACCCGAGGATGGCAAGTCCTGCCAAACCACCTGCGATTCCACCCACGACTGCACCAGTGTTAACGGAATCGGAGCTAGGAGTGGAAGTGGGGGTACTAGCGGATGAAGACGTGGGTAAGACTATACCAGTTGCTGTTGGCGCTAGATCAGGAGAAGTAGGAAGGGTGGGCTATGGGACTGCGTCAACAGTATATGAGTGAGATAAAGAATATGCACATACAGTTGACGGGGGGAGAGCCGTTGTAGAGGAGACGACAGGGGAAGAGGTGGTGATGGGGGTGGTAGAAGTGGTAGGAACCAAAGTAGACGTAGGGGTGGTGGACGTCGCTGGTTTAGATGTTGAAGTCGAAGTAGTCTTAGGCACGGAAGATGAAGTGGTAGATGTTTTTGCAGGCGGCGGGGGGGAGGTAGACTTTGCAGAAGTCGTCGGCTTTGCGGGAGTAGGCGTGGACTTTGCAGCTGAGATCACAAATCACAAAGTTGAGTTGATGATCAGGGCTGTGAATAGAAGAAAAGCTTACAATCAGTTGTTTTGGGATCTGAGGAAGTTTCAGCCGGACTCGCTGATGGAGTTGGGAAGATTGCAGTTGGACTGAATCGGGGAAGCAGCTGACTTGCCCCAGACTTGAGATTGCGGTGAAGGATGCGCCTGTTGACATTGTTATGGGCTGACATGATGACTCCTAGCAAGATTTCTGGGATGTTTTCATACAAAAGAGTGAATAAAGAAAAGAGCGAAAGTCTCCAGAGGAGAACAGAAAACAGAGGCCGTGTTCTAAGCAAAAGGATGAGCACTGAGAAAGAGACGACAGCGAAAAGGACGACAGGCTAGCTCGGTTACTGTCACTCTGCGTGACATGTCACAGAGTGTCACATCTCGTGATGGCCCTTTTTGCGGGGTTGCCAGTGCCGTCACGTGAGCTTCATTAAGCCGGGTCGACTGTCCGGTTCCTCGCTATACTTACTCTTACGGACATGTGTCTCTCCGTTAAAAGAGCGCCTGTGTCTTCGAAGAACCTCCTCGTCGTCTTCGGTAACGCAGAAAGGTATAACCTCCACGAAGCCTCGCTCGCCAGCAGGCCCGTGCGCGCTTTTTTCTCTCAAAGTGCGTCCGCATGCTGTTCTCCTCCCTCTCCCCCGTATTTCTTGTCCTCCTCGTCCTGAATACATCCATCGCACTCGTCTTTGCCCAGCAGAATGTCACCCTCCAGTCCACCGCCCCCCAGATCGTCTACAGCCCATCTCTCTGTAGTAACTCCACCACGGGCTCGTGCGTCAGCGCTTGGTGGGTGGACTAGCTTACCTTGTGACCCCAAAATCCTCATACTACAACCAATCATGCAGGCAGGTGCTGAATGATATACCTGGCACGTCCGTCGTCTCCACAACTGGTCCAGTCCCTCAAGCGGGTAACATCATCCCTCAGATGTTTCTGAGCTTCATAGGTACCCCACCCCCTACATATCCAGTTTATCCACCTACTACGTCTCCCACAGGTTCTGCAGCTTATATTTATACCTCCTCACTCTCAACCGCAATCATCAATGTGACACTCACAGCCTACCCTTCCGAGGAATTTATCACTCATCAAATCGATTCGTCTATTGACTTGATCATTGTTCTTAACATACCAGATACCCAAACTACCACGCTCTCAGCCACTTACATACCTACTACGACCCCTTCACGATTTGACGTTGACTTCATAATGATCACTACGGCCACTAATGCCAGGTTCGTTCCTTTGTATCACGACATTCAGCGTTCAATCCGATGTTAACTAAATATCCTGTCAATCATATTAGTTCAACGAGTTCCATTTTTCCGTCTATATCCTTATCACCATCGAGCTCACCTCCCTCTTTGTCTCCATCATCTACGAGTATAGCAAGTCCTCAAAAGAGCACAAAACAGACAGCTGCAGCAATTGCTGGAGAGTCGTTAGGAGCGATTCTGGGTTTGATCACAGTGCTGCTAGCGGGCTTTTTAATCTATCGATATCGCCGGAGAAAACAACGTAGTCAAAGATTGTCATAGTTTTGGAATGGACCTGGTAGATCGTCAAATTTGGACTTGGGATACAGCTATACGCTTTGATATATATTGCTGTCGTCATACAACGTAATCTATTTGCATCCCTTCAGGTATTTTTTCCAACCTCCATCGTGTCTTGCGTGGGCGACTAGCATCTTGTGCCAGTCCCAGCTAGAAGTTGAAGTGCCTGCATCAACGCGGATAAGTCTTCAGCAACATATCCATTACAGCAACGTCAGTTGCATACTTATATACTGAGCATAAAGAATGATGCCATCATTTATGATCGCACGAACGACCGACACTGTTTGATTTCTCCGTACGTCACCAAGCTCAAGGATGCACCGAAAATCCAACCCCACGCACAGCCAATGGCATATCAACGTAGGAGTGGTGGGAGTCATTGCGTTCTATCAAATGATGAATTGGGAAGTTCAAATCCCACTCGTCAAAGTGTTTATTGTTCCTTACGCACCACGAATCTCAATGAGGTGGGGAATTGTAAATGACAGTTCACAACATAATCCCTTTTGAGGCAAAAAGCCTTCATAGTCTTCCTCGTTTACGAATACTAGTGTTAGCTCGTTGAAGCTTTGAAGCCGGAAATGTTGAATCCATAGACCGTCCGTTGGCAACATGAGATGTGGGTTGCAGAAGTTTATTCACCACTACTTACCTTGAGCTCTACCGGCAGGCTTTCACTTCTTACAGAGAGCAAAGCGATAACAAACATGAAGGATAAAAAGAACCTGATTTAAGTCTTACAAGTCTTTCCTTCAACAAAACTTGAGCATGACATCCGAAGTAGCCTGAGTGGATCTGAATTTAGACAAGAGAAGGAAAGCGGCTCATGGCGTTCAAAATCGAATATTGTAATTTGAAAGAACGGTTGGCTCGCAGTATATTGGGAGTGGTACACTAGGGTACGCTCATTATGCAACTCGATGGTACAGCGTCCGAGCCGTGAGAAGATAAATTATGAGACTTGGGGGGCATATTCAATTGCAGTTCTTCCTCTGGGTCATACTCGCATGTTCGATTGGCGCCTAGGGCTACAAGTGCTCAAACATCGCCAACTCGAATTGGACCGTAGGCACTCACTATGTGCTCTATGGCCCTACCTTGACCATGCGCGATATCAGTCTGTGCATTGCTCAATACACCATCTGAATTCATCTGACTTCGTGAGAATGAGTAATGCCAGGAACCTTGTTGAAATCACTAGTACTGATTCAAATACTAGTGCACGTCCAGAATATCACGAGGACCGTTATCTTCTTCTGCTGACGCAGAATATTCTTAGATTATACAGCACAGCAAGAATTCCATCTCAGCGAGAAAATATAAAATTCGCTGGGTAGACAAACATGACATCGGTTGAATTAGCGCGGTACAAAAGTACGTACAAATTTTAAAGCAACAGCCTGATCGATGATTCAGTGATTCAGCTCAACAGTTACCGGGTCCCTCCCCTTTGTAATGCTGATGGCACTGCTGATACATATTGATCCTTATCTTTGTAATGCTGACGGCACTGCTGATACGTGTTGATCACTCGTTTGTCCCTTCTCCTTGCCAACGACGGTCGATGATCGAAAGAGGAGAGAAACTGGTAAAAACTTCCTGTGAATCCATTCGGCAGCGCAGTCTCTGCAGACATATTTAGGATGCCCTCTGGTAGACTTTGGACAAACAGCAATCGACCCATATTATCTACTCATGTCTCAACCAATTATACTTTACGATATCCCAGGCCAAGGGCCTGTGAAAGCCATGTCTGGCAACATATTCAAAGCAAGGTGAGTAGCGCAATTAAAATTGTTAATAACCTGATTTACATGTTCGCTATCATAGGTACACACTTGCCTACAAAGGCTTAGCCTTCAAATCCGTCTGGGTTGAATCGAAGGATATCGAAGAGCGGATGAAAGCCATTGGTGCCAAACCTACTGGGCGTAAACCTGATGGAAGCGATTTCTACACTCTCCCTGTTATCCAGGACCCTTCTACGGGTGCCGTTGTCTCCGATTCTTTCGCCATCGCAGAATACCTCGAGGAAACGTATCCATCCACATCCACCGTCTTCCCCCGTGGTAGCAAAGCCCTCATCAGCGTCTTTGATTCCACTTTCATGCAGGGTATGGGCCCGATGTTCCCGTTGATAGCTACTACAGTCTACACGAAGATATTACCCACAAGCCGGGAATATTTCAGGGAAAATGCCGAGATTAGATTTGGCACCAAGTTTGAGGATATTTCACCCGAAGGTCCGAAGCGCGAACAGCACTGGAAGAATGCTAAGGATTTTCTTGGGGTCGTTGACGGATGGTATTCGAAAAGCGGGGGTAAATGGATCATGGGAGATACGTTTTCGTACGCAGATATCATTGCGGGTGCGTGGGTGAGGTGTTTTAATGGTTTGTTTGAAGGGGAGAAATGGGAAGAGATCAGTACTTGGCACGGCGGACGCTGGGGTAGATTACTCGAAGAGATCAACAAGTATCCTATTCTGGACTAGCGCATGTACAGTGAGATTCTGTGACTAGTCAGATACCTAAGTACCTTGTTTTACCAAGCATTGCAATTCAATGTCACTGTGGAATCAATACCAGCCTTTATTGTACAATCCTAAGAGCCGCAGGGTCCTGGCATATGCATCCAGACCTAGCCAGAAACGACACAATATAATCAGAATTACGCAGAATCTCAGTGAATGCGCGATTGCGTTTTTACAAAGTCGATTCCTAAGCCATACTCTCGGGATACTAATAGGCCCCTGAGCTATCGTCTGGGAGACTGAGAAATATATAGGGAACGTTGAAAAGAAATAACGAGTCTTTAAGTACCAATTCTACCCGATGTGACGCAGAAGCCGAATGATGTAGGAGTCCACTTTTGTCACAGAAAACATCTAAACTACTACAAACCAATGAAGTACTGTGTGTTCTCGTCTGCTTGAAGGATTTTGTCGCCAAAAATTGCCAAAAACCGACACCCACTACCACCCAGCTCTGTGGAAGCCTTAGTAAACGAGCACACTATCACTATCTTTATACTCACCATTCCTTGCCACAGGCCGTGGGTCTGCACTTAACTACACTTCTCGAAGAAGTCCTTGCCCTGGTAGTTTTTGTCTACCTCGCTATGGGTCATGACACCGCAGTAGTAGATACCGCCATTCACGTTGGCGTACACGACACGAATCGGAGTCTTCTCCTGGCCACTAGTCTTGGTGTCCTTCTGCCATTCCTTCTGTTTGGCACCCACCCAGAAGACCGGGTATTCAAACAGAGGGTTCTTGCCGTTGTCGCAGTTGTTGGAGCCCCACTTGATGCCATCGCCGCTGTTGTAGCCGTGAGGGTCTCCACTTTTACCGGCTACGAAGCCAGCGCTTTTGGCCTGACTCTGTGCGTTGTTAACGTCAACTTTGAAAGACTTCGTGGGAGAGGAGTTCTTCTTGGGGCTGCAAGTGACATAGCTCTGTGAGATCGAAGGCAAGATTAGCTGTCTGTCTGGAAGGCCTGTCTACAAACGACACATGGACAAAGAAGAACACTGACATCACGGGCCTCAAGAGCTCTGGATTCAATGCTGTCTTTGACGATAGCAGTAGGAGTGGCAAAGACGGGTGCTGCAACGAGCGCCAGGGCGAGCAAAGCTTTGGTGAAGTGCATGTTGAATGTCTCTGTAGGAGTGGTGTTGGAGAATGATAAGTGTTGGACTGCGAAAACATCTGGTTTATATACCTCGACGGATGATGGGGACGAGGTTGGGTTTGAACGATTTGTTTCAACATTGTTAGCTCATGATACCACTTATCTCATCAACCGAGTTGAGCGTTAGAATTTCTCAACCGCGTTAGAGCGCTGGAATGGAAACCAACGTCACAATAGAGTAGTCGTTCACCTTCTCTGATCCGCCGACGCATATCATGTCGAACTTGGTCTAATACAAATGCATGCAGTGCTTGATGGAGTAGGAGCGCTGCAGTGTAAACCGGCAACGCTGGAGAATCTCGTGATTGCCAAGCTTCGAGGTCGCTGGGAGTGATTTCGAGCTGATCAATGTATATCAGCGAGAGTGTCTTCTCGTCGTTGCATCTGATATGGAATGAGAACGAGAGCTGATGAAAACCTGTGGGGTACCCACTGATGTAGTGGTGAAAGTTTTTTCTTTTTCTTAGACTAGTCACGGTACTGCTGTTATGAAACCTCATTACTGCTACATACGAAACATTAGACCACTGGCCGTAATCAGTCTTCCGAAGTTGTATGATGTTGTAAAGACCTCTTCATCAAAAGAGCGATAATGTCGGTGGAGAACCTCTGGGGTGGAGCCATGTGCATTCGCGGTGAAGTCTCACCATGGGTCCAGGCAGAAGAAGCGAGAACGACGAACGGCGATGTTGGCAAAGTGTCATGGGGCTTCCACTCTTTGCTGAAACGGTTTCATTGACAGACTCTGATGGGGAAATCTCCGATAGCACAGGAAAGTGATTGTCTTTTGAAGGCTTTCAACACGATTGCCGCCCAAGCTCACGTGCAGCTTGGCATCAATATTCTGAGAAAGAGCGGGGCTTTGGGAGCGCTCGCAAAGTATACAAGTCTCCCGCATCCTGCATCCCAAACACCGACCAGCACGCACAAAAATCCAAATGGCTTTGCAATACTCGGATGAGCCCCTAGATCTGCAGTTATTCAGAGACGACGATGACTACATTGTGGCCGTTTTGGGGAAACTGGATGGCTTTGGCTGAAGCATATGGTGCGTACACCACGGGCAGGACCCAATGGATACGCTTGCTGGAGCACGATTCGCACAAAAACACTAAAATTCCAGCCACTGGCTGGATTACTTCAGATATTATTAAAATACAATTTGTGATAGCTCAACTAACTTGTTTACTATTTTTTTGAGTAATGGCTGAGATGATTTGGTTCTAATTTGGGGCTTCATGCAA